ACCCCACACAACACCCACACCACCCATTGACCCCCCTGGTGGGTCTTGTTTCCTTTCTATTTTTTTTTTTTTTTTTTTTTTTTTTCAAACAACACCCCCCCCCCCCCCCCCCCCCCCCCCCCGGCCGAGTGTACTATGTTATGAAACTATGATCTTTGAGCCTCGCGGTAAATTTATATCTTCTAAATCCCAAACTCTAGATGGAACGGGAAATGGGCCATCATAGATAGAGGAGGAATATAGCTAGACGAATGGAAGTCATTACTACTGCAATTTCATGAACTCTTGCACGTGCATATCGTCATCATGGAAGAATTTAGAACACATGGATGGTGCAAAAGTAAACTCGTGATTAGTCCCTTTGTATTGATAATGATGTTACAGTTATACACCTGGCTCTCCCGTATCGTAATCGTAAGGGAACGCCTCTATTTCCACTGAGCCTCGTACCATATAGCAAGACCAGAGCAAGAGTACCCGAAGTGCATCCTGCCATGGACTCCTTTCCTCTCCCGCTCTTCGAGTCCAATCCGAGAACCACTCCAAGATATCTAAAGATGGGCGGCGTCTTCCGTCTATTTGTAGAAGTCAAACTTGTTCTCGTCACTGGTGCCCTTGACTTGGCTGGAATATGCGTCCTCGAGATCGACTTGGATGATGTTGTACCTGTTCTTGCGCACGGCACGGAGACCGGCTTCTTGCATGATGGCGGCGATGATGGCGCCAGATAGGGGATCATTCCGGACGATCAGGCTGTCGAGGTCAACCTCGGGAGCGAGGCTCATCTTGCTAGCGAGGGTGGTGAAAATAAGACGACGCTCACGGCGGTCGCGCAGGCTGGGAAATTCGATCTTTCGGTCGAGACGACCGGGACGTAGAAGGGCGGGATCGAGGGTGTCGGCACGGTTGGTGGCCATGATGACCTTGACGTTGGAGGTCTGGTCGAAACCGTCCATCTGGTTCAACAATTCTAGCAGGATACGCTGGACCTCACGATCAGCACCGGTTTGGGCGTCGAAACGCTTGGTGGCGATGGCGTCGATCTCGTCGATGAAGATGATGGCGGGGGAGTTTTCGCGAGCCATGCGGAAGACGTCACGTACCATGCGAGGACCCTCACCAAGGTACTTCTGGACGAATTCTGAGCCGACGACGCGGATGAAGTTGGCGGTTGTAGAATTGGCGACAGCCTTGACAAGCATCGTCTTTCCCGTTCCAGGAGGGCCGTAGAGGAGTACACCACGAGGTGGGTCAATACCGATTTGCTTGTAAAGATCGAAATGCGTTAGAGGTAACTCGACGGCTTCACGGATCTCCTGCTTCTGCATATCAAGACCACCAACGTCGGCATATGTCACATCGGGCTTTTCGTCGACACCAAGCATGGCGATAGAGGAGTCAGCCTCCGGAGGGAGGATATCGACGAGGGCATTAGAGTGACGGTGTAAGGCGACGGAGGATGAGGGCTTTAGCTTCTCGCGATCTAAGGTGGACAAGATTCGGACGACATAGTTAGAGCCTGTACTCGATTGAACTATTCCAGTACTATCAAACAGACATTAGACGTTAGATTTTGGCAAGGGAGTTGTACAAAGTTCGCTCGGGATGGTAAAACTTACTTTTGATCGATAGCCTCCATAAATTGGCCAATGACCAAGGGCACACTTTGAATCCTCTTGATTTCTTCTTGCGCGCGAACCAGTTCGCGTTTTAAGCTCCTATAGCGCCTCTCTGTTAGTCTTAACGGTCCACGAAGATAACGGGATTACCGGGTAATGCAGGTTTAATGACGTGTCCGTGTGTCTCGCCTCCTTCTTCATCTATCCCTACCTTTGCTCATCCTTGATGTATTCCTCCTGAAGTTGGATATATTCCAGGTGCCTCTGTAACTTTTTTAACACCGCATATTCATCTCCACCTTGCGCTGGTAACCCTTCGATGGCCTCGATGTTTGGGATGGTTGACGGGATAGGTTTGTTATGCGGTGCAACGATGTTGGCCGGATTTTCTACGAGAACATCACCCATATTCGCGGCTCTGATGATGGAATTGTTTTGTTGCCGAAAAAATAAAACAAATATCCAGAGCGCGCAATCGTAAAGGATTCGGAAGATGAGGAAATATTCCGAGATTGGTTATGGTGATGGTGGTTGATGAAGGTTGAAAAAATCAATGGACGATGTGATGATGAATGAGGAATGGAGATCGGGAGTTTGGACGGTGGTTACGTTTTCCCTTTACAGCAGGCACAGCTAAGCTTGCTTACCTACAGCTTCCGATGTCAACGCCAGCCTTGCAGCCTTGAGTGTCAAATTACGGGTCCTGCCAAGGCCAACCTTAGTCAACAGTTGATGACCTAATCAAAATTCCAGTGCTAGACCAATTAGGGAAAGTACAGGATTAACAGTTTTCCCGTCTTCCCCTTATGTTCAGCTCCACTTGAAGCCCCACTCTTAGCTCTCAGATGGCCGGCACCTGCATTACCTTGAATGATATCAAAGGTCAGACTTGTTGCATGATCATTATCTGATTGGTTACTTTATTCGCAAGCAGCTACAAATCCAGAGCGACAAACCCCATATCATTGAACAACTCTTAACCAACCATTTCAGATAATAATCAATCCCAGCCTACCAGCCTACTGAAGATCATCTTCCGGCATCGCCCGACTGGACTTGTGTTTGGCCTAGATCTATCTTACAGTCTCATCGGCTCTTACTTACCTTGTATGTATGTACCTGAATGGATAGGTAGGCAGCAGGTAGGTAAGCACTATACTTTTCTTATCGTCATTTTTCTTCAAATGTCGTGGATTACCTGAGGAGTTGATAATTTTCTGCCCGACAGAAGCCAAGTTTCTCAGGCCTAAAATACGATATCCGAAAGGCAAGGAGGAAGCCGTTATGCTAATTCCTCTGGCATCCTTCCTTACGTGCCCAGTGGTTAAGAAGTACACTATTGTTCCCGTCGCACAAAGGAGGCTACAGTTACCTACCTCAGCCTGTACATGTGGGGCTCCATTGCTGCAGGCAGATACAGTGGGGCAAGCACAGTGCAAACGTCCTAACCAGATTAGAGCAGGCGGTTTTCAATTTAGGCCAATTAAGATCGATCACGCGTTAAAGGTCCGCCAGGGTTCCTCCTAGTTCAACACTCCCGATGTGTCATCATACCTCCGTCTTTCGCACTGGGTTTAATCGAGTACTCTCCCCCAACAACCTTGGAATTCAGCACCTATCTCACCTATCTTACGTACGGTGGCGTACCTCACATATTATAGTAGGTAGGTACAATCCCGTCCTTTCCAATTCATAACTTGCCCAGTGAGGTAATGTACGTACATCCCTGGCCAAAGTCGAGTTACATTGGACACACACCTTGCTACATCTACCACCACCGAATTATTACGTACAGTGCCGCATCTGCGTATGTACAGCACATAACGCCCAAGGTATTGTACAGCACTACACTGCACAGCACAGCATTACCCTGCCCAGCCTGTTCCATCCCGCATCGATGCAGGCGTCGTCCAACCTCTACTAGATACTGTGTAGTTGAGATACGCACGGAGTACGGTAGATTGCTCCTAAGGCTCTACTCCAGCGGCGTCTTAGCACCTGACTTCAACCTTGAACTCATCTTTCTCTTTCGTCCTTTTTTTTACCTTGTGCATATCATCAATTCTCTCAACATCACATCCATTCTACCTCGTTGTCCCGTTACTCATAGTAAGGAGAGTCGCCGACGTGAAGATCAGATAACCCTCCTCTTTCTTTCTTAGCTCTTTGAACGTCGTCGTCACTTGTTATCTTCTCTTGGCGTTTAACCTGTCTATTCATTATCGATCTGTTTAAATAGTTGTCCCTCCTCGCCTCACCGCTGCTAAATTAATTTGAGGTCTTCGCTAAAAGAAGAGAGAGGCTACGATCTTGTGTCTGTAACAATGTCGTCTAATACAATTGCTATCCCGGCGGCCCGCTCGTCCTCCGCAGCCTATGATCAATCCCCTAAGGCCGGTGGCAGCTCATCCTCGTCGTCGTATTCGAGCTCCCCACAAACCCCTAGTTCCAGTGTTGCGTCACCAAACCGATCCGCACGCAAGTTAGGATCGGGGCACCAACGTAGACAGAGTCTCTTGAGTACGTTGTGACCCCTCTTGTGTTATGTCCTCGGGACCTCGGATGCCTGAATTATGTCTCGTCGCCTCCTGAATTATTAAAACTGACATGTCATCCATAGGCTCTGCTTTCTGCAAGGACGAATGCACAGTGATTAACATCGGGGATCCGGACGGGGCGCCTCGATTGGTACGTTATTACTATTGATCCTGCAGACGGGTCTGCGTCAAGGCCGTCATCTTGCTAATGCTATCTGCCCCTCTAGATCTCCTACCTTGCCTCAAGCCAGGGCTTTGCGTGGAACCCTGAACTCTTCGTCCCATCTTATGTCGATTGCGATTACGTTCCCTTAGAGAACCGCCGGGAGCCCGTACACGAAATCCGACTCAGCGACGAAGAGATCAAAGCGATGCTGCCGTAACTGGTGACTGCTGTGGTTGAATCTTGGGCGGGCTTGCCCCTCAATGATTAGCCGCGGTCGAAGCCCGACTTGTCTTTTCTTCCTAGATACACATAACCCTCGCGAGAATACCTTTGCCATTTTCACAACACTTCGGCGTCTGGATTCGGATTGACACTACCCTGGATGGATTGTGGATATTGATGTCGACATTTCCTATTGTGCGGCGCGGCTTGGAAGGGATCAACATCATAGCATTGCAACGACTTTACGGAACATTGATATTATTACCGTGGGAGGTCGATGGAAGGCCTACCCCACAAGAGGAGGGCTTGGGAGTTCTCGCGGGTTTTCGTGGGATTCTGTATGATTACATGAGTTTACATGAAAGCCTTTGATCCGGGGTTGCGGCGTTGGTACTTTTGTTTCTGGTGTTCCTGTTCTCTTCGAATCGACTCTTTGCTCACCTTTGGCTTATTTCCACTCACTCAGATAAGTGAGTTTTATTCGTAGGTAGAGATGGTGTGTTATTCCCTGGGAAGCTTTATACATAATAGAGAGACTGAACACATTATTCGGGCTATTTTCTTCCAGTGACTTGGCAATTCTATTCTCTACCTTGTTCGCTCATCGCTGCCTACTAGGTAGCGTCTATCATACCTATTCTAACCACCGCAGCGCCCAGAGTGCTGACTTCGAATCATCCTTCATCCTTCATTACAATCCAATTACTACAAGTTTTATCTGCTTACATAGTAAGGATTGTTTTGATGAAATGAATTTTGTGCCGAACAAGGAATTACAAAGTTAGGCGCAGTGTAAGTGCAGTGAAACATCGCTTTCGAAACACCACGTGGGATGCCGAGGTGAAAGTCTATTGCGATGTAAATAGCGAATCAAGACTTGCCTTTTCGCCCATGCCTACCTGACAAGAACGGATGAAACAACTTAAATGCTGGCCCAAGCCATTTGGTATGAAGTTTCTCGTTTGTCACAGCGCAGTTCTGGCTATTCGCGAGCCTTGGACGGAGGCTAGATAGAGTCAAACAACCTGTCGGGATGGAGCGGGACCGGCAGTACTTAGGTACTGTCGATTTTTATGTGCCATTGATGTACGTAGGGACGTACCTACATCTTACCTTGTCTCATTCCTTGAAGCTTGCACCAATCCGTCCGAAATATGCATATCTAGTACTGGCATATCAGGACATCAAGTAATTGTACAGATTATGTATGTTGTTAGACTATTCTGATATTCGCACGGTGTAATAGTGATTCTTGGTTGATAGAGGACATCCCACCTTCGATGTTTAAATGTTCAAGACCTGGCATTGATTATCCCACTTTTTACCCCACGAATTGCGTTATCGGATCCTCCCCGCCAGGTTGAGTTTGGCTGCTAGCGCTGGCATCCAATTGGGACGTTTAGCAGCTTGGATTGGGAAAGTCTGCCTTCTATCGGCTAGTGCGCTTGTGCTAAATGGGACTCGTCTTGCTATATGTACCATAGTTGCAGCGCAAAGCTAATGTCTTTACGGCTATACTAATGGCATAAGCTTTCTTTTTTATATGCGTTATGCTTCATTGAGTGTTGATCATGTGTATAGCTCGACAGACCCTCAAGCATATTGTTGTTGAATAAATAGTTAGAAATATTAGGTGAATTGGTGAGGGAACCTAGTATTAGATGTATTAGATATTAGGGAGTATGGATTCGTACTTCTTGGTTTCATCAACCGTCTTTGATAAATGGAAGCGGTAATTGCTGAAGGAGTGACGCGGAAATATTCACATGCATTTCATGGCGATCCTTCCAATAAGGAGGAGCTTAATATCGAGATGTTTCATAGCCACGTGTACATGTAGATGAAGTTCCCGTCTGCAGATCGTATTAAGAACGAATACCAGTATCTATCCAAGCACCGAAGAGATATTTCCCACCACTTTCAAATCGTCCAAGAGCCTTGTCTCGAGAGATCATCGTACCGAACTATTCATGACATCCTGACTGGCTGAATATCCCAAATCGGCATATGTCATGTTAGCGCCAGCCTAAGCTTCGAGTATACAGTGCTTATATATAAGCTGTTTACTATGTGGTAGTTCAAGTGACTATCGTATTATTAGCGTATACGGGCACTAGCCGGGGTTGTAAGGTGAGTTATCATTTGTGAATATGATAGTGAATATTAGTGAATATGACACTTCCAGATAATTACTTATACATACTAGGTACCTATGCTACTATGTAAGGAGTATGTTTGCTAACGGAAGATCGACCCGGTTACTTGAATCAGTTGCCATTCGGAGCATTGGAGGAACTTTAATTACGGCTGCGGCTGGTGCACATTTGTGTAGGTACATATCTAAAGGTCAAGACCTCGGATGCACTATGAGGTAAGGTACATATGCACTACGGCGTAGGTGTACATGTAGGTAGCAGGTGTAGGTACAGTGCCGTATAATCGTAAACTCCGATAGGCCAATAACCAGCCCCCTAGACCTCCCTAGACCCCACTTCCCGACTTCAAATATTGAAATATCGATTCCCAATATTTTAAACATTTACAAACACACACATTTGTGTGCCCAAAATCAGCCTCGACCCAACACGAAGGCAGAAGTGGATCGATCGATCCTACATGTACATCGATGTTAGGTTGAAAGAAGTAGCTAAGCGGTGAAGACTCCCATTCGAACGCCTTCTTCGGGATTGGGCAGGAAACGCGGGATGCGAGTTGCCAGTATGCACGTGGCCAGCCGCAGTTGACAACCAGAAAATTTTCAATTTCTCTTTTCTCCAAGAAACCTACCGGCCTATCCAAGAGCTGATCGTGTTGTGTCACGATGCATTACATCCGCCTGCTACGTCCGGCAAAGCTCGACGGCAGGAAACCAATCGTCTCCCTCCTCATTACCATCACCACGGACTTGGGTGACTCATTCCTCTACCCGGATGAGCCAGTCGATCTGCTTGTCTCGGCCGACGACCCGGTCGGTCAGTCCGTTCTTCAGAAGGCGGCCCAGCACCAACCGCTTAGGTGGACTGCGGGCATGCGGGTTCTGGATATCAAAGTTCCTCTGAATGCGCGTCTGAAGAGAGATGATGTCAGGTGTACCATCAAGATACATCCGGCCACCCAGCCTCTGCCGTTGGGGGCGTTGAGAAGTAACGATGTACTACCGTGGCGTATCAGCGAAAGGTCTTCCGTGAGTCAGGGGCTCATCATGCCGGTATCCGTGGAGATGGTGGGGGGTGTTTGCTCGCCGGTCGCGTTACGAACGCTTCAATTAAACACCTGTTCTCAGCCTGAGGATCAATTAAACCTTGACTTGGAAGAGGATATTGGCGAGAGTATCGCGCGACATATATGGGATGCGGGCGTAGTAACAGCCTCTTTTCTTGCAGACGCCTGCCGTACTAGCGACGGTATCCGTGCCGTTCTGCCGATGGAACGTGGCGCTTTTAGCGTGTTAGAACTTGGGAGTGGCGTCGGTATCCTTGGGGTCACATTGGCGCTCATCATTCAGAAGGCTGCCACTGTTCAGGGGCGAACGCTTAATGAAGCTACCGTATTGCTGACAGACTTGGCAGAGGCTGAAGAACGCGCAAGGTCGAATATTTCGAGATCAGATGCGGTACTCTCTCGCTCACACACATTTAGTTCGACGGTGACACTCGAGTATGAGAACTTAGATTGGGACGAGGGTAAGCTCGGACGGTTTGGGTCCCTAGCATCTGCTCGCCCTTGGGACTTAGTTATCCTCAGTGACTGCACATATAACGTCGACTCGTTACCGGCGCTTGTCGGTACACTAAGTGCACTCCATACAGCAAATCTCAAGTATGCTGAGGATCAGGCATTTACTAAGACCTCAGTCATATTGGCGACGAAGCCTCGTCATTCTTCTGAGCAAGCCTTGTTTGGGTTGTTGAAAGCTGATGATTGGAGATATAGTGTTCTCAAATCCATTCCTCTGCCAAGGCTGGGCGAAGATGATGAGGTAGTTGATATATATCTGTTAGAGAAGGGCGACGGAAATACATAACCTTCCAAACATTCTGCTGCTCCAAATTCTCGATACAACTTGAACGTGAGGATGGCTAGACTAGGTAGCCCTAGCAAATTAGCAGCGTAGTATTGAAGGCTGAAGGTATGATACACTGCACTTCAGGGCCTCTTCCGGGCCTATCTACGCTCACACCTAGCTCATATACAGACTGGTACCTACGGCACTTCGCCAGGCATAAGATTATTGTAGCTACGAACCTACCTACATTAAAGTGTTGCTCCGAATTGATCTAGCATATATGCAGCACCAGCGCTGAGGTTCTTCCTAAGCATATGCTCATCGCCAACTAGATTCAACTATGCATTCCTCTCCGCTGGGCTAGCCGAGTGATTAGGACCATATTTTCCCAATCTAGATTCTTCTGGCCATTAGATTTATAAATTGCTCGCTGATCTAGAACGATGATACATTGCCTTAGAGTATCGGGGCAGAAGTCTAACTCTAGCTCACCTTTCTAGGTAGCCGACCGAATATAACTAAATACCTAATAAAGAAATCGAATGTTAAGCTTCAAAGTCACCATAGACTTAGTAGGTAGATTCTAAAACATTGACTGAGTCCTGATCCTCTTGCGCCTAGAAAATAGACAGTTCAAAGTTCCCCGGTTTTGGGGTTGAAGTCTCCTCGTAACGCATCCCTATGCCTCAAACTTCCCAAACGTGTATATGGCCACAATAAATAACTACCTACCTAGATAGAGAAAAAGGCGTGGTTACTTATATAGTCATCATTTTCGAGCAAGGCGTCGTTGTCGATACAATCATAAATATCGGGTATGATAATAACATGCAGCTATCCATAGTATATGCGAAAAAGCGAGGTTGCCCCTCCAAGCGATAAGTCAACAATCCCAAGTCAACATTTACGATATCGAAGAATTCCAAGTCCCTACATCACCAGCCAATCAACTTCAACAAGCCGGACAAAACGAGGAATACCTTCAAAATCATTCAACGGTCGCATGACACGCGCATTGACAATTCATTTTCTTCATCCTACTACAGCCAATTGCATACAAAAATTGGAACTTTTCTGTAACATAGGACTCTGTTACGTATAAAGTGCATATATATCAGCACCCACATCCATCCTTTCACCGCAAGCAACTGTGGAATTAGGATTCAGAAAAAGAAAACATGGAAGGCCACCGCAAGATCGAGCTCCAAGCTCCGGACGACCTCGCGTACCTGCTAGCCAATGTGCGACGCGCCGCCGCAGCGCGCCTTGACGAGGCTTTCCCGCCCGTGGACGGGGCGAGCGCCGGCGGAGAGGGCGATGAGTTACGGACGAGGATCGAGGAACTGGTGAATGAGGTGTGTTTCAATTTCTTCATTTTTTACTCGTTGGAATTGCGCTTTTCGCTTGCCTACATGTACAAAGTACCATCTTTGTGGACACAAGTACCTGCACGATTTTCGTCGAATTAAGCTGCCAAGAATTTCCACGAGCGGATAAGTTGCGGGTGTGGTTTATTGGTATATAACTGGTGTTAGTACATCAAATCAATACATACGACCAAAGGATCTGGAGAACTCGGGATCCCGTCCGCTCTCCCATAGATAAGCCAGATACCGCCGGATTAGTAGTTGGGTCGGTGACGACCAGCGAATACCCGGTGTTGTATGTTTTCTTTTTTTTTGCTCATCGTTACTATTATTTTCTTTTCGTGGTGTCAAATATCATAGATTACCATTTTGTACTTCTTATTCTTGACTTTTTACGTTTCACCAATATGCAACAGGCCTCAGCAGTAAACTAACCAACTCCCACAGTACATAACCAAAACCTTCAAACTCGCCTCCCCCAACCTCAGCATCAACGGCATGCCCGTAAACGCGGAGCACTTCCTATCCGGCGACCCATCCTCCGCCGCAGCCCTGCAGCCAGAAGAAGTATTCGAGCCCTTCGACGCCCGCAAGCGCGCACGCGTCGAGGAGCTGAGCCGCGAAGAAGAAGACCTGCTGCGGGACATCGCGGCGCTGAAGAAATCCGTCCCGGGCGCCGCGGCGCAGGCCTGGGCCGAAGCGGCGCGGAAGTCCGTCGTCGACGACGAGCAGGCTTTGGCTGTTGTTAACGAACGCGCTTCTAACCCTACCTCCTCCACCGACGAGAATAATAATAGCAATGATAGTGGTGGCAACAGTAAGTTATTCGAAGACCTCCGCAAACCACTCGATCGCCAGGACGAGATCGAAGGTAACTACGAGGACGCGGTGGCGGGGCTGGGCAAGCTGAAGCGCGAGATGCCGTCGGTGGTGGCTAAGATGGAGAGGGCGAGGAGCGCGGGGGAGTACGTCGTCACGGAGCGGTGAGGCAGTGGGGCGTTTGCGTCTGTGCGTACGTGAGAGAGACTGGGAAAAAGGGGGAGGGGGGAGATGGACAGGGGGTGTTCATACATATGTACATACATAAAGAAAGGTGGTAGGTTGGAAGATACACGTGCCTGTCCAGTTGGCGACGATCTAGCGTTTGAGGCCAGGAGTTGCGACTGCGAAGAGGCGGTGGCTCGGCATTGTCGTGTACCTTTTTCAGGGGCTGGTTGCGGTGATGGTTCATGGGAAATTACCTATTGACTCCATAGCATTTGTAGATTTATCGGTTAACGGCTACGTCTAGTACGCGGAATGATCTAGATTTTATAAATGAATAGTACCTCGAGTTTGAATAGCATATTAGTAGATATGGTATCAATGACCTACGGGCAGGATTAATATGATACTTATGATTGGGTGCAAAGGTTTTTTAGACACTGTATAACATCACGATTAAATACCTGTCATACGCAGAGCGGGGCAAGCAAGTAGGGGGGAAATGCAAATATATCATATCAGTGTCTGAAATGCCTCTAACAATTTTTGTAGAAAAGATGGCCACATAGCACCCGTGTAACAACAGGGTGACTTGTCCACAGGTAAAAACTGGCGTTTATAAGATTCTGCCCGGGGTATGAAAGATCGTCCGGATCAAACAAAAACGTCCGCGGCCTTCTCCCTCGAGGGGGCTCTCTGTTGGTCCTGTCTATCTGAATAGCCTGACTTTACTCCCCGCTTCACTCTCTCTCAACTTATGCTTCCCCTTTGTATACAGTTAAGAACCGATCATTTCCACTCTTTACGCGGCAGCAGGGGCCTTGGCCTCGGCGCCTTCCACAGCGACATCAGCCCCGGTAGCGGCAGCAGCACCCGCACCACTGACGATTTCTGATGGCTTGTTCTCGATCGTATCACCCTTCGTCTCCCACCACGCAGGCTTGGCGAACTCGGCATCGCACCAGGGACCCGCATTGCTGAGCGCGCAGCCTCCCTCGCACTGGCAAGTACCACCGAACTCCTTGGGGAGGTTCTCAGCGGGGATTTGGCCGAGGAGCTCCTTCTGGTAGTTGCCACCTAGGACGTGGATCTTCTCGACGGTAACGGGGTCTAGAAGAGGACGGATCATACGCCAGACACCGGTGAAGAGCCAGTTGGTGTTGATGAGGTACATGCGACCCAGACGTTCGGGGTAGTAGTTTTGACTCATACCAGAGGCTTCCTGGATGTAACCAAAGACTTGGCGCGCGTTGCCGAAACCGACACCGTTGAAGTCCATGATGGTGCAGGACGTCTCAAGTAGCTGACCGGCCTTGCGCGAGCAGGCTGGCAATCGGGGGTCTGCCATCTTCTCGTACTCAACAGCTAGGTTAACCAACATGTGTTCGTATTCGAGGCCTTCGTTCTTCATGGCGACGATATCGATCTTTCCAAGCTGTTCGATGTAGACTGGTCGTCCATCCTATTGTGATATGTATGAGTACGAGGACTATTCTTCATTGTGACAGTGTGAGAATTTCCATACCTTGTCTGTCTTATGGTAGTACTGAGGGTAATACTTGGAAATCTTCCTCTTGAAGGATCCATCCTTGTCCCACTCGCCTATCTCCTCGTCGAGGTTGTAGGTTTTACCGTCGATCTTCAGCGGTTGCCCAGCGTATAGGATAGTCTTCCGCCAGTTTTCGCAGTCAACGAACCTTTATAGCCAGGGTCAGTCGATCAATTTCAAACAATTACTCTTTGTATATCTGGAAATATCATTCCAACCCCGGCAGAGGAGGCTCACATTTTCTTGGCCAAGTTAACATCGAACTTTCGAGCTCGTAGGAAACGTAGCTATATTGCCCCAAAGGATATGTTAGCATAGTGTACAATCCCCGCTTTTCTCCAGTTGTCTTTGTATACTGATAGCAGACACCGCCATCTTGTGATGATGCTTTCTAGGACACATACCAATGTCAAGGTATCCAGTCGCTTAGTGTAGCCTTCGGTCTCGAGCATCATACGTAGCTGATGGACCTGTGCCTGCTGTGCGTCGGTCAAGTGGCCTGGATGCCCTGGCTTGGCGACGGGTGCCTTGGTAGGGTAGTCATAGTTGTCGTACTTGGGATCTAACTCCATTGTTGATGATGATTGCTTCGATTTCTTTCGAAATCGGGCAGTTCAAAGAATTGTTTCTGATTAATATTAAAGGACTCGGTACAGCGTAATTATCCAGATACACGAGTAATGTACGGATTGGGGGGTGGAGGTTAGTTGACAAGTAGTTGACAAGTTGACAAGACAAGGTCAAGAAATGTTGAACTAGGAATGTTTTAAGAACTGTCGGTCGTAGATAGGAGTTTTTGTATTTGTAGGTTTTGTAAAGTTGTCGGTGGGTAAGTCGGCTCGTTGTCCTTAGCAAGTAGTAATGAAAAGTCGGGGCTTTCGTTGCTAGATTAAGACTCGATAAGGTGGTAACAAGTTGCCCATACGAAATAATAATAATAAAAAAAGTGGCGGCGTTTGATTGCGGGCATGTCCAAGTGGGACATCGTCATTGGTGCGCAGCGGTGAGATCTGGGGACCCAAACTTTAATCACGCTTCCAAGCTTCCTGGTCGCTTCCCGGTCGCCTGCCAAAGCCCAGCCAAATTCCAACCATACTCTCAGGCTCCAGTTAAAAACTTACGTAATCCAGGGGTCCCCTTGCCGTCTCAGCCACTCATAATACGTATATCCAATGTTGGGTTCAATCGTTCCCAGTATTGTACCTAAGTAGCCTATGACATCGACGTCTGCCTACCTGCGCTTCATAGAGCCAAACTAGAACCACTAGGATTCAAATAAAATTACGGGGTACATATATCTGGATTTATACATAATACACATGCGTAGGTTTAGGAGAAAAGATGCGAGTAATGAATTCCAAAACTATCATTCCCTCAATGCACCTACGTAACATTTGGACTTAGGGATACTAATATTTTAGTAGAAAGGTTCAATATTGCGTCATCACATGCACTGTGTAAGATTTAGACGTCCGGTGGTTGTATTGGTATATCGGTAAGTCAGGACACATGGACCAATTTATTAACTCCGATACGGCGGTTTAGCAGCAGTCGTTTGGGTTATGGAAGATGAATCCTATTCGAGCCGATCACCAAGAGATATATCACTTTATCCGTTTGGCTGGTCGACGTCTTCGGTCCCTTTCCCTTTCCCTTCTTCGTCTGCCTTTTCTTTACGTTTCTGAACCACATCCCAGTTGTATACTCGTGCTATTGCAACCTCCATAGTCTAATGCGAAGGTCAGCTGGCTGTCTCCTATCAAACAAACTTTGAAACGAGGGGCGAGGGTAGGGATGAGGCACTGACCGTAATTTGTTCTCTGAGAAAATCCAAATCTTCCTCGCAATTAGAGTAGCTTTGCTTTGCAGCAGATAACTTCGATGTGAGGAGGGTCTGGGCTTCGTCGATGGGATATGCCAGCATAACGTTCGCCTATACAGTCGTCCTTATCAGTCAAGAGTTCCCTTAAATACGTTGTGGGCATCGGGAATATGTTCCGAACGTACACCGAGCCACAAATACACCTCATCCGTAGGTGGTATCGACGCTTTCGCGTACAAGGTATCGTTTAGTTCGAACGTCGTCTCGATAGGATCCGAGTCTCCCTGCACCGAAGATATAATCAGCTGATTGCACTCATTGCCATGGTATCGGGAGAACGCACCGTCCTTGTCTTTAAAAATTGGACTGTTTCCAAAGTCTTTTCTATATCGGGCATCTTATCCTTCAGGCCAGCTACTCTCCTCTGCAAATTTAACTCCATAAACTGGTATTTCCTACACTCGGTTTCCGATATCAGCAAATATTCGATGGAAGTGGAGAAAATGTTTCGATGGCCCTATTCGACGAAGAGGCTCCAGTAAAGCTTATGATTCGATACCCCGCCAATATAATGCGTCGCCCTCGTGGTAGTGGAGGTGAGTTGTAAATATTTTGACATACGAGATCATCTCCTGGAAGCTGCGGAGAGTTGATTGCACATCGTCTCTGGTGGTGACATAGTCTTCGACTTTATCGACAAATGGTGCATAGGGAATGCCTCTCGGGTTCGTGGGCGCAGCATCCTTTCTAGATCACGGGCTCGACGTTAGCTAGGTTTTAAGGGTGGTGAGAATTGTTTTGGTATCGTACTGAGCAGCTGGCTCTTTGCCTTTGGCTGACATATTGTCTGTAGAATGCAAAGATTCTTAGCGCATTGTGGAGGGAAGCACACGGGATTAGGTTAACGAACGTTGCCGATGCTGTGTTGATGCGTGGACGCCGAGTGCAGCTCCAATACCAAATAAAAAAAATAAAAAATAAAAGCAGGTTCTAACTTGGGAGCATGGACCATCCAAAGGCGGGGGAGGCTGAAGCTCACCGGCTCACCGAGGTGAAGGAGGGGTAGATTTGATACGGATGTACCTATGTACCTAAGTACATCTACGTTCATAGCCACACCGAGGACCGCGACTACCCGCTCATATCTAAGGTTGTTCGGCATCAATGGAATGTCTAGCGATAAGCTGAACATTGAATTTATTAGTCTCAACCTTCGCGACTCCTTAGTTATTGTTGACCATTGATCTGGGAATGAGCTTTGCAGCTGTAGACTAGTTAAAGATACTTCACTACACGAGCGCTTCATTTCCGAGTTGCAAGTTCATCCCAGATTAGAGAGATTAGACATTCACTTTCAATCTTCATCTCTAGTTCTCTAGTTATGCGCCTTATATCGTTCCAACACCAATTCAGAAGAGAGATATATCATCTTATATTACCATTAGACTAAATCAACATGGGTCAAGGCGCGTCTCACCATGAAGTTCGGCTCGAGACCAGAGTTGAAAATCCACCGGGTGGCAATCCACAAGGTCTCGCCCTCATTGCTCACGGAAGATTCGGTGGAACTTTTGATCAACCTCCAGTTCGCCTTCTTGCCGAATATCTGACAAATGAAAGACTGATGAGGGTCGTAACTTGGAACGCTCGAGGAATTGGCCAGAGCGAAGGTGGGAATGAATGGACCGATTTCAGCACATGGATAGGAGACGCCGGAATCAACGATTACCGGGTATAACTCCTTTCTTTCTTATCCTTCTTATATGTCCGTCAATATGCTTCCATATAAACCACCTATAGATGATAGCCAATTTCATTAGCTAATATCCTAAATCTCTATATAGCGAATGCTGCGGGAATCCATGACTGCATACGTAAATGATTTCCCGAAGGCAACCGAAATCCCACTATTTCTATGCGTATGTCTCTTCGCTATTTTCACCTACGATTGGTTCTTTACCTAACAAGGTCCAGGGTTATTCCGCAGGTGCAGTTTTCGCAGGCTGTACACGTCCAAGCCCATCTTTCCCCCAATTCTCGCCTGCTCATTATATCCTGATATCCTACCCGGTGGACATGAATCCCTTCATGGCAATGCACAAGACGGGGTCTTATTTTCGCTCCCTCGAAGCATTGGTACAGGGATACGGATGGGAGAATCTTCCCGAGGAGTTTAACGGTAAAGAGCCGGACGTAGCTGGAGTTTTCACCGTAATGGGTCAGTTTGAAGGACTCTTTTATCATGTATGGACTGGGATTCTGGGAAGCAAGAACGCTCGAAACATATTAAGGCAGGTAGTTGTCGAGGGAGCTGACCATGCTTGGAATGGCAAAGCGCCGCGCATTGTTGAGGAGGTTGACAAGTGGTTGTGTAAACATTAAGGGGGTTGCTAGTCACGCAGACATTGTATATTAGGCGCTTACGGGATACATAGCATGTTTCTTTAAACCTTAAATTAATTCAATTGTTATGAAGTATATATCAACTAAGATATGAACTCATTTAATCATCGTTTCCACGGGTGCGCAACATATGTTTGTGGCCTTCACGAATACCCATCGCTATTAGCTCTTCAGGAACCTCTCCGTCCGTACCGATAGCGTGGTCAGGGTCAGCCGCACCGACCCCATCATAATGCCCTTCTGGGAACGGTACCCCTTAATGTAGGTGATATTAGGTCAATAATATGTCTTGATGAAAAAGGAAGAATGTATGAGAGCTCTTACCGAGTTCCGGATGGACCAGGAGACCGGGTTGCATGAGATCAACAGATCTCTCCTTCTGCCATTCGTAGAGTATATCCCAGTTAGTGCACTCGTGCACGTTCTGAAAGTCGGCAGCCGGGAACACGGATGTTGAGGTCCAAGCCATGGTGATCATGGACACGTCGGCGTGACACATGACGGATTGTCGAAGGATTTCAAGGCAATGGTCTATATAAGGGTTAGATGAGATAACCATCAGATGGAGTTTTTGGGATGACGACACCGTTATGAAGCCAGTTCAATCGATGCTCCTCTTCGGTTATATTTGGGAAGTAATAGTCGTTGAACCAATACTGGCGGAGTCGTTTCTTAGAGCATTTGTTAGTATCATCATTTACATAGGGGTAAGTTATTGATAAAGCGTTTTTGACTTACTATGCAGTGTAGCTCATGTACAACACTTAGTTCTACCCAGTAGCTATCATTCTCACCGGGCATTGGGATTGAAGTTTTGTTGACTTTCCTCAAGTCTTCCCCCGAAACGCGGATATTAGAATATTGGAGAAGTTCCTTCCACGCCATGTCGACTTCAGGCGAAGGAGGGCCTTGGTATGGGGATATAATTCTCAACTGCCCCTGAAATTCCATGGGCTCTTTCACTACAGCTTCATAAGCAGGTGAATATATAGTATGTTTGCATGATGATTTTGCGGTGATAATTCCATGCTTAATCAACATAACGTAAACAATCGTGTAGCTGGTAAAGACGAAAAAGTGAAAGAAAAGCCAAATGTATCTTCTAGACCTTGAGTCTTCATGGAAAGAATTCTGTTCATGGCTGACGAAACCTTCGGTTGATGAATTGATAGAGTCAGTATCGCAATATTGGGTCTCCTCCTTCACTACCGGTTGGTAGGAGGTTGCTTTCTTACTGAACAATGAGAGTAGGTTTGCCATAGTTGCTGTAGTTCAGTGATCAGAAAGTAGCATGCGTAGCGACGAGCGTGGATTGTACCTATAGATATGCTTATCTTAACAGGGTGGTAGCTCTTCGCTCTGATATCGTGCCTCTAGCGGAGGAGTCTGCCTTCGGATATGTTGAGACTTGTTGTCTCGGCTAGGGTTTTGGTCCATCGTATGTAGGTTGGTAAATAGATATCATGAAAAACCGGTTTGTATTAATTGTCTATCGGTACTGACAGTGCTTTCTTAATTGGCGAACTTGCTAGTGCGACAATCCGATGCTGACTGCGTCTATGCGTGGTATTTTGATAGGTAACCAATAAAGATGGTGGATCCAACAACGTAGTACAGTCAAACTTCCGTCCTTTCCCCAGGCTATAGGAGCTACGGGGTCCCTAGATACCTAGTAGGCATATAGGATCTATGTTTCGGGTAGGGGATGTCTTAGACAGGAGTCGATTTGCCATTGATACCTAGTAGGTCGCTAACAAGGAGCATCTTATTTAGGTACCTAAGTTTAGTCGTTGACATACCTACCTAGGTACTTATGAATGATAATATGATACATATCGCGATAAATTTAGCACAATTATGTCTATCAACAAAGATGCCACTATAGAACCTTTGTGTAGGTGCGTATGTAAGCTTCTTGGAAACAGCCCTATCGTATAAAATATTAGAGATAAAATACCTAGGTACCTATCACTAAATGTCAAGCTTTTTGCTCAGGCCAAGTTAGCTTGACTAGCCTACAGAATTATGGAATAAGTATGTGGAATACAATGGACTATGGATTAACACAAGCTTCATGTATGGTATCCATGGATGTTACCATCAGATCACTAATGTGTAACATCATAAACCTATCATAGTACAACAAGTAATCTTATCCTAGTTGGTTGTCACTGCGTTAAATCTAAGACACTCTGTTGCAGCTACCTCGAAGTAAGATTTCCATGACCATGATTTGCTAACATAACATATCTTACCTAGGATCACTGCGGATATCGGCACATGTGCTTCGGATGAGAGCCGTGATCAAAAGATAGATTTGGCAGATTAAATTGGCAATGCTATGATCTAGGTGAGACGACAAATTTTGTAAAGAAGGGAGGGTTAGGTCTGAGTTAAGCTACTATAAGTACCCATAGCTACGGCTGCTTCAAAGACTGGATTTCTAGTTTGATACCTAGGTAAGCAACCAAAAAAATACTACATTTATATTATTGCTCTTAGCAAAGCTAGGTAAACAATTCAAACATAGGTATTCATGATGAAGACCTCAATCATCCTCGCATTCTGGGCCACATTGGTGACTCAGGGGCTCTCAGCACCACTAGCACCTGCTGGTAAGCTTTATTTTAAGCAACTCCGAAGCAAATATATTGACTTAGAAGTAGATATCGGCTCCATTGTGGCGCGGGGTGATAATGCTGCATGTTTACCCCTTACATTTATCGCGGTAGCCATCTCTAACCTGAGCATTAGGGTTACATAGATCGCCCTTTAACGCCACATTATAAAGTCAGGGGCGACGACGCCGTATGTATACCTAGAAGTGTTAACTACCCAACTTTGGGTATGAAATAAATACTAATTTTCGTTAAGGATGACACCTACCATACCATTGAGGATGCAGCGCACTAAGATAGGAGTTGGACATCACTGAACTAGAAGCACTTTAGTTTGTATCAACTGTTATATTTAATTACGCTCTTTCTCCAGTCAGGTACAAAATTCATATCCATAAGAATATGGGTCCAAATGTTGTTGAATTATAAAATTGTTTAAGTTATAACAGCCGGTTACTCTTCAAAGTACCTACATTCCTATCGTTAATATTAGTTAAGCGGCTGCTTCAACAATATCTTTCAGGAAAGTGAGATCTTATCGTTCCACAACTGTATTTCGCTGAAATTGAATGGTGAATTATCATTATATTTATTCTCAGTTAGTAAATTGTTAATTGGTATGTCAACATATCTAATATACGTAAATGAATCGTTCACCTTTTGTATCTTGCCATATTAGCCAACGCCTTCAAAAGTGGCTCTCTAGGTCATGAGAAACGGAACAAGGATTCGACCTTGGTGTAATCCATAGAATTCACAATTGGACTCACTAGTGATAAATGAATGCTCTACAGATAGAGATGAAATTTGCGAATCTTTCTTCCTGTGAACTAATAGAGACCCCTCCGCTTGGTTACTAGGTACTTTGGAGGTTGTACCTGATATTTAAAGTTTTCTTAGTCTCCGTGTGACCGCCCCACTCGGCTCCGCGTCCCCACAAATGCGGAACGGACCCGGCATTGGTGATGGTTGCTCACAAGTATTTCATCCTTAAAATATTAACTCTAATACTAAATAGGCCAATGGCAGTCATCTCATAGGAGATGGGATGGTATGCTAGTTCAACGGGAACAACCCCATACCTTCGATCCATTAGCTAGCTTGCCCTGACTATTCCTCACCCTAGGTAATAACTCCCTGGTACCCAAGAGCTGATTTCAATCAAATGAAAGCGCTATTTCCTATACTGGATATTGTATCACGGATCAGGTAAGATGCAATTCTAGTAGTCTGTAGACTTGGAATCCACTTAGGGTCGAGGGGATTTGCAAACTACAACTCACATCTTCCTCTTTCATGAACCGAAATCCAATTTCTCCCCTTCACCACTACAAGTTATTGATAGATATCCTATAATCTCTTTACATCAATTGCCTGAAGTGTAACGGAATCACATTCTCATCCATGCTCATGGCGGAAATATCTGACACCACCTCATCGGGCTCTGCCTCCCGAAAGGTCTTCCAACATCCAGAGCTCATTGAGAGAATTATTCTCCACGTCGATGATAACTCTGCCATCCTCAAGTTGCAGCGACTTTCGAGAGGATGGAAAGAAGTGATTGCGAAATCGGCTAAGATCCAACGCCAGCTATTTTTCTTAGCAACCCCTAAACCCCCCATCCGACAACCAAGAGACAAGAACCTATTGCTAGCGTCTCGAGCCGACAATTTCTTCAACACGATATTCGAATGTGGGGTGCTAATCGAGATGGACACTGCTTTCAGCACCGTTTCTATGTTCAATCGCGCGTTATGTATGACACATCCTATGAATGACCGATGGCTTGCACCGAACGCTTCTTGGAAGAAGATGCAGATCGGTCGTCCCCCAATCAGAAAGATTCGCTGGCAAGTCAGACAAACCGGAACTCCTAGCATTCCTCAAGCTCTGCCAGTCGCCCTAGCTCAGTTCGAGTTTCCAAAAGGGTTAACCATGGGTGGCTTTTACGACTTGGTACTAGGCACGAAGGGTTATCATTGCATCATATGGCCTGAACTATGGAAGGATGACTACATTCTACGAACAAGACCTCCTGCGACACTCGCTGATGCATTCAGCATCCAACAGAAGTGGGCAGCAAACCGTAACGACGCCTTGACGGTGATTCAAACCCTTTATTGGCCACTTCCATCTACGGAGCACAAAACACCGCCCCCAGGATTCTCACGAGAGAGTGTCTGGGACCCTGTGGATCTCATAACCTACCATTCCAATCTCAAGAAGTTAGAGACCCTAGAGCTAACGGCAAATGTGGGCACTGGAACCATGACGTGGGAATACGCGCAACCTTTGACGGATACAAAATCGGCTATGGAGTTGTTTATCAAACTTGCACGAGCCCCCGTTGAGATTGAAGACTCGATCAATTAGGGGAATATAGATGATGGGGAGGATCGGGACCGAGATCTTACTTATACTAAGTGAAGAAAAAGGAAAAAAGGTTGGTGGACGGCGTACTGATCAGGGTGATTGTGATAACACCTTTCGACCTTGTTGACATACAGGGCGGCGGGGTGCTTTGCCTTATGCGAATTGCGATATTCCCACAGTTACCTAGCGATGTATTTAGCGATGTAAAAGCCAATGCGATTTTAATATCCATCATGCAATGACGGGAATACTGACTGCCCTCGATGTTCTAATGTCGCCATCACAATCCAGCTTGCTGCCCCTACATTATATCATCATCCAGCTGTTAGGTAGGTACAGTTCTGTGCTCCTCTCTACCTACGTACCTAGTAGGCAGATAAGGAATAATATATGCCCATACTGTATATTTCCATAATGAGTCTAGATAAGGTGTGAGTCTAAATGAGGTGTAATACCAGGAAGTCTAATATTAATAATCTAGTATCTTCCAACCCTATTCTATCTATACAATGAATATGTAAGTCGAGCTCAAGTTGAGCCCCTCTATGAACAACAATCTATCATAGCGAAACATAGAAAAACCTCATTTCGTCAACCTATATAATACAACCCACCAAATTACCGTAACCCATCATCATCATAACCCCGCAACTTAGGCAGCGGTAGAAAACAAAGGAAGATTAGGCTGGCACACCGTCCCAGGAGCAGGCAGCGTGCCCTTGAGGAAGTAGTCCTGGATATACTGATTCGTGCAGTTCGACGGCTGCGTCAAAGAAAGATGCTACATTACCACCGCCAATTAGCATCTCATTCATTCAAACCCACAATCCCCAAAAGGGGTCTCAAATAACATTAAAAAAGGGGAGGCAAGTACTCACACCATGGCCATTATGCGTCAACAACACACTCCCCTCAAACCCCTCACTCATATTCCTCGCCGACACAATCGGCGTCACCGGATCCCACGTGTTCCCAACAACGAGCATCGGAAAACTCGTCTTAACGTTGAAATCGCCCGCATACCGTTCCTTAGCATGGAACTTCCACTGCGCGCAGGGAGTGACGTAGTATCCCCAAGCCCAGTCCCAGAACCACTTGCTCGTTCGCTTGTACGCAGCGAAATCCGGCTCCAGATCCGACAGTTCATCCGTGCGTAGTCCCTTGTCGCCGCACCGGATGCCGAGGATGGCCTGGTCTTGCGCGGGGATGCCGCCGGCGAGGACGAGCGCGGCGAAGCTGTCGAGCGAGCCGTGTAGGATGTCGTTGAGCGCGTCGGCGAGTGCGGGCCAGGCCGTGGGGCGGTACAGGGTGTTGAAGATTTGCCCGACGAAGAGCGAGTACTCGACTACGACTAGCTCCTGGTACACGGGCGGGTTGTTGCGGAAGGTTTCGAACAGCTGCGCCATTTCCGCCTCGAGCATTTCGAAGGTCTTGTTTCGGCCTAGAGCGCAGTTCTGCGGCGTCGCGACGCATCCGCGCATGAATTCCTCCCAGGTGGCGTCTGTGGACGCGACCATTTCTGGCTCGCCGCTGTTGGGATGTTAGTTACCTACTCCTGCCTCGGACTTGAGGATGGGGGAGGGGAGAGGGGTGGGTGGGACGTACAAGGAGTTGTAGTACTGGTGCGAGTTCATTACGCCATCGAGCACGATCCTCTCGATGCGATCGGGGAACATGGCGGCGACGGTCGCCCCCATCGCTGTACCACCCGAGATTCCTTCACAGATTCGTTAGCTAAGCGTCACCATTTAAATTCTAAATATGACAGGAAATACTTACCCCAGTAATTCAGCTTGCCGCCTTCGTCCAGAGCGTCGACGATGGACATCATGTCCCTAGCCGCGAAAGCCATTCCGACTTTATCGCCGGTGTCTTTGAGCTGGTTGTAGCATTGGTTTGCTATGACCTGGCCCTGTGCCCAGAGCTTCCCCACCATCGTGTCTGACTCGCCGGCTAGCTTGGTACCGAGATTGTTGAAATATCCCGTGGTGTCATCCGGCCAACATGAGAACCGGAGGGTGCTGCCTGTTCCTCTATGCTGGATGTCAACTTGCTGAAACTCGATGCGGTCGATATGTTAAGTGGTGTGTATCCCTTACCTTGGATCCCAACTGACGAGATCGTGATAACCTCCAGTAGTCCTGTGTACCATGGTTATTAGTTAAAGTCTTTCTAGACTGGCACTCTAGGGACTAGGTAGACTTACGGCCCCATCAAATCTGCATAAGCGAGCATGCTATTTAAACCATCTTGACCCGGACCGCCAAAGTTGAGGATGATGCTGCCACGCTTTGGATGTTTCTGAGCCGGGTACCTGATGACGTCGAGGTTAAGAATCTGGCTAGAGTTGTCGGTATAGTCGAGGGGGACGGGCAATTTGGCGCATTGCACGGGGAGAGTCGTGTTGAGTTTGCAAGGACCCCACTGGATTCCCGTACTGTTATCGCGAGGGATGATTGCCGCTACGGTGCCTTGGGCGGCCAGCGATAAAAGCAACGGAGTGAGAGTCTTAGAAAGTACCATCGTGAACATCAATATTAGGGTACCTAGTTAAAGGATGATTGAGTTCAGATTCCAATAGAATAGATGCTTGATGCGTATTTTGAATGTCGCCATTTTGGAAATTCTACACCATATATATATCAAAATTATCCTCTTTGAAACTTGGGAATATCGTGGCGATGCTATTGAGCTAAGAAACGGCTTTGCATTACCGCCTCATCAACGGCTGCAAGAGACTTGGAGCTGAAATTGTTGAATCTGAGTCTACAGCGTTCGAATGCATGGGTTCCCATTTACGAAGGATTCTACTGGAATCTGATTCGCTTCTGGTAAGTCCTTTCTCTAATTTACGTAGCCCCTAAACCCATTAGGTATACGCCGTATCTGCGTATTTGTTGATCTTACCTAAAAAGACATTGGTCTCAGCCCTACAGCCCTCGCCTAGTTCTTCGGCGATCTTGGCATTAGATCTTAGTGTCGCTCACAATTCGAAGTCTCTGAGCAACGTGGCTCGGCAAAGAGGCTGTAGTCTAGTAGCTGAGGTTGACTTGGATGCATGAATCGTGAGTGACGGAAATCTGACAGTTTGGAGAATACGCTTCAAGAATGTAGCGGGTAAGATGACGTAGCGAAATCCGCGAACCGTCAGTGGCTTAAATTCATCGTTAGTATTTTGTTGATCTTTATATACCTAGGTATGTACCTAGGTACCTGCCTACATATATAGCACTAGATAGGTACATGGAGCTAGTATACGCCGTATGCATGAGCTGCCATACAACTGCAGGTAGGATTTAATTAAACTCAGCTACGAGACCGGTCACTTCCTTCTACCATAAGCTGTTTCGCTAGCGTGGTATACGGAGTTAGATTATCTTGTTATTGTCCTCTAGCTACTAGATCCATGTGGTAAGTCTCACTGTCAGACTGGGCAACGCATGATTGAGTGATCTATTAGATAGATTTATTCTGCACTGAAGAACAGTAAAATCAACAAATGTAGGTACCTAAGCTTTATTACCTATTTAACCATTGAATTAGATCCTCATCGTTTTCTTGCTGCCTCTGCAAACGCTAACGTAAATGCCATTCAGTTGGAGTCTTAAGCTTCTCCCCGCTCGCCTTCACGTCCAATTCCCATAAAACGTAAGTAGTGATATCGTCAAAAGAAGCAGAAAAATGCAATCGCCAAACTTTTGCGCCGGCCCAATGTACATATATGTACAATGATAATTGTAAATGGAAGCGGACCTACTACATAGGACTACACGCCTTTAGCTCAGCATGCCTGGTAAGATGCTAGTAAAAGTAGGGCACCAGAAAGGTTTTGCGACAATCTCAAGTATCTTCTTCCATACTGCTATTGTAACCACTGGGAGCCCCGCCGGCAGTGGCTGCTGAGCTCCCGGTAGTCATTTTAGAGATTTCCGAAATCTTTCCGCTACGACCTCGTTGAAATTCGCTAACGTCAAGAAGCTCTTCCATGATATTGGGTGAAATGCTACCACTGGCATCGTAGGCTTGTCCGCCGTCAGAATGCTCGTCTTCTTCGTCGTTCCCAGATAAGTCAACATCTGAGCCTGGGTCGTCCTCAACTATCGCTCGCCTACTCATGAGGCTTTCCGAAGAAGTATCGTCACCGCTTTCGTCATCATCATCGAGATCGGAATCGCCGGCGGGGAAGTAGAACGCGGGAGGTGGTAGAGGTACCGGAGATAAATGACGAATCCTGTCATTGAGATACTCTATCTGAACCGCGTGCGCTATGGTATCTGCCATCGAATGACATGGCAATGGTGAACTAGTTGTCATCGTAGCCAACTTGTTAATGATAGACTCCGTTGTAACTTTCGAGTCTACCATTTCTTGGCTGAGGTGCTCAACGTTTCTTAATCGCTTTGTCGGAATTTCGTCCTCGTCATCGTTATCTGAAACACTGTTCTCATCACAACGCGCTCGTTTAGGTCGTCGTGTTGCAACGACGACGACAAAATGATCTTCGGGGGAGATACCACCTAAGCCGCTGGCCTCGAGATTCACCAAGGATGTACGTTGGCTGAACTCTGACCAAGGAAAATCGGCATCTATGTCATCGTCGGTCTCACCCGCAGTTAGATCTGGGAGATCAGATCCATCGAGATCCATCGGTGTGTCTCGAGAACTGGGGAGGGCACTGAGCGGTCTAAAAGGTAAGGACGATCCTGACGTAGAACGACTAAATTGTGGACGACTGATGCCGAGGCTGACTGGACCCTGACTGTTACTTTGGCCACCCCGGTCGCCAGATGACGTCATATCGTACGTTGCGGGGGACACTTCCCCGTCACCAAAATCTCCCGACAGGTCTGTGCAGAAAGGTGCTCCACTGTAATAAATGATGGCACCGTCGCGACGGCGCTTGCGTTGTGACACCCCCGACACACCACTCTGTCCCCAACGAGAATGCATGCCTAAGTGACTCTCCTCGGGCGGGCCATAGGACGAACCCGTTTCGTCACCTCCCGACGGCTGTTCATCCGAAGACGAAGTTTGCTGGTGGACGAATAACGGCTTGTAGTGAAAACTCTCGGATGAATTGGAATCTTGCACGCCTAATCCGAATTTTGAAGGTTTGCGCGCGGTGACGTCATTTCCGGATGCCTGAGTCCTCTGCTTTTTCTTCTGGTCCTGATCCTTCGACCCGTCCGTGTCATCGCTTGATTGGTCCGGCTGAGAATTGCTCGTACTTTCGCAATTGTTGAATTTTGTACCTTCGTCTCCACCTCTCCAGCGGATCTTGCGCCCGTCGGGTGAAAGTTGGAATTTGGTGCTCTTCTCCGACACTGCATTGCGAATAAAAGCCGGGGTAACATTCAGGATATGCAACTGCGCTAAGTTGCACAACAGGTTGAGATATACCCAACCTTCCGCATCTGGCGATGCATCCCTTGCAGAGAACTGCTCCTGCGATTCCGGTGCGACCAGTCCCAGGTGACGTATGTAATCCATGTTCTCTGAGGGTACCTGTCTGCGATCAGGGTCCAAATCGCGTGGCCTTGTCGGACGCTGCTCCGAAGGTGGCATAGCCATGTGAGGTGACGTGTTGTTACCACGCCCTGCACCGCTCGCGTGTCCGCTACCACTCCCGCTACCGTTACCATTGTCCCTGGGTTCGGTCTGATCGCCATTCGAGTGAGAATTTGAGTGTGAGTGAGAGTTTGATGAGGAACCGTTGTCGCGCGAGCTACTTTCCTTGCGTCTCAGTTGGCGCGGTCGGATCTTGGCCTCCCGAGTAGTATCAGTAGTAGTTGATGGCACCGGAGGCACAACCTTGTCGTCGGCTCCTTCCATTTGTACGTCTTCGATAATGAGCTCAGGTACTAAAGATAATTGGACGTGTTCGGCTGGATCACCCATTTTTCCTGTAAAAAGGTGCTCAAGCCGCTTGACTACGAGCTTCTTCTTCTCCTTCTCGGTCATGATAATAGGTCGTGGCCATAGACCCTCGGGGATATCTCGCAAATAATTCTCAATCTTCTGTTCATTTCGCTGTCGCGTAGCCGTAGCTTGACCAAGTAGCGACGGGATAGCGGAACGTGGGCCGGTTGACATAGATGCGTACGCTGAATCAACAGGCTTTGAGTTTGATCCCGTCCCCGAAGATGAAGAGGCATGTTTGGAGAGTGATGAATGGTTATTCTTCGACATGCTAGAGGTCTTCTTGCGACCCGGGGAGACACCAGTACTCGAATCCTCTAAGCCGGTCGTAAAGTCCCGTAGTGCAGCCTCTAATTCCCGCTTCTTCCTGCTGGATAGGCCGTGAACCTTAACCTCGAATAACTTCTCTCTTCGCAATGAATCCGGCCCCATTTGTTTGTATTTCCTCAATTCCTCCTTCAGACGTTTGTTCTCAACAGTAAGGTCATCTATGACCGAACGGAATTCCTCGTTAGAGGAATCTACCCCAGTTCGAAAATCCGGTAACCGACTCTGGATAAACTCGTACACCGGGCTGTGTAATGACACTCCATAATGCGCTGCTTCTTCGTTGGAGTCGTCAGTTGCTTTCTGGTAGAATGGAGGATCAAGATCCATGGCCCTGGTATCCATATTGGCCATGGCATTTTTGTTCGAAGCTTCAAACCAATTCTTGGCACTGTGTCTTGTTTCGTTACTATCGCCGGACGAATTTCTTCTCGGCGTCGAGTGAGGAACGGGGGGAGATGCATTTGTAACTCTGGCTAAGCGGTGTGCTTGTAGAGTAATTGAAGTTTCGGCCGAGGTTCGTCTCGGGTTCTTGTATGTAGTGGTTGGAGGCCTAGAAGCGGCCGGAGCATTGTTGGGGTCCGACATGATGCTCTCACCGGCTTATACCTTCGTATACTGGTAATGTTTCGGGGAGTAGTATTTCAATTATTCATGTGAACGGGTAGAAGCAATTTAGCGACAACATAGTCGCTGGGGAAAATATTCTGGTTTCATAGCAAATTAGTGGCTATTGCGGCAATAAGAAAATACAGAATTAATTGAATTGGAATATTGTGAATTGGAGAAATGATGTTATTAGGCTTAGGAGTTAGAAAGAGGAGGGTGGACGGCGCATCGTGGCTTGCTGGCAGAGGCGCATGTACATATTTAGCTGTAGCGAATGGGTCGACAATATTAACTATTAGGGGAGTGGGAGAAGAATGTAGTAGAAACATGTCTGCGGGATGTCATTGAAGTGCAGGCCTGCCGTAAGCGAAACGGGGCTGGACTCATGAAAAGTTGACGATGCAACGTCATACCTACAGCAAAGTCCCTTGGTCTAGTTTAGCTCTATCTTAAGAGACTAGGCAGTTAGGGTATGGTTCGTGTTGGTCGGTTTGGGTGCTTGGGTGGATGGGTGGATGGAGATTGGGCCTCCCGGCGGATGGAGTGTATGTATTATTGACTGGTACGGAACGGGTGCAGGTGTATAGGTGTGTAGGTGGGAGAGGGTTTAATTTTCAAGAGGTAGTAGAATATGTGGTCTGGTAGTATTATCATGTATAGTAGAAGGTTCGATGCGGGTGATGCAGTCGTGCTCCGTCAGAGAAATCGGGTTAACTCGTTGAACACTTTTAGTTAGGGTTGGATCGTGGATCGTGGGAATCGTGAAATCGTGCGAATGTGAGTAAAAAGTGGAAGTGGTAAGAAAAGAAAAGCTTCAGCTTCACTAACGTTTAAGGAATAGTTGTTTTAAAAGAATAAACGCGCGTTTAGTTACGGTACGTCCTCGCAGTTCTTGCTAATACATATATGGAGAAATCTAAAATGTTTGAGAAGGGACGTATGTATTCTGCATCGAGATTTACGGAAGGTAGATGGGACCAGGGTTGGGTCTTCAACCGCCCATCATCGCCTCTCTGCTTCACTCTCTCAGATTTGGGAGTTGCGTCTCCGATCGATGGCTCCAGTACACCTTCTGAGAATCGGGAGCAACGATTAACATCGCACAAATGGTACCTTTGCCGATCTAGGGGTCCTATTCTTATTTTGGTACTTCGTATGGGCCAGACCTTCCCCTGTGAGTTGCACTTCAGGTGTGGATCTAAAGCTTAGGCTTGACCAATTACAGAGCCGTACGACCTCAGCTATCAGAGAGAGGGCGTGAATTGAATAAGACCGGCTGCGGTAAGGTAGCAAACCTTACAGTTTGGACGGACCCTGAATCTTATACCCCTGTCAACATTACCTCAGCAAGTCATACGATGGGTAACCCAAAGAAGGCAAGCCTAAGCACGTCAATTGGTTCACCCCCGGGGGCGAGAATGTCTTGATCTTAGATTTGCAGGTCATCGCGATCAATGGAAAGCTTGGACCGGATTAATAAATCCCAGCACGCTTCCGGCTCTATTTTCTTCTGACCATTTTATTCCAATCTCACGATGACGGAGCCGACTAATATCCTATCTTGTATGATGGCTTTTGATGTACGTACTACCTAACATGTAGGTATGCACAGCATTCAACCCCCATTCAACCACCAAGCCTCCATACCCACGATAAATCCCTTCTGGGATATCCTAGCGGCAAGATTTAACGACGTTGAAAGATCGTATCCCGTGCATCTCAATCTTTGAGTAAATCGACGTTATTTCCACCATTTTAACGATCCGACCTCTCTCGCCAACCCTCCACGTTGTTTCGCTTTAAGTGACGCACCTATCGTACAGATCTCCTTACGGATTTACATCAGCCGATTCGTGATAATCTCACCACACAAATGGATTCTCTATGTAACCAACGACGATGAAGTGCGGAAATCCTTACGTTTAAAATCTTGCCAACAAAAAGATCGGGTCGGTAGTTAATCCATCCATTTAATTTTAGGACTCGCGACCCTAGGTGTTTGGCAATTCAGCGAAGCACAGCAAATACTGTACGTATAACATTTCAATCCTACTACCTATTAAGAATGAGCCTTCTTGGCGATGTTTTACGTCTTTTCTTAAAACATTTAAAACAGGTACCTACGTAGTGCCTGTAAATTCTAGAAGAATTTATCGAAATAGCCTTGCTTTTATACTTCGTTTTTGCTTTTCCGTTCTCATCTATCTTGATAACAGCTTTGGTGTCGTGAAGTGTCGCATCGCATCATTGTGGACCCACAAGTGGCGATATTCAATAGGCAACTCCCACCCTCTACAAATCGTAGGAGCATACCCGACAAATGCAAATAATACAACTCTCCTTGACTCCAAGCATTGCCGCCATTCCCGTGATCGACAGGGACAAATGCCCTCCTTAGTCTTATTTTGCCACCCCAAACGGTATTGATATATTCAAAGTAATCACAACTAAGTAGGTATGTAGGACTAACTTACTTGTAATGTAGATATATACAAGCCTACTATGTACCTAAGGGTGTATGAATCCCACACATATTAACGTAATCTTTGAGATCAGAGATCGTCTGTTAGAAGAAGTTCACTCTCCTACCTGCCGCTTGGAAGGAATAGGGGAATAATATCTATCTACTTCCGCCTACCCCAATTTAACCTAGAGGAAACATATGTGTCATGATAAGGTATGATGAAGAATTATCACCATTATTAGGAAATGGTAAGAAGAAATGAGGCATTGGCAAACTAGCTGTACATATGTACATAGGTAGGCATTGTAATATGTTTATGGACTAATGCCGAAGGCCTCCTTAAGATATTAGGGATGACTAAGTGTTCAAATCTAACTACTATTATTCCACGAACCTATAATACGCCTCCCCCGATAGCTACTAGGTATATCACCAGGTATTGTTAATTTATAATAGTGGTTTGGAGGATAGAGGACCTGCCGGGCCAGGAACCTTTCACCGAGTTATTGCTAATACCCAAATATTATACGCGTGCATTCCGCTTCCCAAAGAATTCATACAAAGGTTCGGTGTTAATACATATAATTTTATATGCCTAGGTAGGTATTCATTCCATGAAAAGACCTTGGTTAGGATCTCTTACTTTCTAACACAGGTAGGTAGGTAATTTTCATAGAGAAGCTATCGCTTTAAGATATAGTAAGAATACTTTTCTTGAACGTTAAATTAACTAGAATCCTATAACATGTTCGTAGGCCAATTCTTTTCTCCCTCAATACCTACCTAGTTGAAACACTTTCCTGGTAACTAACAGCGAATATTACGATAATTCATCCTGTGATAGCGGTTCTTTGCTGGGGGCATTTGCCATATATAAGTGTATGCCCATACCTAAGTTCTAACTACTGGAAAGGAAAGCATATTTATGTCTTCATACTCTCTTCTCATTTCTTAATTTCATTCCCCACCCGGGCAGGTATCTTCAAATATTGAACACTATCGAAACTCCTTCGTCTAATATTGTGTTAAGCATTACACCTCTATCCCTATCTCGCCTGAAAAGCTCACCTTTTAGGAGTTTTCGTTCATTCCTAGGTAGGTTAGGTACTTAGATCTGCACCACCAAAGACGTTTTCCCACCTGAAACTTTCTTCAACAGAACTTACTCTTTATAATAGGTAGGTTCACAGTATTAGTCATTGAAAATTTTGTAAAACTGGGGTATAAAATTTGTTATTGGTCGTGGTGTAACTCATCGCCCGGTTAGTCCGGAATCAGCCCGGTTAGCTCAATCGGTAGAGGTTAGTTGATTTCCATCAAACCCATCCTTTAACACACGATGCTAACTGTTCATCTAGCGTGAGACTCTTAATCTCAAGGTTGCGGGTTCGACCCCCGCATCGGGCTCAATTCCCGATGCATCTCGATTAATGAGATACGTCGAACGATTTCTTTTTTCTTCATCTGGGGGATGAGGACCTAGCTACAGTAGGTGTCGATGAACATATATTTTTGGATAGGTAGGCCATAATGATGTCGCCTAATTTCTCTCAACTATCAAAGGCGAAACCTTCTACCTAATAGGCAGACTTCTATTTCGCATTTCTCAGGGGCTGCCTAGCCTTAGCACTTCCCCTGTATATCCTAACAAAATGACCTGAAAGTTAATATCAACTACTTCTTTTTCTCTTGGTATAACTATAAGTTATGGATCCTAGAAAGCTTTCATAAACTTCGTGGTTTTACGTAGCTTAAAAGAGACGTCGAACACTATGGGTAAAAAGTCTACTAGTGCTGGCTACACTAAAGTTCGCCTGGCACCCCTTCGGGGTGCTGCGCTTTAATTAGCAAAAATACCAGTAATTAGCAAAGTACCCCTATAGAAAACTTTCTATACGATTTACATATAAGAATACTTGCCAAGACTCCCATGTTAATAAAGTACTTACAATTAAGAGAGAATCTCTCGTAATGGAAAGTATTTTGCTAATACCTGATCTTTTTGCTAATTAAAGCGCAGCACCCCCTAGGGGGTGCCAGGCGAACTTTAGTGTAGCCAGCACTAGTATGAATTGAACTCATAATACTAGACTTCGGTATGTCTTGTAGGACATAGTTACTAGGTAGTTTTGATGGGATTGTAGGATAAAAACCATCATTTGATATGAAAGATCAACAGAATCTCACAGGCAATAACAATGGTGTTCACTTAATACAAGTTTAACCTAGGGCTAGGGGGAACACCTCTGCCCCAATCATAGGTACCAGTATATGGAAGTTTCATTGCAGTAACTCGTATTATATGTTATATGTTTATGTATATTGAGTTCTATCTACTAGCCTGTCATAATATGGACATTCATGTGCTTCCTTTCACCCCATCTAAGAGAAACTCTTCACTGTGCCTGAAATCTCGTCTCTAACCCCTAATTCGGACTTATCAATTACCCTTGTTCTTCGCAAACTCCTCGGCTGCCGTCTTTAACCTGGGCAACCACTCCTTCGTGTAGAGACTATCCGCAAATTCGAATATTTCATCTATCTCCGTACCGTCCTCATTGAAGGTCATAACCCAAACGTATTCGTTTTGATACAGCCCGACCTTCGTCTCAGAGTACGACTTCAAGTGGAGCGTCACTTTCCTGGTGACTACATCGATTGCCGGCTCAAAGCCGTCGACCATATACACACGAAATTTTGGCATGAGACCTTGTAGATGGCCTATTAGCTTTGCGTATTCGGCATTATTTTGTGCTGGCGTCTCGAGTGTGTCGGGTAGCAACCGCCAGCTGCACTTGGCGCTGCGAAATTTCACAACTGACTCGGGCGTAAACCCATTGAATGCCTCTAGGAAGAGGTTCGAAGTCTTGAGGAGCTGTTCTCGGGATGGAGCCATTGTGCTTCGGAGGATGTTTGATAGTAAGTTATAATCAGGTATGGATGGTGTCTCTTCCCACTTTATCGTGTTGTTGTCTGAGTTGGCATAGATTTGCAATGGCTGGTTGGTGACTTGTCTTATAACCTTGTTCCCACAAAAGCCCCCTCCTGAGTATACGTATCAGGCTCACAGGATGAAATATATACCGTTATCCCCCCTGGTTATCAATCGCTTCTAACGGTGACGGGGTGACGGGGGTGATGTAAGCGGCATTACTGACATGTCATTGCCGCATTATAATTGGTTGCATCGTACTGGTCCACGAGGAGAGGGGATGTGGCACAGGTGGGTTTAAAGGACTTAAGATAGGAAGGTGCGTAATTACAATATTTAACTCCTTTTAAACGACAATGATCGCGATGTTTGAAAAAAAGGTAGGAATTGCGAGAATGTATAGATAACTCGCTCTCAATTTTAAAGTCATGAGGCTATGGCTATCCATTCGATGTAACCATTAGGTTGATACGTACCCTAGTCACCTAGTATTCAATATTACGAGGAATAAGTCAACTTACGTTACGATGTAGCCGGAGAGAGTTCGATCATTACCTATCTAGCGGGACGTCTCTTTCGTTATGGATCAAGTCTAAAGATCTGCCCCCCTTTTTAAAGAAGATCTAGGTATCCCTAAGAAAGTCCCTTGTCCTAACCGAAAAGCTTAGTTTGGTCGTTAACGATGTGGGAGCTTTCTTCTACTATCTACCTACTCACTACCTAGTACGTAGTAGGAAGGTAGGTAAAAATCGCAGAGCTGAAGCTAGACTTCCTTCAGAAGAAAGAGTATGGAACATATTGACTTGGGTATCTTCCCTTGTTTAAGATCTAAACTCCTCCGAGTCGCCCCGGATTTAAGCGTTGATAAGCTTGGAGATATGAGACACCCATGCTCCCGTGGAATTCCGTGGTCGGCGTCGTTGGCTTTTATAAGCCAGCAATAATAGTGAATGAGAAGATAGTGACGTCGAGAATAGTAAGTTGTAAAGCAAGCGAGGCGGTAGGTAGGTACCTATTGTGCGGCTGATCAATAATCAGGATGTTACGAGGTGGAAAAGGAGTTGAATATTCTATAGCCCTGGGGGTTATCTTGTTGGGTTGAGGGGCGCATCTATAGTGGATGGTTGCTATATCACCCTATATTTTAGGGGAGGTTAGAGGAGTTTACTGCGCTCGTGTAAGCCTAAAACTCTAGCCTTAGCGGTTATCCAGTAACCTTGGAAATCTTGGTGGGGTACCCTAGTTTGGGCGGTACCCCTGGAATAATCCACCATCTCACCAAAATCATCTATAGCGTTTATGAGCTGAATCTTAACCGCATTTTATAGATAAGTGGACAACCTGGCAGCCTTCCATGAAATTTATTCAGTTGTGATTACCTAGGACCTTGGATATGTTATTCAGAAGCGCTGAACTTACATTAGTCTTTCGACGGCATTCATATGTCGCATAGGCACCTACTACCTAGTAGATACTAGAGATTGGGCACCTACTCATCTTAGGCTAGGTGCCTACCTACCTACCACAGAGGGAAAATATGGTTTCCGAGAACGGTTATTTACTGCTATAAAACTGTTCTTAAAAGGGGAATAACGGTTATTTTTGAAGAAATAATCGTTTTTGATTGGGCAACGCTTTTCTTTGGTTGACAACGCTTTTTTTGGGTTGACAACGCTTTTATCGACTTTATAATCGTTCGAACTTTTGTAATGATTATAATAGATATTCTCATAGAAGGATGAATTATTAGGTAATACTGCCAAAGTCTAAGAGCTGTATAAAACTTGGAATCTTTTTCTTCAAAGTAATCAACTCTTCCTCCCACATACAACTCCCACATACAACTCCCACACATACATGTCACAGCAGGTCAGTTCAATCTCATATCAAATCAATCTAGGTCTGACCATATAAAATACTTTTAGTAAGTCAAGTCTAATAGAAATAAAGCAAGCTAATCTAAGTAATCTACCTAGGTAGGTAGGTAGCCTTGGAAGTGAGTCTATTCAAGTCAATCAGTAAGTAAGTAGGTAGGTAGGTAGGTAGGTAGGTAGGTAGGTAGGTGGGTGGGTGGGTTGGCAATCTAGTCGCGTCAGATCAGTTTGTTTATTTATTTATTTTCTAGTCTGTAGCAACCACTTTGCATAAATATAATTATGCAAGCTCTAAATATAGTAAAAATGAAACTATCGTTATTGAAGTAAAAAAGCGTTGTTGAGGTAAAAAAGCGTTGTCAGTCAAAAAAGCGTTGTCGACTAGAAAACCATTATCAGGGCAAAAACGGTTGTCCCCCAACTGAAACGTTATTAATGGGCCAGCCGTTTTTCGGTTTAATAACCGTTCTTAGATTCCATATATTGCCACTGCGGTAGGTATGTACCTACGACGCAACAGCTTACCTAAAGATGGATGTGAATGAACAGCGCTGGTACTCGCTGTATTTTACTGCTGTCACAGTTGGTTATAGTCCTGTAAGGCCTGTAATATATAGCGCTCGCTCCGCCCCGCCCCCACTAAAGCCTGAGGCTTTGCGACGAGACGAGGCACTAGAAAAATAGGTACCGCCGACATAATATTAGGTGCCTCGTAAGTACATACATAGTAGGTCAAATACACCAACCAAATAGTAAATAAGCGTCGATCTTTCTTAACGCCAAAAGCCGTCCGTTATAATAAGAACCAGTCTTTAAATATTTCCGCTCGAAACCTGGAGCATAAGGCAATACCTACTAGGTAACTACCTACCTAGATGAAAATAAAAGGTCCCTTCAGGTAGGTTGGTACGCAAGACCGAAAAAGACCGTCTACATATAACCTCCCCAAACCACAACCTCTACACCAACACAACCTCAAACTCAAAGTCCCCAGTCACCAAAGCATACTCATCCCTCGTCCTCGGGCCGCACGACCCGCTTCCCAAACCATGATGATCCGCATCCAGCCTCAGCACCACATTCTCCGTCTTCTTCCTGCGCAGCTCATGCGGATGTTTCGCCGCCTCGACATCCAAAACGCGATAATGCGACGCGTTGAAATCGAACAATTTTCGCCCGCCAGTCTGCATGTCTTTAAACTGCGCCGTGACTGCCTCGCCCCCGACATGCGTGAACTTGACCCATCGCGTATCCGTCCTGTTGCCCCCCTCTTGCGGGAATTCGTACTCGGTCCAGAGCGAGTCTACGGTGTCGACTTGGTACACCCCCGCGCGTTGCGAGAGCTTCTTGTCCCTGTAGCTCTCGCCCGGGCCGCGGCCGTACCAAGTCACGGCTGACGATCCGCTTCCCCCGGCCCAGGAAGCGGGTAGCTCGAGCCCGAGTCCTATGCGCGGCAGGGTGCGCGGTAAATTCTCCCCACTTGGCACACCGCTAACGCGGATGGCGAGCGCGCCCGATGATGTGAATGTGTATGTGACGTCTAGGTCAATCGACCAGGAGAGCACGGGCGGCGCGAATCGCTGTTTTACCTTCACGACGAACGCGTTTCCGTCTTCTTCGATGCCCCAGGTGCAGCCACGTGTGTACGTCTTAGCGAGATGCAGGAGCCGATTTTTCCAGTCTTGGCCGTCTTGCGGGGCGTCATTGTCGGTGGGGGCACGGTACGCGGTGAATTCGGGGCTCGAGGCGAGGAACTCAGTGGAGTTCTTTGTGAGGGAGCGCAGTTTCCCGAGGATTGGGGAGAAGACCCATATTGTGTTTGTGGAGGTTATTGTGAGGAGATTTGAGGTCTCAGCGATGGCTAGTTTGTTTGTGGGCGTGGGTTGAAGTAGGGGAAGGGAAGGGGTATACAAAGGAATTTCCTCGAAGGCGATTTCGAACCTGGCGGGTAGGGACGAGGTGGCCAGTTTTTGGCGAAAGGATAGTTGTAGGATCACCTCCCCAAACGATTCCGTCGGTTTAAGAGGAAGTCTCAATTCACCCGTCTGTCCAGGTTGTATGCCAGAAGGGATTTCCATATTGCCACGAGACACGGACTTACCCTCGTCCAATATCACGTAGCTGCATTGAAGATGATCGAGAGTAACGAAATCGTAACGATTCACGACCGTTACGGTTTCCAATGTATAGGATATGAATTTGATTGGCTCCAACCCTTTCTTATACTCAATGAGCCCAGGGGTTGGAGTGTGGTCGGAATGGAGAACTCCATCCATTATGAAATTGCTATCGTTCGGGATATCACCGAAGTCGCCGCCATACGCGTAGAACTCCTCGCCGGTTTCTTTATCCTTGGTTAAAAGGCCGTGGTTTGCCCATTCCCAGACGAAACCGCCTTGAAGTTTAGGGTGCGTATAGAATGCGTCGATGTACTCCTTGATGTTGCCAGGGCCATTACCCATGGCGTGAATGAACTCACATAGTACCAAGGGCTTAGTCTTGGAATCATCCTTGGCGAAATCAACGATGGTTTCTATTGGAGGATACATCATCGAGTACATATCCATGGTCTCGGCGTATATATCAGCTTCGTAATGGATAGGTCGACTGCCGTCATACGACTTGATCCAGTTATACATAGACTTGTGATTTCGACCAAAGAAGGCCTCGTTTCCGAGGGACCAGATAATGACGGAGGGATGAAGTTGATCACGACGAACCAGCTGTTTGGCGCGATCTATATATGCCTCTTCCCAGGCTGGATTGTCCGAAGTCCATTTGGCCGCGCTACTCCGCGTCAGAAGCTGCCGTTCGCGGAAGGGGAGAGCTCTATCTGCAGGAGAGAGAGCAGCATCGCCTAAGTCTGAGTTAGAATAAACAATTCCCCCGGTTTAAAAGAATCCACAGTAAGCTCACAGATAGATTCGAAGCCATGACATTCAAGGTCGGCTTCATCCATAATCCAGAACTATTTTGGTTAGTGAGAGATGGAATATATAAGAAGCCATGGGAACGTACGCCTAATTCATCAGCGAGGTCATACAACCGACTATCGCTTGGTTGATGAGAAGTCCGGATGGCGTTAATGTTGTGTTTCTTCATGGTTAGGAGGTCCTGTCTCATGAATTCATACGGAACAGCACGTCCGAACTTAGGATGATGCTCATGCCGGTTTGCCCCTTTAAGGACAATTCGTTGACCATTGACTTTAATTAGCCCATCTTTCATCTCAACCTGTCTAAAGCCCACTCGCTGCGAAACGTAGGTGGTATTATCCAAGCAGATAACGAGGTGATATAGTCTTGGTGATTCTGCTGTCCACTTGAATGGCTCGTATAACTTGAGAGAGAACTCATTACATCGCCGACCAGAAGTTTCTGCGAAATCAGTAGCATGAAGTTCGTTTATTTCCGGATTGAAAAGATCAACTCGGACAATCCCAGAGCCGGTAGTATCTACTCGGACTTTGAGGATGGCGTCGACGTAATCATCGTCAAATTTCGTCTCCACGAAAAGATCTTCGACGCGGAAAAGGGCTGGAAATCCAAGCAAATAAACATCCCGATAACTATTATAACTGTTAGGATGATTCATGATCCAAAATTGTGATACTTACATTCCGCTCATTCTCCATTGATCCTTCAAATTAACCGGATTAGCTCTCCACTCTAATGACTTCGTAACAAAATGGGATACATCTCGAGAAATTTGGATCAGAAGAAGCTAATATTGACGATACGTACCTGATCTTCGATATAAGTACCGTCGCAATACCTGTAAACCCGAACTGCAAGGGTATTTTCGCCTGTCTTATTGACTACATCTGTGATGTCGTACTCACTGGGGTTCCGCGATCCCTGATGATACCCAACCTCTTTTCCGTTCACCCAGACATGAAAGGCGGAGTCAACACCCTCAAAACTCAGGCGAAGTTGTGTTTCTTTCAGAGTTTCGGGGACGGTGAACTTTCTGATGTATGATCCAGTCTCATTTTCTTCGAATGGGACGTTGGGAGGATCAACGGGAATAGGAAAATTGACGTTAGTGTAATGAGGACCCTTTCCGTAACCATTAAGTTGCCACATACTGGGCACGGGTATATCGTCCCATTCTGCTGTATTGAACCCCGGGTTTTCAAACCCTTCGGGGGCTTCGAACGGGTTGGTGGCAAAGTTGAACTTCCACGTCCCCGATAAGCAGTATGCGTTCGAATTCTCAATGTCGTAGTTCAAGGCATCGTTCTGAGTGTTATACACATAGAAATTGGCCCGAGGAGGAAGAGTGTTTCTATGGAGGACATTGAGATTGTTCCAGTCTGGCTGAGTCTTCGGGTAGACCTTCACTGAGGACATGATGGCGGAATAGGAACTAATAGAACTCGCTTCTTAGGTGACAAGACCTTTGAAATGTCAACGACTTTAAATAGTGAAGTATATAGCCTACTAGGTACTCAGGTAGGTTGCTGCCTATATGTAGGACAATGGGACCTGGAAGACTAATACTCGTTCAGTTAGCGACGTGGGGAAATAGGCGGGACTAGCGGGAAGAGACCCGATCTAGCGATTTTTAAGTGTGCAGTGACTGAAACATGAGTAATAAGAAGCGCGGGATAATCCATCTAGCATGAAGCAAATGGTTGATATTATAGGAAGCTAAGAAGGCCGGTAAGCGATTGGAGCTGACGAGCATCAAGAGACCCTCTGAAGGTTTGGAGGTCCAATGCGGGGAAGCTTCTGGCATGGCACGAATCATAACACCGATTGAAGCCTACAGTAACATTCGTTTAGCAGGACCATCGAGATATACATGTATAATGACCTAAAGATGAAAAACATACCTTGATAAATTTCATATCAGCAGCACATTCGGCTGAAGTTAAACCCGAGTAACTTCCTACTCGCATAGCATGCGGCTTGGGGGAAAATAGACCAGACGTAGTACTCGAAGCCGAAAGAGGCATGTAGTGAATGTTAGTTGCGATTATACATGTATTTATAGATTGAGAAGGGGGTATCTATATAGGTCCAAATGAGCGAAGGACCCTATGCTGTAACCAAGCATCTCCAGTCCATGACCTAAGCCCACCTCCCACTTCATCCGACCAAAAGTTAATAGACATCCGGGGGTAAATCCAAAGGAGTTCCTACATATAACTTAACTTTTACGTTCCGGAGTAGACTGCAGTTACAAAACGACCGCATTCCACTCGTTGCTCGACACTGATTTTCCTGCCTTTGCCGCCCTCTCCGAGCCTGACGGTTGTTCTGGGTGTAATTTGGAACCGATGATGTTCACCTTTTCGTCCCTTTGCTGCATCACCTTCTCCACCATCTAGAGGTTCAATATAGGTTGGCGTGGGAATATTATTCCGCTTCCCGGTGCCTAGTTGGTAGTGCTCATTTCCGCCCCAAAACACGACATCCGCGCCCCAATTGGTTTCGTTGTCCGTATTCGAGTTTGATATATTGACAGATGTCACATTATCCATCACAGCTGCAGCATGGGAACTTCCGGCACTTAGCCGTGCTAGGCGTATCGGGATAGAGGAATTCGTATTTTCGTCCCATTCATATAGCCCCGAGAGAGGCTTGATCTTGGTGGGGCCAAGAGAGACATGCGTCCACTTGCCCGTCCCTAAGCTGCCCCAGATACCAGAGCCGCATGCCCATGTATCAGCTGTTATTCTACCCAAGTCTTTAATAGATTCAGGATCCTCTCCTAAGCCTGCAATGCGCTTTGCATCTACCGTAAAGAACGAATTTGCCCCACCAGCAGAAATTGAGGTTACTTGCGGCTTCCGGCCGGAGCCACTGTAGATCTTGTTAAAGGGTAGTGGTACTGGTGCATCGACAAATGGGATCTGGGGTTCTACTTCAAAGCCTAGTTGACCTGAGGTATTGTCACCAAATACGAAGACGCGCCCATCGGTATCGAGTGCTAGAGAATGAGAGTCGCCTGTAGCGACTTTCGTAATCTTGAATCCCTTTAAACCCAAAATTTCCTGTGGTTCGTCATATGCGCCCTTAGGTCGTGTTGCCCAGGACAGGCCGGGAATGCCCATCTGGCCAAGAGAAGGGAAGTTGGATGTACTGGAGGCAGAGGAAAATACCCGTCCCTTTGATGTAAGAAGCAGGGCGTGATCTAAGCCACTTGAGATATCTATAATTCTTTCATCCCATCCAAGATTTTGCGGCTTGAGCTGTCGATAGTGGATTTTCTCTGGCCTAGACCAAAATGACAGCCAAGAGGATTGTTGGGATTTCGCTCCAATGGTCTGATCGGATTCCGCGACAGGTACTGAGTAAACATCTCCACCCCTTCTGAGGGCAATGATACGATCTCGTGATATTTCGATTTTGATTAGATCCTTTCCTTTTAATGTTTTGGTAGGCTTACGGTCCTTGGAGAATGCGGCGCCCCACTGAACTAGATCGCCATTTTCGGTCAGAGCGGCTCCAAAGTCGCGGTCCAGTTTGATGTCTCGCAAAAGTTGGCCGTCGAAATATGGTATCCTCCGGGGAGTTTTCACGGATTGATCTGTTGAGTCAGGTGCAGCTACTCCGCCTGAATTAGCACCCCATGCATAGACACCCGGATGCTCCCAACTTTTCTTCACTTGCAGATGTTGACTGCTGATTATATCTCGATTGTCTTCTTTAGACTCAGGAATTGGTCGGGCCTTTTCATATTCTATGGTCGCTTCACGTGGTTTCGAAGGTGATTGATCCCTAAAGGCAAATACTGCAACTGATCCTCCAGTGGCCAAGGCGATGAAGAGAGCAAAAGATTTCCAATTGAAAGATTTTTGAGCATCTCTGGATCTTCTTCTGGCCGCATAATCTGTCTTTGATGTATTAATAAATCTGGGCCATTGACGAAGGGCTGGTCTCATAGGGTTTAGGGGGCGGCATATGAGGGATGCGTGGCGTAACGAGACCTGGCGGCTGGCCATGATTCAAGCGATGCTGCAAGCCAACCAGTAATTGTGAATTATATAAGTAAAGAGAAGCTTCTGTTTACATTGGCCTTCGGATCATTGTCGACATCTCTTCTAGATGGTTGACGGATATCGAATTGAGATTAGAGCGAGAAAAATGAAAAGAGATGGAAGGAATTGAAATGGTGAGGTCATCCAATCAAAGCTCGGCTAAAATAATACAGGTGCGTGAGACTTGGAGCTTTATCTGATAAGCAAATCACCCCGCACTATACCTGATTTAGACTAGGCATTATCCATATAATGTAGGTGCCCCGGCCATTTCTAACAACAGTGAGCACTCAGCGTACTAGTGCTGGCTACACTAAAGTTCGCCTGGCACCCCCTAGGGGATGCTGCGCTTTAATTAGCAAAAATACCAGTAATTAGCAAAGTACCCCTATAGAAAACTTTCTATACGATTTACATATAAGAATACTTGCCAAGACTCCCATGTTAATAAAGTACTTATAATTAAGAGAGAATCTCTCATAATGGAAAGTATTTTGCTAATACCTGATCTTTTTGCTAATTAAAGCGCAGCACCCCCTAGGGGGTGCCAGGCGAACTTTAGTGTAGCCAGCACTAGTAATTGCCGGCTTTACCAGTCAGCTGTGCACTAATTGGATCATTTATGTACCTGTATTTTGATGCCGCCCCTGCATCCTGCCCTTTTCTAAGTTCTTTCTACTTTCTAATTTCTAAGTCAGGTAACTTCTAATCCTCATCATCTATCCATTTCAACCTCCTCTCCAATCATTATAGCCAAACTTGGTTTTCGAAAGCATTTGTCTGTCTATGCCGTAGAATGGATAAGATACCGTTGCCTTACTACCACTGATTTTAGGTATCAGTCCCGTCCAGTACATCTTCGTCGCGTCCTGGATACATGATGTCTTGAATCACGACAGCTCGGACTAGGTTAAACAGCACGGTAAGGTAGGTGAGCAACAGACAGATCGAAAGACCTGTGGCGATCCAGCGAATTCCTTCGTGCTGTATCTCATTTCCGATAGAAATGGTAGCCAAGATGAATCCTGTGTTCGGGAAAGCCATCGCCCACCAGTTAAGATGGAAGTACTGAGGCGGCGAAAGGACAACTGATACCACGGCAATGCTAAACCACCATAGTGATAGGGCCCAGAGAAATATAGCTGCGACCACTGCTATGGGCCTAATCACCTTCATATCCAGCACCATACCCATATTGATATCGAGATTATCAGGCAGTCCGTTCGCCATACCGATGACCGCCAAAGCCGTAAATGCGGGAGGACCAACGTTCATGAATAGACCTGCTCGATGTTCACGATTCGGCATACCTAATAAAGACTTATTAGCTGAGCACTCCTTAAAATGTTTCATTTTAGTAGGCTTACCTCTGGACATCAAGCGCCCCACCATATGCGCATACATCATGAACGCCACAGATAATCCCAACCCCTGACAGGTTAAGCCAACCACGATGATCGGAACTGCATTCATTTCGGGTTGAGTCTCTGCAATAACAGAGGCAATCGTACCCGAAAGCATGATGGGAAAGATAGGCAAGATCCAAGTCGGCATCATTGTATGGAGGCCAAGGTCGTGGGTTTTGAACACATAGCTATACTGAGCTATTGCAACGAACAATGACCCTGCCACATATCCCCAGAAGAGCGCCGATATGAACCATACAAGTGATGTGCTTTCTTCCGCGATTGCATATCGTTGAGTACCCGTGATAATAGTCGCAATAGCAAGAAATAGAGTTGGAACGAAGAAAGCCTCTCGAGAATGAGTGATCGACGTTACAAATGTACCTTTATGAAGTACAAATCTCATAGTCATGGCAGCAACGATACCGGCAAAGATGATAATGTTGGCGACATAGACGACAAATCCAATTTGACGGAGTCCAGGGAACTGGTGAGGTTGGGCATATATTAAAAGCGCCAAACCACCAGTACTCATCGGCAAGGTGAACCAGGCCCAGGTAAAGTGCTTTCTATATCATTCGATATCAGAAATCTACTTGTGTGATGAAAGAGGAAAAGAGAAACATTAACTCACATGCGCAGAGAGAAATTGAACTTCGGTCGGTTCGGATCGTAAATGTCGATATCATCGAGGATATTATTCACCTTCTCAACATCATGACCCGCCTTGCCATCGTGGATCGAAGCGACAGGCGAATTGACCTGCGTTCCGCTCACACTCAAGCTATGACGTTCGCCATCTACCTCATCGTATCGAGGGCGTACCTCTGCGACATCTGGCCCCGTCGACGTAGCACGAGCCTCTGGATCATTCGATGGGAAGGGAATAGCAGAACTTGGCGACGAATAAACTCTCTGTTCCATTGCTCTTGGACACAAAGAGAGAAAATAAAATAGAGTCTAACACAATGTCAAAAGGGATCGGTAAGAATCAAATACACACGAGTGAACCTGGATCAAAAATGACATTGATCTAGACCTAACTCTTTATACAAAGTCCGATGTATCACAAAGAGTGATCTATCCCTTATTTAACCCAACGACAATCTCAAAACATCTACAACTAAACAACACCCCAAGCTCAAGTCTGTTGACCGCCAAGAATTCCAGGTTCAACATAGAGTTTCCCGGATTTGAAGATCAGAAGACGATGATACCCAAAGCGCATTCGGGTGCCTTCCGCATACTCATCTATCTGAAAGCAGTAGGATATCTGCCAATACCAAGAAGAAGGGAATTTCCCAACTGCGTAAGGGACCCACGATAGCCAAGAGATTTTGTTGTCTACGCCACGTCGGTTATGACAAATAAGACACGAGATAAAAGCTAGTCCAAGGTCAGCCTGACTTCCAGAAGTCTTTATGGCAATGAAACAAAGTCTAAACGGTATCTGAGGTGGAGGTTTTGATCACTTATGGACTAGCACCGCCTGCGTGATCGGCGTGTATGCCGATGGAAATGCTACTAAGGTGAGCACGTCGTAGACATCTATATTAAAGGATAAGCGATACCCACTTGTCATTCAATATTATGTCACTTTCTTCATTCGAGTGATGTTATCCCCTCCAAATCTGGATTTAAAATGTTATATACGAGACGGAGGGCTAACTCAACGTAATGATAGATGAAAGAAATGTGTGAAGCCTTTGATTTTAAGACGCGTTAGCTACATAGCTACTAGTTATCTATGAGGTGTAGTTAAAAAAATTTAGATACATAGTGATCTTGATGAAGACCTGAATATTGTTTTAGGTAAAATCTTGCTAAATCTGAAACTTGTAGCTTAACAAATATTTTTCTACGTGTGATTCGATCTGCAATCTGAGCCTCTTGACGCGTTGCCTTCGTGAAAATCTCCATCTCGTCTCTCGTAGTCATGTGCTCATGATTAGGTTGTGGTACATGTCAGGTACTTTCGCCTTTTCGTTGGGGTACGACGTTGGCTAAGTAGAATACAGTAAAAAGGGGCTAGGCATTATTCTCGTATCATAAGTAGAATGTTCTTTTGGCGAGTTGAACTAACCAACACTTTAAGCGTTAGATACCTAGATGTCTCTACAAGTCAAACATTACGATATTCTATAAGAGATCCAAGAAACGTTCACATATAACCGTCGTTAGGTGTCTCTCGAGAAACCATCTGAAGCTAACCGTGCTATGAATCATAGATATCCTAAGAAACTATATACTATATTAGGCGTGTTGCTCATCGATCGGGCAGTGAAACTCATGATTATCTAGTCGGTAGCCTACATAGGTAGGTAAGTAGGTACCTACAGGAAATATAGTCTTGGCTAAGTGGCTATGTATTCTGCTATGATTCATCTGACGTCAAGCTCTGTTCTTACGATCTCCTCGATACCCATCAAAAGACTCGTCTTTTAGATATATTGCTATAAGCCGAATTGAATGTTGAACTATAAGAGGAGGCCCGCCACCTCAACGTCTCGAGGGTAAATGTGGTAGGTAGGAGCACGCAAGGAGCACGCAAGATATCGCAGACCCTGTAGCTGCTATATACGACGCCGAGACTCTCATCTAAAGTTATCAAGCCTTGTGGACCATATGAAATAAGCTTGTGTCTACCAATTACCGAAAAGATCAGCACCATGTCGCAACGCTTATGCAGGGACTTGGGTTAGGCCAAGGAGAGATGAGGTGGATTAGGAAGCTTAAGTCGAACCCCAACCCGACTAACCCATATCTAGTCACCAACTACCGCGTGAGGCCTTCTTGATTCCCAGTCCCATATCGTGTTGAAACGGGCGTGTTGGGGATCATTACTGTATATACAGGCACACGGTAATAATCTTCCTTATTATTTTTAGTAATTCATGTGTGGTACGGCTACTACTGCTACATTCGGCCGTAAGCCACCAGTAACTTATCAAAATATGAGATATCTATGAATAATTCGGACATATAGTAAGTCAGATTTGTCAGGGTGTGAAATATCTCCGTTGCGGCCGCACTAGTAATCTCAATGCTACCCCATAGGTGTTTGTGGGGATAGATCATATCCCGCACCAATTAGGCAAGTAGCCTTACTCCCCCCTCTCAGCTCTCCCTCACTTACTAACTAAGAATGTTTCCACGGTTCCCTAATTTTTCTTACTATGTCATCGGGCTTCGTCCAATACGATCAGAGTTCTAGAAGCCGTTTCCCCCATGCCAACAAAACAGGTGCGTTCTTGTCAGGGGCTGGTAACACTAATACCCCGCGTAACGATCTGATGGTGTATGTCCGGGGTATTGACAAATTGGCGTGAGGTTGGAGATAACGACAAGCTAGATAGAAAGCATCAAGTGTATATATAGGATGTAAAATTCAAACATTTCTTGAAGTTCATCATCGATCAACAACTCAGCAAGAATCGTGACTCGTCTTCGAATCGACAGCCATCAACATGCATTTCAGCAAGAACACTCTCATGCTTCTCGCCAGCTCGACGGGCATTGCGTCCGGAGCCGCGGTCGGCCCGTTCTTCCCACATGGCAAGCCGGCCCCTGGTACCCCTATCTTGGCGAACAAGCCGTACCCGAACACCACTTACGGCGGTATCACTGTCATCGACACGCCTATCGTCCGCTTGGCTCAGGAGTACACCCGCAACCACAGCACGGAAGCCGTCTTCAAGCACCAGATGCGCTCTTGGCTTTACGGATCCCTCATCATCAACGCCAACGAGACTTTGAAGAACAGCGTCGATATCGAGGTCCAGGCCGTAGGCGCGCTCTTGCACGATCTCGGCTGGGACACATCGCCCAACTCCCCGGTCTACACGCTCGACCACCGATTCGAAATTGACGGCGCCATCGCCGCCAGGAAGTTCATCGAAAAATACGGTGATGAGAACTGGGACGCTCGCCGCACGCAGCTCGTCTGGGACGCCATCGCCCTCCACACCACCCGCACAATCTCCTACTTCAAGGAGTTCGAGGTCGCGACTATCGGCATGGGTATCGCCGTCGACTACGACAAGGAGGGTGCCGGTATCACCACCCAGGACTTCAACAACATCGTCGCGGCTTTCCCCGACGACGACCTGAAGAAGGCTACTAACGACACCTTCATCTACTTCTGCGCGACCAAGCCGGCTCAGACTTACGGTGAGTTTCCATGATCGGAAAATGAGGTGCCGATGCTAATCATCTACACAGACAACCAGCTCCAGCCGTGGGGTGAGCGATACGTCGCGAACTACTCGACCGTCGGCAACCTGAGAATCGACAACATCTTCAAGAAGCTATAAGGTCAGTGCGTTGCTTATGGGAGATCGGGAGTCAATGGCGGGACTGAGTTTGATGTTGCTGGTGTTGAAAGTGGCGGGCGGGCGCGGTGTTGGTATGGTTGATGTTGGTAGCGGAATTGATGGTTGATCGTGAGATTTGCGGGGTGTGTAACTAAAAGAATGGAAGTTCAGAGGGGAGCGGTCAACTCAAAAGTTTCGCCGTAAACATCTGCTGAATCAGACACCTTGTGTATTAGGTAGATAAATTTGAATATTTTGAATTGGTTTATTTGTTTCTATTGAGTGCACTTGGCAAATTGCCAAGCTATGCAATATCTGTGTAGAGGTAGGTACCTACCTAGGTAGGTATGGTAACACTGTTGTTACCGAGAAGTCTCATTACGTTACCCGCTGCGATACCCATAATTATAGGCACATAGCCAGAACCTAGGGGTCGACTTCATCATGAATATCCATTCAGAATGTCATTTTCTAGGTTCCTGGTCTTAAAAAAGTGCACGAATGCTTTGACTAGAAATTAGTTAGTAGACACTCGGATCGTAGAAGTCACCTTGGCTCACAGCTAAGTTTTCCTTCACCATCCACATTGTTGATGAGTTTCTCGACTTCAACATCACTGACAGATTCACCCAGGTTCTCCATGAGTTGCCGAAATTGACTCTGCGTGATTGAGCCATTTAGGGACGGTTCAAATTGTTTCCAAGCTTTGACCCATTCTTCATCCGGAGGCGGATACGGTTGACCGGTCATCATGGTGATGAACTCTGTTATATATTAGTTCATAGAATCCAAGTAGCGCAATCCATTTTCTAGATCGCAATAGACCTTACCATCAAAGTTGATTTGCCCATCACCGTCGAGATCAACTTCCTTGATGATCTGTGCTACCTCTTCTTGTGTTGGTGGCTTGCCTGGGCTCTGAGACATAACCTTCGCGAACTCCTCGACGCTTATGTTCCCTAGACAGTAAGCTCGTTAGCTCTAGACAACAGTGCAGTCTAGTTATCCAAAAGACATTACTCACCACCCTTGTCTATGTCCTGTGAAAAATGTTAGCTTCCTATCTATTTCATTGAGAGAACTGCTACTTACATATGAGTCAAAGAGATCCTTGAAGACTTGAATCTCCTCCGGCGATAAATTTCTTGCCTAGTCGTTTGAGTCAATTGAGGTCATTTGGACTTCCCCATCTAGATACTTCACACCTACCATGTTGAGTTTCTGTTAAGATTTTCTGATAGATAGGAAAGGTTATTGCGATCCTGCAGCCAAGTCGACTTGTTAATTGAATAAAAAACGGTGAAATTATGTGAAGCCTGAAGGAAAATCTCAGGGGATATATAATTACACACTAGACAGGGGATGCTGTAGCGCTTGGATGTTGGCGATGGTACAATGCATGAAACAAACTCCTGTTCCAGACTAGGAGATCGACACAGGCATAACTTGACCCGAAAATTGCTTCGGTTATGGTCGATCCACACCTAGTCGTTACTAGGTGGGTACATTTTCCCGGTGTGTGGGAATTTTTCTCTCACCTTTCAGCGCTTTAAGCTGACATTTATTCCCTTCGAACACCATCTCGGGGGTTAATTACAAAGGTGACAATGATGTTTCTTGATTACGTCTTCCAAAATCTGACGTGGTCTGTGTGTTGGAAGTATCCTCAAATCCAGGACTTTGAACAACTATTAGTCACGTGATGAAAATTTTGTTAGAAGCAAACGTTTTAATAAAAACTTTGGAATTTAAGTACTTAATACATATCAATGGCCAGCCGCCGTGAGATACGGAGCCGAGCCGAGCCTAGTCGAGAATGCTAAAAATGGAAATTACAATAACATTAGTAGTAGAAAAGATCGCCGAGTTTTGGGGGTCATGTATATGCAGCTGCAAGCACTTATATTAATTGCGTCTTCCAAGATTATCCACCATACACTATAACACAAGTACGATACCTCCTGAGGTCCCTATACTATAACTACTTAGTCCTTATTGATTAGGAAACTTGAACCAATTCAATACCTATTCACAGACCTACATTACCTTTAGGTACCTACCTACCTACTTACGATTTGCTTCCCACGAACATATAAAGCTGAAAATAAATGAATGAGGACATGTATGGTACCAAACCAGACGTGAGGGGAAATCAAGATAATCCAATCAGGTTACCAAATGACATATCAGCATGGTAGATGCAGTTTAAATACCACCAAATAAATGCAAGACCACGGCACTATCACGCCTATCATAAACATCTTCCCTCTTTCAGATATGAGTCTTAGGGGTCAAGAAAACGAGGCTTTGCAGATTTGGAGAAGAAAGTGAAGTAGTTAAATCCCACCTTTATTAGCTTGCTCCCAAGTTTGAATATTCTAAAACTACTATGCTTCATAACGTCTGCTTACCTGTCTTATCATGACTATCTTGAGACGGCTAGTCTCGAATGTACACTCTCTAATCCTACGCACTTATCCTGAACCACTAACATGTTATAACATATGTAGTATGTATCTACGAACTAGCGATATGGAGGTTAGGTGATATTGACTGCAATATAGATAATGGGTATCTGGAAGCACAGAGAGTTGGGAAGGTTCCAGCTTTATGTGCTTCTGGTTCGAACTTCTTGACTTATTATGATTCGTGCCAACAGTGTATTAACGAGGTTGGAATAAGCTGGACAGAATATCTCCCGCCCTTGACAGAATATGTCGACTATTGTAACTCGACTAATCCGAATCAGTTAAATCAAACAGCAACTGATTTATCCTATTCTGTTATACCGACAACAATATCTTGGTACGTTGAATTTCTGCATTACCTAGTATATCCAATAAAATTCAAGTTGCATATATCTTTCATCAGTACCTCTTAGGTATTAAATAATCATCTTGGCTATCTTATTGACGCACGTGTGTTTAGTACGTGAATAATCTCATTATGAATCTAAAATATCACGATATTTTAGTTCAAATTCGCGACCTAGCGACCCAATCAAAGATTAACTCTAAATTAGCTCCAGTGACAACCGGTGATATCTTAACAACCTGGTTGTTTACCACGAGTGTCACTATATATCCACCAGTGCCTTCTACTACAGTTGTTCAAATCGCACAAACTGTAAACGGGAAACCAACCACTTACACCTTCACAACCACATATGCAAATTTGCCAATTGGTGGAGCTGAGGTCACTAATGGTAAACGTCCGACTTTTATATAAATTCCAACTCTAACAACGAGTCCCGTCTCCTCAAATTTATATACATGAACTAATCTCTTGAAAGGCACAAGTACCCCGCCTCCAACACCCAGTCCAGATCTAGCAGCACCTATAAGTCATTCAAGCCATCCAACCCGCGCTTGGATTGCTGGTCCTGTTGCTGGTGGCGTAGTTGCAGTTTCAATCGTCATGTTAGGATCTCTCTTCCTCTGGCGTCGTAATAGAAAGAGGCGTCAACCTTCAGCTGAACTTGAGGCACGCGGAATCATGGAAGAAAAATCGGAATTAGAAGCCCCAAACTATCCGCAAGAGCTCAATGCGGTCAACACGAGAGCATTACATGCAGACGCACCTCATGAACTAGAAGCGAATAGATGATTCGAGAAACCAAGCTTGCATGGAAGGCTGAAGGCTTGTTGTTCAAGATACTGGCCTTCATAGAAAGATGCCAGAACTCGGTGTGCTGATGATCGGATATTAGACATAGGGACTAGAAGATGGCAGGGGAATTAAGGGGCTTTCATACAGCGGTTAACTAGGTACTAGGTAGGTACCTTCCTACCTAGACTAAGGAACCAAACAGAATTCATAATAGACCAACACTCTTTTCCGATCAAAACTATCAAATTTACATATAGAAACATAAAAGCATCTTATATAAGTTCGCTATCACAAAGGATAAATATGACATAATTAGAGCTAACACGCGGCCCCTCAGACCGGCATTTCAACCCGATGCGATGGAACCGTACGTAGGGATCTGAGATTGAATTGAATTTAGACGATTCGAGCCATCTCTATTACTCCGTTACATTCGACACTTGGCTATCCTGGATGGATACCTACTAGGTAGGTAATTAGCCGACTCTAAATGCCCGTTCACCTAAATGGGTAAACGTGGATTGACGTTGCTTGTAGGGCATCTTGATCGGTATTGGGTCTCGGGTTCGAATATATATGAGCAAGAATCCATATATATCCGAGACCTGAATCTTACCTTTTTATGCTTATTAAAAATCTAACATTCTCTAAGGAAAAGACTTAAGCCATATCGTTTTCTGACCCAAATTCACTATGAAGGGAATTTCTAGTACCTTGGCAGCGCTGCTGTGTTCTTCCACGACATATGCGGCGTTGACACAGGTGGCCAACTGGGGAGAGAACCCGACAAGCCTTGACATGCAAGTCTACCTTCCTGCTAAGTTAGCAGAGAAGCCCGCAATCATTCTCGCTGTAAGATGCTCAACGAATCTGTGTGGTTCAAAGGTTAATGAAGAAGATAGCTACACTACTGCGGTGGCACGGGGCCTGCATACTATCAAATGGCGAAGTACGACACTTATGCCGACGCACAGGGCTTCATAGTCGTCTACCCATCTACTAAGAAGGATAGCAATTGTTGGGTGAGTCTTCCTCTTAGAACCTAGACGAATTCGTCCTCCGCGAATGCTTGCTAAAAATGATATTACAGGACGTTGCATCCCAAAAGACGCTCACGAACAATGGAGGAGGTGATAGCACGGGCCTGGTCAACATGGTTAAATACTTGATCGAGAAGTATAACGCAGACCCGGCGAAGGTGTATGCCACTGGCTCCTCATCGGGATGCATGATGACCAACGTGCTCTTGGCTGTATATCCCGACGTATTCGCCGCTGGATCGTGTTACTCGGGCGTCGCTGCGGGGTGTCTCGCAGGCTCTCCTGGATCTAGCCCGCAAAGCGCTGATCCCCTATGCGCCAGCGGCCAGAACGTCAAGACGGGTGAACAGTGGGCGGAGCAGGTGAAGGCGATGTATCCTGGGTTTACTGGGTCGTATCCTCGCATGCAGACATTCCACGGAACTGCTGACCACTTTGTGGAATACAAGAACCTAGCAGAGCAACTGAAGGAATGGTCCGCTCTTCTCGGAGCTGAGTTCACCAAGAATGTCACGAACACGCCTCAGTCGGGCTACACTCAGATGGTGTATGGGGACGGAACCAAGTTGGTGGGGTACTCTGCAGCCAACGTCGGCCACACCGTGCCCGTCCATCCTCAGCTTGACGTAGCTTGGTTTGGCCTGGGATAGGATGTTGACTTCGTGAGATGAATTACTGATATGGGAAAGTCGTATCGCAGATAGCTGAGAAGTGGACTATGAGTTGTTTCAATTGCCGTTAATGTTGAATGAAATCTGCAACCCCTTGTAGACCGCTTCGTATTGTCGGCTACGACACGTCAACTGCGTTATTAGCGTTACCATCAAGGTGAATTAATCTCAGAGGACGTTTTCTAGAATCGTCAATATGAGCGTCGTCGCTTATGTATGTTCGGGTAAATACAGCTTGCCAAAAGTAGATAATGACTTTGGTATGGAAGAAAAGGGATGGTGGAGTGGCTTGAGTGGCTTGATTACCAAGAGTGAAGTTGGAATTGAGAGGTCCCCATAATTTTCAGTCCACGCTTATGTCATCCTGATTACCTAAGACATCTTTTGCACTTATCGGCTATGTACATATGTATTCTAGTATACCTACTATGCAGAAAACACATATCGTTCGCCGAATGACGACAGCATCATTTACATCACTTCAACAAACAAACGCGTGTATCGGACTCCTGGAGAATAAAGTGCATATGCGACAGTATTTAGTCCTGGATAGGGTATATAAATGACTCTTCACTGTTGGTCTATTTTCCGAGACGTCTTGAAGTCGTAATGTCTAGTCCGACAAAGAAGCGAAAGCTAAATTCCGGGACCTCGAAATCATCCGGTTTACCTTCTAGAGGACTAGAGTACTTTTTCTCCAAACAGAAGCAGAATAAAAACTCCCAGAAGGATTCACAAGAGGTCCAGAGGACTGAGAGTCCCTCATTATCTCAAGATGAAGGTCATGGTATGACGGATGAAGAACTGGCGCGAAAGCTCCAGGCTGAGTGGAACAAAGAGACCGAAACTACCGAGCGCGCCTCCGGATCTCTAACACCGTCCACGGTTTCAAATTCCCGTACCACTCCAGGTATCACCGAAACTTCCCAGATATCCCGGGAGTCTCCGAACCTTATTCCGGAGATAACGGAAACCGAGAAGAAAGGCAAAGGCACTTTGTCGCTACAGTCCGTTTCAGCTTCCGTGGACAGTATCTCGGAAACTATACCCTTTGACGATAGTCCTCTAACCTTTGATACTGCTGAATACGTGTCAAAACTTCGAGATCACTGGGTTAAAGATGGGGGTGATGCGTCCTACGCACTTTTAACACGCTGCTTTGTGCTCGTCAATGGCACGTCCAGTCGGATAAAAATAGTGGATACCTTAGTCAACTGCCTCCGTGTTCTCATAGAAGCAGACCCTGAGAGCTTACTTCCTGCGGTAAACTAATTTGACACTTTTATGAGTTAAGTAATCATGCTAATTATTATATATAGGTCTGGCTTGCGACGAACTCAATCTCACCCCCGTATATCTCACTGGAACTCGGATTAGGCGGTTCAGCTATCTCCAAAGCACTCAAGAACGTATGCGGTTTGGACAGTCGCTCTTTGAAAGCTATCTACGATAAATACGGCGACGCGGGTGATGTCGCCTTCGAGGCAAAGAAGAAGCAGAGCTTCACACTACGGAAGCCAAGGCCGTTAACGATCAAAGGTGTTTACCAATCTCTCGTTAAGGTCGCCAATAGCCAAGGGCAAGGAAGTGCAGAAGTAAAGCAGCGAATCGTGGATCGATTACTCCAGGATGCCCGGGGTGGTGAGGAGAGTCGCTATGTTGTCCGCACGCTATGCCAACACCTTCGAATTGGCGCGGTCAAGACGACTATGTTGATAGCTCTGTCTCGCGCCTTTCTTCTCTCACGACCACCCAACGTAGATTTCCCCTTGAAATCTGTAAGCGATCTTAAGGCGTTGAAAAAGGAAGAGTTAGCTGAGGTATGGAGTAGGGCCGAGGAGATCGTGAAAGCATGTTTCGCAAGGCGTCCTAATTATAACGACCTCATACCTACTATGCTTGAGATAGGAGTATGCGATGAGCTTTCACTGAGATGTGACCTGGCGTTGCATATTCCCCTAAGGCCGATGTTGGGAAGCATTACGAGGGACTTATCTGAGATGCTCACGAAACTACAAGGGAGGGACTTTGCCTGCGAATTTAAGTACGATGGACAACGGGCACAAGTTCATTGCGACGAGAAGGGGAAAGTGTCAATTTTCTCCCGGCATTTAGAGGTAATGACCGATAAGTATCCGGACCTGGTGGCGCTCGTACCGAAGATTCGCGGTGAAGGCGTCAGCAGCTTTATCATGGAGGGCGAAGTTGTCGCGGTGGACCAGCAGACCGGGGAGTTGAGGAACTTCCAGACTCTTACAAATCGAGCACGAAAAGACGTCGAGATTGGTAGCATAACCATCGAGGTATGCTTATTCGCGTTCGACCTGATGTACTTGAATGGCCAGCCTCTACTCGATCGGCCTTTTCGTGAACGAAGATCGTTATTACGATCACTATTTATCGAAATACCGCATCGCTTTACCTGGGTCAAGAGTCTCGACGCTACATCGCAAGATTCTGAAGTCGTACTAGACTTCTTCAAGCAGGCGACAGATACTAAATGCGAGGGCATTATGGTCAAAATTTTAGACAATCTTCCGGATCTACCGGCACCAAGCCAAGTTGCAGATGATCTTAACGAAACGACCGGCGAGGTGGGAGAAAGTGAGACCCTTACACTTCCAAAGAAATCCAAAGCGAAGAAAGGCAAGGGGAAAGCCAAGGATACCTCAAATAATGGGGCCGGAGAAGAAAAGAAACCATCTTCACGACGGAAAGCGCTACTCGCCACATACGAGCCCGACAAGCGTCTTGACTCGTGGCTTAAGGTCAAAAAGGATTACAGCAGTTCATTCGATACCCTAGATCTCGTGCCCATTGCCGCATGGCATGGTCAGGGCCGAAAGGCGAAGTGGTGGTCGCCGATACTTATGGCAGTACGCAACGATGCGACTGGCTCGCTTGAGGCCGTATGCAAATGCATATCTGGCTTCACAGACACCTTCTATAAGGCGAACAAGAAATTCTACGACGATGGTTCTGGCGAGGAACCACATGGCCCAGATGTTCCGGGAAAAGAGGGGGAGGAAGTGGAAGATAATAATGCCGGAAAATATAAGAATGTCCGCGGAATGAAACCAAGCTTTATTGAATATTACGGCCCGGAGCCGGATGTTTGGTTCGAGCCTCAGGAGGTATGGGAGATGGCGTTTGCTGATATTACGTTATCCCCGATCTACACAGCCTCTATCGGATTAATCAGCCAAGAGCGTGGGCTGAGTATGCGGTTTCCACGCTTCCTGAAAAAGCGTGAAGATAAGGGAATTGAGGAAGCCAGTAGCAGCGAATTCCTGGCTGGACTGTACAGAAAACAAGAGGCCAAAGCGCCGACTACGCCCGCCAATCAAGAGGTTGAGGATGGTGAGGAGGAGGAACTATAATCGCTCATTTTATTTGAGTGGTTAATGATAGGAATTCATAGGTAGATATATGTTGGACACTTTTTCTGAGGTGTCTCTAGATACCCAATCGTCATATGGTATTAAGTGATGGATTACTCTTTCCAAGCCTTATACACGATGCGGGCTCCGTATTTCTCTCCCTTCTTGAGAAGCATCTGGCTCCTCCAGTCGTCAACATTGATTGCGTTCACAAACCGACTAGGTTCGACACAGAAGCCACTCCGCGATCCACGTGCAGGTGCGCCACCTACAGCAGGCACGTCAATCCATTTTCCGGTATAAAATTGGAACGCAGGCTCTGTGCTTAGAACCTCCAAGTGAATCTTTCTCTCCGGATGGTGAGCTGAGACAAGCTTGGTCAAAGGAAGGGCTCTTGTGTCTACGGGCACTGAGCTGGGTGATTTTGACGGATCGACGATGAAGCAGTCATCGAAATCTGGGCCTTCGGCTCCTAGGGTGAATGGGGTAGTCGTCGCAACTTTGGTGTATGCTGTTGGCCCTGACGTTGGAATTCCCCACTCGCTAAGAGGGAGATATGAGTTAGTTGAAAGCTGGACTTCGGTTCCCTCAATACTCGGGCCTCCCGAAAGGTTAAAGTACCTGTTAATGTCAGCGGCTTATATCCTAGAAGTGATCTATTTGATCTTGATTGAGCATACGAGTGGTTAGTTATGTTTACTACCGTCTCCTCGGCGCCTCCTACAAGCTCGGCGTCGTATTCTTGACCGAGGACTATTACCTCTTTCCCATTCTCGATAACTTTGCCGGTCGTATAGAACACCTTCACAACGACCTCGCCGGGGAATCCCTCATCTCCATCCTCGCTTGTCAAGCTGAACTCGACGGTCTCTCCTCCTTGGAGTCCCTCGACTCCGGGGATCTGACGTAGACCCACGGGGGTTGGGCCCTTCCAAATACGCTTACCCCAGCCAACATCTCCGCCGTGCAAGGTATTAGGTCCATTATTTGCGACGAAGCTGTAGGATTTGCCTCCGTTTATGGAATGAATCTTGGCGTCCGAGATGCGGTTTGCGACGCGACCGATGGTTGCGCCGAAGTGCGGGCTGTTATGCGAGGCATAGAGTTCTTGGGTTGGGAACCCTTGTACAATGTTGAGGCCCCCGACCTTGAAGGACTGAATGATGGCGCCTAGTGGCAAGAAGGAGATCTCATCCGCCATGGTGATATAAAGTGTCTTCACTTTTTATGGATATTCTATTCTTAAGAGATGATAGGTAGTTTCAAGTTTGAACGATTAATTAGATAGAGCTTGAGCTCAAGGTGGGAATGTAGTTAAATAAGAAAGCGAGACTGGAATGTTAAGTCTTAGCTGAAGGAGCATTGGAAGACAAATGTATTCAGGCTATATGAAAAGCTTGGAAGTTCACGAGACATGGAAGTGACGTGTGGAGTGACTATGAGTATTTGCTAACTCATAGTTGCTTAAAGCATTGGATCGCATCATGAGATGGCGGGGTAGGACGGATTGGCGGGCTGGCGGGGTAATTGGGTAGTACAAGGCGGGTTATAGATTCCGTTTTACCTCATCATTCCACCGAGCCCGCCGCGATTTCTCAACTTTACCATGTCGTTACACAGTCGAAATATTAGGTAATCAACAAATGGAGAAACGAGCCAGTCATTGAAGCAGCCACGATCCGAGTAACTGGATGTGGAGTTTTCCATTACTAGGTACATCAAGGTTTGATAGAACCTACATGGTACCTGTTGCTAAACAACCATGGAAGTGGGTTTTAACATACAATACGGTTTCAGATAGTAGAACCCTGATGTCCGACGGATGTGAATATTAGAGATGTTAATTCTTTGAGTGAAAGGTATAACATAATATTCAAAAATTAAAGTTGTGGGAAAGACGTAATGACTCAATTCCCGGATAACCCTCGTCCCGTAAACAATAGTTCGAACTGATAAGAATTAACCTTGTCATGTCGAACTCAAAGCTACTAGCTGGGTTGAAGCTGCCACTCAGTTGAAGAACATTCCGGGACCAATCGTTGTTACAGCCCTACGAGACTCCATCTCCCATTAGGCAAGAGGCGTGGAGCCATACCAAGGAACTTACACTTACATGCGTGGCTATTACCCACGTGGAGGTACCTGCCTATCTACAAACCTACACAAATGCACATCTCTTAACAAACCTACACACGGTCGCAGGTGCCATCTCATCAGCGTGAGGTAGGTAGTCGCATCGATAGGTCTCGCTAATTCTTCCAATTCAATACACATTCGTGCACGTACTAACCATTTTCTTCACTTCACTTTTAAGGCAACACGACAGCACCCATCCTCCAGCACCCAGTACCCAAGCTTGGATGCTTTAACTGAATCAATAATACAATACTTATTATTAAATACATTCCACAGATGGATACTCGACTTTAATTCTTCACAGCTCTTTTCCTGGGCTCTAATCGTCCTGTTGTTCACTCGTCTAACTATCTAATTTCGCTGTTCCACTCCTCTGACGATTAAAGCAGCGATGGCTGAATCATCACCGCTTAATCAAACTCCCAAGCGCAAGCGTGACGATGTACTCAACGAACAACGCACTATCGACGCATCACCTAACCCTTATGGTCTATCTAACACTATCTTTTCCTTTCAGCCTCCGATCCTTAAACCAGTGGATACGTCTCGTAATGAAACCTTTGAGGACGGTAACAGCAGCCCTCGAAGTAAGGTTGCTCAGCAGTTCCGAGAACTCGCCCTTGGAAGTGGGGGCGGGGTAACTCATAATGAAAAGACCGATGGAACAGTCGTTATGGGAAATAGATCGGGAACGGGAACGGGAGCTGGAACAGATGAGGCTAGCCTCCAATCTGTAGTCGATAGCCCAAGATTTTCACCAGAACTACCAATATTCGATTTTGATGGAGGAAGCAGAAGTAGCACGTCTGCCGAAGGCATGCAACTCGACGATGTTGACAACCTATCACGCAAGCGTGTCAAATTACCCGACCAGCCCAACCATTCTTATTTCCAAGACGCGGATGCGATGGGGCTAAACGGCGAGGCGAACACGACCGACCTTAGCTCTCTTCAACGACGTAGTCAATCCCCAACCTTCACGCCACAGACGGTCGTTGATCCTTCTATTATGCGATTGATGAGAAATGAAGGTTCCAGTCGCTTGCGAAAATCATACCCATCTATCAACCGACTGTCGGATTCTAAGTCGCGTAGTCGAAAGCGCGCAGGAACGCCTCCTTTAACGAAGCGAAAGACGACAGATGCATCTATCGAAGAGGAACCCGTTATTGTCGACCCAGTTCGTGCCTCTCTTACGTGGCATGAAGACGAAATTACTGTTTACGACCCCGAGGACAAAGATGATGACGGTACCGGTATCAACGGTATTGGTTTTAAGCCAACTCCTGCGATCGCCTACGCTCGAGCGCAAAAGCGAAGACAGCAACTCGCCGATTACAGGAAGCGGGAAGAGAGTGAAGCTAGGGCGAGGAGGAATCAGCGGCGCCGACAACAACTCGGCAATGCTGCGCAGTTGGAAAGGCAGCATTCCATGTCACGCGTGCGTTTCTCGGATGCGGAACCAAGTACCGTGGTCACCAATTGATCGCGATGACCAGTCACCATGTTACGATTTGAAGACGAATTCTGGTATTTGGGGCGTTATATAAGCACAACTGGTTACGACTGACGAATACGGCGTTCGATAACTCTGGCGCAAATTATTGGCACGAGAAATGGCCAACACAATGGAAATGCATCTTTTATTTTGGAATTATTTGGCTGGATTGGCTTTTTTTATTACACATGGACAGCTATCAAAATCGCATAGCCTCCAACCTCCATCTATCGCAGTCCACATTCCGTGGGAGCCCAAGCTGGCTTAGGCGCCAACATCATAGAAATGCATGGATTTCAAGTATTGGCACCCGGAGGAGATAAGATCTCACGGACCAGTAACTATTAGTATGTACAGTAGCAACAATCGCTATCGAGAATCTCATGGATTAAATAGGTTCACCATAATTTATACCAACTTTTCTTTGCGAGCTCTTGCCTCTCTTTTTCTTGTTTTAATCTCGCTGCCTCGGCCTCTTTTGCTGCTCTCTCGGATGCCTTCTGACTCATGATTTCCACCATTCGTGCTACAGAGGCGTACTCTTTTGCTCGTTGCGCCCTGCAGTATTCCCATTGGATTATCGAACTTATGAAAAATGTACCGAATGCCCAATTCGCGGCTTTGGGTATCCGTCCTGAGGACCACATGATTAGCTAACGCGCGTTGAATCGCTAAGAGCTAGAAGCTTGGGCGCTATGCTGATGTACCTCCTGTAATATAGCGACCCGCGCCCACCACCGCTCCTGCCCCAATGCCTGTCATGAGCCCCTGGCGCGCACACGGTATCTTATGTAAACTGAAGAAGTCGTCCGATTTTATAGATTGGAACGCATCCTGTACCGAAGGCTTCGAGGTAGGTTTTTCCTCGGCTGCTCCTTCTGCGCCCGCTTTAGCCCCAGAATGCCGTTCCGGGTGAGGGAATGTTTCGTACGTTTGCGCCTGCTGGGTCGTTTCGGTCGGCTCGGGAGGGGAGCCGCGCATTGTAGGCGGCTCGTTGTCGTCTTGCGCCATTGCAATGCGGGCTGGGGCTGCGGAATAGTGAGCTTGAATTTCGGGACCTATGGTTCGGTTTTTGGTGGTACGAAAATCGCTGTCCGGACCTATGACGCCGATATGCAGTGACCCACTATAGATATTCAGTAATGCAATTTTCTGGTTTGATGAGTGATGCTGGGGTTATGCGTAAACTGAATCAATTAAAGAACGCGACCCTTGTAATTTTTGGAAAGCGCGTCTCAATGCAGAGACGCGTTTCGCGTTAATAGACAGGGGTTTGTAGTCTGCCCAATACCAATTATTGTTTCTTCCCATTACAAACACAATACCATATAGACAATCTCGACTTCTACGACGGCAATCGTTGAACTGTCTTATTTGAAATCTTGCCGTGGTTACCTAATTATGCGCATTGGACTCTTCATGACAACGATCTATGGTTTCTCTCGAGTTTAATTAATATTTTCCTCAGAGGAACCCCTCGACTTCCCTCGACGGCTCTTAACCTCGACCCTCCTTAGTCACATCCAATATGCCAAACACATCTCTTCGGCGCCCACAAAAGGGGTATGCCCGCCGGGGCGGAAAACAAGCCTACCATGGAGCCAACCGGACCCGAACCTTCGCTGCCTCGACTACTCGAACTGAAGGCACATCGGCCGACGAGAGAATCGAGCGAACGCTCCTTGCGCAACAGATCGACGAATCGATGGGTTTTGCTAGACATGAATCAGGTAGAAGAAAAGAAGGTTGGCTTGTGAACGTCCAACCCACCACCGTGGCCCTCGACGACGACCGATCTCCTGGCGGCAGAGCGGCGCTAGACTGCTATTTCATCGAGAACGATGGGCAGACTTTCAAAGCTACCGTCGAGTACGAACCATATTTCGTCATCGCATGCCGAAAAGGGCGGGAAGGCGAAGTTGAAGAATGGTTGAAACGAGTACCTGGCGGCGGCGTTGTGCGCAACGTCAAACGAGTTGAGAAGGAGGATTTATCTATGCCAAACCACCTTCTCGGATATAGAAGAACATTCCTTGAGTTGCGGTTTAGAAATGTGCAGGACTTAATGACTGCGAGGAGAGAAATAATGCCTATAGCGGAGAAGAATAAGAAGTCTATGGGCACGGTCGATGTTTATGCGGAGGTTGCTGCGTGGGTCTCCCTATCCGAGCAGTATTCTTCAATGGCCATGTGCTAACCTTTCCACAGCGAACAAGCTGGCTTCGACCTTTTTGATGATTCACGAGATGACGATAGACGAAATAATGCTTCATTTTCGGACGCTAGCGACTATATCGTCGATATTAGAGAGTACGACGTACCGTACCATGTAAGAGTTATGATTGATATGGGTGAGTCTATTATAAATGTCACTCGCCTCCCTAGGCTAATCGTTATTTCAGACATCCGAGTAGGCAAATGGTATTTCGTGGAGGCAAAACATGGCATCACTACAATTACGCTTAATGAAGAACACATCGTCCAGGCGGACCCTGTGGTAATGGCCTTCGATATCGAGACGACCAAGGCCCCTCTCAAATTCCCCGACGCTGCTGTGGATCAGGTCATGATGATGTCGTATATGATCGACGGACAAGGTTTCCTCATCACTAATCGAGAAATTGTCTCTGAAGATATTTCCGACTTCGAGTACACACCGAAACCTGAATATCCTGGACCGTTTATGATTTTCAACGAGCCTAACGAGAAGGCCGTGATTGAGCGGTTCTTTTCACACATAAAGGAGGCGAGACCCACTGTCATCGCAACATACAACGGTGATTTTTTCGATTGGCCATTCGTGGAAACAAGAGCAAGTGTCAATGGTATTGACATGTATCGCGAGATCGGGTGGAAGAAAGATAATGAGGATATATACAAGTGCACATATGGTGTCCATATGGATTGCTTGGCATGGGTCAACCGTGATTCCTACTTACCACAGGGAAGTCGAGGCTTGAAAGCCGTCACCGTTGCCAAGCTTGGCTATGATCCGGACGAACTCGACCCGGAGCTCATGACGCCATACGCAAACGAACGTCCTCAAACACTAGCAGAGTACTCAGTCTCAGATGCCGTCGCTACCTATTACCTGTACATGAAATACATCCACCCTTTCATCTTCTCTTTATGTACCATTCTCCCCCTTGGAGGCGACGACGTACTGCGGAAAGGAACGGGTACACTGTGTGAGATGTTGTTGATGGTGCAGGCATACCAGCACGAGATCATACTACCGAATAAGCACATGTCGCCAAAAGAAGCATTTTGGGATGGGCATTTACTGGATGCTGAGACTTACGTTGGTGGTCACGTCGAAAGTATTGAAGCTGGAGTATTTCGAGCGGATATTCCAGTCAACTTTGCGGTCGACCCAGGGGCAGTGGATGAACTGCTCGGCGATCTGGATAATGCGCTTAAATTTGTTGTTGAGATCGAGGAAAAGAAGTCTCTAGACGATGTTACGAACTACGATGAGGTCAAGCAAGCGATTGCGTCACGGTTGTTACAGCTCAAGGAGACCCCTAACCGAAATGAGAGACCACTGATATATCATTTGGACGTCGCATCTATGTACCCGAATATCATGACGACGAATCGATTACAACCCGACTCTATGATCCAGGAGTCGGATTGCGCCGCCTGTGATTTTAACCGTCCAGGGAAGACTTGCGACAGGAGATTACCATGGGCTTGGAGAGGCGAGTACTTGCCAGCGAAGCGGGACGAATACAATATGATTCGGCATGCGCTTGAGAATGAGAAATTTCCAGGGAAACGTCCAGGCGCCCCTATGAGAACGTTCCGGGAATTACCGGAGGACGAACAGGCTGCACTCACTAGAAAACGATTACAACTATACAGCCAGAAGGTGTACCACAAGATCCGTGATCAAACCACGATTGTTCGGGAAGCAATCATCTGTCAACGAGAAAATCCATTCTACATTGACACAGTGAGGGATTTCAGAGATCGTCGGTACGATTACAAGGGGAAGGCGAAAGTCTGGAAGGGGAAGACCGAGTCTCTCAAGTCATCTGGAGCAGCGGCTAATGAAGTCGACGCCGCCAAGAAGATGATCGTTCTTTATGACTCTCTGCAGCTTGCGCACAAGGTTATTCTGAACTCCTTCTATGGGTACGTCATGCGAAAAGGATCCAGGTGGTACTCGATGGAGATGGCGGGTGTTACCTGTTTGACTGGCGCAACAATTATCCAGCTGGCAAGGTCACTCGTTGAACGTCTTGGACGGCCCCTAGAGCTGGATACTGATGGTATCTGGTGTATGTTGCCAGCAACGTTCCCCGAAAATTTCTCCTTCAAGCTCAAGAACGGCAAAAAATGTACTATCTCATACCCTTGCGTGATGTTGAATCATCTCGTCCACGATAAATTCACAAATCACCAATATCAGACATTAGTGGATCAGAAGACGTTTAAATACGAAACGCATAGCGACAACTCTATCTTCTTTGAGGTGGATGGCCCTTACAAGGCCATGGTCTTACCAACGTCAAAGGAAGAAGACAAGAATTTGAAAAAGCGATATGCCGTGTTTAATGACGACGGTAGTCTGGCTGAGCTGAAGGGATTCGAGGTCAAGCGAAGAGGTGAACTGAAGCTCATCAAAATTTTCCAACAGCAGATCTTCAAGTTTTTCTTAGAAGGAACTACTCTTACAGAATGCTACGCCGCTGTAGCAAAGGTCGCGAACAGGTGGTTGGATGTTTTACACAGCAAGGGTTCAACATTAGCCGATGAGGAACTTATCGATCTCATTTGCGAAAACCGAAGCATGTCGAAGACTCTTGAGGAATACGGAAGCCAGAAATCCACTTCGATCACGACGGCGAAGCGTTTGGCTGAATTCTTGGGCGAACAGATGGTCAAAGATAAAGGTCTTAACTGCAAGTATATCATCTGCGCCAAGCCTCGAAATGCTCCGGTCACTGAACGAGCTGTACCGGTCGCAATCTTCTCAGCCGCGACAGATATCAAGCGACGTTATCTGACAAAATGGCTCAAGGAAGAACCGTCTGATACAGACCCTAGGGCGTTGTTAGATTGGGATTATTATCTAGAACGTCTAGGCTCTGTCATCCAAAAGTTGATCACCATCCCTGCTGCGTTGCAGAAAGTTCGCAACCCAGTCCCACGAGTGCCCCATCCAGACTGGCTTCAACGCAGGATTAACATCAAAGATGATAAGATGAAGCAGAAGAAGTTGACCGATCTCTTCGCAAGTACCAAGGGACCTTTAGAGGATATAACGAATCTTACGGGTCCGAGGCTTGATGATCTCGAGGATTTTGGGTCCAAACTGCTAAAACCGAAGAGCACGACCGCAGCTATCAATGCGTCCCAACAACCGACATCAACGGCAGCGAAGCGAAAATCACCAGAACCAGAAAAGGAGAACCTTGATCCCTTTGCCGCACTTCCAAAGAAGATGCCGAACCCTTCAAAAGATTACCCAGCATTCTTGGAGTACCAGAAAAAGAAGTGGAAGATTCAAAAGCAAGCTCGGATTCGCCGACGCCACCTTTTTGGAGATCGTCGCGGTAACTTGAACGGCAATATCCAACAGACGTTCCGCCAAAGAGCAGAAGTTACGTATAGAAATACATGGCAGCTACTTCAGCTTCGCGACACAGACAATCCAGGCGTAGTAACTGCATTCGTCTTAATTGATGCCAAAATTCACCCGCTCAAGATCAAGGTTTCACGACAGGTGTTTCTCAATCTGAAGAGCAAAGATTTACCTGACATAGATGTGGAAGGTTGCGAGGTCGAGCAGGTCAATCATACCTTACCCAATGGGCACTCCTCGACGCACCTATTCAAGATCACTGTGCCTGAGGATATCTACTTTGCCGAGGCAGCAAAATTCTCGTTGCTCTTTAACCACCCGAGTGTAGAAGGAGTATATGAAAAGCAAGTTCCATTGAACATGCGAGCAATGCTCCAGCTCGGAAATCTATGCACTATTGACGAAAGTCAACCCGGTGTACTAGGGAAAGGTCTTGAGCAGGGTTTTGATCTTGATGGTCTAAAAAAGCCTACGAAGCCAAGAACCTATTTAGACTCGAACCCTCTCGCGTACCTCTACATATCACATATTACCGCCGGCGAGAGGCAGATTTTTGGTATATTCTCTTCAAGCGGCGACCAAGCCCATATAGTCATTCTGCAAAAGACCAAGGACTCTGGCCAAGATCTACCGAATGTCACCAAGATCTACAGCGACATGTTCGTAAGGAGGCGACAAGAGGCAGAGGGCACAAATTGGCAAGAATGCTTTTCGTACCAGGAAAAATTAACATTCAAGGTGACTCAAGTAACAACACGGCGCAAGGCGCACCTAGAGATCGGTGACCTCATCAAGAAGATGAAGAAGGATGAATTAAAGCCTCTGATGCTTGTCATTCAATCCTCGCAGCAGAACTTACTCGTTCACGATGTTCCCACACTAGCCGAATTTCCCATCCTGCCTCTTCGGTATGACCAAGCGGACAGCTCTCTCCCACCTCTCGGCTGGCAATCAGTTGTCGCTAAACGCCTTGTTTCGCACTACCTCAACCTTGGATCCTGGATCCTACACCTAACAGCACTAGCAAGATATGGTAACATACCATTATGTAACCTAGAACGCGACGATCCTAGATTTCTTATCGATGTCGCATATGCTCGCCGCCTACAGCTAAATAATGTCGTTTTATGGTGGTCGCCGGGTCCCAAACCAGATCATGCAGGCTATGAGCAGGATGACGTAACAGGTCCCCTCGATACCGTTGTAATGCCATCAGCGAATAACCCTGGCACGTATGCATCAGTCTGTATTGACCTCGAAGTTCGGAATCTTGCTATCAATACCATCCTCACGTCCTCTTTAATCAACGAACTTGAGGGTGCAGACTCGATTTCCTTCAACCCGGCAACAGACTCAGCACCATCAGATGGCACTGAAGTTCTCCATTCCGAAGGAGCATTTGCCAATGCGGGCGTTCTTGTACTACGTGAGATGGTCAAATCCTGGTGGGCGGAAGCATGCAAAGGCAGTCCTATGGCCGATATTCTGGTCCAACATTTGGTACGATGGGTTGAGTCACCTGACTCATTCATGTACGACCGAGCGCTTCACTACTATGTGCAAATGATGAGCCGAAAAGCTCTGCTCCAACTGATGGCGGATTTCCGCCGAGTCGGTTCGCAAGTTGTATTTGCAAATGCAAATCGACTTCTCTTACAGACGACAAAGTCCGAAGTGGGGAATGCATATGCATATAGCCAGTATATCCTAAAGAGTATCAAGAGCAAGCCACTGTTCCACTTTATTGATCTCGAAATCAAAGAGTACTGGGATTACCTAGTATGGTATGATGAATTCAACTACGGTGGCAAGGCCTGCCAAGAGGTTGTCGAGGCTGAGCAACAAAGTCTTCAGACTATCATGAACTGGCAAATGAAGACTTTCCTGCCTGTTCGTCTGCAGGATACATTCCAACATTGGGTGGTTGAGTTTATACAGCTCATGCATAAGATTAAGCGACCATTACTTGCAAACGGAGATCCTGACGCGAGTTTCCGTCTTACCCAACTACCAATGCGCGATAGTTCTCAAGATGACAGTCATAAACCACAGATTATCCTCGCTACCGATTTTGAGAAGAAACTCAAAAAGGAAATGCGTTCCCTCGTCTCGACCCAGGCTCGCGAGCTTCTCCACCCGGAGCTCGCATCGGACTGGTCATTCCCGTCCTTGCCAGGCAGCCACATTAAGAATATGCACAACCGTAACGCTGTGCTAGAGCTCGTTAAGTCTCTTATGCAAGTGCTCTCACTAGATAAGAACATCACGATGGAGGCGCGACTCCTAAGGAAAGACCTCCTTGCATTATTCGAAGTGCGGGAGTTCAGCAAGGACGGTGCGTTCCAAAATCCGAGTGAGAGCTTGAAGATCCCACAATGGAGCTGTCCTGAGTGCACACTCGCTCGTGACTGGGACTTATGCCGTGACGAGTCCCTACTCCCAGATCTGGGGGATACCGAGGCGGAAATTAGAAAGGCGGCGGCGTCCAAGGTGTGGCGATGCCAATTCTGTGACGCAGAACTTGAGAGGTTGAGGATCGAGGAGAAGCTACTGGCCGACGTACAGGCAATGGTCGTGGAATGGGCCACCCAGGATCTTAAGTGCGAACGGTGCGGTAGCGTTAGGCTCAATGACCTCATGGAACATTGTACGTGTAGTGGCCCGTGGACAGAAAGCGTCAAGAGGGACGAGGTGGTTAGGAAACTAGGCGTTTGTCAAGGTATCGCTAAGTGGTACGGGTTGAGGATGCTAGAGAGTCTAGTTGCGGAGGTGTTAGGGGGGCTGTGATATAGTTCGTGGTAAGGGATAAGGTATAAAGGAATAAAGTCAAACAAGCCTAGATAGTTACCTAGGTGTTAGGTTAATACACTTCTCAGCATTTTGAGGTCATTTTGAGGTCATCGAAGTTGTAATTTGTCCCGTGGGAATGGCCGCCAAATGTTTGCTTCTGTCAACCAAGCTTCTGGATGAAGGTTTTGCAGAGTTGTTAACCTAAGAAATTCTTGATCCGAAGGATAACTGATTTCAATGTTGTGATCAGTTCCAGCTTCTAGGGAGGCAGATATGTACTTGTAGCTCAATTCACACTCGCTTCGTTCGTTACCCACATTCACAAGCCATCCTTTCTCAACACACCAATTCAACACAACGTATTCAACTACATTCAAGAGTAGGTGTCATAGTAGGTATATACGCCGGGGAGGTTATGGTGGCTTCGAAGTCGCCGCAGCAAATGATATGGCGGTACAAAAGACCTATTACAAGATAAAGATCCTCAATGAGGAGACAACTAGAGGAGCAACATGCTAAGTGGGGCTGTTAGGGGACAAGTAAGGCGAATTTCTACCGACAGAGAGTTAAGATCTTTCAAAAGTATATGTAAGGGGTAAAGTACCTACCTAAGGTTGGAAGTAGCTCCTGATCCAACGGAGCGGTCACCTATCATCTGTCGCCAAGCATACGTTGACTTCCTCCCAACACTGCCACACCCGAGAATATTTATAAGTATGGAAGGTGGACGGAATTCCCAAACCTACCGATTTTTACTCCCCACTAGGTACGTGTATCCGTAGTTTACTCCTATAAACCGTCCTCATACCAATTGCCCGTCTCGTTTTCCAAATTATAACGACGACGTCCTACTCGATGTCTGAACCAAGAAAGGCCCAATCAGCAATACATGATGGTCTTGAGCTTTACATCCCTTCCTGCATACTTGAACCACCTCATTGTCATCATCCTCCACCACCCGACAAGCCACTTAGGATTCGGATACAAGGACCATTAGAGACTATAGAGAAGCTCTTGCCAAACGAGTCTTGGTATCCGGTTGGGCCTTTTCCGCAACCAGGCGGCATTAAACTCGCGGATTTGACGCACCGGACTCTATACGGGGAGGGATGGGATAATGCGGCGATAGCAGTACGAGATGAGTACAACGCTTGGGTCATGAAGAACAGAATCCCCCAAGAGTAGGAGCGCAATTGCTGAATTCTGCCTTTCGACAATGACGAGAACTAATTCCTATCTCTACTAGCCACATTGATTATTACGGGGTCACGCTCGACCATCTGGTTCCGAAAGATGATCCCGACCCGGAAGTACTTTGCATCAACATCATTGAAGTAGACGAAGAAAACGGAGGACTTTTCGCGGATGGAGGGAAAATGGCGAACGAATGTCTTCTGTTTCCCGTCGATCCGAAAGAATATACAGGGAAAAAAGTCCTTGCTGTACCGAGATGTTGTCAGAAGAAAAGGGGTACGACGGATCGTAAAACGATAAATGGCCTGGTTGAGGAGATGGATATCGCGCTTCAAAATCCAGAAACAATGTTTAAGGGGGTAGATTGGGTTTTCGATCGCCCTACTGCTGCATAATTTAGAGGGGTATATACCTAGGTATGAAAACCTCGCTCATAGCTATTTCCATCTCTAAAGTTTTTTCGTGTGCAGAAACAATTAGCTGAAGCCCTCCTAAATTGCAGTATTTTTTGCACCCTGTAACTTTTTGTCCATTGATGAAGCTGCCTAAACAGCCTTGAACTATAGCGCTTATCCACTAGAATTTAGTGGATAAATCGCTACCAGGTTTCAATTTCGGATTAGTAAGCACGCGAGTAGGTTTACGTAAGAGAGTAAGAAATTGGTGATTATATAATTGCGCATTGGTCAAGTCGGAACTTGGAACAAGGGATGATGACATAATCTACTTAGGGGTTAATTATATAGTACATTACTTGTTCGATTGAATCTAATTGTTCTAGTCACCTACGCTACTATTATTTCATTCATAAATAATTTAAGAAGATAAATTCGTCTCAATAACCCATTTCTTAAAAGATATACGTCCGAGGGTTGTCTGCCTCTAGGCAGGTACTTGTAGGAGATATCCACCAGCACTGCTTAGTAAGGAGCTTGGGGTAGGGGTTAGGGTTGTATTATTAGGTAATCCTTGTAAACGAAATTTGAATTTACTTTTATCAAAGTCTTTATTGCATATGTCATTTGAATGAAAATCATATGATTTCGATTTCTTCATAGAATACCTATTCATTTAGTGCTGCATACGACAACAATTCCCATCTCAAGGCTCTTGCTTAAGACCACCTGCCTGCGTTATCCTCGCGTATCAAGTGAGCTCCTTTCTCTGCAATGGCATACACCGTGGCTTGAAGATGCGCACTTATTTGAAGTGGCATTATGCTTGCATCAACAACCCTCAGTCTCTTCACACCATAAACCCGGAGTCGATCATCAACTACCCCTGAATGAATACCACCACTCCCTCCCATGCCGCATGTTCCCACTGGATGCCAGTCAGTCGAAGTGTTCTTAACAGCCCAACCCCTTAATTCCGCATCACTCTCTATCGAAGATGGTGGAACTACCCTTGATCGGACAACCTCGGATAGGGGTGCCGACTGACAAATTTTATCGGCAAATCGTATACACTGCGTCATGGCGTCGAGATCTATCTCCCCACCGGGACCAGAATAGTATCCTGGATTGATAATTGGTTTTTCAGCGATAGTCAATCGACGGCCCTCGCTTCGCTCAAGCTCGGACCGCTTCCGGATGTGGATGCTTCCCCGCGAGAATGGGTATTGCAAAATTTGTAAGATACTCGCATATTTCTTCCCAGTGTCTGGTTCTGGCTGGAAATCTGAGCTCCAGTTCGTAAGGTCGAAGATATACTCAAATTGGCCGAGACGGGTGGAAGGGTCAAAGCGGCTTTGCAAGATTTTCGTTTTCTCTTCGGGATGCCGTTCTAGTGTTCTGACTTTCGAGGCGATTTTCTCAAACCCCCCTTCAGATGTTGCTGTTGAAATTGGCAAGTAACAATAAGGGGTGCCTGGAGGCTCTAGCTTAGGCTTTTCTAGGGATGGGTCAACTTCGAAGACGGATATGGAAACTATCTAGAAATCAGCGCATAGCTCGTAGGATGGACGAAGCCTAGGCAGATAGACACCCACGAAGATGATCCTGCAGGTTTTCGCCAACATTTGGATTGGCCACTTTGACCTCTATACCCGCATCTTCGAGGATATGAGGATTTCCTACTCCCGAAAGCTCCAGTAACTGTGGTGACTGGACACTTCCTGCACTGATAACAACCTCCCTTGAGGCAGATACGGTGTAAGGATTTCCCCTGTGCATAAAATGAACACCTGTTGCAGTCCATTCTCCGTTCTCCTGGCTGATAATGACCTCTTGGACAAGAGCCTCTGCCAAGATGAGTAAGTTCTTTCGCGAGGAGTTTGGCACATAATATGCCAGCGAAGCGTAGGATCTAGTGTTATCGTCAGGATTCACCGAGTTTAGATTCGTCCAGACGCCAACGTTTGACCCTGAATGATGAGCTCTATTCTCTGGGATGCCTAGGTTTATCAGAGTATCATAACAGAGTCTATGCATCTTCGAGTACTCCTTGGCATATGACGCATGAATTGGCCCGTCAGTACCGACAGCCTGTGGATCAAAGTGCAGTTGGTAGGCTGCTTGAGCTTCTTCGCTAGGCACATGAATTCTCTCGGATTTCTTGAAGAACGGCCTAGGATGGTAGTCAATCGTTTAGTCCACGATTCCTCAGATTGCAAGAGAAAAGCTCACAACATATCATTCCAACCCCACCCCTTATTCCCCAGACCTTCCCAGGCGTCATAGTCTTCCTTATTGCCACGATTCCAAGTCATCAAGTTCAACGCGCTTGTACCTCCCAAAACCTTCCCTCGTGGCCAGGCAAGAGTTCTTCCGCCTAATCCCGGCTGGGGAACTGTTTCGAATTGCCAGTCATAATTGGTCCCTAGAGTCTTCAAAACCGGACTGGGTGCGTTGATAGTGTCTTCTTCTAGGGCAGCCGGTCCCGCTTCAAGGACGCCAACGGTTATGTTAGGGTCTTCGGATAAACGCGCTGCTATTGCGAGACCAGCCGTTCCACCGCCTATGACGATGTAATCGAATTTGCGAGCAGCGAATTCGACGGGACTGATTGAGGTTGCGGCCATGTTATGAAAGATTACGTCGTGTGATTTGGATCAGGATTAAAAGAGAGGAAGTATTAGATTATAATAATGGGAAGTATACCTACCTAGGTAGTAGATATCATATTTGGCATCCCAGTCCAGTTGATAATAACTTATCTTTTGGTCACACAGATGCCCCCCCCCCCCCTGAATCCTCTATCCGCGATTCTGACCTATTAAGTGATACCAAGATAGGGGTGGATAGGTCGCATTTACTCCGCACTTTATGCAGTCATATCATCCCGCCCGCTAGGCCTATTTCGATCTTCTACATTAGAGTTTATTCACACAAAGACTGAACTTTAGAAGTAAAAGCTATGAATATGAATTTCTGCTCATATTGCATCGCCCTCCAAGGGAGCGCCTTCAGTGAGGCAGCGGAGAAGATCACATATAATCTAACTCGAAACCCGCATCAACCTAGCTGCACAGCATTAATAAAGTCTGCCTCCCAGGGTTGTCCTTTATGTCAGCTTATTATAGATTCATTATCCAGACAATGCAGAGAATCCAGGCATGTCGATGATAACAACAAGCCGATATATCCGCAAGGGGAAGTTGCGATAGGGGGTGTGGTTGGGTCATCTGGCGAAAGATGGATTTGGATTGGCCACTCACCTAGGGCATCTGGCATGCTCAGGGCTATTGAGATTCCGCGTGGTTGGAAGGATACTTGGGGAGATCCTAAGGCAGATATTCACGATGCTTCCCTCGCTATGTTGAAGGAGTGGCCAAGGATCTGTTATCGAGATCATCCAGACTGTGCACGCCCGGACGAAAGTTTCCTGCCGACAAGACTCATAGAAGTCAGTCTCGCAGGCGATGAGAAAGTGCGCCTAATATGTACGTCAGGGGTAAATTTGCAAGATCGTCGGTATATTGCTTTAAGCCATTGTTGGGGTCTAAACATGCCTCACTGTGCCCAAACCTTTCAGGAGACGTTGGCAGATCACGAAAAAGGAATAACGCTGGCTGATCTAACGAAGACTTTTGTGGATACTATTATAATGGCTAGAAAGCTTCAAGTTCCATTCGTATGGATTGACTCGCTTTGCATTTTGCAGAATTCCAGAGAAGACTGGGAAACCGAGGCAGCTCAGATGGCAGACGTGTATTCAAACGCATACATTACACTCGCCGCTTCTGCATCTTCTGATGGAACTCAGGGCTGCCGTATTCGTAGCGATAAACAGGAGCCCTTTTGGCCTTATATCGACATCCCAGTTATCGGAAACCGCGAGAAAAAGAGTTATCGAGTATTCAGCTGGTCTGAATTAGGAACTGGGACACCGGAGAACGACGTGCTACAAACTCGGGGGTGGACATTACAAGAACGGGAGCTTTCACCCAGAATTGCTCACTTCTCGGAAGACACTGTGATATGGGAGTGTCAGACATCTAGAGCATCTCTAAATTTTCCGTGGAAAGACTCGTTCGGTGTTTCCGGGCATAGGCGCGTTTTCGATATGGATAGCTACGGTCGCAAGTTTCCGAAGGCCTCTCAGGATGCTACCGTTTTGACAGAAGAGCAAAAGCTTTTCGTCGTTGCTGATTGGATCCGTCTTGTAAAATTGTACAGTCGTCGCAGTCTTACAAAACAAGTGGATGTCCTTCCTGCTATTTCGGGTGTAGCCCGAATATTCGCGAGATTCGGTGTAGGCGAATATGGTGCTGGTTGTTTCGAGTCTCATGGAATCATCAGTCTCTTGTGGGTTGTCGACACGCCCTATACAGACAAGGAGATATCAATGGCGTCTCGGCGGCCTGCTCAATACACAGCCCCTTCGTGGTCATGGGCATCTATCATAGGTCCTGTTAGTTGGAGTTGGTATCCGCCTCATGACAAGCTAGAAAGCCTCGTTACTATCAAAACCATTTCGACGACACCTAGCGGAAAAGATAAATTCGGACAGGTGAAGGATGGGTTTTTACGAGTAAGTGGCAAACTATGCATACTCCGTACCGAGCTTACGGAACATGGTTACGGATCCACCGGGGACCCAGCCGGACTCACCCTCTTCGGGAACATCAACGGCAGTGAGCGTAAAGTTGGCTGGATAGCTTTCGATATATTAGATGAAGTATGTGAATTCGTCCATTGCATAGCGTGCGCAAGGGTAGGGTTTCCTTGGCCCCAAGTCTACGGTCTTGCGCTACTCCCTATTCACGACGAGTCATCCGTGTCAACGTATAGGAGAGTAGGCCGTGTAAGGGCAATGGAGAAGATATGGCTAGATGAATCGTCAACGGAAATATTCATTGTTTAATGAGCACTAATTTAGAGTTGTGATTCATCAAGCCACTTAGAACTCACCCATTAACCTATACAAATATAGGTGGCAATAAACACTCTAATCAAGTTTCTTTGTCAAGCCACCTCAAACTGTAATGTTCGTGAATGTTTATGCTGATAAGAATTTCTCTGTAAGTAAGATCAATTTTAGTTAGCTTATCGTCAATTGTTTATTATGATCACCGATAGTAAGAAGTAATCGAAATTTCGTCAAACCCGGGTAAAATCGATAGATCCAACAAGCAGGCAACATTCTGGATGATCACGACCTCTTTACCCGATACGATTTGAACACGGTTTTCTGTTTAAAAACATCAAAATTCACATATTTATTCGACATATGACAGATATTTTAGTATTTGCCACATGTAATTGGATTCGCCATACACTATTGTCCTTAGCATGCGCTCCACCAATATCTACGGCTTCCTGGCCTTCGTCGGGGCAGCCGCTGCATCAGCCACACAAACTGGAATCTGCTTATTGAGCCCATTGAAAAATTTGGAATACCAGACATGTGCTAGTTCAAATTCGGCGCAAAAGTGGGCTGGCCATTCTACGACATCGCAACCTTCCTGGGAAGGCCCGGAGAATTGTGTGAATGGGACATGCATCTTCTCAAATAGGGGACTAGGGGAGGGTAGTGTACTCCTCACGACGGAAAGGAACGCGCGCATTGCAGGCAACTTCCCAACGGTGGCCGGTCCTACGGTAGCTGTTCAACCTTTCCATGTGGTAGATGTTCCGGGTAAAGGGATTGGCGTTATTGCTGATAGGAAAATACGTAAAGGAGAGGTCATTCTAGTGCAGCCTCCGACACTAATGGTTCAGACTACTCCTCACGTGGAAATGGAACGAGGGACACTAGACGCACTTTACAGCCTAGCTATGAAGAAGCTCCCCAGAAAAGGACATGAGCTATTCATGGGACAGATGGGTAGAGATATCTACGATAAGATAGAGATAAACTGCTTTCAGTTGTACATCGATGGGGAAAATGAGTCCGGCAGTCACTTAGGATGCTACCCAGAGGTATCCCGGATCAATCACGACTGCAGACCAAAGTGAGTTCCGATCCTAGTATCAAATGTCGGTCGATGAATACTGCTAATCAAAACTTAATCGTGTAGTATCCACTACCGCATAACTAACATGACTCATACGACAGTTGCCGCCCGTGACATCTTGCCAGGCGAGGAGCTAACGATTAGTTACATCGACCTAATGCTCTCGCGTGAAGAACGTCGCTCCCGTTTGTGGAGATGGGGATTTGAGTGCTCCTGTTCGCACTGCAGTATGAGCGATCATGAGGCCGCGGCGTCAGATGCAAGACTCCTGAGAATTGAGGAGTTGGAGATGGCTCTTGAGAATTTCAACGAAACAGTTGTGACCGCCGAGACAGGTGCAGAATTGGTAGAGCTCTACGAGAAAGAGAGATTGGACATCTATCTTGGACAAGTGTACACGCGAGCGGCGTTAAACTTTGCTCTGTTCGGGGAGGAGGAGAAGGCGCGGAAATATGCGCTCGCTGCGGTGGAAGCGGTCGAACGAGAGTCGGGCCAGAATGCCAGCGACGCAAAGGCTATGAGAACCCTAGCGGAAAATCCGAGGGCACATTGGACTTGGGGAAGACGGAGGAAAGGGAAAAATACCAAGGGAAAGTGACGCTATTATAGTATCTAGGCCTTCTACTTCTGGTTATTGCATCATTTTGACTCTACCTGCTTACCTTCATCAGACCACAAGGAGGAGTTTCATCACTAAGGAATAATATATCGTAACTATCAACCTTGGAACGGGCTAAATATGTGCCTACTGGTGAATATTGTAAACATTGTTTCCCAATTGTTATTGAAATGAAGGTTTTCCGTTCCAGATATCGCTTTAGCGCTTTGATTACCTGGTACCTATGAGGATGGTGCAATACTTCAATATTATTAGAACAGGTACGGTTCTAAGACAGTGCGATTCAAATATTTTGTGATGTGAAGTTTGATCGTGAATCATATAAATCTTTCAAAGAAACCCTTCGAAACTACGTACCTCAATATTTCCATTCCAGGTTCAGAATAAATGCTGGGCAATTAATTGGTATAAAGACCTTTATGTACAAGGAGTGTCGACGTGCTGAAGCTCCCCTAAATGTACCTATCGTCTAGTGTTACCACTAGCTAAGCTGTTGCTTACTCGTATTGATTTTAGTGATCGATATCAATTGTACATGTCGAAGAAGCATGCTATTTAGGTAAATAAAAACCGGGCACCGACCAGCTTCTAAAACGTATGTGCATACATTAATTATGTCGTTCTTTCTGTCGTGATCTTTCAGATACTGCCATGAATTATTCCGTCCTCTAAATTATACCATAAAGTTGTATTCTTTCGATATGACTGCGAATACTGTTCATCAGTACCTCCCTACCTACCTACCTAGTACCTAGGTACCCACCTAATGTGTATATAAATATGCTGAAACTCAGATCTTGAACAATTGGATGGGTCTAGTAGATCTTCATAGAGATCTTACCCGCTTCCCCCGCGGATGGGAACATCGGGATATGGAGTTATGTGGAGAGAACAAAGTCTACCTAGGGTGAGGTGGACGGGTGGACGGCTTTAAGGGGATGATTATCCCCCAATGTAATCAAGCAGTGATAATAGCAGGAATGGATGTCCGATACGTACCTATAGAAATAGGCCCTTATAGGTAGATACAAATTTAAGTTTAAACTAATTGACTACGAGACACATGTTTTCATCATGATATATGCTGTTTGCCAGGATAGTGCTTGCACATCCGCAACGGCCGCACCCCAAACTCTGATTTTTGGGTATTCACAATTCCTCAACTCCGACAAACCACCGGAAACCCTTACGCAAAGTTCGAAATTAGGTAGATACTAGTATAGGTAAACTACGGCAAACTGGAAAGAACCTACTAGGTAGTAACAGCACGACTTCCCCAAGAATAAACGTAGACAAACACCTAGTACATATAGTGTTCTCCTAACTATTAACACCTTTAATCAATCTTGCCTTCCTAGATTTCGATCTATGTACCTCAAACCAAATATTCATACCAAATCCTGCTGCCTCGAAGGCTTTTATCATCATGGGCGGGGTCTTTCAACCACCGTGGTTTGTCGCCGTGAGGCCTAACAAGGTTGAGATGAATCTCAGCTCTATTGTTGCTGGCATCTCTATCTGCACAGGCATTTTCTCTTTCGCAAAAGGCGTCCTCCAAACAAGATCGATATGTGCGAAGAAGAATAGGCCCAATGCTTACGTCGTGATGGTGTGGATTGAATGGTCGGTCTGTATCACTATGGGCATCATATGTTGGCTATACCTCTGGGGAACGATACCACCTTCGTACGTGCGATTCCCTTTCCAATTCCCTTTCTAACCTGGGGCAATTGAATTGATATATCTAACTCGGGAACTCTCATAGGTTCCAGTTCTTCTTCCTCCTTGTCACATTATGGGTCTTTCAAACCCAGTGCTTGATACAGATTATAATTAATCGAATCGCCCTCTTGGTGCCCGATCAAACTCAAATCATAAGGATGAAATGGGGCATAGGAATTGTCTTCGGCCTGATCAATCTCTCCGTATACCTTATTTGGATCCCCGCACGACTACAGATAAACGAAACTTACATTAAAATAAACGATATCTGGGATCGGATCGAAAAAGGAATCTTCTGTATGATCGATGTTGCCCTCAATGTCTATTTCATCTACCTCGTTCGGTCTGGTCTCATTAGCAATGGACTCACCAAATACATGCCGCTTTTCATTTTCAACATTATTATGCTTACCTTTTCCCTATCTTTAGATGTAAGTCTTGCCTCGCCTAATAACGGCATCAATTTCGTTAACAGCCACAGATCATCTTGATTGGAGTCATGTCGCTTGGGCAGATATACTTCCAATTCCATCCATTTGTGTACCTGCTCAAGCTCTATATCGAGATGAATATTACAGATCTTATCGCGAAGATCGTCCGTGAAGATAATCGCGTGTCCTATGCTTCGAAGACATTTGCGACAAAGGCGGGTGCTGCCGCTGCGGCGAAATTTAATGGCACCGGGACACTAGTTTGCTCGAGTGAAACCAGATTGGCTACGCCGACAAATAACACGAGATACAGCCAGGAGCTACAAGAGATCAATAGTCAAGATGACAACCCATTCAAGGCCAATCCGAATTGTGGTATTCGGAAGACTGTGGTAACGGAAGTTCAGCACGTCGAGGACCTCGAAAGACAAGCAAGTCGCATAAATAATTGGGACTCTGACTCACCTCGACCTCCACCACCATGCCTAAGAAGACATTCATCTATACCTTAATTATTCCGGAATTCGCTACAGATGTTAATCGATACCTACCTACCTACTCATCCATCTATTCAAGAAGGTCTTGGGGTTTGTGAATACAAGAAAGAGATTCGGAAGAAGTTCATTACAATCAAAACGATTGATGAAATTTGTGCCCCTCTAGACCTATCATCGGGCAGGGGTAGGTTATTATACCTACGATGATGGCTGAAGAAGATGAATGTGAGTGACGAACCCCCTAAAGTTGGGGCTATTTCGGATGGCAGTTCAGGTCGCATGCCGCTGTACTCGAACCATCTAACGCCGCAAAACTTGCAGGGGTCATATATAGGGGTCACCTAGTGCTTTTTAGCAAATAAATGGTCGCGTAGGCCACGATAGGTACCTGCTCAAATACCATAATATTGAAGAATATAGGTATGGACGATTATCTAGCATCGAAGACTGAATTCCTATCCCCAACATTAAATGTAATTCTCGTCTAAAAATGTTGGGTTAAATAGAATTTGTTGCCAGCTCCACTTACCTCGGCTCTTTCTCCGAATCAATTCTGACGCTCCGGGGTGCGCCATCAGCGCCGTCCAGCTCTGCCAGTTCGATCGCGTTCATTGGGCGATACTTAACGCCCTAGCGCGTCAACCCTGCTAGGTATCATCAATCACCCTTGATTCAACTCTTTCTTTTTTTCTTCGCTATTCTTTTATGAATACTACGAAATCTACGGCAACTCAAATACCTTTCTTTTATCCCAATTGCTTCGGTATGCATTGTGTTTTCATACAATAGTCATGGCCATGAAAGCTTCCCCCGTGTCGGGGTTCACTCCAATCTCCGATCGGATCTTCCTCCGCAATGAAGATTCCGATTCGTCCGAGACCCCTGAAAAGTCGAACACTGAGCAACCAACCACGATCATCGTTTTTGGTTGGGGCGACGGTACTCCCAAGAACGTCGCCAAATACGCAGATGGCTATCATAAACTGTTTCCTCAGGCCCGGATCTTGATGGTCATCTCATCGACCTGGGAAGCCATATTTCAATCACTGGAGCAACGGATAAGATCGATGCTACCACTCGTAGACGTTGTATTCCCAAGTCCGGAAGATTATTCGGACAAGAGGATCATTCTGCACGCGATGTCAAATACGGGGGGTATATACGCGGCTGCGGCATTGCACGCGTTCCAGCACCGTCATGGAGAAGATAAGGTTCTTCCGCACCACTTGTGCGTATCGGACTCCACGCCAGGCAGTATCGTGTTCTCTACGGAGGTTGGGCGCTGGTCTCGAGCAGTAGCGCTTGGCACAGCCAGATGGTTCCCCTGGCCGTTTGCGGTCACACAGAAGCTGTGGTGGGCAGTCTTGTATGCCGTTCACCTGCTTGAGAGGGCTGTCGGGAGAGAGGCTTCCGGAGTCGCTAGCTGTAGGGCCTTCCTGGACCACGCTATGGCGACGCCTAGGGCTCACAGGTTATATATGTATTCCAAGACCGACGACCTTATCTGGTGGGAAGATGTCGAGGCCCAGGCCGCGGCCGCGAAGAACAAAGGCTACACGACGATCATGGAGATGTTTGATAATTCACCACATGTGGGCCATATGAGGATGCATCCTGATCAGTATTGGGGTGCGATTGAGAGTAATTGGAAGGCTTCTGTGGCGTCGGAGGGGAGCTCGAGGATGTAGATTGGGATTTTCATGTTCGGGGAGTTAAATATGTGGGAAAGATATATCGCCGTGGGGTAGATATGATTTGATGAAAGAAGAAAGAATAATGATAATAATAAATTGCAGACTCAAAAGGCATGAGTATGACCATTATGTATGATGTGGATGGGGGTAAAACATGGGGACCACGTGACGCGATTTTATTTACAGGGAGTTACGCGCTATAGCTTACCGCGCTGAAGGCCCTATAATTATAACGCACGCCCCTAAAAAGTGCACTAGGCTAAGTGTCTAGGTACCTCCAGGGCTGCCTTTTGGGGTTACTCTGCCCAAAATGAATCAGCGAATCGCCAGTTTTACGTGATAACCCTTCAAATAAAGGTATTTTCATAACAGAACTTTCTCAATTATGAACTCATATATTATGATTATACCCGATAGATCTTAGATTTGTCAGTTGGATGAAAATTAGGTAGGTAGGTATTAATTCATGCGATAATAGTAATCATTAGTGCCCAGGTAGGAGATGTCATCAAACAAAAAACGTTTAAGACTAATACAAAAAGACTTAAGCTATATTGTGAATATAGGTAGCGTACTAGATACCTCAGGTACTGGTATTTACCTACTCTTAACCCCATTCAACATTCAACGGAAACGAATCGAAGTCTAATCATATTTCCCATCTAAAAACCAAATCCCATGTGGAGATCCCTACGTCGCGAGACTATTGGCGTAGCTGTCGTGATGAGGCTAGTAGCATTGTCGAGGATTGATACCAAGTTCGATATGACCTCTAGAGTTATAGATTGGGTTTGCTTGCTCCATCCTAATTCCGTGGGGAAGCGTTCATTTCCTAAAGTTCACAGTTAGAAAACATCGGAAATTTTGTGATGGGGCTAACGTACTAAGCCAATATTCCACCAGAGTCCTGTTCACCTTCGCAGCCTGCAAATCACCGAAGGCGACAAATGGAGCAATGACTTCTCCGAGACTGAAATCGTTCATTGTTGCGGTGAATGTGTAGTTGGGGTTGAATGCCTTGGAAGTCACCTGGCGGGCTATTTTGCTGTTGGCTAACATGTTGGCATCGAGGACCGGGCCGGTCCAGTATTTTTGTGTCTCTTCGAAAATAGTCTCGTTGAAGATGTGATTATTTCCGAAGTAGGCATCAGTACGGCTATGAGAAGTTGTTAGTGATATGGCGTGTTACTTTCCCAGAGTTACGGATTTCTGTTGTTGGGAGTGAGATAGGATCTTATAGAAATAATAACTTACGTCAGACTCGCGTCGTGCTCCAACACGTTGTGTACATTTAGCTGGTCACTATGATTATATTAGATCCTGTAATTCCATACGTTGCTTAACAGTCATCTAGGCTCACTCACAGAGTGAAGAATGTGGCGTTGGGCTCTGGGTTTGCAATCGTTGCCATTTGAAACATGACCGTAGCAAGAGAGGTATTGAAGTTGAGGGCTGAGGACAGGGCGTTAATGGTCGTTTCTTGGGTGATATTTCTACCATCATGAGGTAGGAAGCCGTGGTTCGCTAGAGTATTTAACATGGGACAAGGGCCACGAACTACATCGAATTAGCACTTGCGTATGAAATATCTCTATGCTCTACCGTACAGTCATTCTTCCCAGGGGCTATCCACGGATGGCCACTTGGAGCGGCGTTGTACGCCGAAGCAGGGTAAGTTGCTTTTGCAACACCGAAAACGACAGTAAGGGCGGCGAGCTTCATGTTGTGGTAGGTGAAGATGGATATCTCCCTGTAAATGGTATTTAAGTGAAGGTAGACAGGGTAAAGATGATCGACGAGTGGCTTTAAGGTATACTAGGAGTAACGAGGAGGACTTGCACGTAGGTATTTAAGTAAATCTCGACATGTATAAAAACGCTTCCTCTACCCAAGCCTCTATGATTACGCAAACCTGTTCCAAGGAAAGCAATGCTTAGAGAACGACATGATCCTTCTCATCCCGCCCAGAGACAGTTTACAAGCATTGCTATACTACATAGTCACATAAAATGCAGTGATCATCATAACAATTTCACATGTTGCTTGTTGATAGCGAGCTACGAGGCGGGCCATTAGCAAAGGCATCCAATAACAAGGTGGATGTTGCTAATATGTTTCAATGTACGAATGAAATGCGAGGTGCGAAGTGTACGAAGTGCGAGGCTACGAGTACGTCCGATATTTATACGAGCCCATTCTAGCTAGCCCTCCCGGGTCAGGGTATCGGTATGTTCCGATCGCGACTTTCGTTGTCCTTTTCTTAGACGTACATAACGCAATGCCACTTTCAATGCCGGATGTTTGTTGCCGTTCACGAATAGGATGTCCAGGAATTCGGTCGTGGTGCTTCGTATGTGAGCTTTCATCATTCGGCCCTGATGGTTTAGGCAGACGGCCAAACACACCAATCATTTGTATATGATTAGATACTTCTCAATGCGAGTGGTCTCGCGCTAAATAAGATCAGCCTTGTTGATGGATCGTTGAGGCTATGTTTGGAAGAACCTAGAACTCGATGCTTGAGTTAAAATCAACCCATGATTAACCCCTTAACTGTAGACTTTCTTATTCAGGCGTTACTTGTGATGACTTGTTTCAATGCACCATGGTCTTATGAGGAATTTTCTATCTGATATTTCTCATGTGTACTTTCTTGAAGTGCTAATATCTTGGTTGATTGTCGATCTGAAGGAATAGATCTTTTGTACAAAAGTCTAAGTCCAGAGATCAAAGCAGTGTAGCTTGAAATATCCCCACACCGTGCAGTCCCTTCGTACTAAGCTCCCCAAGCTATAGCGGTCATCCACTGAAGCGTAGTGGTGGATCGCTATTACACCTAAGTCTTAGCCTACCTCTTAGTAGACTTAACACAGTATTCGTCGATTGTACTATTGAATCGTGCACTGGGTAAGAAATAGACCCTCGCTAACTTACCTACCTATATACCTACTCTTTGACCATATAATATTCTAATGATTGGACGAACTTCATTCATGTCCTGAAGGCACTAGTCAGCCATAATCTGCAGCTTGAGACCTGAGGATTGATCCTTATGATGGTATCGTACATATGTAGTATTTTTGAGCAATTGCCCTTAATTTGTAGGTACTAGAGGTACCTAAGTGGAGGGTCCAAGCGCCCTAAATGATCCCCTCCCATGACGTCTAGGCCAACATTTCCAGGGCTTCTCCGCAAGGGTTCTGTAGCGGGGTTGATCGGGATGGAGATATCCATGGATGTCGATTATTTGATTTCATTTCTTCAACTTCGACTTTATTGGGAATTCAATAGTCATTGACAATGTCACAACTATTCATGAACCATGTCTCCAAGGCGCGGATGTTTTCTCTTCATCGACGGGTAACAAGATTGGCACCTCGAATTCCATCATTAGCATTGGACTTCCATCATGCCTTTTCAACTACCCCTCGCCGAAATATTATGGAAATGACGGGTTTCATGGAGAATCAAATGATGGTTAGAGAGGCAATTAGTTCAGTATGCTCCCAATTTCCAAATACATACTGGCAAGAGCATGATCAAAAGGAAGAGGACCCGGCAGATTTCCACGCCGCCATAGCTAGGGGTGGTTGGCTCGGTATCGCGTTACCAGAAGAGTTAGGCGGGTCCGGCCTTGGTATTTCGGAAGCGGTGATGATGATGCAGACAATTACCGAGTCAGGGGCCGGGATGGCGGGCGCGCAGGCTATCCATGCGAATGTCTATGCGACACAGCCCCTAGCTAAGTTCGGCGCGAAGGAGCAGCTTGAAAGTACAATACCTAACATCATCTCGGGAAGGTGGAGGACTTGTTTCGGAGTGACAGAACCGAATACGGGCCTAGATACGTTGAGATTACGAACATTGGCCGAGAAACAGGCGGACGGTTCGTACAGCGTAACCGGCCAGAAAATCTGGATTACTTGCGCGCAGGTGGCCAAGAAAATGATTCTTTTAGCGCGCACTACACCCCTAGAAGAAGTAAAGAAGCCTAGCGAAGGGCTGTCCCTCTTCTGTATCGACCTAGATAAAGATGTACCCGGGTTAGATATTCGGAAAATCAAGAAAATGGGCGGGTGTGCAGTAGATGCGAATGAAGTATTCTTCGACAATTACAGAATTCCAGCGGATACACTAATCGGGTCAGAAAACCAGGGCTTCAAGATAATACTGCACGGGATGAACGCTGAGCGCTGTTTGCTTGCGGGGGAGGCGCTTGGCTTAGGTTACGCTGCGCTGAAGAGAGCGGCGGAGTATGCGCGCGAACGCGTTGTCTTCCAGCGGCCTATTGGCGCAAACCAGGGCATCGCACATCCGCTAGCGGACGCGTACATGCATCTTGAGGCCGCGAAGTTGGCTACATATCACGCTGCGCGACTTTACGACAGTAGTAAAACAGATGAATCGATCAAGCAAGACGTGATAGGAGTAGCTGCTAATACGGCGAAGTATTTGGCTGCTGAAGCAGCATTTACTACTTGCGAAAGGGCGGTTATGACGCATGGCGGGATGGGGTACGCGGTAGAGTATGATGTTGAAAGATGGCTTAGAGAGTCGCTAGTGCCTCGCATTGCTCCGGTGAGTCGAGAGATGATCATGAATTATATTGGTGAGAAAGTATTACGTCTCCCGAGGAGTTACTAGGCGTTTATGATGGCATATGTGCCTCTTCAGGGCCATGAAATAGTAGTAGAAGCCATCAGTGTCGAAAAGGGGAGATGCACTTTCCATGTTATCTAGTTCTAGGCTAATGTTTTAGGGGCGATTGAGGGGTACATACTAGGTACATATGGATGCGATGGATATCAATCGATCGGGGCTTAATCACGTGCTATTTCACGCAGTAAATCCCGATACCACCTTAGGACAAAATGGTATGACATCATCTATTTTATGCCCAACCATTACACGTATGAAAACTCCAACATCTCACCGTACACTAGGTGGGAGGCTATCAATCATACCATCAATCTTCTAGATTTTTATTTCAATGTACCTATCTTGTTTTCGATAAAATCACAGCATTTTAGTTTAAATAAGCGTCAAGATTGTTTTGATTGTTACTGGAATTTGTACAGATCACTTAAAGCCTCACAGCGATAGCGGGTCGTTTCATCGTCATTTCAGAGCACAATCTACACCACACACCGCACATTCGCCATGGCGACTGAGAAACAAGACTATCAGTCGTATGAGGAGATTCATATCATAACCCATCGGCGGCCCAAAACGCATCGACGATATTGTCTCGCTCTAATTCTCGGCCTAGTCTCAGGAGCGGCGCTGTTACTGCGTTTCTGTGGATCCAAACCTACAACCCTACTTGGTTCGATATGGCCGACAACAGTAAGGCACGGTGAATTCAACTTATATAAGCACCTGGGACACCGATCACCCTACTTTGTTCCTTCAAACACCCCAGAAACATTGCTATCAGGCACACCTCCTGGCTGCACCGTATCCAAGGCATTCCTTGTTCACAGACATGGAAGTCGGCACCCTCACGCTGGAGAGCTGACCATTATCCAAAACTTATCATATTACATCAATAACAACAGCGCTCTATTTTCCGACCCACAATCTCAGCTTCCGGACGTCTGGTCTTTTCTGGCGGAGGGGTGGAATAGCACTTTAGGCGTCGATGACCTTACGGCCTCTGGTCGGAAGCAATTATTCGACCATGGCGTCGCACTAAGGCTACATTACCCAGACTTGTACACCGAGGCTGATGTACTAGCAGGCGAAGAAGACCGGGTTGTAGAGTCGGCTAGGTGGTTCATGGACGGGTACTATGGTCGCGACTCAAACGCCACCGCCACTCTAAGCGTTGTGGGTGAAAACGACGATACGGTCAGCTGGATCACGCCTCACTACACTTGCGAAAAGTGGGATGAAGGCTTTGGCGCAGATAAGCTTTCTAAGTGGCGTTCTGTGTATTTGCCGCCTATCGCAAAGCGCATCAATGATACGCTTGCCAAAGCTTATCCAGGTGTTGATTTTACTAGCGAGCATGTCCATGGTATGTTATACGCGTGCGCGTACGAGACGGCGGCCTACGGTATCGGCTCGTCCTCGTGGTGCAATGTCTTTCTACCTGAGGAAATATTGGATAACGAATATGAATCCGACCTCCAGATGCGCGGGTTCGCGGGCTATGGACTGCCTGGTGAGATGGGCACGGTCCTTGGTAGTCTTCTGGTCAGCAATATGACGGGTTTCCTGGAGAAGGATGGAGGGCCGAAACTCTCGTTGGGATTTGGTCATGACAAGACTATCGCACTTGGGTTGACTGCATTGGGACTTGCGTCTGATAAGTCATATCCGTCGACTGGACCGGCTGATCCGGATAGGGAGTGGCAAGCAGGGAAACTAATGCCTTTCGGTGCGTCGATGTTTTGGAAACGGTTAGATTGTGGCGATGAGAGAAGAATTCAATTGATCATGGACGGCGCGAATTTTGGCTTGGGGGAAACGGGTTGTAAGATTGATAAGTACGGTTCTTGCACTTTCGAGGACTTTCGGAAAACAGCTGCTGTAAAGGCAGCTCTTAAAGTTACACATGACAACAAGAGATGGAAGAAAGTCTGCCGCTAGGTTTGGGTGTTGATTTATTCTATCAAGGTCGATGGACAGTGGTGAAATAGGGGTCCAACAACGAGGAGACCAGGGTTATCGTTTTTGCTCCGCGCTATTAACACGGGGTCAGTTCTGGAGAGCAGAGTACAGGTCCTGATTATTTCGCGAAGTCTTGAAGCACTTTACTAACGATTTCTAACGAATTTATGAATAAATTTATCATGTAAATTAAACCAAGACGATCAAACCAATGCTTCCGTTCCCTGGTGTTATCTCATAACCCTCCCCGACAACGCTAAGGTGCGGATATCGGCGGGATATGCCCACCTCTCTATTTCCCCACCTAGTTACGTCGGTATCAAGAACTAAACGGAAGATGAATATCGGATGGTTATGATTTTGATGAACATTACCTGTTAAGCGCCTCTGTATTTGTTAAACTCTACGAGCCGGAAAAAGGGTCTCGCAATTATCTCATCTCTCTTATCTGTATTCTTTCGAATTGCCAAGGATGAGTGGCCTCACAGTTCTCTCCGATTCGGCCGTGCATCGGCTGCTCATCGGTCTTTCTAAAGACGAGATAATCGCTTTCCAGGCCTCACTCTCAAAATGCCTTCAGGGGTTTTCTGTCGGCACAGAACGCCAGTACCAGCCTACGCCTGGTATTATCAACCGGCCTAATGGCCAAAAGACACTATTTAGGCCCTTCACGTCACCCACTGCGGTCGGCACAAAGATCATTGTCGATCCAGCGCCGAAAAGCGACAACACGAAACTACCGCTACAGGGAGTCGTGGCTTTATGCGATGAGAACGGCTTACCGAAAGGCATAATCAATGGCGGAGAACTCACGGGATACCGTACCTCGTTAATTGCCATAATCCCTTATATGTGGCGCCGTAACACCGAAAATGTTGTCGTGTACGGTTCTGGCAAACAGGCACTCTGGCACATACGACTCATGTTAGCCTTGAGGGGGATGGAGATTAAGACCATCACAGTCGTGAATCGTTCCGAATCAAGAGCCAGAGAGATGCTCGATAAAATCGCGCAGGAGAATGCTGCGCAGTGGAAGTCCTCCGCTACGATGGAATATCTCAACCCGTCGGGTTCCAACTTCGAACAGTCTTTGAAAGGCATACTGGCGGAGGCCGATGCTATCTTTTGCACAGTGCCTTCCTACGAGCCATTGTTTCCAGCCGAGTACATATTGAACCAAGGGAAACGCACAAAAAGCCCGTATATCTCAGCCATTGGCTCATGGCAGTCTAACATGATAGAATTAGATCCGGCCCTAATAAAAGGCATTGTCAACGACGCCGAAAATGGGTTCCACCCTGAACACGGCTCAGCAGGCGCCATCTTGGTCGACGATCGCACAACGATCTTAACACATACTGGAGAAGCTGTCAAGAGTGAATTAAAGCTAGATGACATGGTTGAAGTCGGCAAAATCTTCTATCTACGAGAAAACGAGCCCGACAAAACTCAGAAAGAGAAGCTGAACCAATGGCTTGCGGAAGGACTCGTCGTATACAAGAGCGTCGGAGTTAGCGTGACAGATCTCGCGGCCGGGGAAAGAATCTTGGCACTGGCGAAGGAGCATAATCTAGGAGTACATATAGAAGATTTCTAGCCAGTATCTACCTAGTGTCTAATGAAAATGCCTTCTAGTGGAATACATCCATATGATTAAATCGTGTCAAGTGGATAATTAGCACGCCATTAACTCAGCTCTTGACGCTACGGGACATCCGATCTCCACCCCTGTCGGAAGACCCGTCGCAGCTGAACGGCTTTGATAAAACCACACTTATTCGCTGATAGTTAGGAGTTCAGGAATAGATTGGTATCTATTACCTTTCTGCATTTATCGAGATTGTGTACGACGTTTTTTGTTTCCTGATGTCGCTTTTGAAAAACATTAGCGGGGAATACGCTAAGATCTAGACACCCCAACTCCACGACTCACACCATAAAACCACCATTTTCAACAATCATATCATTTCATTCATCTATCCATGGCCTCCCACAAACGCCATTCCTACCTTCTTAACATCTCTCTATCACTTACACCTCCCTCAAGCAAGCCAAAACCAAGCCTTCTCAACCCAATTCCTCGGCACGGGCTCCACATCCGCCGCGGACATATCATCCATCTCCTTCTTCCCCGTCCAAACATCCACATCCTCAACCCTAATCGCAAAGCGGGTGCGATACACCACCTTATGTCCAAAATACAGCACCAGAAACACCGGAATCGTGATATACGCCGCGAGGAAACTCGACGCGCTCCAGTGTTCCGGGAAGAAGACTTGGAACCCGTTCGTGAGCGTGAGCAGGGAGATGAGGAACAGCGCGGCGTACGTCGCGCCTGGCTGGAGAGGCGTCCGGAAGGGCAGGGAGTGCAGCTGGTTGTGGTATTCCATGGCTTTCCGGAAACGCAGGTATGTGACTAGGATGACGATCCAGGCGATGAACCCCGATATCGTCGAGATGTTCGTGAACCAGGTGAATACCTGGGACCCGGAATTCGAGACGTTGAGGAACGCCAGACAGGCGACGGCGAGGGTGACTAGGACCGCGACCCAAGGGACGCCGCGCCGTGTTGTGAGGCTGAAGATGCGCGGGGCTTGGCCGTTCACTGCCATGGAGTACAGCACGCGAGAGCCGGAGTAGCAGAACGCGTTTCCGGCGGACCAGGCGGAGGTCAGGACCGCGGCGTTGATGACGTGGTTTAAGCCGCTGATTCCGGCGCGCGCGATGCCGATGACGTATGGGCTGGCGGACGCGTTGGAGTCGCCGGACAGGAGCTGGTTGTCGTCGTTGGGGACGATGACGCCGATGGCGAGGGAGCCGAGTCCGTAGAAGATGGCTAACCGCCAGACGAAGCGGCGTGCTGCTTTGGGGATGTTGCGCCGCGGGGCTACGGTTTCGCCGGCCGAGAGGGCGATTAGTTCGGGGGAGGTGATGAAGGAGAACCCGGCGCGCACGAAGGCCGTCCAGTATGCGAGGAAGCGGCCTGTGTTGCCGGATACGAGGTACGGGACGAAGGCTCCGGGTGGGTCCTGCCAGTATCGGAAGTAGAGCGGGTCGTGGTTGGGTCCGCCGCCGAAGAAGAGCACGATGCTGAGGATGATGAGGCCGATGATCGTGATGAGCTTGACGCTTGCGAACCAGAATTCGGCTTCGCCGAAGAAGGATACGGCGATGATGTTGAGGAGTAGGATTACGATTAGTTGGAGCGCGATCCACACGGCGACTGGGACGGCGGTCGTCCAGTATTGTAGGATGATGCCGCCGGCGGTGCATTCCGCAGCGACGAGCATCGCGTATGCGTACCAGTAGTTCCAGCCATCGGCGAAGGCGAGACTAGGTTCCACGAAGCGGCCTACGAAGTATGGGATGGAAATACCCTTAAGGGGTACTGTGTCGAATTTATGTTAGCGACACATGATATTTCAGACCCGTTTAACGAATCAGAATGAAGAAATGACTTGGAGCATTTCACTTCTTAGGGTTGACCCAGGTAGGTAATGCCTCAAAAAGGAGACATGTCATTGACGAAGGACAAGTACAAATCTAGGAAAACAACTTACGGTATGTGACCATCTCAGCCAGATCATTCATAATAACCCACACGATGAGCATCATAGACAAGTACGCCATAAACAAGGGTGCCGGCCCCGCGGTAGCGAGGATCTGACCCGAGCCGATGAACAGACCGGTTCCGATTCTAGAAGCGCAAAATCAGTTAGTAAGCACCGCCAAAAGCAACACATTTCTACCTAGGGATAGATCTGCAACTTACGCGCCTCCGAGAGCAAGAAACTGGATATGTCGACTTTTCAAGCCCCTCTTAAGCTGATGTCCGGACGCGAGGTTCATCTCCCCGATGCGATTCGACGCGGTCCGCTCGAGCTCCTCTTTGGACTCGCCCTCGGCCTGACCATAGTCGGCGGCGTAAGCCACATTTTCGTTGCCGTCCGACCTCATCATCTCTTCGACCTCTCCTACAGCGAAAAGTTTTGCGGGAGAAAAGTTTGCCGCTTCATGCAGCGACGAACACAACTATACAATCCCCGCAGCTCTTTTTCGCGGAGAGATCGTCGTCGCGGGACTACATGCAAGTAGGTGTGTAAGCAAGTAAGCTCCCTGTTGGAATGCCGAGATAGAGAAGCGAAGGTAAGAAGCCGAAAAAAAAAGATTGTCAGACACGCGACTCAGCCCTGCGTTTTTAATACAAACATCCGATATACCGTAAAAGGCAGTGACGCAGACAGATCCCAGTGGATGAGGCAGTGGATGCAGCCGTTCCTCTCGCCCTGGTGTATGGAGCGTCTATGGGGCGTCGGTGGCGTCGAGTGGATCCTCACCGCCGCTCGGCCTTCCTAAACGAGTGGGATCGGAGTTGAAGATTTCCCCTTGAGGGATAGCGAAATGCGGAGAATGGGGATCAGGATTTTCCCACGTTATTTTAATTCGTTATGGCAGAGATAAACCAATGAGATTATTACTTTTACCTTTAGGTAATTACACCTAGGTGAGCAGTTCCCAGTCTAGACTTTTGAATGAAAACAACCTTGAATAGCTTCCGAAGGCGTAGGGCTTAGAATCTTGAAGACTACCGGCATTAGAGTATTAAGGTTAGACATTAGCGAAAGCTAGAGACTAAAATTTATTATTTCTTCCATAACTGAGAATAGGTAGGTGCTATTCGCCTTTTTCATACCCAATTGACAATTGTACATGTACTACATGTAGGGTAAGATCATTGTGTTCCAAATTAGATAAGATAATATCATAGATAGGTGAAATACATGGCATCAGACAATACGATTTTTTCTGTTCGGTATCTTAAATTGGTTTAGGCATATTGATGTTCTTGATTTCTACGTAATACAGCCGTTTCTATCCGAGCTTGCTATTGCTCGGGCTTAACGTCGGCAAACTTCAAGTTCGTGTAACATCGGCTTAGGTAATCGTGTATGAGATGCCGTTTGTCTGGTGTCGGGATCGACATGTTAATACCTACTGGGTAGTATCAAACATGAGGTGTTCGGTATGCATTATTGTGTCTTCGATTCTTGCAGATTTAATATTTAATCCGCGATTAGTGCGTCGGAACTTAGCAAAATTTGGTATTGGCGTGGGTGTGATGACGACGCATTACCCCGGTCGCTTGCGTGGAACATCCCAATAAGTAGACCTCGAACCCAGATGCTGCGCGCTTCCAGCAGCAAACGATAACATGTAGAATCAATACCCAACAGCCAACGCCTGACCTTAATAAAATTTGCTCAACTTCAAACGCCATCACCGGTTTCTTTGTTTTTTATTCCGGTGATCTATACAAAAAATCCATGGCTGTTATTTCTAGTCTACCGGTTCCTTCGTGAATGGTTTCATTCAAATAGGTCGCTTGAAAGGATGCGCTTCTGTGTTTAATACCCACTCGTCCAAACTTATGAGACTTGGATCCGAATAGCTATAGCAGCTGTTAGCGACATTCAAACCCATACATTTTCGTCTTCAAATGCGGCAACTTACAGCAAATAGAAGTATTTGAGCGTTTCTGCAAGCCAAAAACTCTCCATCTCATCAGTCTTGTCTGAATTCGGCAATAAGACATTGTCGATAGCGCTGTTGCCCGATTCGGTCCGGGTTTGGCTGACGATAGCATTGAACATTTTCCATCCTTTGTCCTGCCATGTCGTATCACCCGTGATGCGGTACATGTACCAGACGGACTCGATGGCTTCGGGTCTAAACGAGAATGTGGGTTAGTCGGACATCCGACAGCATTGCAGGCACTGATGCACAAGTCATCTTCCACATGTACTTACCTGAGGATATAAGAGTGGTAGTGCGCACTGACGAAACCAGGCGGGAGGTTCTCCGCCTCGATGCGACTCTCTACATACTGTTCATGGGACATTGGGCGCTCCGGTTCCGGATATTCGATATCGAGTTCTTCCTGCGTAAGAGGAACTTGATCGGCATTATCACCGATAGAAGCAACTACGGAATCGCTACCACCGTTGATGTCTAGTGCATCTTCTAAAGTGGCCACTTGGGATGACTTTCTGGTGCTATCAGTCGATGCACCTCTTGACGGAGGTGGTGCGGGCGGAGCTCTCTTCTGAATTCTAGAACTCTTAGATCCAGTCTTTTGAGTGGTTACTCCTTGCGAAGAACCGAACTTTTCGTCAACAAGACTATCAGAGGTCGCTCCCCCAGACGTTGCACCGAGATTCTTATGCCCCTTCATTTTCGCCTGTTGCGCTTTCTTCGATTTCCACTCCTTATGCTGTTTTTGATAGTCCGCCATTTGCTCTAGACGGGTTTCGTACAGAGGATCCAAATACTGCCAGTATAAGGTCTCGTTCCAATGGCAATTGTTAACTTCGGCGCAAGGAACGACGGTCGCACCCTCCGGCATGATACCACTGGGTGTATTTTCATAAGCCCAAACGCAGCCGTCAGTAAGTCTCTTTCCGATTTCGACATCCTCGGGAACATCAAATATCTTCCCGCCCATGCCAAACATACCGCCGATGAAGCAAGTGAGATGGGTGACCTCCCACTCAGTTGTAGCATCAACTTCTGGGCTCCCTCGAGTGTTGATTTTGGCGGAGAACAAGATATCACGATCACCGGGAATCATAGGTCGGAAAAGCAGCCATTTCTTGACGGCCGCAGTCACTTTGGCGTGCAGGGTTTTATACTTGGGCTCTAAGCCGCCAAGGAGCAGCCATTGTTTAGGGAAGTACTCGTATGTGCTGTCTTGACTTCCGCCCATACTGTACTGTTCATTCGCACTCCATGATCCTGCTGTAAGGCCCTGTGGAACACAAGTATCCTTCTTCTTCTTAGTTTCGGGTTTAACCGACGTGCTGTCACGATCGTCTACTGTGGTGGCAGCTTGATCCACGTCGTTCTCATCAGAAATCGTCTTTTTCGAGGGCGCGTACATTTCCTCACCATTATGTTCGATCTTGACTTTGTTGGTACCGTCGTCATTAGGTGTCCCCACAGCGCGGCTTCCCAGGCGACTCTGTCCGCCTTTAACGGATTTTCCTTGGCTACTACCTTCTACACCCGGCTTGCTATTTTTAGCATTCTGAGAATCATATGCCTTTTGCCCAGCTTCTCTCAGTTTTTCAACCTCAGCTTCCTTAGCGGCAATCTCCAAGGCCGCAGTTCTGTTGCACCCAGTCGCATCGACACGCTCAGGGAAGATACCAGGAATTGTTGTTCCACGTTCCTGCCACTCATAAAAAGCATCTGTGATGCGTGCTACGGCATCATAGTACCTGTCCTCTTTGGTTATCTGCGCAAGTCGTGTGAATTCCATGGCGAGAGAGCCTAGCTCCGCCACACTCACACCTGCCTGAGCTCGCTTCGGTAGCTTCGCAAAGGCGGGCTTCCAGTTATAATACAGCACGGGCATACGGTTTGGCGTATCGAAAACATCCATCAGAATTTCGGCGAGCTCGATAGCCTTCTCGAGAAGTATGTCATGTCCTCCGGCTTTACCACCACTAACATCATAGGCTGCTACTAGTCCGCCAAGATATCGGATAGTAGTCTCGAAGACTGGGATTTCGGTGCGATATTCAGATGTAGTGAAGTCGATCTTCTCTACTACGAGAAGTGCCTCTTCGAACTCATCTTTCATCCCCATGATCCATAATGTGTCCAGCGCGTCGACCAATGTCGCAGCCCATCCACAAAACGGGTTACGAAATTTCTTGGATACAGGGCTCAATTCATCATGCCCCTTGGCATATGTCATATAACCATTCCAGCCACGTACCATCTCGGCCTTGACTTTAGCGAGGCGATCCAGACGCTCTTCCCGAGCTTGGGCCGACTCTTTCTCAAAATCGTATTGGATCGCTAGTATAGGTTTGGGTTTTCCCGTCGGCAAGGGGATGATTTCGTCTTTCGGAACGGGGAAATGCTCGGGGAATTTCTCCCAGTGGATCGTCGTGGTTGCGCTCTGGGTCTTAGGCTTATGCGCTCCCGGTGCTCCATGGGCACCTTTACCAGGCGGGCCTCCGACGCCCTTAGCGCCTTGCCCAACATTCTTATCCGGAATACTGATTAACGGGGCAGTGGTGGTCTTCGCAGCTTCCTCTTTATCGTATACGCGTACATGGCTCTGGTTCGTCGTTGTGGCCGCATTAGGAGTGTCGAGTTTTCCAACAGTGTCTTCGCCAGTAGTTGGTTTCAGGTTAGGAATTTTGACCTTCTCAGGTTCCTTACCAGTTTTTTCTTTCAAGTGAAGCCTAGGTTCGTCATCTTCGCTGTTGAAACCAGTCTCGCTCTTGGCAGAAGCTGGTCGGGATTGCTTATTAGTCAAGCCGAATCCTCGCTCAAGAGAGGACTTAGGTGGGGCTTTGACTAAGGGAATTGATGCCGAGACGGATTCCCATTGCTCGCTATTCTGGGTGACACGATACAACAGCAAGACGACAATAGCGGCAAAGAAGACATAATAGCGATATCTTCGAAAGCGCAACATGATTGCTATCGAAATTCCGCCTAATATGAAAGGCTGTTACTCAGCCCTAACCGAATCCCGAGTAGCTCAGAGGCGGCGGGCGGCGGGAGGTGGGATGCGGAATGTGGGGCAAGGGATAAATAGACGAAAGGCGTCAAGCCAATGTCTCTATCTCACAAGCCTAGAAAGAGAATGGAAAAGAACAAAATGAGGTTCAACCAAGACTCAATTCTCTCATTTTTATTCAGAGCTCTGATGCATAAGGAGCGTAGAAATGTTGAGCTGTCGGAGTAAATATGGAGCAGCTTCGAGCACGGCCGAGCTTAAGTCGATCCAAGCAGAATACGAGCCAGCGAGCTCAGACAATCGACCGAGGCTAAAAAGCAAACAATAAGCTAGAATAAGAAAGGGGGATTCGATTTATTGAAACATCTCCCTTCCTTAAGGTACCCAGGTAGGTTCAGATTGAAGATATCTACAGGGCAGGTAGACGACGCTGAATGGCAAAAAGATTGAACAGAGAATGAAAATAGCAAAAGTCAATCAGAACGTTAAAGATAGAAGGACAGATGGTCGCCAAGGTCGATAATAATTGCCGTGTCGCAGTTCGGAAGAAATGTTGACAAATGGAAACGCCAAGGGTACCAAGGGTCCCGAATGTACAGGTGAACGGTTAAGGCCATAGCGATTGCTTGGCATCTTCCTCCATTGGACATACCGTTCGTAACCAAGGAAGCCATCATGGCGTGGGTGGCTTACTCTTGGCATAGACACTGAGGGTTACAGCGCCTAGATTGCTAAACTGCCATGAGTTGTGAGTAAGATCTGACGGATGTGGCAGTACGAGTTGTTGGTTGTTGAAAAGAAGATGAATTCATGTTCATAAGCGCAAGGTAAGTGAAGTACCTATAGTACCTGTATAAGAGGTGCATACAGATATGGAAACTACTACGACATTAGATCTACGAAGAAGGTAGCAACGACCTCAATTGAAGATACTTGAAGAGACGTACCCGATATTAATGAGTCTCAGCTCAGCGGTGTTACTTCTCCGTACGAGGTAGCTCCGCTTTAAATAGACACCCACCTTTCCGCTGTGGCACAGAAGTTCTAGACCTATTCCAGTCTCCTCTCCTTCTTTTTATTATTTAGGACTTTCAATAGCAAACGAGATAATATCCCTCATTGTGCGAAACCAATGTGGTGGTTTAAAGATTCATTATCGATTTATCGTCGCAAACCCCAATCAGATACCAGCATATATAGAAGACAAGGCAAGTCTATACCCAGACATGTATGAGACCGATGTTTGTGTGATACTGAGCAGAAGACTCTGTCAATCAAACTGTCAAATTTTAGCGATCAAGTGTTGCACTCGTCGATTTTTCTACCAACTAACATCGCCCGAATTGGCGATCACTGTGGGGTGCATAAGCCCATGCTGATTTCCATATCAGTATCCGAGATCCCCTAACTTGAACTTTCCAGATTAGCCATTTCCAAATTCAGAAATCGATATAACTCCTAACTTTCATTACACAATTACACCCATTACACCCATTACATCGCCTTAATATATATGTATCGCTATTTTTTGGTACGCAGCATCGGTGTGCAAGGTGGTGGGCCTCCATATCGTATTTCAATGTCTTGCGCCTTAAACCCACATCGGTCGCAGATCCCCATACCTCGCATCCCAGCGTCGAGATAACACGGGATATCGAGGCTATCTCCCAGCTTTGTCGCCCATTCCATGAGCGCCGATGCGTATCCCCTTCCTCGGCTATTCGATTTCGTCATGATGAGCTCGATGACTGCGCGTAATCTCGTTTTAGCAAACCACTGGCTGGTATGGGGCTGAAAGGATAACTTACACACGTGGCCTTCTTTTCCAACAACTAGGTAATGAGCTCTAGCCAAAGGCTCGAAGAATTCAGCGAGCTTGTCTTCGCTCATACCCGGAATATCCTCGCATCGCGTCCATCGCGTCTTCCATGCCTTCCCCGCGATACTCTGGCCCGGGTGGACCACATGAGCGATCGCGAGTGCAACTGGCCTGCCTATTCTATTTTGTTAAAAACTGCTTTTAGTTTGAGCTAAGCTGTTTAACAGACTGTTAAGATTCCTAACGACAGCAACCTTGGATTCAGGCCTATAGTAGGACTTCTGGCCGAGGAAGTTCTCGAAGCTCCGCTGAAGCCACTTGCGCCCGCCTTCCGAGTGCGGAAAAACGACTTCTCCGGGTCCGCTAAAGGCTTCCCAGAATATCTCCACGAGATCGGGGATGTCGTCGGGGGTCGCTAGGCTTACTTTTCCCGCCATATCATGTACGCCGTCCGCAGTTCGCAATCCGTTCGTGATAGGTGTCTAGAACAACCGTCCATTGTGAAATGAGGCGAGCTCTCGGCTTTCTATATCTATGATCGATACGAATCATCCATTTAGAGTTTAGAAGTATCAAACTTGCCGAGCCGGTGTCAATTGTCAACTCTAACCTTGCCAGTAACAACGTTCTCGGCCCTGACCGATATGGGCGTTTAACCTATTTCCCCACCTTAGGTTCGAATGACAGCTCGTCATTGTGATTCATGAATCGACTACCATCGTGCTTAGATACGAGTTTAATTCGTCAGCTCAAGCCAAAGCTGTCGTTCACATGATTTGGGTTGACCCTGTTCGAGCCACGCCGAACCAATGGGAAGTAGTTTTGCTAGCAGGTTGGCGAACTTTCTCGGTGAATGCATAGGTCTCTTTGCCTACTCCGATGACCAGTATATTGGCCTATACGATGATATTTAGTATGTAACTATTCCACTGAAGTCATGATTCTGTGGTTACCCCTAAAATCCCCCTGCGACTGAAACTCCTATTACGGATACCTCCCGAGGTCGTTAAAAGATGAGCATATCAGTGTTTCGTATTAGCATGTGCCGCTCATTGTATCTCACCCTTCTTATTAGTTAAATTTCTGTTCTTTTTGAAATATAATATTCTAGCGACAATTCTGCTCTTGATATCTACCTAGGTAGGTACCTAGATAAGCTCAGCGATCCTTTATTTTGACTTTCAAAATGAATTCACTTCCAGGGGCAATTTTCACCTCGAACTACCGACATACTTCATTCAGGTTCTCTTTCCATTTTAACAAAGGATTTATGATAATAAAAATAAAAATAAATCTTTAATACTTTCTAACATTGTCACTTGATCGTTCATCTTCGTAGCAAATACCCAAGGTTTAGTTCAATTTGCCAACAAGCATCCATAGTGCGCTATAAAATGGTGTGTTCAGCGCTAGAGCCCACTAAAACTCGAACTAATAGTGAGCACCCTCTAGTAGGAAATTTTTCAATCAGTCTAATACCGGTAGGTACCTAGGTACCTAATCCTGCGCGTCAAAACTCTCTTTACGTCGGTAGTTCTTCATGAAACTAAATTTAAATCGTTGGATTTATCCTCATACCTAGGAATATAGCACAAATTAGTTGCATCAAGACATTATCATCAAGATTTACCTAAGCGACGCGATATTTCCGAAACAGAGCTGCGGACATTCGATGTTAATGGACCAACGCATAGCCCGTAGATGTGATGTTGGTTTATCTTCGGGGGTTACCCGCTGTAGCTGTAGTGGGTTCCAACGCCACATAACCCATTTTATAGCGCACGTCCACCACATCTATCACAAAATTCAACACGAGGTAGATACATCCATAGTATTAATGAGTTAGGCACTTTCACATTTTAGATCTTAAAATTAGCCGTATCATTTCATTCACTTACTCTACAGAACTTTTCATGGGTTAGAATATGTCGAAACCTCAATGGACGAGTCAATCCGCTTGAAAAATTAATAAGACCATGCGCTCCGGGTGTTGGCTGCCCAAAGCCGGGAAAAGTACCTAGGTAGACGTAGCGTTTTTCTTCAATTGGCTATTCTCCTTAGAAAGGCTTAAATTATAGCGGCCATCCACCAAAGTTTAGCGGAGAGATCCCTATCAGGTTTCGGTTTAGTATGGACCTGATACAGTGTCCAATATTAATCCATTGCTTATCTTATTAGCTTAGTAGGTAGGCTAAGATGTAAATCCAATAGTGATATGCCTGCTAAACTTTAGTGGATAGCCATTACAACTTGGGGAGTTTACCAACCTTGAACCTACCAGGTAGCTTGTAGCCACTAAAGAAAACACGCCGTTTTAAAGACTTGGTAGATGAGCGCCTCATTCCAAACACAATAAGCAAACCTCTAGTTATATAGGAAGGAATCATGTAGCAATAGGCGAGCACGCAAGGATAATCTACTTTCTTTCGAGAGGCCGAAGGAAGTAAAAATTAGGTACATTTATAGGATCAAGCGAGATTAGTATACCAGAGAACGCCAGTTTCAAGACCGCGACACTCCTGGAGGGTGTTAACGTTGTATTAACAATGGTTTTCTAGTTGCATTATCGCCCACATTGCTACACATAACTACCATAGTACTGCCACTAACTCCTACCTAAAACCAACCAGCCGAAAGAAGTAAACCCAACCCCAACACCCCAACCAACCCGCCGCGCCCCCACGCCACCCTCAATGCCGCCGCAGCACTACTCGGCGACGCCGTCGCACTCGAACCGGTCCCAGTAACCGCACCCGACGTCGTAGCCGACGCCACGTACGACACCGGCACCGTGACTTCCGCCACACTCACCCCGCTCGCCGTGTTAGCCCAGAAACACACCGGCGACCCGGAAGCGCCGTACGTCGGGGTCGCCCAGCCCCATAAATCATTCGTCACCGTGGCCGACGGGTCCGCGCTCGGGGTAATGCTGGCGTACGTGACCGGGTACACACTCGCGTCCGAAGCGTTCGTCGCGGCGAGACTGGCTAGCGGGATTGCCGGTGTGCCGGGCGCGCAGGTGGTTCTTGCGCTGGAGGCTGGGGTGGGGTTTAGCGCTTCTGATTGCACGCCTGAGATGGGACAACAGATGAGGTTTGAGAGGTCTACTGGGATGGTGCTGTTGCTGTTTGGGATGGAGTATGGGAGGAGCCCGGTGGTTAAATTGGATGAGGAGTATAGGTCGAAAGAGGTGTCGACGATGACGCCGTCGCAGCATATGCTGGTGAAGTCCGTTGACTTGGCGGAACTGCCGCCGTCCCGGTACGGTCTTGGACACGTGAAGAGTCGTGATCTATGCCCGGATTGGGCTACGAGACACCATTCTGGGATAGGCCCCGTGGGGATGGAAGTGGTGATTGATGAAGACGACATTGTTGGTGCGGGTTTGGAGATAAGTGAGTTTAGAAGTTTCGCGGAAATGCGTGTTGTCGACGTTTCTGCGTGTAAAATGGTGAGATGAGGTCGTATTAGGAAGTCCGTATTAGGCAGGCCATATTGAGTCTAGGCGGCCAAACCCTGTTATAATTGCCAAGGCATCCCCCCCCTCTCCTATGTTTTCGTGGGATTTAGTGATTGGGGTATAAGGTACCTAAAGCAACTGGAAAACTAGTTGGAGGCGGAGTGGTAGCTCTCCAGCGTTCTTTACAATTTCCTTATTGAGACAACCTGTCTGGTCTTTGATATAATGGCTGGTCTAGTGATCCGAGACTGTACGAAGGTTGCTCAGAGTGATGATTATAGCCAGATGTCGAGGAGCCGATACTCTTTTTCGTGATACGCGAGCACATATTTGTAAGGCGCCACTCCCCATTGCTAAAAAGTGGCTTAACGGTGGGCACACATGCACAGATAATGATGATCCAGTTCTCTGCTAAGAACCAGTAGACGAGTGGAACGGCATCCCATGTGAAATCCGGGGTGGCTAGGTTACGCAACTCGACTGTCTTGACAACTGCTGCTGCACCAGCACTGACTCCTTGTTAGCATACAATCTCGCGAGTATAATCAACAAAAGAACCTACATAACACCCATTGACATGAGGATGATGATCCCAAGTTTCGTTTTCAGGGGTATCTGAAGATTCCGGATAAGTATTGTAGGGAAAAAAGCGAGTACCAGATCACTCCATGCGGAAAAAGAACCTTGAAAGTAGCCGTAATACTGTTGAACAGTCGGGTCCCAGCATGTTCCAGAGGTGCCGGTTCCAACGCGACCCCAAAGGAAAGTCACGGGAGTGCATTGCGCAAAAGTGACGATGACAAGAGCTAGGTTGATGACGACCAGAAGAAATATTAGGACCCAGAGGAAATATCTTTGCGGACGGTTTCGATTAATGAGACGCATGAGAAATAACGCTATAGAGATCTTCCCGAAAGCGGCACTTCCAGGAGAGAATGGAACGCTAAGCCATATCATGTATACAGCGTTCACTCTCTGGTCCTCTCCGAGATAGGGCGCATGTCTGCCGACGCCATAATGCACCATCAGCGTGACGATGATGTCGGTAACGATAGCTAAAACCTAGCAATAGCATCACGTCAACGATTACGTATCAGTATATGGTGTGGTTGAACTCACCACCGCTATAACCATAGTCCAGTCATCCCAACCGGTTTTTCGTACGATCGCTATGCGTGTGTACAGCCGCATAATCAGTAAACAACAGCCGACCGCTCCCATAACCCATGCAGCCACGATGAGACCGGGTCCATGATCAACAGCCTCGGGAAGAGACTCCATGGACGGATCCATTACAACGAGCGTTATTGGTGGTATCGCGATTCGATGAATTCACACAAAACAAAGATCTAGAAAGAAAATATCGCAGAACTTTGAAGCCAAAAGAACACTCTTGTTCGAGGTGGCAATGAAAATTGTGCTTACGGTAGGTAAATTAATAACTGTACAACATCTGGGTACCTAAGCCACATATATCTATCTCCTACTACCTGAGGTAAGCTAATCAATTCCATCACTTACTAACAACGGTCGTCCTTTAATTACAGATAGCAAGTGAATAGGCAAGAAGGTGTTTTTAATAGCTCATCCTTTTACAAGAGCCATACTTTGAATCACGTAGGAAGTCGCCTACTAATAACACAGATTTCCTAATATATCACGACAAGATGTTGTACAGATCCTTCGTTGGCTCTCTGGAGTCGTCTTACCACATCATTGCGCAATAGTAACCCTCCAACAACGAGATATAAACGTGCATGACCTGCGTTGCTTACATGCATTAACCAAGCTGTTATCAACACCTTGCCTTTGGACCGATCGGTCAAGGTCTTCTTACACAACAGATACTAGGTGCCTGGTAGGTAGATAAAAACGGGTTCCTTCGGATACATAACTTGGAATCAAAGATGAAGCAGCTGAAAGTGAGTAACTGTTGTCCGCTATTGAAGTCAAGGTATAGTCTCATACTTTATGGATAATAGGTACCTACCCGAAGTCTCCGTTTTCAACTATAAAGTGGCGTTACCCCTTTTTAGTATACACTTAACCTAATGGTTGCAATTCTCTAGTGAAATTATGTATAGGTACTGATTACAGCTCCCTATAATCTCGGTATATCCGTGAATAGCCCCTATACAAATGAATAATTCCTAATGAAGCGTACCAGCAAGTGGGCGATTACCATTACTATTCGTGTTCGAAACTCCTATAAATAGATAGAGATATCTGCGAAAATACATACGCGGACTATCCATACTAAAACCAACCCAGTCTAAGTAATATATGCCAGGCACTTATGGAAGTAATGACAATCATACCTATATAAGAGTACAATCGTACTAAACAACTTGAGAAATTCAATTCGTACCTACTAGGTAATAAACAAATTTCTATGCATATAGTAACAGTAGCTCCATCAAAATTCATAAACATGTGTACTTTTGAAATGGTCTTACGCTCGCTACGGGAAGTAATAGATTAATTGCTGACGCTGATTGAGTTGCAGAACGTTGGTTTGACATTTAGTTAGTTGGTTGGTTCGATAGCCGTACACAACATCCTTTATTCCCGTGATGGGCTGTTACATACACCGAGACTTTTAAATAAAACCCGGGATTCACCGACCATTACCGAATCCCACCTATTGGAATCTGAAGGCATATGCGTCACTATCTGACACCCGCGTGGAATGCCACTGTGCCTTTGTTTTGCGCCCCATCTCGGGTCCACGAATTGAAGCAGGCTGTCATTTGTTTTCAGAATAATTCGCACAGCCTACATGATTATGCTCCTGAGCTACATATTACGCGGTCCTGAGGTCTGTGAATGGCATTTGACGGTCCTTTCTAGGGATGCCAATGTTCTACAGCATCAATCTAGACCGCGAACAAATATTAAGTGGGTGCGCATCGAATACTCCTTGCGTAAGTGTGCCATTAAGAGAAATGGAAGCAAGGTAAGGACCAATTATAAATCCTCAGCAAATAACAACAAAAAGACCTACTTTCCCAAGTGCTTCATTTTCCACCATAATCTGTTAATTCAAAGCGAAATAATTAAAATATCGACGTGTAGCACATAATATGGCCGACGCTGAAAAGTTATCCGCAGATTTCATTGAAGCTGTGCAGAATGTCCTTGCCAGCAAAGATGAAACGGCTCGCAAGCAAATGCTCGGCACCACCATGCAGGCGATGGCGATGCTAGAAGCCCCGGTCGATGCCATTTGGAAGTTGATAATGTCTGTATGTGCTAAGAAAGATCTTTGGTCAATTATTATAACGAATATCTGACCGAAAGCAATCAGCCACATGCTCCCTCGGCGCTGATGACCCTGATCAAAGCCGGTGTTATTCAAGAAATCGCCAAAACAGATTCTCCTTCCTCAGCCGACAAGCTTGCTCAAGCTACAGGAGCAGACAGGCTCTTAATAGGTATGAGAGGAACTGACAAGGCAGTGTTAAAACCGCCTTTGGCATATTAACGTCTCAAAGTGCGGCTTTTACGCCCCGTCAGCGCCATAGGTGTCGTGGAAGAAACCAGCCAAGAAGAATACGCCCCCACACCAATTACGAAAGCTCTAGTAGGTCGCGTTCTATCCGGAGGGTACCAATTCATGTAAGATATATCTTGTGTGTGTCAATAAGGAAACACTAAAGCAGAAACAACACAGGTTCTCTGCCGCGACGCGATCCTTGGCGAACATGCCGTTTTACCTCGAGAAGACGGGATTTAAGAATGTGGAGGGCATCCCTGGTCCTTTCCAAGACGCGCACGGCACACAGGACGGCATGTTCCCGTGGCTGATTAAGGACCCTGCGCTGATGGGCAATTTCAACGCCTTCATGACAGGTCAGCGAATTGATCGTAAACAGTGGTTCGATATCTTCGACGTCGAGAATATCTTGCTGAAAGGCTCTAAAACGGATCAGAATGCAATCATGATGGTCGATGTTGGTGGAGGCGAGGGCTACGACATTTCTATGTTCCACAAACGGTACCCAGAAGCCCCGGGTCGGCTTATTGTCGAGGATCTCCCTGCTGTTATAGACAGCATCCAGGAACTCGCTCCTAAAGTCGAGAGTAAGAAGCATGACTTCTTCCAGCCGCAGCCGATTAAGGGTGCGTATATCTTTCCTATTCCACCGCACTCACATACGACTGAGAAAATATTCAACTTGGAACAACAGGTGCCAGATGCTATTACTTCCGCTCTATCCTGCATGATTGGCCTGACGACGATTGTATAACGATCCTTAAGCACACGGCAGAAGTTATGACGCCAGGATACTCGAAATTACTCATGTCCGAGTTTGTCCTGCCTGCCAGCAACACCCCACTGTATCCTGCATTGCTAGATATTAACATGATGGGTGGGTTCTCTCTAATAGTCATTTCATCGAGATATGCTAACACAACCCCGACTAGCCGTACTTAACGGAATGGAAAGAACAGAAGCCCAATGGAGCAAGCTTCTGGATGCCGCAGGGTTGGAAGTCGTGAAATTTTGGTCGGTTGGTGCCGAGACTGAGGGACTCATTGAGGCTGTATTGAAAAGTTGAGCTGTCCCTCGAAGTTGGTAAAACTTTGGTTGCACTTCGATCTCCTTTAGATCCTAGGATAAACAACACGATAAATTTATCCCGTTGCCAAAACATCCTTGAATACCTGTTTTATTTACAGGGGAAATTAGGTAATCGTGAATTATGTCAGCTGGTGGATTAGGTAAGTCAGTTGTCCCCGTTACCTAATATTACTAAGCAATTCAACAACGATTTTACCTAATACCATTACGTAAGTTTTGTCTTCATTATGTAATCTACCAGCCCCTGCCAAGAAACCCTGTTTGAATTCCAGGTCAGTGGCAGCAGGATATCTTTCGCATTGGATGTCCATTATCATATCAACGCTTAAATTAAACAGTTAATACATAAAATTGTAAACTTTTGTGCCTAGCACTTACAACACGTATCATATGCCGACCACGGGTGTGAAATATTCCACCATTACTAGATCTAACCTCCCAACGGTCTGATAACATCGTTGATCGTCGCCGCCCTTTCTTCCATCCATTCATGGACCCTATCCCAATCAACACAGACAGCCTCTTGGGTTATTTGAACCTCAGGCTTGATTTTATTCTCCGGGGTCCACGTGAATGTGTAGAGGCTCAGGTCAGGTTTGCATAATGCCTGTGTACGAAGAGATTCTAAACAGTGGTCAATATGTATAGTAATGTCATCCCAATCTTGTTGTCCTTGACTATAGTAGTATTCTGGGTGCAGGTACTGCTTGATACGTTTCTGTTTTGAATGGCCGTGTCAGTCTGAGAAGAAGAAGAATCATGCACGAGATCATATTTAGGAAACTGGATTCTGAGGAACTTCATAGAGACGATTATAAAATAAGTTACTTACTATGCAATGCAATGAGTGCATAACACCTAGCCCGCCAATATAGCCACCATCTTTGAGACGAACAGCGTTAGATGCGTGAACCCTCAAGACGTCTTCCTCGGATATATGTATAGCGGTTCCATTGAGTAATCCATGCCACGCTTTATCAAGCTCTAGTCGCGGATTTCCCAAAAACTTTGAGCTATCGAAATCCCTTGTGAGGTTCCTATTCACGTATCTCACAGGTGCTGGTGCTTTGTCCGCGTTTACTCGTCAGTACCGTTATCGTTATCATCATCCACAACAAGTTCTTACTTACAATATGGAATCTTGACATTTGATATCGATAACGGACAGCCTGAGGATATTCGGTTGGTGGGGTATAACAGACTTGCAATGAATAATGAAGTAACCGATATTGAAAAGAATAGAAGGCCATAGAACCTCCGTCGCCAGACATGGATGGCATATAAGTCTCTCACGATGTCCGTGCCCTCATCTTCGGAGGGGATAGGGGTGTAGCGCGATTCAGTCTCTTTCATAGATCCTATGTCTTTATTGCTTACACGTTCAGCATAGTATGAGTACCCCATTACGAAGAGATCAGATAGTTTCATAACAGTAGGTGTAGTTCAAACTGAAGAAGCCAAGAACTCGCGGGGGCAGTTCTAAGTGGGTGGTGACCCGTATTAGTGACAGCATGAGACATTGAAGGTTCTCATTTTTCTAGCATGCCCGAGTTTCGGTTCCTACCGAAAGAGAGATAGGTTGTCGAGGTGACTACTTGCATTCAGATCATACCTATGTCGCACCGCAGATCGTCCCGGTCACTTTCACCGAATACCTACATATGCAAGTCTGTTGAAGTGTGGGTCGGCATCGCGGGAAAATACATCTTTCTGGTCTTCTGATAGATCCCTTCCTAGAATGGCAATCCGTTGAGATATTCTCTAGATATAAGATCACAATTTGACCCGTCTTGGAAATTCCTGGAGCCGACTCATTCTCACCATCAACGACATTATAAATACCTATCAAGACGTATCAGAAAGACACCACCATGAAGTTCCACATAATTGGTATGATTTTTACTGCGGCTATGGGAGTGGCTGCTTTGCCTGTTATAAGTGAGTATCTATATTATATCTGGCAGGAGCCCCATAATTGCCGTTATTAACATCATCGCTCAGACTCTCCAGTCCAGCTGCAAGTTAGAGATGGCGCAGATACGGAAGGTCCCGATGGCGATTGGGAATTGCTAAAGAAAGCCAGCATCTCAGAGGCGAAACTCTGATTTGCAACGCTAAATTCTGGCTAGAGGCCCTTTGATATTCATTTTCGGCGAAGTTGACTGCGGGACGGGTGATAGTAGCACTTATTCTAGGGCTGTCTGGGATATCACTTATATCACTGCTGTGGTTTCTGGGATGATGCATGTCTAGTTCAATAGGAATTCGATGAAAAGAAGACTTGACTAGGCATTATATGCTGTCATCATATGCACCTCAGGGGTCGCCAATGCCATGGTGAATGGAAATACTGGCTCTGATAGGTTATCTATCTATTGTGTAACATATCCAGGATAGCATAACCCATCGATGTAACGCCAATAAGCACAAAGCCTCTACTCCGAAGCGACCAATCGGCAGGCTCGAGTGTAGTATGTGATTGTCATGGCCCACCTGATATGTGACAAGAGGCCATCCTTAGGATTTTGATTTTCACCAATGATTGGTGTGGCTTTAAGCAAAGATGGGTTACCAGGAGACGGTCGCAAGCCGAATGGATCGAGGAATGGTGAGGAACTACGGTTGATAATGACTTCGAAACCGCTCTAAAGCTATCTAGGTACCTAGTTCAGAAGTATCTTCTCAGAGAATTGGAAAAGGACTTGTAAAAATCTGTAACTATGAACCTAACTAACTAGTATCTGCATGCCCCTTACGAGTTGTATTCGGGTGCCTGCCTGAATAGTCCCCTAAGTTTCAAGGATATGTGGAACTCACCCACTGTACCAAGACGCCGGGACTTGGAAAAGGGGCAATCTGCGCTAACTATAGGTAAGTTCATCTACTCGGTACTTCCTTAGGTAGGCAGGTAGCTATCAGCATCTGAAATAAGCTGTCCGTAGTCTACTTCGTAGACACAGGGTCTCGCTTCATGACGAAGCCATGGATAGGGCATCCAAGCTGTTGTCTTGCTTCCTGAAATTCCTCGCTTGGATTCTCCACTTGCGCATCGAGATAGAGGTCGTCGATAACATAGAATCCACTTTTCTCATATACTGGGCGGGCCGATTCAGTAGATTCGACGATTGCTTCTAATCCAAGCTCATCGGCCTTTTTTGTGCCCCACTCCAACATCATTTTCGCAGCACCCTGTCTTCTATGTGCGGAATGTACAAAGCAGAACTCTATTACTATTGATGAATCCGTGAAGTAAGCAGGTGAAACGGTTCAATAGTGGCCCATAAAAGGACTTACAGAGATGTGGTTTGCTTGCGAAAGTAGGACGTTTCGATTCCCAGGCAAGCATGAGCTGGTCCCCAATCTGTTTCATGGTCCCTATTATGCGCAGGACTTAGTAAATCCACTCCTCTTGATATCTGGCAGTTCCTTTTTAGACATACCTTCAGGCAACCAGTAAGCCGTAAGCGGTGTCCGTTCAACTGCAAATGGATTCGTTTTGTGAATATTCCATTGTGTCCCACCAATTACCTCGCCGGTCGCTTCGTCGGTAACATAGATCCAATTGCTGGTGGGGTCACTTTTGTGCCATGACAGTTGACGCGCACAGAACTCGTCTCTCGAAGAGCCTTTCAAGATCTCCCAAACACCATTGAGAGGCTTGCTGTAAGCTTCATGCTCTACATCGACGAGCGGCTTGAACTCTTCATCACTAGAAAGTTCGTGAAGCCTCAACGGCGCCATTGTTCACAGATGTGATGATAGAATTGAAGTATGTAACGTTGAACAAAATAGTAAAATTCGAGAGCCGTCTTCTAATGTGTTGCAGTTCCTTATTCATATTTATCTAATCGATACTAGATCGAGATGTATTTATCTAGTAGGCAGGTATCGTGTAACAAAGAGCCCCAGAAGATCAAGCGGCACCTACCCCTCCCACATATATGCCCGCCGTTCTTGCATCCATCCGATTGTACACCCCATTGTAACGCAAGGGATATCTTGTACGCTGTGAAGGTCGCTAATCAATTTAACTATACCACTATCTCCAGTCGGGGTAGAATATGGGAAGGGGGGAAGTGGTACAGAACCAACATTTCATGACTACCTTATATTCTTACCCCTATTCCTAATCACATTTAGAAGGCGTGTAGCCTGTTAATAGATAAGTGAATAACCGATACTTTGGAGATAGTTAGGTACCTACCTAGGTATCTACCTAGGTAGTTATATTTTTGATATGTTTGATTCGATCCCTCCTCTGGGGATTTTTATGCGAGATTTCTTTCATCCCACCCAATGTATATACGCGCTGATATATACATACCACCCACGCCAAGACTGTGGACGGTTTCTCGGGAGGATTCTAGGTTACATTGCACACCTTAGCATCTGCAAGCTATCTGCAAGTAATACTTAGGTCATCCTTTACGCGTAGCGGGATGCCGGGTGCCGAATTATCATGATTTAGCTCATATAGCGGCGTACCTACCTGTTAGTCATAACGAATCTAATCATAAGAAAAAGGCAATAAGTGTAAATCTTTCCAAATTCCATTTAACTTCGCTAACCGCGCACTTAACCTTCTGGCTTGAAGCGGTGACGATGTCGGGGTAATCGTTGTATTCATGCAGTCACACTACCTAGTACGCAGCTGTCTGGCTCAGTGGACCTACGCAGCCCTAGAGAAGTGCCAAGGGGTAGCATTGGTAAAGCTTGATCTTTCCGGGGGGAACCATACCTGTGTCGCTCCTTAGGTAAGGATGTGAGCGCATGGCTCTGGGGGACACGATACATGCTTTAGGCCAATCCCTAAGCCAGGCATCAGTCAAATTTTTATATCACAGTAAACATGTATGACCTGTGCAGTTTAAAGACTTGGCGACTTGGCACATATCGAATTAATGAATTGTCACCTTGATGCAACTTTTTTGATTTGAGTCAACAAGAGAATACTGCGAATCGACCTTCAATGAACTCTTCCGATGCTACTGCTGCCTCCCAAGTCGACCCCGAAAACAATGGAACCGTAGTAAATGTCGTCTCATGGTTTCTCCTTATCACGAGCTCTCTCACTATTCTTGTCCGACTTGTGATGAAATGGGTACTATTGAAAAAGTTTCACGCCGATGATGGGTTGATCCTAGTGTCGCAAGTAAGTCATGTCGTTTATTCGGAGATTCGCATGTTATTCTAATAATTATCAGGTTTTTAGTATCTCGCAAACGGTTGTAACGTCTATGGAAGTTACGAACGGCCTAGGATCACATCTCAACACTCTGAGCATCGACCATGTCAATGCTTTCCAGAAGGTATGCATCTAAACCCCCAGTTTTCTACCTGGAAATGTAATTCCTTGAATTACCTACATACTAACTTCTACGCAAGTCATTCTATGCAGCAAATGTACTCGCGGTCGCAAGTCAAGCGATGTCAAAATTGTCTCTAGTTTTCTATATCAGAGTACTCTCCCCTATTACGCTCCACAGAATGTTCTGTTGGGTACTGATGGGGGCCATACTACTTTGGATGTTGACTTCAGTCATAGTGTTGCTATTTCAGTGTGATAGTCCAAGATTTTGGGACTTCCTAACCAACGGATGTATGAATCGACTGGCAATTTGGTATTATATCAATATCGCAAATGTTGTCATTGATATTTGCTTAATAGTGTTGCCCGTGACGGTGGTATGGAAACTACAGGCTCGGTTCAAACGCAAATTAGTTGTCATTACATGCTTCACTACTCGGATTCTGTAAGTTTCTGGAATCGTGGCCAATTAATATCCTATATGCTAACACTCCAAGAACGATCGCCGCCGTTGGCTGGCAGATTTACGAGTCCCAACAACTACCCACCTACGAAGACGCAACGTATACGTACTGGTCCTTCGTTCTAGCAATGGTATTAGCCCAGAACCTAGGCGTTATGACAGCCTCTGTCCCTTATCTGAAGCCATTCCTCGACAGCCTGGAGTCAGGCTTGATACGAAGCGACGATATCAGGCGACGCGCACATATTCCAAAATCAACTTCGGGTTCTGGTCAAAAGCAAACAGATAGTTCATTCTCGTCAAACCCTCCCAGGTCAACTCGCGATGTGACAGCACATGAGTTACAAGACCTTAGGTATGACAATTCTAAAGCTACCGTGTCGATAACTGCTGGGGGATCAGGGACATCGGCCGATTGGGAAAGTGCAAGTCATTCTAGCGAGGCGAAGCTCATTAAACAAGTCAAAACATGGGGGATCACCAAATCTGTCGCTCCAGGGGGTGGGGTTTGACCAGCAGCGAATAACAGCCAATTCGAAGTTGAATGTGCATAACACATCCAATATTTTTTAATGATATATATTCTAATTGATTCCAAGCGAGTTTGACAAGTTGATGATAGGAACTAATCAAATCTCAATCCGGAGTTATTTCACGTAGCAATCCAAAGAACCATCGGTTAGATCCGCCGAAGCGTTGAAGGCACCCTTTCATGGGGGCATTCCCGCATCCCCAGATTGTTGGCGCGTGATTTTTCGTTCGATTGCAACGACAATATACTGGACTCTTTACAATATATACCTAGGTAGCTAGCCCTCCATAAAAGTCTATGTTTGGATATTTCGCATGTGTCTGTGTCGCTTATCAAACAAGCTTTTTCTGTTCTACAAGATGAATGAACACGGCACACAATGGGAGAGTTTTTAAGGTGCTACAACATCTGGAGCCATGTAACTTACTCCAAACGAATACGAAAGTACGGTCATCATTTATCAGTTCAAGGTTTCCCTTATTATTACAAGACGTTTTCGTTATAGGAAGGGCAAGTGCATATCATGGCCTCCGGTTGGTCTGTCACATTAAGGAGTATGGTTACACAACAGGATGTGAGGGATGTCTTCGCATTCTCTTTCCTATATAGTTACTTATCAGACGTTGCATTGACCGACCTCCAATCTGATCCTATCCAAGCTGTAATTTCGAAGTAGGGGTTACTCTTTCCCTAGCGATTTATCTTTCCCTACCTCATCTTACGGCATGCGTCTTCTGAATCTCTCATACTGCTGATGATACCTAATCAGCATTTCTGTTTCCGATGATACACAAGTCTTGGTAGTAAGACGATCATGACGGGAACCTATGAGATGGAGACGTCCAAAGGTGATAGCAATGGCCCACCATCGGCTGAGCTGAATATCGAGCGACTCTCAATTGAGTCGATATCGCGACGAAAAGATTCCCAAATCGAAAGAGACAATCGAGAACTCGAGCGCTTGGGGAAGATACCGGTTCTTAAGGTAATTGATAAAAGAACATCTCATTGTTTATCCTTAATAGTTGCATATTGATATTGACCTGTCATGTTCTACAGAGAAACTTCGCTTTCATGTCCATGGTCGGCTTCACCTGCACGGTCATGAACACATGGGAGGGAGAGTTACTGTATGCCGGATATAATCATCTCAACTTTGCTACAAAATCTAATTGTCTTCGCAGACTCTTTACCCAGTCATTCAGCAACGGCGGGTCCGCAGGCTCTATCTATGGCTATATTATTGTCTGGCTTGGCACATTATGTGTCTTCGCAAGCATGGGTGAATTAGCGTCAATGTAAACCGACATCTGTCAGCTTGGATTCCGAAGGGAGAAAAAGGACAAGAAGGCTAACATATCTGGAAGGGCACCGACGTCAGGGGGTCAGTATCATTGGGTGTACATGTTAGCTCCCAAAAGCTCGCGAAAGTTCATGAGCTATCTGATCGGTGCGTCTACTATCACGACTTATCCCAATTGCTTCAACTAAACCACGCCTTGTAATATTAGGATGGTTGACGGTCATCGGCTGGCAAGCTGCTGTCGCAAGCTTGGGTTTCCTCTCCGCGCAGCTTATTCAGGGGCTAGCTGTGATGGGGAACGCTAACTACGAACCTCTGGCTTGGCAAAGAACACTACTTCTCTGGGCTTCGATCGCATTCGGAGTATGCGTCAACACGGTGATCAGCACTGCTCTTCCGAAAGTAGAGGGACTGGTTTTAATTGTCCATGTTCTCGGATTCTTCGCTATTCTTGTTCCGTTGGTCTACCTAAGCCCCCACAATAGTACCGAGGAGGTCTTCACAGTCTTCCTCAACGAAGGTGGATGGCAAACCCAAGGCCTTTCGTTCATGCTGGGTATGATAGGTGCCGTATTTAACTTTCTCGGTATGTGGCCTCTCCAGATATCTCGTCTTGGCATTACCAATCTAACAAGAATGCAGGTGCGGATGGCGCTGTACATGTCAGTGAAATAGTGAACTTCTCTTACACGAAACATGGTCGCTAATGAGCTTGTGCAGATGTCCGAAGAGATTCAAAACGCCGCCGTTATCGTCCCAAGAGCCATGGTCTTCACTGTCCTGCTTAATGGGGCTATGGGGTTCGGCATGTTGATTGCCGTCCTCTTCTGTATTGTCGATATCGACGCCGCTCTCGAATCTCCAACAGGATTTCCTTTCATGGCAATATTCGAACAAGGGGTCAGGTCAGAGCGCGGAGCCCAAACCATGGCCTCGATTCTCGTGATCTTGATGCTCTGTGGAACTGTTTCTGTTCTTGCTTCGGCGTCTCGGATGACTTGGTCATTTGCGCGTGATAGGGGTCTACCAGGCTGGTTCTATCTTAGCAAAGTCAGTACCAACTCCAACCAGAAAGGATGATGATTATGCTAATATGTGGCAACAGGTGAATCCTAAGACGTCGATTCCCATATTATCCATCGCTCTGACGACAGTGATCTCGTTTCTGCTAGCCCTTATTAACATAGGGTCATCTGTAGCATTCAACGACATTGTCTCGTTGACGATAAATGGCATGTACACCTCTTATCTGATCGGAAACAGTCTTCTTCTCTGGCGCCGCCTCACTGGAGGCATAGGTTCGTACAGCAGGGATAACACGGGATTGACCAACGTCTCGCACGACCAACTCTCATGGGGCCCTGTACGAATACCAGAACCCCTTGGGACCATGGTGAACGCATTTGGCTGTGCGTACCTTCTCGTTATGGTATTTTTTAGTTTTTGGCCTACCGCCATCAACCCTACGGCAGAAACGATGAACATGAGCGTTGTGATGGTAGGGGGGACGATCATTTTATCGCTGATATACTATGCCATTTGGGCAAGGAAAGTTTACACGGGTCCAGTGATAGAAATTAGTTAGATTCAGAGACCAGTCCATTGGCAATTTGTACCTATTCAGGATGGACATACCATACCGCTGAGAACCATTGTAATAGAACCACCCCCCTAAAAAATAAAAAAATAAAAAGTCGTACATCAAAACACACATAATCACGGTCATAACATTCACGAAGTAAACACACCGAATTTCAAAAACCAAGATTCCATTCTCTTCATTGCTTCATTTCTCTTCTAATACAAAATCTTATACACAGTCCAACCCAGAAATGATCCAATCGGCATGGTTCATCCGAGTACTCCCCCTTTCGCAAATCAATCATCCGCCTCCATGCTCGATTACTTCCGAAAACTCGAGGCCATCAACCTGTCATCATTCCATCATTAACGACCCGACCCTCATATGTCTTCGTTGATCGATATTTCCGCTCTCATCAACCCATCGTATCTCTTTTTCCAGCGTAAAACACGAATCGGAAGAAGAGAAGAATCGTAGAGTAGCGTCAACGAACCAACCAAACTAAACCAAGACAAGGTAGATAGGTAAACAAAGCCGAATAGAGGAGAAGAGGAATAATAGTAGGTTTTAACAACAAAAAAGGCACTAAAAAATCATTATTTCACCCAGGGCCGCCCGTCTTGCTAACTCCAATTCCCAGATGCTGATCGATCAACAGAAAAAAGTTCGTCGCGTTCTTTAAAAAGCGGCCATTCCCATATACACAAGTGATTTTCCCCTCCGCCTCTGAATTCATCATCGTCCCGATACTTTGTTATTTGTTTTACTTTTTTCGCGTTTTCCAAATGCATGAATGACGTAAACCCCGGTATCCTATTCCCTTTCCCTACCCAGGGCTCCCCCCGCGGTCTTAATCCGCTAGTTGCGAGAGCACGCGAATACTCAATATCATGACGAGCAAGCCTATGGTGACGATGATCAGCAACGTGAAGCTGAACCAACCCATCACCATGGCACTAGTACCGATGCCAGACAACACACTCCCGTTGCCGAAATCCTGCGCTATGACGGACGCGGCCACAGACGCCGTGTGCTGCCATAACACGGAAACAAGCACGAAAATCGACGCGATGAAGATAATCGCCAGCGCGATCTGCGAGACGGGACGACTGGGAAACGGCTTGATCTCGCGGTCGGAGCCCTCGCTGTCCTCCTCCTCGTGCCAGCCGGGGAAGGTGGCGAGCAGCAGGAAGCAGACGAAGGCGAAGATGATGGCGATGATGATGAGGTAGGGGAACACGATCATGTCCTTGAACTGGCTCGCCAGCCAGATCAGGTTCAGCGGGTCCTGGTCGACGGAGACCTCGTTGGCGAGTGCCGTCGCGTTGTTGCTGCATAGCCAGGACCCGCCGTCTGGGTTGATGCAGATGCCGAAGTAGCCGACGCGCGCTTGCAGATGCGCGGACCCGACGATGTTGCTGATGGCTTGGTTCACGTTGTAGTCGACTTGCGAGGTGTCGGGGACGGCGGTGTATTTCTCGTAGTAGATCGAGAGGAGGAAGATGTCGGGGATGAGGGGCGAGGAGGATGAGCAGCCTGCTAGTAGGAGTGCTGTTTGGAGGGAGATTGTTAGTGATGCTGTTCTGGCTGTAGGTAGATAGGGGGTAGAGGTGATGGTGACGGTGAGAGGAATGTGACGACGTACATAATAATATTATGGAGACTGCTATTAAAATCATCAAAACATGGTGGTATCCTAGGAACGGTATGAACCCTATGGCACGATGTTAGTATGTTGGTAGGCGGCATTGCTCCTAGTATCTGGATAGGTACTCACGATACCAGCCGACTTGGAATTCTCCAGGCATATTTTCTGATTATTATTTTCCCAAAATCCCGAGGTAAATATCCTCTATCCACACCCGTCCTCCCGTGGAGCGACGGTGTGATTGAATGGTCTCACGCCGCAGCAGCGCTGGAATGTGATGGGATATCGGCGGCGTATATGGGATGCTCGAGATGGAATGCGGATGCAAGGTTGATCTCGAAAATCCCACGAACGTCTCGTTGGAATGTGATCGTAAATCGTTCACTCGTTGTCAACGTATATAAAACACTCGTCTCGTCGTTACTAGATATTCGTAATCTTTTCTTTGCTTGTCAGATCAATTTCCTTGAATAGGCACGTTTGAGGGTATCGTGCAGGTGCAGGTGTTTGATGATGGGAGAGAGATGAGGTAAGAGGTTAGATTTGCTTGAGATGGATGAATGTGAGTGAGGAATGGATTGGTATGGTATGATGGTATGATGGTATGGTATTGCAACTTAGAAATTCAATGATTTCCTTTCGGGACAACAGCCCTTTGCCCGTTCAGAAAGTCTAGAAGGAGAAGAAAGATAGAGTAGATTCGTTGTCATGTGTCTCTAAGTCTTCTGTTCCCTTTTTTTGCCCTTCGGGTACAAGAATTATTCTGAGCCTGAGTCTAAGAATAATAAAAAAAGAGGTTGGTAGATCGATCGAATGTATGATTCAAAAAAAATGCAGTGCATGAATGGTAAAGATTCTACAATTGGCCCTGCCACCAGGATTTAGACGATGAGATATCGGGCTTTCGTCTGTTCCTAAGTAAATAAAAGATGTGGCTGGGTCCGTTGCTGCAGCGATACCGCTAATTCTACTAGCCTGAGCCTTGATCGAAAAGTGGGAAATTCAGCTAGCCGCCAAGAATTTGGCAGGCTAACCTGTAGCTAAATGGCTACTTTACTTTTTGCTGGTGGTTGGTGAGTGATGGAGGTACCTAACTGGCTATGGGACCTTGCATCGGTGGATCTTGACAACCAATGAAACTTATCCAATGCAGTGCTATGCAACATAAATGACGTGGATTGTCCACATCAGCGAGCTAATGTTCGTTGCCGAAGCTCCGTCCAAGCCCGTCCAAGCAACTGCACCCCAATTGGCTTTGTACCTTGAATTAATCTGAATTAATCTTTTTTCTCCACGTCAAAAAACGCACCCCGCGAATGTGCGACCTTCACTTTTCCATCCTATTCTCATCCCATTCCCATCCCATCTCCTCGAATGTTTATGATTATCGTTTGCCCTACGCGCCTACATAAAGATCCCTCTCCACGCATCGACAGCGCATATTATAGCACGAACATGTGTGCCTGATAAAACGGAACTTTGATCGCCCTACGTGAAGCAGCAGTCGCCAAACATTGTTCAACCATATCCAACGGATTTTACCAGTTGTGAAATCATAAATGGTCCACTATGCACATTAATACCCCTATTAATGTCAACACCTCCACTTGGCACAATTCCCTTAACTCGTATCCCTCAGCACAATTCACTGGAACTAAAAGACAATAGTCTTTGTCGCCGAAGCAACGGTTCATAATTCTATGAAATAGATCTTATTCCAAAGCTGTGGTCGGTCATTACCTATTATCGAGGCACATATCTAATCCACTTGCATTTGCCATCTGAAAATCAGATCTCATCCATGGAACACTATTTACGGTTTATGTAGTCGACATAGCTCCGAGAAACACACCAAACATGATGCCAGACCACGCAACGAAGATGAAGCGATCGATTTAGGCCCATGCATTGAACCACCGGATGGCCTGGAAGAATGCCTCTTCTTTCCCGAACTTCTGCTGCGGGTCCGAGATGTTCGCTCGCACTCCGAATCCGTGTTGAGTGCCACCGTACAACGCAAGAGAGTAAGGGTGCCCGGTTTCGAGAAGCAATGCCTCAATCGCCGACCTCCTCGCGGCAGGCGTCATATCATCTCCGTCTAAGACATAAGATTAGTCCGCCAAAGAAATCTAGGAGTTTGGGAAGATTAGGTAGTTACCTGCAGCGGCGATACTTGCAGGACCGGTGATCGCCGAGATCTCACCATCCTCTAGTAAACTCGGGTGGGCAGCGAACCCAGCGGATACACCCTTTCCCTCGGCTAGTACGCGGAACGTGTATCGACCTCCGAAGCAGTAGCCGGTAGCGACCACTTTCTTCACGCCGAGTTCTGTGCGCAGGAAGTCAATGGCTGTCGCAATGATCGGGTCAGTTGCCTCGGGGCTATGGTCAGCCAAGAACTTCGTCACGTTAAAATCCGGCTGCCCGTTGATATCACCGGGGGCTGGTGTGCCGTTGAACATATCAGGCGCCACCGTGATATACCCGGCTCGTCCGAAGCTATCCGCAAGTCTTGAATCATGTTAGGTAAGAGTCTGCGCACGGAGTAGGTCCACACTAACAACTTGTTCTCCGCCAATTGAATCCCGAACACATCTGTCAGGTAGAGTACACCTGTCTCTGATGTGTTGCCCGTGACATACATGTTGACTTCGTCGAGGTCAGCTCGTCCTTCTCAATCAGCGCACGTATTAAGCTGCTCACTGTCATTGTAAACCTGTTCTTTTCCAACCGGCTCGCCGCTGTGAGCGATAATCGGTGTTCCCGTAGCAGGACAATCCGTCTGACCCAATGCCACTCCGGCTAAAGAGCTGACGCTCCAAAGCGCGAGTAAGGACGTGACTTGCACCATTCTGAACAGCGATCTCTATAAAGCCCTAAAAGTGAGATGGAGAGAGGAAATTCTCACTATCTCGCATATTTCCCTGGGGGTCATAGAGAAACCGGGATAATTGGAGACTCGATCTCGTAATCTAGCCGCCAAGCGATAAAGTTCGACAACTCCCCTTTTAAGCAAGCTTTAAGCAGGCCAAGGGCGGCAGATGTGTGGGGTTTCGTCCTCGGATGCTCTATTCGGAAGTCGACGTGCTTTGTCGGCTAATTGCCTATTCGCACGCCTTTTGAGTTTATCTGGTCCGTTCCATGGTCATGTCGGCTTTCTCCCGTTGGAGGGCTGGTTTCTTGGGTCTCGTTGACTTGGCAGCCAGGGAATTGACATCGACATGAAGATATGAATTGTCGCCCATGGTCACGTACGCAGTTTCAAGATAGAAGCCATCGTCGGAATTGTTTGAATTGACTTGTGTCGAGTGTCTACCTAGTGTAGATGGGGACCCAAAAGTTCCTTATTATTATCCAAACAATGCTACAAGCCATCATCGCGACGAGAAGATGCCCAATTAAGAACTTGGCCCATGTCGATATGCCTACGAAACAATCCATCCAGGTCGCGTCCTGAGTGGTGAACATAAGTTTTCGGTAGTATTCGAAGCCCATGAGACGGTAGACGTACGTCTGGAAGGGCGTGCGCTCGGACGGAGACAATGCTCTCTGCGGTCGGGATATCGCGTTAGCAATCAATTCATCTGAACCTTTCGCACGGACTTATCCTATCAACGAAGGGAGGTTGCTATGATATGAGCTTCCTCATGCGAATCACGGTCTTCCAACGTACCTCGAGGAGAGTATATACGTCATTGGCTAAGATATCCGCTTCCCAGTCTTGCAGGTCACAATGCCTCTTGAAAGCATCTCGCAGCTCTGGGATCTTCGCTTGATAGAGCTCTTTCCCACGCCAGAGGAATTTCTCGGATGCTTCTGGGTCGAGTCCCCGGTAAGAGAGGTATGCTCGGATCCAATCTCTGACGGAAGATGGCGATGCCCCTCTGCCCGGGCAACTGTTGGTTATCCGGGTACGGTCTATTGGATGTTCCCCCAGTGACACCATTCTAGGAATGTTGCTAAAAAGGTGCTAATTGGAGGTTATAAAAGGTATATGAAGTGATTCGATTATACTCAAAGGGAGATGCCATCGACCAGATTCTGTAGGTACTATTCACTTAATGATAGCTGACAAGATGTCTTTCTTTACTGAATCCGGGGAGCTTGACAAAGCGGTCTGAGAGAATAGGCAAGCTGCCTACTAAGGCCTTTGAATCTATATCCCACATCCAAAACGTAGCTACCACATCAATTTCGAGTTTCTGGTTAGAAATTCGCCAAATGACAAGTCGAAAGTTGTGATCCAGTAGCCAATCTACCTACTGAGCCAGTATTCAACACTGTTATAATATGATATACCTAGGTAGGTAGTATCTCGACAAATCATGCGAAACTTAATTGACTAGGTACCTAGTCCACATAGACATATGATGAGTGATGCATATGTGGTTATAGATATGTCGGACCGTAAGGAGTAAAGGAGTGCCGACGTATCACGAGGTTTAATAAATTGCATCAAGATATAAATGCCGGAGGTTGCACGACTTCCTTTTTTTCCATGAATTAGAACGTTCCCAACGGTAAAAGGAAACATGGCTGGTCAGGAACAGCAACTCTTCTCATACGATCAATTGAATTCATATGCATGTGTCGAATGCAAGGGGAAAGGGTAGAGAGATGTTGTGTGATATTCTCATGCTTAATGATATCACGAGTGTCAAATGGAATGATTCGGAGTACGATATCAAAAATCCCAACGAATATTATATTTCCGGGCTTTTGAAACTAGGTATGGTCAAATATCTTAAAGTACTAAATGTGTATAAGAAATCGCCTCATATACCTACCTAGGTAGCAAGGATACTCGGGGGCTTCACTTCGGTCAAAAATCATGGCGATGATATTGTTTTGTAGGAATTGGTGTAAACTCCTCAAATCGAATGTTGTAAAACTTGGACATTCAAATATCAGAGGTAAGAGAGTTGATCTATTATTAGAGTCAGTTTCTGGGGTATCTTAGTTTGGAAGGTAAAGAGAAGTTGTTGGAGCCTCATATAGATGCTATTTTGGAAGCTTAACACATTCGGATCAGGGGCAACGCTCCTTCGCATCCTCAACGTTTATTAATCTAGAACACACAAGCCACAGACAGCCAACATACCCATGGCAATTAAGAATAAAGATCAAGCAAAGAAATCTGGGTTTAATTAACTATACCTGGGTACTTTCCTGGTTTGGCTGGAAGCACCACATGCACTTCTCGGCTACTATTGGCGACTCGGGATCTGATTTAATGAGGATTTTAATTCAAAAAGCCCCAGAGGATGAATGTTTCAACATCCGCCTTCCGATCGAGTCTGCTGATAGGAGCCATGCAAGCCTGTGAAATCCAAAATGAAGCGTGCAGGTGGTGTTTATATATCTAGTAGACCAATGCAGCCAGCATCTGGAGGACTTTGCAACCTGTAGTCGCTATCATAGCCACTTTGCTCATCATGAGAGCGTCCATTCCTTACTTAGTTGCCGCACTGGCTGCGAGCGTAAATGCCAAAGACGAAGGAACATACGCAATCCTACGATTTAACAATGTAGCTGGTCAATTCTCTACTCAGGGGCAAATGGACCCCATTGTGAGTCCCGGTGCCAAGTCAGCGCATATGCACGGCATAATGGGAGGAAGCAACTTCAACCTCACCGTCTCCGGAGACCAACTCTTGAAATCTAAGTGTACTAACGCGAAGATCCTCAATGACAAGAGTAACTACTGGGTCCCTACTCTATGGTTTCAATCTCCTGCCAATGGTACTTTAAAGAAGGTCCCATTGTATTACATGAACGCATACTACAAGTAGGATTAATACCGGATCCATACTGTTTACTTATTTCTAACATCGGATTAGGTTCGATGCCACCAACGATCAGATTAAGGCCTTCCCACCAGGTCTCAAGATCGTTAGTGGCAATGCCACAAGAAGAAACCCGCCAGCTACAGGCGCCTTCCAACTCGACCCAACTAAAGGGGCAATACAACCAGTCCAATGGACCTGCCCCACTCAAAACAACAACGTCGCGCGGTACCCACCAAATTCCGACGGGACGAAAGCGGGACTACCCGACCCGGGGAATCTCGGTAGTGGGGCCGGGTTTCCGGTAGTAAACTGCGACGGAAATTCCTCGCCCCTGAGACAGGACATCCACATGCCGTCCTGCTACAACCCCAAAGCCGGAATCAACGATTACAAGAACAACATGGCGTGGCCGACCCCCACCAGTGGCGGCAAAGCAGACTGTCCCAAAGGCTGGACGCATGTCCCCCATCTATTCATCGAAGTCTACTACGACACGCCCCAATTCCAAAACGCGTGGGACCCGAACGGCAAGACGCAGCCGTTTGTGCTATCGAATGGAGATAGGACGGGGTACAGCGCTCACGCGGATTTCATCTCGGGGTGGGACCAGAAGACGCTTCAGACGATTATTGACGGGTGCAATGCTGGGTTCAACGGCATGGACAAGTGTCCGAATATACCGGGCGGTCTCAATACTGAGACGTGCCAGATGCCTTCGGCGTTCCCGGGACCAACTGCGGAGTGGGTGAAGCAGCTTCCTGGTAACAATCCTTTGTCTGGTTGGGGGGTGTGATTGACTGAACTGTCACTTTTCACTTCGATACTGTAGATATTGCCAGTCGATAGGTCGTTACGTGTCAGCTATTTACTTCATGTATATATTTCTTGCTGAGATAGGCATTGGTGGGAACTAGCTTGTGTTTGATCCTTAAAGGTTACTTGACTTGGGTTTTTTTCACCGCATTTCCGATCCTTTGTTATGCTCTTTGTTCAAGTCTATTTGTGTCTATATGTAGTGAAACTGTGAATTCTAAATATGAAACGCAAAACAAGGGCTTTGTAATTGTAGAAAGTTCTTAGTTGGTGTATCTAGAAAGCATTGAGATATATATAGGCAAGATAATGTGTAGTCTTGTCGGGAGAAGTTCACTTGAATGATATTTAATGCCCTTAACCTAGTAAGATTAATAAAGCTAGATCATTAGAGTTAATTCACAATGACATCCTCCCCACCCAGCCCTGAACGTAGTTCCCTCGGTAAACGAAATGCGGACGAGATCACTACCAATGAAGTTGAAGAAGTGGTAGCTGATGCTCAAGAAGAGCCAGAATTTAAGAAGGTCAAGGTAGACCATATAAGCCCGGCGCATAAATTATGGGAGATTGGAATGGAGATTCCACAAGGGAAACGACGACCACATTTAGGGAAGTTGACACATGATAGCGAGTCAGGAAGCGGTTCAATAGAGGACCCTAAAATCATATGGCTTGGGAAGGTACCCCATGATTCCAAAACGAAAAAGGCAAATGAGGATATCGCTCGGCGAGCTTCGTCCCGCTTGGAGACGATTACTCATGTCTACATCGTATGTGGAACTCAGTCCAGTAAATTCGTCGACAGAGATGGGAAGAGAATTCATTTATGGTATCCCGACGGCATACATTTCCAACATAAGACAACGGCGGCGGATCCCCATATGTTCCTAGCCTTCGGCACCAAGCCGGATCATGTAGTCCTGTATGGTTACATCAATGTCACAGTCGACGAAACCGGTAAACCGACGGACTTCGCGACGTCGCGGAATGAGGATTTTGTTGTCGATGGCGACGATAGAATCTTTGAGCTTTTTCCGTATGAATATGAAGAGCATGATTGCAGTCCTTACTGCCCTAGGCATAAGAGCGGCGAGGAATCGATTGATGTCTGTGAAGACGCACAACCTAGAAGTTGTCGCCTTCATAATACGGATAATCTTATCGACCACTTTTGCCGTCGAACGCGTTGGAGGACTGAGATACTGGGAGATCATTATTGCCCTTGTTACCACGATAAAGATGGACTTCTAGATCACTATTGCCCTTGCCCTCATGATATCAAGCGATTGAGAGACGACGTATGGCATCATTGTCCGCATAAGATCCCAGCCAAGGCTAAGCACACTCATTATTGCCCATCTTATCCGTTTTGAGGTACCTACGTAGTATCTATATTGCATTGTTAAAGAAAGTATATAATAAATTTTATTTATGTTTAGGTGTTAGTATATCAGGATGTTCGGCGTATTGGTTACTTCAAGCTAGGTGGGGAAATAGGTAGATACTTCTCTCTATTGAGAAAATAGTAGGTATGTTAGCCATATTTATGTCTACCTACTACTTATAACATGCATGGTGTGATGGCCCCCTTTTCTGGCCGCCGTAAAGAGAAATGTAAAATGACGTATGACTTACCTTCAGAGGGGCGAGGGATTCACCTACATATTGAAGACAAAGGAGTGGGGTGGTAATCCTTCAAGACCTGCACATGATTTGTACTGTTTGAATCACTAGGGCGGAGGTAAGGTCAATTCTATCAATTACGCCGTAATTTTACTTGACGCTCTATGGGTATCGCTCGCTTTCATTTATTTCTTTTCTTTTAAATTCATTCGTCTCTTTCGCCGGGTTCCCTGTTGCGGACAGACCACACTTGCTTCACCACAATACCGTTGGGTGCTATCGGCAATGACTGCGAGTGAACGCTATCCCTATTTCCTGTACTGATAACTGTCCGTATTCCTGTCTCGAGGCCCAATCGAAGGTCAGGCATCGTTTCCGAAAAGTCGCTCTCGGCGCTCTGTTCTAATCCTGAGGATTTGGTACTGCGTATCGACCTTCCATCATCGTCGGCTTTCCGTGATCGCTCGAGGTCTATGCGGTTAAGTTCCGTCTCACTTCCATCTCCACCGTTGGTCCTCAACAGACTCTTATCCCGATTCGTGGTGTGGCGTGAAAAAGGATTGGTGCCGCCGTATGTGTACTTCTGTGGTGTAACTGATGTCTTCTTCGCTGTATGAAAGCGACGAGAAATCCGTCGGATCAGTGGTCCGAGGGCCATAAGAGATGAGCAGATAAGACCCGAAGCCGACTCAGCCTCTCCCCAGGCGGCAACCGAGACGAGGTCATATGAAAAGTCCACGGTAAGTTTGGCGAAGAAGACCATGCGACATATGGATATGATGCAGGTACTTTTCAAAGTTAGTGACATACACCATTGCGCAGACAAGAAGATACTCACAAGAAGCCCAGGCCAAATATTGCGATAACGGCCCACTTCCGCTCCCTTTTCAGGTTTAATCTCCACACAACAGGAATCGGAAGCAAAAGAACGATGAGATCGGTTACGATATTTCCGACCGCATTCATCCATCCGAGGAGGTTGCTGTCTAGGCATTTGCCCCCTCCACTATGGTCCCAGTAACTGTAGATGGGGGTGCAAGAAAATATGAGAATAAACTCTTGCGCAATGACCCAACCGCCGACGAGAGCCATGGCAACAAGGTAGAATAAGCGATAATGGGGAACCTCCTGGATCAACCGGTAGTATTGGAAGAATAAGCTGAACTTAACAAACATTAAAGTCGTGGCGTAGGTGACGGTTAAGAAGTAAAACATCTACGCAGTATGAATTAGTACGTCGCGACTCAGTCGCGTGGAGAGCGTTTGTCCTTACCTTCCAGAAGTTGGTGAGTTCCTCCGCATCTCTTATGTCCCATATATGAGCCCCGAGTCCATATCTCGTATGCAAACATTGCACTATTCCATTCGAAATCATACCAATCTGTTAAGTGAGGTTAGGAATATGCTGATCTAAGACATAGTAAGTGGGTGGTTTCAAGAGGCTTACCGTGCCAGCCATTGCGAAATAGTCATCGAGCCAAAATTTGTTTAAAACGAAACGTCTCGTGTATAATCGAAAGCATACGGCCGTGGTAGCGAAGGCCATACACAGCACCACGGCCGTTATGGCCTCGCCGCTGCGGTTGTCATGGGGAAGACGTTCGAATGTGGCGGCGTCTATGCCCCAATAGGTGCTCATGCTGGCTGCTTAGTCCCCCGTGCCCGTTAGAGCCCAGCCAAAAGTTCGAAATAGTCAGTCGAATCGGTTTCCATAACAGGGCGACCTTTAAATCATCGTTCAATTCGTTTATCGACGTAGTCTACGCGAAAGAGAGATGAAGGGAAGGAAATAGCAAAAGCGATTCATCCGTGCGCCGCATGGGTTTTTGGACTTCCATGTGGAGTCCCTGTCTTCAGGTTGAAGTTCTGCTTGCCTAGTAATAATAGTAGACGTATTATTGCCTCTTCGCAGTCTAGCCCTGAGATGATCCCGAAGCTAACGGGATTGGAGGGTATGACGGGAATATAAGAAACGGCATAATACCTAGTACATAGAATGTAGGACCCGAACTTCGAATATGGAATCCCATGCGACCGGAGCCGATGGCCTGGAGCCCATTATGGGGGTAACTCCATGGCAGCATGGTCACAGCAAACGGTTAAAGACAGGAATTGGCGGGGGAAGTACTTGGCGGTCCAGTGCAGCAGGTCTAAGGTACAGTCGCGAAACAAGCTATGCCATTTACAGGCGTGCGCCGACAGATCTTTGGCCGCTTTGATTTGATGCTATCCGCATCGAGGTCTAGCTTCAACTGTAGCAGTTTCGAACTTTGGAGTTCGTTTCTAACCCGCTTATGCGAACTTATCACTCTGTCACTTTTTCTCGCGATATTGCAGTTGGCCACTGGTGGCAGGCTAGGATAATTGCAATGAAGATCACCAAGAGTCTAAGACTGTTGAATGCACAGAGAGACGGCGTACTATGTAATAGTAAGTACCTACCAGGTAATAAGTAAGCAAGATGCTTACGCACGCAGTTGCATATTTCAACCCATAGCGGGTTATGTTTACTGCATTCGATATCGTTTCCAGGTGCCCGTAACACTGAGAGTTACGCCGAATAATACTATGCGCTACAGTATGTAGTGCAGCCTTTGGCATATTATCACGAAACTTTTATCGTCACCTACAGAAGCATGATTAAAAATTTGCCTATTGGCTCTCCAAAAGTACCTGGTTGCCGGGGGGTGGAAATTCTTCTAGAACGGGGAAGCGGAGAATGCAGTAGTTAAGGGGCAAAAGGTGCAAAAGGTGACATTACGGGAACTGTTTCCAAGATTCATAACAGTCTCTTTATGACCATTGATACGAACCTATGCATGCTTGGCCTATCATACATAATTCTCCAGCTAAGCTTTTCATTCGGACGCTTCAGCGCTCTTGGGTGACTTTCCACGTGCAGGTAATAAATCGCTTGCATGATGTTATCTTACTTGACAATCTTACCGACCAGGGCTACCAGGTACCTAGGTAAGCTGCTAAGTTTTAAGATGTTCAAACCATGGACGAAAGACAAGCGGTTCTGGGGGAGGATATGCGCTTGGATCGCCCGTAGTGGAGATAGGGACTTCGTCAGCTCGTCTTGGCGACCTTATCCATGTCCCTCCCGCACAAATCTGGAGAGATCTTCGAAGGTTCAAAACAGCGATGGGCGAGCTACCGCGTATTCATTTCCACCCCAGCCCTACGATACTCAGAATGATGGTACGCATGGACTTCTAGAAATATAATCCCGACTGGACCTAAACTAGCGGTGCGGCGTCTTATCTTCTTCATAAGTTCATCCAAGCCTGGGTATTCTCCATAGGAGACAGATAGGTAAACAGCTCGGCCTTAAACATCATTCGATTATTGAGATATTATGGAGATGTCTCCATTTGAATCTATCACCTTTTGAGTACAGCGTAAGTATGTCCATGGTAAAGAATTTCTATCGGCCGTATCTGGCTCGGGGACGGAGAGATTTCGCTCAAAAAAGAATTTCTAATTCTTGATACCTGTCCCCATTCACGTCACGCGACGCTCGGAGCCGGTAAAAAGATGCAGCACACTGTCACCGTCGCAACCAATCTGCCGGCACCTAATGATATTTACCGGTACTCGAGCGTTTTTCCTATTGGCGTTTGCCCCGGATCAACATATTTATACACCCTTTTCTTCTTTTCTTGAACCCGTTCGTTCCATTATTATCATAACTTAGGAAGCTTCTAATAATTGTCCGGATTTCTTGTCCTTCTGTTCCGAAGATTGATAAAATGCTGTTGTCTACTTCATAGGCTGCCCAGAGGTGCGATTCCTCCTTTTGGTAGGGCTTCGTGTCTAATAGACGCCATAGAGCTACCTAAGACATACTAATACCTACCTGTAACCTACCTGCCTAGTAGAGGTAAGTGCATACAATGAGAAGAAGTTCGCTCATAATCATCAGCCAAGCATGCTTACAGCTTCCCCGCGACCTCTCAACCCGGAATTTGGCTCCTGAAGGAATCAAAAACTCGCCAATCTAGTATTGACAATTCAATGAAACTTCAAGTCGCATCAACCATCATCGTGTCTTCTACTCCGCAATCATTGCTTACTATTCTTATACATCCCATCCAAATTTATCCGACTATTCACATCAGATTCCACATTTCGACTGTTTAGGGGACTGCGGAGAGATGTATATTACAGAAGCACATTCTTCTCGATTGGCACCCATATGGTATTACTCAAATCATATACCCAATCGTTCTCATTGTCATCTCTACAATCTTTACTAATGCTGCCCGTCTGGTTGGTCCACCATCAAATTCTGCCACCATTCACAATGATTTCCTGGTCTCTAACTACTACCCCCTCTTTTCTTCGTATCTTGCCTTTGCTATTTCCTTCCCAAGCACAGTAACGCGGCTCTGGCCGCCTCGGATTAATCACTCTATGAAGTCATTTATATATCCGAAGAACTCATTCGTACATAGTTCTTCAACCGAATGAGGCCGTCGACTGGCGCAACACCATCTCCGAGATGCTTGGCTTTTGATCGATTTCGTAATGACTACCGTTCCTCACGAGTACCTCTAGGTAGGCAAGCAGGGCCTAACCATTAGGTACTAAGTTTCTAGCAAATTTGTTGGCTACCTACAAGACAGCGTTATTTCAAATTCTTCCCCAAACTCATTCTAGCGCGCAATGCTACCTTTTTTAATCTAATACTATCGAACTAGGGTGAATTGAGGTGGCGCATCTATGACATACACATCTTGAGGTTCAACTCCTCGACCTTCTAATAATTAACCTACCTAGGTATTTTTCAAATCCGAGCTGAGCGCTTCCCACATACAGGCTACCCCTAAACCCCACTAACGGCAACCGCCACCTGGAGAAAGTCTAGGTTAATAAGGAATCATAACAACCTTGGAATAAACAAGAGAGTTCATAAAGATCTTAATGTTCTAAGATACCATCAGTAAACGTACATGGCAGTTTACAATGAAATATGAGAGCCTTACTCGATCTCCAAGTAAGCCTCACCCTTTGACTGGCGCCCGCGACAGAGATCTGTCACTCGCCATGGATCCAGAACCTTAAAGATCAGGGGCCGTATGTCTTTCGGCGGATCAGGCCCTTTTACCTCCGTCACGCCATCGCGGGAAAGATACGTCGTGGTATCGGCAGGGAGGAAAGGTGCCGGATGCCGGATATTCCACATAAACATATTGATAAGCATGAGGCTCGCCTCGAAGACGTAGAATGGCCACTCGGTGCTAACCACAGCGTTGACGGAGTGTTCCACGCCACGATAGATAGTGCGTATTAATATGAGCCCGACGCTTATGTATAGCGTAACAAGATTATTCTGAATGCCTCGGGCGCCTGCGATGCCGGCCTGTGCGCATCGCCGGTGGAAATAGCCAGCCATGATCAGGAAAGATATGACGATGACAATTTGGAGGACTAACGCCGACCACATCAAGCCACTGCCCACTGTAGGGTTGCTTTTTGGGTTAGCCATGAAGGATGCCGCGATGCCGTTAATTCCTTCGATGACCATAGACAGTAAGGCGAATGTAGAGAGAACTCTCCCGGGTTCCATGGGCGAAAGATAGGGGACGTAGTAGAAGATGCGGCCAAGTATGTCGTAGTTGGCTAATGATAATAGGGGCCTAAACCACAATTTCTTCGTCAATAGGCCTTGTCTTTTCTGTGATTAATAAGGACTGTGGATAGATTATGGACGTACGGGCTAACGTAGATGAGAGCGACGCTCACGATATAGGGACCTAGCTGATCGTAGTTACCAAACGCACCATTGATTCGAAGTGCGAACCCAATGACATAGAGAAACCCGCCGACGACGAATAGGCCTGTTATTTTGAAGCACCTGTAGCGACTAGCAACATAGGATGAATGTTAACATCACCTGCAAGCCAAGATTGACATCATTAGGGGATAATATCGGAAAGACTTGCAAGCATTGCCACAGATGTATCTGCGCCGAGATGAGAAACGCCAGTAAGAAAAATATCGCAGCGCCCTTATTAGGAACGTACACCCAAAATGATATGCCCTCTTGATTAGAAATATAATGTTAGATTAGCTATCGGCTAGAGTACTTAATAATGGAGGCCTTGGCCATAGAATGCAGCATACCGTATTTGTTAGTCATTCTTATTAGGTAGGTAGTTAAGGATTCGCTATGAGCTATGAATCAACAGTTCATTCCAATATCGAATCTGCCCTTTTTACGGCTTCTCAATTCTCTTATTTAAATATCATTAGCCTCCATACTATTCAAGCATATCCGCCTGGCCCCTTTAACACCGGCACTGCCACGGTAGGACCTCCGGAGCCCTAGGGTTGCGGACCAAAGAGTGGAGTCCAGAGCTTCAGGAGTGACCTCCGGAGGCCGAGGCCGCCATAGAAATCCCTTTTTAACTTCATACGAAGTACATCTTGAAAGAATCCAACACTTCCACTGGTTAGACATTCCGACGATATGAAGTGATTCAAGAGTATTTCGTAGGTAACTAGGTATGTTCATATCTTCCTATCCCCATCCCCCATCCCCCATCCCCCATAGCCTCATTTAGTCCTGATATTTTTTCAATACACCCGACGCGCAAACACCAATAAACACCACCAAGCCAGTCATAATCCAAAGCGACGTCACAAAGAGCCTGCTCCTTGTCGTACTCCCAATCCCCAGCGCAAATGCTACCCCGAGAATAACACAGCTAGAGATAGCTATCAGGAAAACCCCGATCGGTCGAACATACACCCCGTAAATCAACAAGATCACAAGTGGCACTGCGGCGAGACAGAACGCCGCAATCCACCACTTATTCCTGTACGCCCGTTTCCCAAGAGTGTTGCTTTTCACCCAGCCATATATCCCAGACCTAAAGCTGTACTCCTCGCGGGTCAGGGGTGCATCGAAGCGCACAGTTCCGCCCCTTAAACGTTCCCGGACCATATCTTTCACCTTCGCGTCTTTTAGTGCATGCACATCAATATCAGAATTGGGGAGTTCTGTGTTCATAGCGTCGGCTAGTAAGATGACCGCTCTCCATCCCTTTGGGGTTTCGGGTTGGCCTTGAAGAGGGAGCTTGAAATGGGCCCGGAGCCACATGATTGAGATCCCGATGGTCCATACCATTAGTAAGACCGAGAGGATGAATAATTGTGCGAAGGAGAACCCCCATTGGTATTCCTAGTTGGTGGTGTTGCGTCAGCGAGTTTCAATGGATAGGGGTGGCATATGAAGGGTCTCATACGTTTAATACTGGTTGACAGCTGCCGTTGCTTATTATATAACTTAGATCATATGTCCGATTCGACGCGAGGTATGTTAGATTCGTTTGGTTCTGGAAAGGCTTTTGCCCATTAGATGGGTCGGTCCACTCGTTCCCAAAGAGATCCCCTGGCGGTATGTAGTATGCTGAGATGTTAAGGGCTGGGGCTGGAAGTTGCTTCTTATTCCAATTAGATTTGGTATCGTTAGTGCCTAAAAACCCATAGGAAGAAACATCTTCATCCATAAGTCAGTGTTGAAGAATTATTACTTTGACTAGGTACCTAGTCTTAGAGCGCTTACAGTCTGATACATTGTTCAGGAGATTACATCTATCACCAATGCAGCGATAATTTGAAACCCAACCGCTGCCCTTCTGAAGCAGTGGATCGACTTCATAGATATTAAGAGGCCATGTGATATATGCATCAGTTGTTAGGTTGATCCTATCACCATCATGGACAATGTACGCCAGTGCCTTGAAATCCGAAAACGGAATCAAATTTCCACCTTCGCCTTGTACGAAGGCTTCAGTCACTGGTGTGTAACCCGTCATAGCGCTAGCAAGCGTGGGGAATACAAGGATGAAGATCATCGCTGTTATCATGAACACCATTGCGACGATAGAATGTAGACGTCGGTAGGAGATGAAATCTTTCGTGAGATCGACCACGGAAGATAAAGTAGGCTCCTTATGAAGGAAGATACGCCAGAATGTCCGATACGTGACCGGAGATTTATCCATAGAAGTCGTGGTATATTGTGCGAAAACGTGCCACGAGAGCATGGCGAGCGCAACTTGTCCCACGCGACCAATGATCTGGATGGAGGTCGATTAACACAGGATGCGCCCGGAAGCAGTACGTTGACTTACGACATCCCAACAGATATCAATAACCTTCGCTACGGTAAAATTAAGTGTGCCAAAAACCAAAGTGATTTCAAAGAATCCAGAGGAAGACCAGTCCCAGGCATTGTAGCTGTTTGCATAGGGGCTGAAGCTACCATCTGGTTGACATGCCGTCTTCACGGCACTTGTGTAAAGAGAGGTGACATCGGGCGAGCTGGCGAGTGAACCGATTGCGACCAAAAGAACGGCGATCCAAAACAGATATAAACAAATGAATAAGAGTTTCCACGATTTCTTGGACCGTAAGTCTTTCAGTACCTCTCCTGTGGTGCGTTTCCACTCCCGTGATATCCATCGGCCTGCGCGATGCACTCCCGTCGATTTCTGCGGACTAGGAGCGGGATCTAAAAGAAGCGGATCGAGCGACGGGTGGGTTGACAGGGAGGAGTCGACGGGTCGCATCTTCGTGAATTCGGTACCACATTACACGATCGCGTTAGGTCAGGTTTAGGTTTGGGCAAATATAACGTTTTGTTTTAAACATCATCTAGAATTAGAGAATGCAAATACTCTAGAGATTTTGTCAGTTTGGATTCCCTTACTACGTCAGTGGCGACGATCATCTCACGGCAATTAATTGTAAACGTGCTGCCTGAAGAATTTTAAGGCGGTTTCTCCGGGGAGTGCTGTCAATTTACAGGCCTATTGGCCGCTGTAATATTAGGGAATACAGCCACCTGCAGTCAGCTTATAATCCGTAGGACTTGATGCATTCCATAATTCAGCTTTCAAGGAATATTTACCGGGACCTAGCTGAAAATAAGTCGTCATTGGGTATGCGATTCTGGCAAACCACAACACCATCAACTAATCCGAATACGAATCACACATCGTCTTCGTAAATCAAGTAGGTACCAGTTCCTCAAAGACCTACATCCCTAAACCGAACCCGCCCATCTAGTTACCTTTTAACCAACCATACCCCCAAGAAAACCCGCGCCATTCATGAATTCATAGCTCGTGCTACACCTCATCGCCATTAACCCGCCCCCTTTTACTCCTTTCCCAAATCAACCCTACACCCCTCCGCCGGCCTCAGAGAAATCGTAACAGCCTGCCTCTCCTGCCCAACAACCTGCACGCGCTCACCGACCGGGATCCGAATCAACGGGAACCGCTGCAGGATACGCACGATCGCGTACGCGCCCTCGGTCAGGGAAAAGTCCACTAGGTAACAGCCAACGTCAGCACACGAAATTCCAAGTTGTCAATAGAGGTGGGCATCATACTCCCCAAACAAACCCTCGGCCCACCCCCGAACGGCAAAAACCTCCAGCCGCGATGCGTCGCGTCGTGGGAGCGGAGGGGCTCTTCGTTCCAGCGGTCCGGGCGGAAGAGCTCCGCGTCCATGCCGTAGAGGTCGGGGCGTCGGTGGATGCAGTACGCGCTGTAGAGCACGCTCATGCCTTTCGGGACGACGATGGGGGCGGTGCCGTCAGCGCCGCCGCCCGTGGGGAGGGTTGTGTCGCGCAGGGCGGTGCGTGAGATTAGGGGGACTGGGGGGTGCAGGCGGAGGACTGTGCGCGTTAGTTCGAGGTTCGAAACTTATATGGGGGTTGGGGGGGGAGACTTACCTTCTTTCACGACGTTCTGCAGGAATGTCATCCCGAGCAGGTCCGCGCGCGTGAGCGGGGCAATGGTCTCGTCGACCTCGGCGACTTCTGCTCGGAGTTTCTCCATGATTTCGGGGTGTCTTACTAGGTTGAAACTATTGACATGTAAGGATTAGGCTTTTTTTTTTTGGCTCCATCGATTTGGTTAGAGGGTTGCTTACAAGGCCCACGATAGGAAAGTCGCGGTGGAATCTCTGCCCGCGGTGAGGATGTTGATCGCTTGGCCTCGTAGCATGTCGCGCTCCGGGTAGTGTTCCGCGACGACCTTTAGGAAGGGAGGTTTTTTCGAGCTAGGTGCGTCGTCGGCCGTTCCTGAGAGGGTCTTTTTGATGATGTTATCGGCGAATCGATGTACGATGTCGCATGCCTTTCGCAGCCGCTTACCGTCGACTAGCCAGTACAGTTTCTGGAACTTTAACCTCTTGCCCGATATGCTTTGCGCCAGGTCAAATGCACCTTCGAAGTCGTGGCCTACGACGCTGGAAGATGGTCGCTGGCTCCATACGGACTCGCCGAACAGGAACTCGGTTGTTACATCGAGTGTCAAGCGGAAGAATAACGGCTCTAGATCCACCACGTTCGTCCCATCGTTGGCAATCGCTTCTAGAAGATTTTCTACATGTGGTCTGTAGATGTCTAGGTCTTCATAGTGACGGCGATAGAAGTGCGGGCGTAGAATATCTCGCGATTGTTTCCAGATATCGCCTTCCTGGAGGAAGATCCCTTCGCCCAATAACGGATGGAAGATGGTACGTCGGAAACCCAAACCCCAATCTAAACCAGGTTAACATCGGCACTTATGCGACTCATTGAACTCGCTCACCTTTGAAATTAGTTGAGAGTATGGTCTCGATGTTATCTGGCTCGATAGTGAGGATAGATGTGTTCGTTCCTACAGCTTGGCGGAAGGTATTTCCGAGTCTGCGAAAGTTGTCCAAGAAGAACTCCATCAAGCGCATCTCATCTGATGCCTTTAAGGTCATCACCAGCAGATCTATTCCTAAGCGCCATCTGTTCGCCTGCGGAAGCGAGTCGTAGGTGCATGCTTCCCCTCCTTTCGCAAACGATACCCTTGTCTATCCAATGTTAGACTCGGTATCCTTTCTTCTCGCCCAGACAACTTACTCTTCTCCTAAAAAATATATACCCGGCTCTGTAGAAATAGAGAGCAACCGCTACCAGAACGGGGTAAAACCAAATATGCATCGTAATAGACATCGTGATAGACATTAGGTATCTATTTAGGTTGGGTATGACATTGGATTAGCTTGTAATGAGGCTCTCGCAGACTTGGCGGCTTGGTAGGCAATCTAGGTATAAATCAGATCTATTATAGTAATTAACAAGATATGGTTGTGGAAAGGATTTGTGGTGCTACGTTTATTTCCATTAAGAATGATTTGCAAACCCGTTCCCATGGTTTTGACATTCCAAGAGCGGCCGCGGGAACTACGGGACTGCGGGATTCAAGGAAATGTCGCAATGAGGAGGTGCCCTACTTTGATCGTGCATATTGTTAGCTGCTTGTTTAGGATCGCTTACCATTTGGAGATAGGTAGCCCTCCTCCGGCGTCATTTTTTGAAAAGAAAAATGATTTATTTCTGCAGGTGTGCAGGCGATAGTCAGGAGTTGTGCGAATCAAAATGCGAATCCGAAGCCCTCTCCAGTTCGCCGGAATGAATCTTGATCGGCTGGTTGCATTAGGGTATCCTCATAGGTGGTTAGCTCTTCGATTGTCTCACTAAAATTGATTTTTCATTCGTTCCCTTACCAACTGCAGAAACGCGCGGACCAATCCCCTAACAGTAAAAGCGCTCTTAGGCTTCGTCGTGCATGTATCTCCTCAAGCCTTGCGGCACTTCACGATAGATCACAAGCCACCCACGTCATAACCTCTGGCAATACAGAGTACATCTTTTCTTAAATTCGTTTCAGCTCCCACAAGATTGGTTCTAGGTCTAGATTATTAACCTATGTTTCGGATGAAGACTTACCTAGTAGTACTCTTCTTATAGCTCCAGTCGAGAGGGAGTTAGAGTTATTTTCAATACAAACTAACCTAGCAGCCTAGTACGCTTCCATCGTTCGATATTCAGCTACATCTCATACCATGATCCGAGGATCTATTGCCATTCTGTCTCTTACTAGGCGCTTTGGTCCGATCGGTGGTCGACCCCCGCTCGAGGCAGCCGCCTAGGTCATACCGAAATTTCTACGCTAATAGGAAACGAATTCGCTAAGATGTATGTATGTTGGCCGAATCCTCTTCAGGGCTCCACCGGCGACTAGGAGGCCATACTTATGATGATTGGATACATGGTTCATTTTCCCTCGCATGGCGTCGGCATGTGAGCATCACTGATCATAAGGTGTTCATGCACGCTCGGATGCCAGGGTTGCTTATCTCGACGTCAAACCCACAGCCAATGCGCAGGAATGGCCGTCATCCTGAAGCGAACTAGCAGCATTTCTTGGCGTCTTCGTCGCAATAGGCCGATGAGATTGTGAATGTCGTCTCCTACAAACAGTGTCTAAGATGGCGCAACACCATCCCCTTGTGTATTCTCACCACTATCCTTCGTCATCTCCCACCCGCGATTCCTATACTGTTTCGGCCAAATACCGCACCGGCCTGGCGCCATGATGCCATTAGGATCCAGCGCATCCTTTAATTTCTCATGGAACTTCATCAGCGCGCCGTCATTCCAATTATACGTCCCGGCCACCTGATCCATGAGCACCAGATGCGTCCTGTACTCCCCATACCCAAGCGCCGCGGCGTCATCCACCAGGTGGCGCAAGCAATCCAGCACATCCTTGCGACGCTTTGGGTCCGCGCGATCATAGACCAACTCCACAATAAGGTGCATCTCACGCAGCCCGACGCAAAACGCGGGGAACAGATCGACGCCGAACTGCTCATGCCGCTTCTTTGCTAAGTCATACAACCTTGTCGCGTCGGAGCCGCGGATTGGGCTGACAGGCGAGAAGGCGATGTGAGCACCATTCGGCATCCAATTGACCCAGCGTAGCTCCTGAAGTTCGGGCACACCCGCGGCCACGCGGTCGCGCGCCCAGAAATAGTCGTCCGGTGGGATCGACGAGGCCTCGATGCGGCGCGCACCGGGCACCTTCTTGAACTCCGCATCGACTATGGCGAGCTTGTACTGCCGGATGTGCGGCGGCCCGTACGACATGCCATAGTAGACCCATGTGTGGTCGCCGAAGGGGAGTGTCGCGGCCACGGCGTGGACTACGTCGTTCGGGATCGTGCCTGAGCCCTGGTAAAAGTCGGTTCGCGGCCGGCCGCGCACGGCGATGGATTGTGTGACATGGCGCAGTTGCGCGACGTTTTCGAGGATGTTGCTGATGCGGAGCGGGCGAATTATTTCTATCTATTTGCGGGGGGTTTAGCGTTCTATTGGTGAAAACATTTTAGCGAGTGATATTTACCAGTTGATGAAGATCCTCTTCCTTTTGGAAGGTGTAACACTGGCGAAGGTGAGATTAGCATCTAAGAGTCGTACTGATCCGCATCTAGGTCTTAGGTCTTACAAAGCTCTCATATCCACCTGGGTTTGGCATTAACGTCATACCCATCTTCGTCACAATGCCAAAGTTTGATTGTGAGAATATTCCACTACGAAGCGACATGATTAGTTTGGGGTCATTGGAAGCACATACAAAGACGACATTGACTTACTCGGAATATGGTCCAAATCCGTACGGAAATGTCTGCCATGTATTATTACCCGGTAACGCTCCCATCCCCGTTCGGATAACCTCTCCTGTCGGAAGTACGACCTCTAAGCCTGCATGACACGCCCAATGGTCACCGTATGGCGTATAGCCGACACCTCTGTCTACCGTGTTCCCTATTACAGAGCCGCCACCAACGTCCGGCACATCAACCCAAAGGTGATCGTACCCTTTCTCCTTAATCGCTTCGTATAGAGCGTAGAACGAGACACCAGGCTCGAGAAGACACGTGTAATCTTCCGGGCTGATTTCAAGTATCTTGTTCATGCGCCTGCCGAGGTCGATGAGAACAGCTCCGCGGACTCTGGGTGCCGCACCACCATATCCCACTAATCTCGTTAGCCCCAAGCCTCTTTTCAGCCAACGCCGACGTAGCACACGTACAATTTCGACCCATCGAGATGGGGTTGATAGGTATCTTGTGCTTATTCGCCCATAGGACAATTTGCTGCACCTCTTCGGTGCTGCCGGGGTAGACTATTGCCGAGGGGACCAGCTCTTCGTCATCCACCACCGCCATTAAGTCATGGGTATTTGGATCTACAAGTTTTTAGCAACGTTCATCATTCATTATGATTAACATTTAGCTTACGTTCCATGTACCTAGATCCAATGATTGGTGTAAGAACATATTACAATTTAGGTAAGATTGTGAATGAAAATGGACTTACCAGCCATCCCTCAGGGGCTTATCATTCCGCTCAACGTTTTCTTCCCCCAACTGCTTACCAAGCTCGCCCAGTGCAGCAGAGAAGGCCTGTTCGTTAATACCATGAGGAATAACAGGCAACCTGTTTCTTGAAGCCTTTGGCTTGGTTCTTGTCTCAAAGATTTCAACTTTTGCTTTTCGAGCCTTTTCCAATAGGAATTCAGGGATCCCCGAATGCTTTTCTGAAAGCAGGGGTACATCCGACTGGGCTTCTTCTGAAAATGACATGGCGTTAATATCGATTGATACAGCGAAGTATCACGGTCCCCAGCGGCTTGCAGGATGTCTCAGCCTTTAATTATTATATCCAGCTTCCGAATATTGTCTACTAGGTGCCTAGCCAAGAGTATCGCTGAATCTGGTGCTACCCCGCAGGTAGTTAACCTCGTCAACGCATCTGCCGAACATTGACCCTGCGCTATGCCGATCGTCCGGCGTGAAAAGTGTGCAAGAACTCCAATTTCACTGAGAGCGCGTGGCCTGGGGAACAATAAATAATCAGGAAGGGCTAGATTAAGGGGTCGCGCCTCCAAAGGTTTCGGAAAGTCTCTTCCCCAACCTGCACCTACCCGACAAAAGTATGGTGATAATGCCGGTCGTAGCTGCTGTGTTCCATTACATAATTCCTTATTCAATTATGAAAGCGGCAAATTAAATAGCTCCTAGACAGCTAGAGCAAATTAATTATGGTACTCTAGGCATGGCCTATATTATGAGTTTTTCGCAAATCCATCATGCATTCTTCACAACCTATCAATTGCCTACTCTCTGGGCATGAATGATGTGCTGTGGTAGGCTTGTCCATGCGCATGTTCAATAAGAAGCAGTGAGTTAAACGATAACTCGAAAGATTTCATCGTAAGCTCGGTTCAGCATGCATTCATATTCCTATCATAAGATTGACTGGTATATTGAAACTTGTAATTAAAAGATATGAAAAAGGAATATTGCTCATGAAGTAGGGAAAGAAGACTTTGAAAGCACAGTGGTGAAGAAGATGGGTATCACATGATCAATACCGCCCTGGCTTGCGCGGGGCAATCTGTGTAACGTCAAACCCCACAACTTGATTGCCCCTCCATAGTCCATCCCCACTCCCCACACCGACAAACAAATCTGAAGCAAGCTCAATAGCTTAGCTTACATAGCTCACCATCCAACCCTCCTTCCCATATTAACCATCTACTCCCTGCAGCATTTTAACAGACAAAACGCAATCTTCAAGTCCCGAAAATTACCTACCTATAGGCGAAGTTAGGTGTCATCACCCACCATCCCCCAAAATGTCCGACACCCCGATCCAACACCCAACCCCGGCCGAGGCCTTCAAACAAGCAAAAGCGCACGCCACACTTCTACGTTCCCTCTACCTACACCCGAAGTTCAAGTACGCGCAGCCACCCACGCCCGTCTTCATAAAGCCGAACATGGACGAGACGCCACCAGCGCTCTTCTTCGTCGCCGACTTCGTGCAGACCACGTACATCGAGTACGTGATCCCGTTCCTGCCCGCCGGCGCCACGCGTAAATGCAAGGATGTCGCCAACCCCTGGGCCTACATCGACGCGAACTACGTCTGGGAATGGGAGTGGGACGAGGCTGCCGGAGTGTTGAAGGATAAGGATGGGAATGTGAAGGAGTTCCCGAAGTTGGCTCAGGCCCAGGCGGTGCAGAAGATGGGGGATATTGTGAGCCGTGGGTTTATGGCAAGAAAGGTGATTCTGGAGAATGCGACGGATTTGAAGGCGCAGCTTTTGATGGGGGGCCAGCCGTTTGATTTTGGGGAGGAGGTTGAGAAGGCGGTTAGGGAGACGTATGCTTTCTAGTTTGGATGTTGGGTATTGTTTATGGTTGGCCTGTTGATGTTTACGCCGATGGGGACTAGGTAGGGGATGTCTAGTAAGCACGACCACGAAAGCGCATGATAATGATGGATCTTAAAAGGGAGTTTGCCGTATCGGGATAAGAATGGTACAGTTTGGGATTTCATAATCGGATAAAACACAGGAATGCAGGAACACATAGATAGGAGAAGGGTAACATTATTCTAATTCAAAACACAATGGAGATGGAGATGGAGGATAAAAGAATATTGCAGGCAATAGCCTCAACTTGACATGGAGAGAAATAGTTTACAGTTGCGAGAAATTTCCTCTCGATAACTCAGAATGAACTCTTCGAGAGCCAAATCAGCATTCGATTCTATTTCTTATCAACCCCTTTATATCCGCCCGTGGAACTGCCGGGTCCTCCCGGTCCCCCGAATGAAACGCCCGCACCTCCTCCAAAGTTCGACTGGCTCGCACCTGCCATCGCGGCTTCGTTGCGCTGGCCTTGGGTCTCGCTCCGAGAAGCAACGCCCCCCGATGGCTTGTTTCTCTCTGGTGTAACCTGAAAACGTGTGTCGTCGTTAGTTAGAGAAATGACCATTGGCAAAGTTGCAATTTCCTAACCGGCGTAGGTTTGATGTTCCCAAACTTCAGTTTATCCTTAGAAACATTCTCTTCGCCCATATTGATTGTCTGTTGGTCTCTTAGTATTTGAAATTAAGTATAAGCAATATTAGCAGCAATTGTTTACCCTTAGTTTTCATCGTTCATAACGTACCTATTTTACACATATTTCCTCGTGACATCAAGGTCTATGTCAACATTACGATGGTATAGGGGCTAGAAGTACCGAAATACTTGAACATGTGAAAATGCAAAGATGGTTCAGACGGCCTCAACCTTAATCCGAAAGGGGTTTTGCTCATAAACGGCCCTAGAAAACCAATACGTATTAGCAAGAAACATTAAGAAGTTAATTAGGGTAAATAATCATATTGCCGATACCTTCGTTATTGGTAACTTCCTCTCCGATCAAATCCGTCGTACCAATAATTAGTGGGTGGGGATGAATCGTTCCATATCTTAGTCTATCTCCGCATTCTCTTTCGTATCCGCGTCCGAGACCTCATTCAAACCGTCCGGATCTTCGGTCTAAGGTTTTACTATTAGGTAGCATATCGACTCGGAGGTCGCTTGCCCCTTTTAAACGGCAACATCCACGGAGTTTCTAACCTATGGATCGTACGATATCGTTTGTGGCATGATGATTTTCGAAGGTCCTCGCAGCGAGCTACATTACTATGGATTGAAAGAGATTTAATAGTTGTAGATTCTACCAAAGCACAGAGATATAGGTAGGAACAGAGGATTAGAGACGAATAATATATTAAGGATGGAGGTTGGTCTTTGATGCCAATCGCGTTAATGATATGTTTTGATTAAGAAAATAATGTATTTACTTGAAGCATACGCATATGCATATATACAGTATATGAAGTAAACGACTCGAATGAAAAAAATGACGTAACAGAGCTTCCCTAATCAGTCAACTATTAAGTAGTCCAAACCAACGGATGGAGTTTCAGAATCGCGATTTGGTCTCATTCTTAGTTTTTCTCGTTTGTTCCAAACGTTTAAATTCCCTCTTTTTAGCAATCAAGCTTATAGGTTAAGACGCGTTCATCGATCCCACGATGTTACTATACCATTCACCGTCTAAAGTTCCTTGCCTTACCTCATTTTAATAGTCAGCCCACTTTAACCATGCCTCGCCCTATAAGGTATATCGGAATGTTTCAAAAAGAAGCTTGAATCCTTCGACTTCGGAAAACACCGAAGATCAAGCCACGATCTATTCAGCCCTTCAAGCTAAAGCTGGAAGCTGACAGGGTACTTAGTAACTAGAATGCAACCTTGCGGCACAGCGTCGAAAATAAACGAATTCCGCATTGGGGTTCCCGGTTCCAAACGGGACCAGCGCCACGGAAAACCACAATGCCTATTCGCGGCACAGAAAGGATATCCGACGAAAAGGGGAATTGGGATATCTATGAACTGAAATGCTACCATATACATATGCAGTCGTTAAAGGATATCCAAGAATGCCTCATATATACACCCCAAATGCCATCTAACATAAATCTCTTTTCCGAACGCTCATGATATCTTTCATCAAATATTAGCTAGATCGTAGTCTCTTCCGAATAATATTCTAGTACTAGCGGGTCGTAAGTTTCGTTACCATAAGCACTACCACCGTAGTCCAGATATCCACTGATATACGGTGGAGGGATCTCACGAAGGATCGTGAGCGCATCACCAAACACCCAGACGGTTTGCATGCCTGCGATTGAGATTTCATGTCAGTACATTGATTATGAGATATAATAAAAATAAAAATAAGCGGGGACGGGTCTAGGAGATGATAAATGTCGAATATTCATGCAAGGGTTTATTAAACTTACCCATAATCATATGCTGCAGAATGTGGCAATGCATCATCCATGCACCCACATTATCTTCAGTGACGCGGATTCTCCATGCCCGCCAACCAGCTGTAGTGTTGCTTTGGCCCTTAGCCGTGTATCGGTGCAGCATTGTTGTGTCGCGCTTCATAGGCGTGTAATTCTGAAAGTGCTCTTCGTTGGATGCAGCATCGTATGTGCCATTCCCAGATCCAAGGTCCCAGTAATGTTCACCATGTCCGTGCATAGGGTGATATTCAAACCCGCCGGTAGGACCAGAGTTGCTCTGCCAAACGATGTCGAGGACCTCGCCAACCAGGGCCGGGAATGCCCTAGTCCCAGGATCCCATCCGTTATTGGCAAGTGCAGCCTCATAGTCCGGGGTCTTCCCATCAATGTATGCTTGAATTAGATATGGCGTAGTATGTAGCTTTTGAGCTTCGTCTTCGGTCCACGATAAGTTGTTTTGCCTGTAGTGCTTGTTAGTTACTCTGGTGCTATCCTTTGATAGGATATGTAGATACATACTCCCACACCATCGATCCTGTTACCGTGCCAGCATCGTATGAACCGTTGATGATGTCTTGACTGACCGTGATATAGAGAGTGCGTGTAACCTCATCAAGCGTGGGGAACGGTGTAGGTACGTGTAAGGGCTCGAGGGTGTATTCCATCCACTTAGCTACTGAGTTACCATCGGGTGGTAACGAGACTGGTGGCTGGCTGGGGAAGTTTGGTAGATTAGTTCCATGCCGCTTGCTGTCCTGTGGCTTAGATCCGTGATCCGATGAACCCCTTCTTCTAAATTTTGCCGTCGAATTGCTTTCAATGGTATTGTTACTGTATTGAAGCAACGCGTACCCTCCCATGTCTTCCGGACGCCCGCGACTCTCGAATCGAAACCAATACTGACCATCCTTCCCATCAGCGTCTACTTCATCTTGGGTCTTGGTGGTAAGTAAAATATCGAATCTTTGCCCGCTGCCGATTTGGATATGGTCCGTCGTGGCGGGCTTCGAGTAATACCCATCCGCAGCGATGATGGTTAGATTAGTGTGTTCCTCGATACCGAAGTGAACGAAAGATATGGCAGTCCCCCCAACAAATCGGACTCGGTAGGTCGTTTCAGGCTCCACGTCTATGATGTACGGTTTGCAGGAGTCATCAGGTGCATCCTCGAACGATTTATTTCCAGTGCGGTCGTTGAATATCAATGCGTTTGGCTCGCCCGACCATTTAAAAGGTGTGGATGTAAGTCCCTTTTCGACCTCTTCATCTGTCTTCATGTACCAATCTGCAAAGACAACTGGGATATCTTCGTCATACTCATACGGCGGTTCGCCTTGATCCTCCACTACCAATAGCCCATGTGCTGTAACTGCTTGAAAGCCCATGTGAGAGTGATAGAAATACGTGCCAGCGTCGCCTACTTCAGGATGTATTTCGTAATCAAAGAACGTGCCTGGAGCAATAGGCCATTGGGACACTATAGGAGTCCCGTCCGAAAATGGTGCTACTCGCATAGTGAGACCATGCCAATGCTAAGTCTCAGGTGGTCAGAGACAGATACATCCCAACGACTCGATGGAGGAAGTCTCACATACCACTGTGAAGTTTCTATCGTGCATGTCATTGTACACTCTGACCCAAGTTGTCTCTCCCTCCTTTAGGAACAATGGAGGCCCGGGCATTGTTCCATTGAATATCACCGACTCGCGTTTCTCGCAATTCATCGTAATGGTTTCGAAGGTCGCGTGGAGCACATATTCGGGCTGCCATGAATCGTCATGAATGGACACCGTCGAAGCGACGACGCATGTTTGCAGCAGCCCTAATTGAAGTATTAGCGACGGTAAGAGGCCTAAATGCCACCGCATTTTGAAGCGACGCGACGAACTGATGGGCTCGCAACAAAAACAAGCCAGTAAACCTAACGATATAACGTTGGTAGGCGTTAGATTATTTTATACAACTTCACATACCGGGGCATGTGAGAGCTAGAGCCGGCCAAGGGTGGACCTGTGGTCAGCTCCGGCAAGCATTAGGAGCGATGGAATGGTATCCATCTTGAATACTACGGTACGTTCCTGGGACCCTTGTAGGATTGTAGTTGCTCTTTGGTGGGAGGGCGTGTAACTCTGGTCAGGGGGGAACCACATGGAGGGACTTCAAAATGTGCGAGATCATCCACAAACTAGGCGGCTAGGCAAAGTAAGTAAGACCTAAAATGGGGTCTACCCGTGGCCCGCCTAGCCCCGTCGTGTTGCTGGTAGTGGATAGGCCCTGAAAATAGTTCCGCAGTGGGGGGGACTAATGTGGATTCGTAACGGTATGGTATGTATTTCACCATACGATCCGCCACTTCGATCGTAGTAGTGTTGAGGATGAGGGATCACAAGAGCATACTTCCAACCATAGCCTATCGCAAGTACCAACATGGCCAACGGAGACCGTATTTACTCTTATGTCGGAGAATCGGGCTCGGAAATGAGATGGCCAACACGATAACACAGCGGCTCCAGCCGTGGGGCGCCTATGCATATGCTGCAGTTCCGCAGACAATATGACCTAAACCCGGCCTTTGAAGACATCTCTTTTTTTCGATTCTCTAAATTCCGAAGATGGGCAATCGAACAGACGGCAATATCGGATACATTGATTTGCGATGCTTGTTGATGAGATGGAGCCGACCGCCGCACGTCCTGGTGCTGAACAACGATTGGAAGAGATGCCAAGGATGTCCCATATCGAAATTATGAGCAACAAGAGCTACTCATGCCCGTATCGGCAATTGAGAAGAAAATTTATCTTATTCGTCCCTTTTTCTCCCGTTTAGGAAAAAACAGGTCTCACTAAAAGCCTGATTGGTGTGGCGATACAGATCTGTACAAGTAAAAAGAGTAAGTTAGACAACCAATTCAGGGTCAACGACCAATGGATGATCGAAGAAGGGTGTAAGTTGTGGAAAAGAGGTTGTAGATGGTGAGTTTAAAGTTCAGTAAACTTGGAGGGTCCAGGCAGCCAGGACATCACCTATGGGCACAATGTTTCAGATTCTAGTGAGCGAGGCTTATCCGCGACCAGTTATATCCCAGGTCGTGCTTTCTTTTTTTTTTTTCTTTTAATATGCGTACAACCTCACCAGTGCCTGGCTAATGGAATTTAGCTGCTTCCTATGTTGCTTATTAAGGCTATGGCTCCAATGGGATTATGAGGATAACTGGAGATAAACTCTATTGAGAAAAAGAATTACTTTATCTGTCTCACTGCGCAGGTACAATCGACCCAGTAGAAGCTGATCCGAGGCGCCGCCACACTTGTAATACATATTAGCCACTACGGGCACGTAGTACGTATCTTTTCCCCAACTTCTAACGTCGATTTTTCCACCTCCTCCTTTCAGAAATCAGCCTCATCCCAACGCATCCCAACTCACCTCGAACCTCGTAACCCTTCTATCCACCCATATCAAAACTTAGACAAGCAACATGGTATTCATAACCTTAGCCAAGTGGTGAGACAATCACGTTATATGTCATGATATGTGGAAAGCCTTAAGACAATTTACCACTTCTCGTGGGTTTAATTGTTTGACATGATGCCTTCTCCCTACCTACATATCAGATGCCTACACATGCATATGCCAATCGACCACATTACCTATCTCTCATGCATATCACATCCTAGCTTTCCGCCGTGACAAGCTTCGCGAGAACACTAAACAGCCTTCGGAGAGCGGTAATTTGAAAATACCGTCTCTCGGCCTCCCAGTCCCGATATGCCGCCTTGAATTAACTGTCACGATGGAGAGGACAAAATAGGCGATTGAGATGCATCGACTTGCCATGTAATAAAAAGCCATCCGGTGTATGGCGGTGTTACGTGATGACAGCAGGAACGAAAATCCCGATATTTAAGACCCGAGGGCGGCATTAGACGATATTTTCCGGGGACATTGGAATTGGACCCGACGTTGTCCAACATTACACGAAAACTCACGAATACACGGCCGATACGAGTCATGAGGGTCTTTCCCAGCTACTGGTTCTTTTCGGTACGGGAGAATATGGCCGATCGTACATTATCCACCTCAACCTCACAGGCAGCCCTCGCGTCTCGCGCCTCGGCACGGCACTCGCAGTAGTAGCAGCCCTGTACTTCTCTCATCAACCTCTGCTTCTGCATATCCGCCACAAGCCCATCTCTTAACCTGCACGCCAACACCACAGAAGCTTGGGTTGACCGCCATTGGCAGATCCAATTTTGATTAACTCAACGCCACCTTATTATAACATCCTACATGGAACTTTTATACACGATAAATGGTAACATGATATTTGCGCCTCTCGCTTACAATGAGGCGTCCACTTCATCGACAATATGGACCTTGATGCTTCCGTTCCTAACATCGGCGCACAGCTCGAATGCGTCGAGGGCTTTCTCGAGAGGGAACTTATGTGTTACCAACTTGTTGAGATCAAGGATGCCGCCGCTCATGCAATTGATAGCTCCCGGCCAGGTGTCCCTATATCGGTTGATGAACTTTAGATCGATCTTGGTTGATGGCACTAAGTTAGCCAAGGAATATCAAGAATTATTGACAGATATTGTTCTTGGGCGAAAAATAAAATAAAATAAAACTCACCTCGGCAAGGGACAGATGCATGAATGGGATATTGTTCATCACCGGTCTACCAACACCAATCACCATGATCGTCCCTCCTCTGCGGACAGAAAAGGCGGCCGTGCAGACGCTGCTCTCGACACCGGTACATTCCATTACTGATGCCGGTGCGGAGTACTCGTCATCTCCGAACAGTTTTCGAATCTCCTTTGCGTTCTCTTCAGGGCTCAACTTGGAATTGATCTGATACGTCTGGCATCGGGGTACAAACTCCTTAGCGAACTCGAGACGTCCCGGGTCAATGTCTGTTATGACCAGGGGATGAGCACCAGAAGCCCTTGCGGCTGCCAAGGCAACGAGTCCGATTGGGCCTGCGCCGCAGACGAGCGATGGACGGCCCAGCTTTACGTTTGCCCCCTTGATGCCGTGCAAAATGACGCTCAACGGTTCAAGTAATGCGCCTTCGGTATAACTTAAGTCATCTGGGATTCTAAAGGCATGTTAGAACCTCGCTTAGACGGACGATCCTTATGAACGAATCCGGCCTGATCCATGACAGTGCTTACTTGTAGAGCCATTTGGCAGGATGGACTTTAAATCTCTGGATAGTCCCGTTGTATGGCCATATTCCAGAGAATTTGACATCCTCGCAAAGATTATACCGACCTTCCATACAGAGAAAGCATTTTTCGCATGGCTCCTGGGGCTCGATGCCCACTCGATCTCCTAAATCATCCGGTCAACAGCCATCCTCGTCGCCAATTTTTCGACTAAGAAAACACAATTACAGAGGCTTGACAAGGCAGCTTTGAACTCACCCGGTATGAGATTAGTCACACCTTCACCGCACTTAAGCACAATGCCGGCAGCTTCGTGTCCTAGAATACAATCCCCCTTAACCTCCAAAGACCCTATGCGTCCTGATTTCCACAAATGCATATCCGATCTGGGTGAAGGGTTAGGCATTTATATTATTCGGAGGTACATTATGGTTTGAGGAACATGGCTAAGACATACCCACAGATTCCCGAACACTTGATCTGCAGAGTCACCTCCCCAGGACCAGGCTCCTGGATAGGGGCATCTACCAGCTTGAGCTTGTGGTCTTCGGTTACTTGCAGTGACGGGTTCTTAAACCCCTTTGCGTGACCGTTGGTATGACCATTGGTATGTCCGTTAATGTGGCCATTAGTGTGGCCGTTCACATGGGCGTCGTTCACTTCTGCAGACGGCATGTCTATCAAGGTGCGTGTTTCAAAGGGGACTGTCGTAACTCGTTTCACAGACTGAAGCCAGACGAAATCGATGTTTTCAGATTTTAGATGGGGGAATTCCGCGGTAAACTGGAGAACGCAAATCCCAGGTCTACCAACTCCGAGGACCGAGTTTTCACTTATAACCTTCGCTGCGCCCCCGTTGATTTCTTGATAGCTTCAGTTGATGAAACCCCGGCATTCCCAATTAGGACATCCGGCGGCGACATCGTCAATAGATATTCTCGAGACCTATCACGGCGTAAGCGTGATATATGCCAATGTGGGGAAACCATGCCTCATTGGTCTATGGATCCCATCCCCTGCTCTATTCTTGACCTGTCAAACAGTCCAGAACACCCAAATTCGACCTGAAGAAAGATTCCAATTCGCCCCCCCGCCACCCGCAGGTTCCGCCCGTCAGGCTCGTCTCCGCAGCTGCATCCTTTTGAGCACGGGGAAAGACAGGACGGTGATGCTACTATGGCATTGCATGATCCCTACCTCTATCATCCAGATGCTCCTATAGGACCATATGAGAGCAGATCCGGTTTTTTAGGCCCTTAGCCTCTTAAAATCCTGCAGTTAGAGAAGCATAGAGGAGTGTTCGTTTCCTATTCGGGATTTTTGTATGTCAGTATGTACGATTTATCCTCGCTAAGCCGGCGACTCCTTTCCTATTACCACTCGCTGCTACAGTTCGTCAGGCATTTATGTAACGCTATATTGCCAAATCTTGCGCTGTAGTATTATTATCAGACTTTTCTTAAGGTCAATTTATTTCATCCAGCTCGTCACGAGATACGGACGCGCATGTGAAGACACGCGACTTCTGTTCGACATATAACAGTGAAGCGCACCCGATGACGCCGGCATCCGGACAGGATAGAAAATTTCCTGAAAAGGTCTTTCCGGGGACCAAGGCTAGCCCCTCATTAGATCGTATTTCCCACCCCGCCCTTCGGCTTTCCCATCCCGCAAATCGATGGACGATAGACTGGATTTTATGGTTCGTGCGATGCCGCTGCTTAAACCCGGTCGTGATAGGTACCCAAGGTAGAGTTCGCGACGGCAGGACCCGCTCAACAACGTGGCGAGATCGCTCTTGGCCCTAATCTCGCACATATCAAGATACGGTAGTGGATCATGTCTAGCGTGAGATTTATCATCCCGCGAGTACGAGACCGGTCTCAGGATACAATGAGTGATTTTTTTCAAGTCCTACACGGACAGTTTCGTCAGCGTTATCTCACGCCAGGTAGGTGGGGGATATAATATAAGGGCCAAGAATGATACTGTTCAGTCGGATCCAAAAGCCGGCGCCACCGCCATCGGCCAAGACGTCATCTACAATCTAATAAAAGAAAAAGCAAAAATAGGATCGACGTCGTGGCAAACTATAACCGGCATCGAGACATTTTTTACGCTGTCGAATACTCGGCACGGAGGTGGATGCCCGTCTTTTGCCTGTTTGGCCGGGTTGCAATGCTGTGCCTGTCGATCAGGCGAAATCGCACAAGTGGACCACCGGTGAGCTTGGGACGGGGCATTCTGCCGGAATCGCACCGATCTTTGAGAGGTTGGTAATTGTGGGTTTGTTTCCTGTCGCCGACGTGCTGTGTCCGCGTCCGGAGTGATTTGATATATGGAGAGATTATATACGTGGCACTTATTCTACAGATACACATGTTGCATAAAGCGTGGTCAATGAGAATATCGTGTTTTTATTGTATAGATAGAACAGGATGATACATGTAGTGAATCATAACCTCACCTATCTGAGTTTGAAAGGTTCCAGTCCACTTTTCTAGCCTCGATTAGATGTGAGCATGTTGGAGCTACGAGTTACTACTATATTAAAAGGATTCCATAGCAACCTAATATCATGAACTAGGTACCTGACAATACGGAAGCGATACATGAAGTCGAGAACATACCTAGCTACCTACGAGGTGACTTTGGTAGAAAATAATCCAATCGATCCATTATTAAATGCTGCTTACCTATTAGATGTTTTATGAGAAGCGACACGGATTAGGTACCTACTCATGCGTAGGTAGAGCATGGCTTCCCAATCTTAATTCCTTGGTCGCCTCTGACACCCAACGCTGTTCAAATACAAATTCAATGTACAGGAGTATCGAACTAGAATTCCTTTCTTGCCAAGGTGCATGTCTTTCATACCATGTACGCAGCCTCCCGTCGGAAATTACACTGCAAACGGTGATGCAAACAAATATAAATCCAACGTGCCCTAATAGCCCAGGCGACCAAAAGAAAACGAAACAAAAACTATCACATCAAAAAACTCAATAATGTCAGAGAAGGGCTTTGAACTTTGCTCAAATTTTAGTTTCCTTACGACGGATACCAATATGACTCCTTCGACCAGCGCTACAGAGATGGGCGACCTCAACAGCGAATACAACTTTGACACCCAGAACAACAGAGCGACGGTACCATGGCCTGGAGGGACCTACATCATCCGCGATCCAAAATCAAATAGACAAATAACTTTGGTGGATGGTCATATCAGCATGGAGCCTCACTTAGGTGACCAAGGGGGTTACCACTGGCATTGCATTTCCAAGGACGGATGGCTTGGATTTCGCAATCCTAGCGACGGCCTACACCTCGGGCATGACAACAAGGGCAACATTGTTGCGAATCAGCGACATCATTTAGGTTGGGAATCATTTGTCACCAGAGGGTATCCCGATGGTGGTCAAATGATATATACGAGGCATGACAACATCAAGTTACGGGTGATTTCGAACTTGGAGGGATACAAACTTGGGTACCACAGTGATGAAAAGAATGGGATCGTGTGGGAGTTTATAAAGGTGTAAAGGTTGAGATATGGTGAATGAAAGAGTTGATTATCGTTCCTTGGAATTGTTACGCACACTACCTAATACTAGGTAGTCACTATCGTGAAATTCAAGGCACACCCTTTGGCTGCTAGATCGTCTCCTAGCCACCTAGAAATAAACATGAGGCTATCCAGAGTAATGGAATACATTTACATTAACTAACTTAAACGCAATAACTTCTCATTGTGAAATTCATATGTATCCTGACGTACAGTTTACACGCGTCAAGAACCCTACCTACTACCTAGGTATGCTTGAATATCGAGTAGGTTACTTGATAGTCGACTGCTAGGTAGGAATTCGCCTCTCTTTTGCATCTACATGCACATCTTCAAGAAAAGCCAACTCTGGTCACGATTCTGCTATGAGTCCCATATCCACCGGTCACTTTACCGCGTAAATCTAGATCTAGGCGCCGGGACGTACCGCATCGTACAGCGATCTTCAGGGGTAACGCAAGAATGAACCAATCAGAATAAAGATTTATGGACGCTAGCGGACCTCCAGCGCTGTCGTTAGGTCTCATGCCAATTTAAGGGTGCTAAACTTTACCAGGAACCTTGAATATTCAATTCATTAGATGAAAAATCATTGAATTCATACGCAACGACGTGCTATAGTAATGACATTGCAGCCCCTTCTTAAAAGGACTTAGATATTATTTTAACATTGCCTGACCGTGGAGCCCGCAGATCGAAAGCCGTATCTAGAGACAACTCCTAACGCCATGCCATGATAGAATGCATTCGTCTCAAAGATGAAATCCACGATGCCTACCCCTCCGAACTTGACGCACCTAAATGAGCCCTTATCCGTATCCCCCCGGCCTTAGTTTTTCCATGCATATCCCAAGTCGTCTATCCCATCCCTGATAATATATCATGACTTCTGAGATGTTAGAAACTGGTACTATAGGTGACTGAATCATCGCTACCTACATCCCAACAGCCGTGGGTGGGAATTTAGCAGCCGCTCGACTGAGACCGCGGAGGGGTTCCGGCAAGCTTCCGGATTGGAGGATATCGATGTAAGTATCGATGACCGAGCTATCCTCCGACAGGTCTTGTCCTCGGGTACGGGTTAACCAGTACTCGAATGGTCCTCCTATAACAGATAATCAGCGTCCACGCTCCTAAAGTATCTATAAAAGAAGAATTAGGTTAGGTCAGGGGAAAGACCCACGGTTATGCGCAAGCGCAGCACCGAGCTCAGCGCAACGCTCCTCGACCGCGTGCTCGGTGTGCATGTCGAGGTAATGGTTCAGAATCTTCGAGACGTCCTTCAAGGGCCACTTGCACGGCGCACTAGGCACGCGGTTGGTGCCCGCATCAAGGAATTTTCTCGAAACGCACAGCCGACACTTCCAGAATCCGAGGCGCTGGACGTTGTTCGTGCCTGGGCCGTCGAGGCTGATGTCCGCCTTGCCGTCGTCGTCATCGTCGCTGTCTACTGCGGATAACCTGCGCTTCACGCTGACGCTGGGGGCGTTGGAGATCCGGTGCTGTCGGTGGTTGCCGGCTGTGGGAGCGGCGACGGAGACGGCGGCTCTACGTGCCTCCTGGGCTTCTATCAGCTGGATTCTGTGCTGGCAGTGCCGGATGTTGTGGCCACAGTCTAGAACTCGGATCTGAAGGGTTCTAGTCTCTTGCGCTGTGAGATCAGGCGCTGCAAGTTGGTTACGGCAGAAATCTAAGTCGTAACGGTAGGCCTCGATATCCTCAATCATCTGGCGACGCGTGAGATCATTGAGGTTGTTACCCTCGTAGCTCAGAGTGTGAGGATCCATAGAGCCATTAGCACCTTGCTGATGTGGCGACATCATGCTATTTGGGAACTGGGTGCACGTATTAACATTTGGGTTCTTATGAGAAAATGGAGATTGGTGAACACGATAGATAGGGATAGGACTATGATCATGAATGTGGATGAGGAATAAGTGAAAGGTGATCACTATAGGAGATCCCGGATAATGGAGCTTAAGAAGATGCTCGGAAGGGAGTTATTGGCTAGGTCACTTACCACAAAGAGCCGGTTGATATCAGGGACGAACCGCTGAACAAAGTTCGGGCGTTGCCTAGACATCTTTTAAATGTGTGAGGGGAGAGGAAAATAAAATTTCAAATAAGAATCGATGATATATGATCTTGCCGGTAAGTTGTCGGTGTTGCTCGGGGACTATGGAGGAAGGAGCAAAGGTGCGGATCAATCAAGTGGGTAGTCTCTAGGCCGATTTTTAGGAAAGAACCATGTATTGAAGATAAAATAGGGAAGCCACTCCGGTGATATGAGTTGATATAAATGGCAACTGCTATAGACGTTGGTTTGATCTCGGATCAAGCTGAGAAGGAGCTATCCAGAGCAGGCACGCAAGAGACTAGCATCAGTTTTAGTCGAAGTTAAAATTGCTTCAATTTTCAGGGGTTTATCGAAAAGATAGAAATGACGAATTTTTGATACTGGAAAATATCTGTAACCTCTCATAAAATAAGAGCGAGACCTTAAAGCTGTGTTAAATGAGACACAAGACCGATGTAGAAGTACAGAGTGAGGGTAACAAGATAAGAAGAAAAAAAAGAAAAAAAGAGGGAAGAAAAAAAAAGTCTATGGAGAAAAAAAGAAAATTTTTCAAAAATAGAATCTGAAGGTACAACAGAATTGTTCCGACACACACTGCCTGATTCACCATATAATTTACATAGTTTTAATGCTAGTATCAAAGAGTATCTTTCATCCGATTATATCTTGTCTTAATATGTTGCGCTGTTTCTTCTTTTGTCTTCAATGCTCAATACGAAGCTGAAAAAAGATGCTGCTTGCGGCCTAGGTACGAAATACAGAAAAATGCTAAAGGACCAATGAAGTTAGCTGACCTTACAAGTTTCGAGATCCACTTACCCCACTACTCCTACCTATTAGGGAAATCTTCAGCTGCTGCTTGCTTCTCAAGTCTTTCTGGAGAGAAATTTAAGAAGCGCAAGAAAGCAGAACCATGTATGCTATTGATCTTAACTATTAGTTCTATAGTCGGTCTCTGATACCATCATGAGATGAATTTGAGTGCATGCCATATACAAACATATAAGCAGCAGACATTGTAACCTTATCCATCAATTGCAAGAAAGCTTATTAAAGTTAGGACTAGGGATTGGGCTAGCCCACATTTATCGGAGGAGGGAAAGCTGGATATGGACGTAAATAGACGGCCGGAAAGCACACTCCGGTGCGCTCCTGCCGGAATGTAGGTCGCATGTAGGCCGCTTTACACGGAGTTCTGTCATGGTAGAGGTTACCTATGCTTGCCGCGCCGGAGCGCCGAGTCCCGTTGATCGGAATACAACGGAATAATCTGACTTGCCCAACTCAAACCAAACCCATTAAGGTGATTTATTCCGGTGTATTAGTCACTTCGTTAGGTACTACCCAGTATGTAAGTAATACAGATTTACATGCGAGTTCTGTATCGTTGAAAGTATTGCTCGAATTCCTATGTAAATCGCTCAAGAAGGAATCGGGATGTGACATTTAAGTGGCCTTCTTCGACAATATACTGGATCGTCAATCTATGGTCCAATGAAATAGCTTACAGTCGACTATTTCCCATGGTATTCACTGGAAATAGTCCAAGCCATGAATGGGTGAATTCCAATATGTCTACTCCTTGATTGGCGGATGCCTAATTGTGCCACGTCAATTATGGAGGGATGGGCGGTGTCCTAAATGTTGAAATAGCATTCAATTCATCGAAGAATTTGTTGAAGAGCGCCTACCTGACTCACTTCGTACAGATCTGTACCTACCTAGGCATCCATTGAATGAAATATTTCAATGGGAAGTTACAGCGCGTGTAACACTCGTTAGCGGTACTTAGGTACCTAAAAAGCTTAAATCGTTTAGCGCAACGCGTGCAGCTATTTTTGCTGGTTGCTCCCTTCAACGGACGGCCCCACAATACCCATTTATTTTTCAGGGCAAGGTTCCCATTGCTCAATCGCTGAAGCTTGTGCCAATTTCTAAACAAAGCCATCCTGCCATCTTCTGAACCAGCAATCTCATAATAACAGAACCGTTATTGAACGAACTACACCGATTCATCGATTCTAGTTGCATTATTCAATACGTTCCTTATCTCCTCTCCTCTCCTTTGCTATTGCTATTCCTTCTTCCTATTTCCTCTTGCTCTTGCTTATGGTTGTTGATCAATTGACTTGAAAAAATTATGTCTGTTCGTGTGATTGCGCGGATACGTCCGCTCCTAGAAAAGGAATTGGACAAAGACGTGATCGTACGCTCCGCGAGCAACGACGATGGCAAGACTAGCAATATCGTCAAAATACCGAACCCAAAAAATGAATCCGAGGAATTCTCATTCACTTTCAACGGCGTGTATGACCAGGCGACCACACAAGAGGAGCTATTCACCTCGGAAGGTATGCGTTTATTTCCATCCCCATCATTTCCTTGTCTCGTAGGTCCACGCGTCGGACATCAATAGCCTAATTTTGACCTTTGCAGTTTCTCCTCATCTCAAATCGCTCTTTAACGGCCTCGACGTGACGATATTTGCCTATGGTGTCACCGGAACCGGTAAGACCCATACGATGCGCGGTGGATTGAAGTTGGCCGAGCGTGGTGTTATCCCTAGACTTCTTAGTGGCGTCTTCCGACGAGCCAAGAAGATCGGTAAGGATACCGAAGGCGAGACTACCGTAGATGTGGCCCTCTCCTATTACGAAATTTACAATGACAAGGTCTTCGACCTACTCGAGCCCATCGAAAAAAGGACACCATCGGGTCTACCTCTACGAGCAGAGGCTAACGGCAAGACTGTCGTGGCTGGTTTGTCTGAGCGACCTTGCCAAGACTTGAAAGATTTCGAGCGATTGTATATCGAGGCCAACAACAACCGTGTAACTGCTGCTACGAAGCTCAATGCCCATAGCAGTAGAAGTCATGCTATCTTGCGTGTTAAGCTTATACAGACCACTGGAGACATGGTCCGAGAAAGCACAGCATCGGCCATTGACTTGGCTGGTTCGGAGGATAATCGTCGAACGGAGAATGACAAGGAGCGTTTGATCGAGTCTGCTGCCATCAACAAGAGCTTGTTTGTGTTGAGTCAGTGCATCGACGCCATTTCCAGAGGAGATCGCCGTATACCGTTTAGAGAATCGAAGATGACGAGGATTCTCTCACTCGGTCAGAACAATGGCATCACTATCATGTTTTTGAACCTCGCCCCGATTCGAAGCTACCATCTCGATACCCTCAGTAGCTTGAATGTTAGCTCTAGAGCTAAGCGCATCGAAGTCCGCGAGATCGAGAATGAGGTCGTCTTCAAACAACCCCCACGTGCCATTTCCAAGTCTGGTTTAGGCATAACTCGCCAACCGCTGCGCCCTCTTGCAAATGCGCATAACATCCATTCGGGGACCGTCGCGAAGGCCGCGGATAAACCTGCCGATCGTCCGGTGAAGGCTTTCAGCGTCTATACCGATCGGTTAAAGCCACCACAGCCTACAGCGCGACCCATGGCTAATACCACCATGAAGCGATCACCTTCACACAAGCGTCCCTCCGATTCTTCAGATGGTGGTAATAGGCCGAGCAAGATCACCCGTCCAGCGCTAATACCCAAGTCGGCTAAGCCACCGCAACAAATGCTACCTCCCATGTCCGCAGACCAGATCGAAGCAATGGTGGAGAAGAAGGTAAGCGAAATCTTAGCTTCTCGGACGCAAGCTGCGCCGCCACCACCTGAGATCAATGAAGCTGTTCGGAGACGTCTTGAGGCTCTAGAGAAACGCATCGAAGATGAACGTCATGACGACAATCGCTCGGATGGTCTGCGGTTTTTGGTAATGGCGCGACAGCATAAGGAGCGCGGAGAAGAAGCAAGTGCGCTCAAGTTGTACGAGATGGCATTGCCTTACTTCCCAGGCCAAGCAAAACTCATCGGAAAGATTGAGAAACTGAAGGCTCGACTAGAGGCTAAACGCGAGGCCCTAGATTCGTCTTCTGGTGAAATGGAGCGCGAGATTAGCAGAAGTCCGGCCAAGAGTTCAGCTAGGAGTCCAATGAAGAGTCCGTTTAAGAGTCCAACCAAGAAGCATAAGAAGCCTAGCCGGCCCGCCGAGGACGATGGCTACAATGGTGCGGAAGCAGACGACGATGACGATGACTTCATGGGCCGGGGTCGTACGAAGACTAAGAAGTCTAGAGCTATGAAGGCATCTAGCGAGTCGGCAACGATAGAGGAAGGTCCGGTATCGCGAAACTTGTTGTACATTGTTAACTCGCGAGACATTTCCCTGATCACTACTCTCCAGGGCTTCGGACCGAAGAAAGCTAGGGATCTAGTGGAATACCTAGAGCTCATTGCGGAGGACGGTGGTCGCATCAACTCGTTAGAGCAGCTTAGAATGGCCCCCGGGATGGGTGGACGCGCTATAGACCGTGCTTACGAGGGTCTGCTTGCCTCTCCTGGATTTTCTTGATTCGGCGTCTTTCATTCGTCGTTTTTCATCGTTTCTAGTCGCTTTGTGAAGGCTGCATCTGCATTAGCTGGCGGTTTTTTCTTGGCCGTCTAGGCATGGACGGAGTGAACCGAAATTGCATTGGCACGGCGTTTTTAAGGGGGTTTATAGGCATTTGATTTGTTAGGATTGGGGCATATTCATTTGAGGACGTCCTGTGGTGATTTTCCCCTGGATCAGATTCATAGGGCTATAGTTTGCATTGGTTTCACTGTAGTAAATTGCTTTAATTGGAAGTGTATGCTTCGTGATGAGATGCCTCGATATGCTTAACGGAGGACTAGGAATTTAATTGATGCTTAGGTTGGTACCTAGGTAGGTAGGATTAGATTCTCAATGTGAATGTCTGAGGGATGAAGTTGAAGCAGAAGTTAAGTTTGAAAAGTGTGATGTCACGGTCCATCCCGGCAAGAGGCAATTCCTTACTAAGCAGCCGCTAATCGTTTTGGTGTAGTTTGACAGGGGGTTTTCAAGGTTCGGCTAAAGACTGGAAAGTTTGGAGAAGCTCCCGCTATTTTTTTGCTCAGTCGTCATACCTAAAGGACCAAAGGACCAAAGCTCTCGACAACGACGGTCGTTTAAAATCACGGCCCTCCCTTCGAGACCGCTACCATGCGCGGCGTCTCCCTTCCGACTATAAGAGGTCGCGCTGATCAATTGGCACGTCGAACAAACTACATTTGCCGGCAATGTAGAGCTATCCAGATCAGTTCCTCTCCCTCGACCGAGTCCCCTCGTCTTAGTGGGGATATCTTCGGCACGTCTGTTGGTGGATTTAAGGATGTCACGGGTATATTTTCAAGTATATTACCTTAGAGAGTGGACATAAATACTCATTCTCTGTACTAGATGCCCGATTCGAGGTTTTAGGGTCGCCGTATTCCCTGCTCAAAGTAACGCTCTCAGCTTCGCAAAGACTATACACACGCCGCGGAACACTCGTAGCGGTCTCTGGCAAAGCACAAAATGTAAGATGACATTACAACCTACTTACTCATACCTCAGGAATTTTCAGCTAATACTAGATACCCAGGCGCAATCAACCCTCTCCATCCTCTCCCCCTTCACCCGCGCCGCCACCGGCGTCCCATTCCTCTACCAGCGCATCACCTCAACAACACCCCTCACCGCGCTAATATCCACGAAATCACCCACCACGACATTCACAGTCCTACACCTCGACGGAACAACAGACTGGATAGTAGCCCAGCGCTCCGCCCTGCTCGCCTGGACCGGACACACGCTAGGCGTAACGCCACGACTACAAACGCGCCTCCCACTGGCGCACTGGGGTTCCTCGGAGCTCACGGGGCGCGGACTTGCCGCGCTCTCGGCCCCGGGCCATATATACCAGCTCACGCTCTCCGAAGGCGAGGAGTTCGTCGCACACCCCGCCAACGTAGTCGCGTACACGATCACCAAAACGCCACCCCTGCCCTTCCGCTTCCGCAGCTCCGGGTTCGTCGGGTTCCAGGTCCCCTCGCTTGCGCACTTACTCCCGAGCACGCCGTTCCTGGATAACATGCGCAAGACGGAGACGTATAAGTTCCTGGCGAAGGCCCTGTTCGCGGCGCGGACGGCGGCGAGGAGGACGGTTTGGGGCGATAGGTTGTTTTTGCAGTTTCGTGGCCCGATGACGTTGTTGATGTCGAGTCGGGGGGTGAGGGTTAGTGATGTGCTGAGTAGTGCGGAGGTTAATGAGCTGGCGGATGCGCCGATGGGGGAGGTGTCGAAGGTGGTGGAGTTGAAGATGAAGGAGGGGGGTGAGGAGGGGAAGGGGAAGGTGGGGGAGAAGGCTGAGGCTGAGGTGAGGGTTAATGTTGCGAGTGTTAGGGAGGATGGGAAGGTTAGGATTGAGGAGACGGGGGATTTGAAGGGGTTTGAGAAGAAGTAGAGGGGGTTGGATAGGGGGGGTAGAGGATGGAAAAGGGGGGGTATTGGCTGTACGATGTACTATAGACCAGTCACGAGCATTAAAAGGAGCATTGACTACGATTCTATGGGAGCCTGAAAAAATAGATGTATGATACCCGGTCAAGGTTCAAGACTATATCCTAGACAAGGTGTGATCGAGAGAATGTGCGATGAGTGATGTGACGGGATATTCCATCTAGCCCCGAGTCAGCTCGGTCGAAGCATCTCTTTCTCTTTCTCTTACAACAACGCCGATACCAATTCTAACTTTCTCTATTATCAATTATCAACCTGCTTCAGACGAGGACTATAAGTGCCGAATAGAACATACTGGATCCTGGTTGGCTCTGACATTATGTGGTACTTGCGTGAGGCTCTCTAACACTTAAGGGTGGGTTTGGTGTAATGAACCTGTAGCCCACGATACCCGCCGGCACACGTGTACTGACTAACCGTCCGGTTGAAGAATACGGATATCTAATGGTTAAGAGAACTCGGCTTCGGCCGTATTTTTGAGTCATTTTTAGGTCGGCCGACGGTTTGAGGAACGTCCGTATGGCTTACGACACATTGATCTGCGGTTCTCGACTTGACGATGTCCGGCTTGGTAGAATATGGTATAGCCAAGTCAAGCTAAAGCGGCCGTGCAGTTTTTAGTCGGAGCTGGAGTTTGATACCCGGACTATATCAATGCGATGGACGGTTTTTACTCTGACTATTCTAGTAAGTACTAGGTATCTAGAGATGCTAGTATGAGGTAGAGTACCTAGTGGTTAACTCGTTTTTCAGATCGTGAACACTGTTATATATCGATCAGTTTTGTATAGAGCTTATGTTAGATGTGAGTTATACATGTATACTGGTACTGCATGACTCAGCGGACAAGCATTGTTTCATCTAGCATCAGTGCGAGCGGCCACCCGAACACCAACAAGATGGAACCACGAAAACACGACGTGGATCTGGTTGGTACCTAAGTATTCGGTGCGCTTCGTACTCCTCGGATGTCCTGCACGGTTCCGAGATATTTGGGATATCTCCGAGACTAAATGTTTCCAACCAGATCTGATAATAGCACAGATAAGATCCACATTTTAAGGTGCATGTAACCTCACTCGGCTTAGCGCAACCCAAATAAATCGAAACCACGTTCTTTCGAGCACTTAGCGACAAGGTACGTACCCAAGCATCATTAATTCAGCCTCTCAGCTCTTCGTCGTAATTGAGTTTGATTGGTCTGATGAGAGACACTATTTCTTTGTGTTACCGGTAAGATGCCGCTTCTTGTCTTTGCTTTGTGACACAGCACGCACTTAAATGCCTATTAAGACATAGTGGCGCTTTGTAACAAGCGTCGTACAAACGTAATCAGTGGCTTGCTCGCGAACTCGCGTTTTTATTTCGAGGCCGAAGTTGCCTATTCCTTGTCGTTATTTCGTGATGTCAATCCCCTTTCCTATTTCTTTACTAGTTTGTTCAGGGGTATTTTTATTGTAGTGTAGCGCATCCCCGCGCTCGGGATTTCTAGTGAAAACCCCCATTCGAACACTTTCTCTTACATCAGTACTAGGCCAAATGTAACCAATCGACATCTGTTTTAAGTGTATCGCTATGTGATAGTTGGGAATCGAGTTCGGTAAGACGAGTCATGCAAATTCAAATCAGCCCTATGAATCTATTCTAATCACTGGGTCGGTCTATTCAGTTTGTTCGGCGCGATGAAGGCACTCTAAGGCTCTCTCTATTGCAAATACACCAATTATACTCCCCCCTATTTCTTTTATACGGTAGGTAGCTCGGGAGCCGAACTCGCGCAATCCGTATGATCTGATTGATCCTTGGGAAAACAAGAACAAGAACAAGACATAATGTCTTTATTTTTCTCTTTATTACGCATTGCCCCACGTAGTCCCCGAGCGGTGTCGTAAAATAATATCTATAATAATCAAAAAGATAATGAAGATATAGTGGGTACGTACTGTGCTGTCTCTAACAGCGTTGCTGCGAGACCTGCGAGACCCTGAACTGCATGTACCCTCTGACCACCACTTAACACCGAGACCCCCCCTTCTTCGCCCGAGTTACTCGGACTCGACTCTTTCATTTCATATAAGAGTTTAAGCATGCCTCAGTGACGCATTGTAACCATCTTCTATCTACTCATTCCGTGTTTATCGTGGGAAATAAGATATTTCATCTTTAAATCCTAAAATTCTGGAATAAGTCTTCGTGGGATACCAGATACATCGATCTCCCGATCCTGCATATAAGAACCCGAATCTTCGGGTCCTTGCGTGGTGCACTGCAGAGCAAACAAATAAATTTTTTCCCAACTCGGTTTTCTTTGTCCACACCCTTGGAACCATCAAAATGGCGTCCCCTACTTACCAAACCCATGAGGCGAAATTTTCGATCTCTCATAAGTCCTCACAAAGCAAGATGCCTGGATACGAATCAGAGGCGTCGACCATGGGAGGCGCATCATCCGAACTGCCCAAAGACTCGATCGACCCGAGTCCGTACCATTCCAGGCCGTCCCTCGAGCGTATCCCGTCGCAAACTGGCTCGACTAACGCGAACATCTTCCCTGATCCCGAAAATGTGGTCGAAGCTGATAGTAAGTATACCCTTTCTATTCTTTCAACAGTACTTCTTAGTACTGAATATAATGTAACTAACTTTGCATCTTCGCAGTGGAGAAAGGCGGCGTAGCACCACCTCACCCGTCTGGCCCTCCCGGCTTCAACCCGGCTGATTTCCCGGATGGCGGCGTCGAAGCTTGGCTCGTAGTCGCCGGCGGCTTCTGCGCGCTGTTCAGCACATTCGGTCTCGTCAACTGTGTCGGCGTGTTCGTCAATTACTATGTCGAGGGTCCCTTGTCGAATTACAGCTCTTCGACCGTCAGTTGGATCACCTCGCTCCAGGTCTTCATGATGTCGGGATTGAACGCGGTTGTAAGTATCCCTTTCTTCTGATTATATCCACCATTTCATCGCATCTGGTTTTATGGGTGCGGGTGGGAGCGTAATAAGCTTCAGTAGCTAATACCTGATAACACAGATGGGTCGATTGTACGATAGCTACGGCCCCAAGTACCTCCTCTTCATCGGAACCCTAGTGTACGTTTTCGGCATGATGATGCTCTCCCTCTCGACGGAGTACTACCAGATCATTCTATCGCAAGGCATCGTCAGCGCCGTCGGCATGAGCGCCGTGTTCAACTCAGCCACGAACTCAGTCATGGGCTGGTTCTTCAAGAAGCGAGCAGCAGCCCTCGGCATCATGGTATCCGGCTCCTCCCTCGGCGGCGTCATCCTCCCCATCATGATGGAACACCTCATCCCGAAACTCGGCTTCGGCTGGACCATGCGCATTCTCGGCTTCATGTTCCTAGCTCTCTGCGGCTTCGCCTGCTTCACGGTCAAGTCCCGTCTCCCACCGCGCAAGAAGCCCTTCCATGTGATGGAATACGTGCGTCCTCTAGGCGAACCCGCCTTCCTGTGCATCGTCTTCGCCGCCTTCTTCTTCTTCTGGGGCATGTTCCTGCCCTTCAACTACATCGAGCTGCAAGCCCGCCAACAGGGCATCAGCCCAGCCATCATCCCCTACCTCCTCCCCATCATCAACGCCGTCAGGTAAGCCCCCCTCCCCCCTCCCCCTCCCCACACTAAACCTTACTCCAAACAAACTCCCTAACTTACCAAACTTAGTATCCCCGGCCGTATCCTCCCCGGCTTCCTAGGCGACCGCTTCGGGCGCTTCAACGTCATGATCTTCATCTCGGGGCTCTCCGGCGTAATCACCCTCGCATTATGGGTCCCGGGCCGCTCGACCGCGACGACCGTCGTCTACGGCGCCGTCTTCGGCTTCGCGTCCGGCGGCTTCATCTCCCTGCTCCCCGCCGTCGTCGCGCAGATCAGCGATATCCGCGAGATCGGCACGCGCACCGGCATCGCGTTTTTCTTCGCGGCTTTGGGAGCCCTTACGGGTTCGCCTATCGGTGGTGCTATTGTGAGTGCCCAGGCGGGGAAGTTTTTGGGCTTGCAGCTTTTCTGTGGGATTGTGATGACGATGAGTATGGTTTGGTTTATTGCGAGTCGTACGCTGCAGGTTGGGTTGAAGTATACGAAGATTTAGGGGGCTGTTTGGGGATGGGGAGGGGGGGGTTGTTAGAGGAACTCTGGGTTTATGTGCTGGACCTGGCTGGTAGATACCCGAGTGGATGACGGCTTGGTGGCGGCCGGGTTTGACTTTGAGGTGGTGGGTTGGTGAGACCTATGAGTGCATTGGCGGCGTTTCGGTTGCTTTGGCTGGATGATATCTATGCCGTGTTGTCTTGGCACGCTGGCAGTCTCGACTCTTGAGATACTTTCTTCTTTCTATACCCTATGAATAAAGAAACTTGTAATGATGGGTGGATATGTGTTCTGGTGAATGATCATCTGCTTGTTTCTTATTAAGGGACTTACGTGCCTATCGTTTTCTTTTAAGAATATCCAAAGTTATCTCTCTGTATTCAAAAGATCACTCAGGGAGTCACACTAATTTATCATTGGTGCTGTATGGCATATCAGGGCTGTGTTGGCGAGCTATCTCCAGCTATCCTACTATCAAATTCTATTCCTTGTCCTCCAATTCATCCAACTTGTTCAAAATGTTTTCCTGTGGGGAAACGACGAAGTTATTGAACGGGATCTCTATGCGGACGGTACGCGCAATCAAACGCTCAAGATGGCCAAGGCTCTCCAAATTGTACTTGCTCATGATGTAATCGCGGTGCGTGAGCATCATAGTCTTCATGAGGCCACCAAGAGGCGTAATGCCGTTTCGCTCGCCGATTCCAAGAACCGTGGTGTCAATATGGGTTGCTCCGGCCTCAACGGCGATACGTGCATTTGCGATGGCACATCCCGTGTCGTTGTGGAAATGAGTCTCTATGTCGCAGCTGACGGCCTTGCGCAGGGCCTCGATCTTCTCGTACACCTCCATCGGCGTGGCACCGCCCACGGTATCCGCAATCCCTACACGGTTGATTCCCATGCGGTCGAAGGTCGTGTAGAGCTTGAGAATGTCGGAGAAGTTGGAGCGGAAGGAATCCTCCCCGGAGAAGCGAATCTCGAGGCCCCTGGACTTGACGAACTCGATAACTCTCTGAGCTTCGTCGTTGATATAAGCCATGTCTTTTCCGTGCGAGTGCTCCATGAGCTGCTTCGATGTGCCGATGCACATGTTGCTGTATTGGGGTCATTAGCCACGAACAATGTGATTCCTGGAGAAGCACTTACACCCCAGCAACGCCCGATTCCACAGCATGTCGCGCGTCGCCCATGTTGCATCGGATATGGCACAGAACCTAATACCTCATCGTTAATAAGGAGCAGAAAGCATATTCCAAGCTTGAAGTACCTTGGCCTTGAGTCCTAGCTTGGAGATAATCTCACAATCAAGCCTCGATTGGAGAGACGCAACCGGCGACGTCAGCTCGATCTATTGTGCCGTGTTAGCGGGTATGATATTCTTCGCAACATCCTATATGACACGACAGGTCCTACGTAGTCTACTCCGAACGCGTCCAAGGCCCGTGCAATCTCGATCTTGCGTTCCGTACTATAATCGGAATTAATAAACTGCTCGCCCTCACGCAGTGTGGTGTCGATGATCTTGAAGGCGTTAAAGCCAGCTTGGTTGATCGAGGAATACATCGAAGTGATGTTACTGGCGGTCGGCATGTCGGAATCGTCACCGTCGAAGACACTATTGGTGGACGAGCATGGTAGAGCACTACCTTGCTGAGAATCCTCATCATATTCGCGAGGTTCATCAGTTATACGATTGGGTGTGAAGTTCAATGGGTCAGCGACTGTATCTGTCAGGGAGGCTTCCAATGCATCTCCCTGATCATGTCCTAAAGAAAACGGGTAAGCTACCAAGGCATTAAACAAGAAATAATGGAAAAGAAACGGCTCGCACCATTGGCATTGGACGCCTCGCAATTCCAATTATCGTCGCCATTGCTGCTGCTTGCGCCATTTCCCATCGTATGGCTAGTGTGATGGGAGATAGGGTTATTGTTGCTCGACATCGTGACCGTATTCTCATGGAAAAGACTTGGTGTGTTTGGGTTTGTAAGGATATGATTTTTTTTTTCGCAATCAAATTCCGTCCTCGAGTTGAACAAAACTCGATTTTAGACTTTCGCAAACACAATTGTTTGCTATGCAAGGAAAATTCCCCTTCGAGAATAAGTAATTGACCCAACCTGAGGTTTGTGTTGGACAAAGTACCACTGTCTTATTAATCTGCTCAAATTTTCAATTAGAACTGTACCTAAGAGGCGTCGACTTTACTTCATAACCAACATTTCCTAACGTAGATGACTCACAAGGAGCGTTATCGGCAATGACCCTAATTGATGATCTTTAAGTGGATTTTACTAGGATCAATATTAATTTTCGGATGCAGAAGACTTCAACTTAAAACTAGAAATTCTTGATTCAAAAATAAAGAATCTACTAGATAATCTTATCGAATATAAAATAAGTTGAAGGAGGTTATCGTCGCATAAGGTGCCCAAGTTTCGTCGAAATTCCAACATCACGAAAGACTTACTCAACCCCTTGAAAATCAATAATTACCTACCTAAGAGTTATGTAAACATACGAGCTTAATTGTAAAATCTCATTATTAATATGACCTGGAAAAGGGGTTGTATTTATATTATTTCCAAGGTTGGCATGAGTTGATATCCCATATAGGTGCCTAACTAAGCACAAATGCCTTCATATTTCGGTGGAGAGCTTCAAGTGCTGTTACCGATTATAGGGGAAGTCACGGCAAGAAGGATGCAATTAAATGCGTGAATTTTGCAGCATCGGCGAGTGGAACACAACACTCCAGTCATGGGATTTTCTTGGTCTAAAGTTGCACATCCTCTGAAGATGCATCTTGTAACATATTACTGTCCGTTCATATCACAATGATAATCCTAGAAATAAGCTGTTCAGTGACATCCGCGTCTTACACCCGACGGGTATCACGTACTCCTGCGTGACTCCTCTCTCTTGATTTCGTTTTCTATATTAGACATGGAAATCTACCCTCTTTGCTCCCTTCAATGATACCAAAAGCCAAACGAAGCATATCTAGTATAAACGAAACTATGGCCCAAGGAATAACATTTGATATCACGCCCGAAAAGCAAGCCAGCCAGCTCCAGTTCCTCCGTAGACAACTCTTCGGGGGCCCTCCGGGACTGTCACGACACGATGTTGACCTCGCCGGTAAAACAGCTATCGTGACAGGCGCCAACGGCGGCCTTGGTCTTGAATGCTCGCGACATCTTCTCAATCTCGGTGTTAGCAAACTTATCATTGCCGTTCGCAACGAAGCCAAGGGCGAAGCTGCTCGCGAGGCACTGACGACGGCGCTTGAACCCGGGCAGTCCATTGAAGTCTGGCAGCTCGACTATGCTTCGTACGAGTCTATTCAAGAATTCGCTCAGCGAGCCGAGGATATCAAACCTCAGCTCGACATCGTCCTGCTAAACGCGGCTTTCAACCGCACCGACTTCTCCCTGAACCGAAAGACCGGCCACGAAGAGGTCCTGCAGATAAACTACTTATCAAACGTTCTACTCATCCTCCTGTTTCTCCACATCTTCAAGAAAACCAAATCAAACAGTCCTCAATACTCGCCGGGGCGCATCACCGTCGTATCGTCCGACATGGCAGGATGGGCCAAATTCAACGAGAGAACCGGGGATCCGCTCCTTCAGGCCTTCGATTCCGAAGCCAGTTACGACAAATTCAACCGCTACGCCAGCACCAAGCTTCTAACACAGCTATTCGTGACCGAAATAGCGAAGCGCGTGTCTTCGTCACTGGCCGTCGTCAACTGCGCCAACCCGGGTCTTTGCTGGGGCGGGATGATGGGCGGAGAGACTAGTGCGATTTTCAACGCGTTCATACGCGTTATCTGTCGGAGCTTGTCGACGGGCGCTCGGGCGCTTGTGGATGCGGCTGTTCGGCAGGGTGAGACTTCCCATGGACAGTATGTTGAGGATGGGATGTTGAGGCCGTGAGTTGTCTCCCCCTACCCCTTTTTAATTGTGGATTTCTACCCCTGTATGATTTCTCGTGAACACTGGCTGGTAGACTGCTGTTGGTGTTTATGAGCTGATATCTTGGCGCTTCGGTAAATTGTTGATAACGAGACTGATGCTTTTGTATTAGAATGGCTCCTTTTGTGTACTCTGAAGAGGCTGGGCAGTTGACTAGACGGCTATGGGATGAAACGATGGAAGAACTCTCGTTTGCGGGAGCTCGAGAAATTGTGGGAAATTTAGCTGAATGTAAAAATACTTGACTGATAGGTAGCTCTTTTTTGTAAAGTTTGAGAGAAATACCTTGTAGGTAGGTATTGAAACACGTAAAACGTTCATCATATTACGAAAGAAGGTGGTGTTATTGAAATTGTCTAGGTACGGAGAAATGAAAAGCTAGGCGATGACCTTAATATTCTAACCACCTCACGCCACTCCTTGTAGCCAATTGACAACGGGATGTAAATGATCTCCTTGACGATAACGCCAATTATTTCCAGATCGAAGGAGGAGTTAGAGCTGTGCCTACTGTAGGTCGAAAAGAGAGGTCTCGTTTAACAGAAGTGAAAGTACCATTGCCGTAGACCTTGTCGATGACATCCGCCCATGTAACATTAGAATATAGCGGGGCATCCAACTCGCAGACCTTCCCTTCAGGAGGGAGTGTGCCGTTAGCCCAATAGGCCGAGGTTGTTCTGATGGTACAAGCTGAAGGTGCAGCCAATGAAGCGTGCTATTACATGAATATCATTAGTATCTCGTGTGCATCAAGATATAAGCCAGGTGGATGAACTTACGCCGTATCCAATGACCTCAAGCACGACACTATCCTCGAAGGTAGCACTAACATTCTTGGCCGAAACTAGAGGCGTGAGGGCGTCGTGGCTGTTACCGATGAATAAGACCGGGTTCTTCGTCTTTACGTTGAAGTCTCCAGTGTATCGCTCTTTCGGCTCGATCTTCCATTGCGCGCAGGTGGAATACAAGTTTACCAAAGCGTCGCCGACTGTAGAAGTAATGTTAGTCTTCACCGTTCAATCAAAAAGGGGGCGGCACTAGATGTTGCTTACTAATCCTGCTTGTATTGTACATGTACTGGACAGCCGGTACAAAGTCTTCAAACTTCTCAGTTCGAACCATGTTATCGCCGCAGTGTATACCCGCAAGAGATTGCGTCTGTTGAATCGCAGCAAAGATGTCAGTAATACCCGTCGCGTTCACTGCATCCAGCAAATCCTGTAGTAAGTCGAGCTGGTCCGAGAGAACATAATGGAGCGATAGGGCCAATTCTGGCCATTGTTTACTATTGTAAAGGGCGTTCACTATGATGCTCTTCAATAATGTGTAGTCGATCTTCAAATTTCTTAAAGCGATCGGATTGTACTTGACCCTGTCCAGAAGATCCCAGACAGCTTGCTCAAGCTCATCGGCTGTCTTGTTGTTACCGGTAGCCAAGGCACAGTTCTCGCGATTTGCCACGCAGCCGGTAAAAATGGACGAAAAGACTTTATCTGAGTCTGTCCACTCCTGAAAGTCACTATGGGTAGGTATTAGCACTAATTCTGCTATGGGATCGTCTTTTAACATACGCCTGTGCGTGATAATACTCGTGCGGGTTTTGAACGCCGTCAAGGATCATTCCATCGATCCTATCGGGGAACATCGCAGCAATGGTTGCCCCAAGTGTAGTGCCATATGAGAAGCCTAAAACGTTGTCAGTATAAATGCCTACCAAGGTGCCTAGTGTGGCGCAAGTTGTGATTAGAACTCCACTCACCCCAATACCGTAACAACCCATCTTCTCCGAGTGCATCAACAACTTGCATCATATCTCTTGCAGTGAATGCCGAGCTAATGAGGCTGCCGGTTTTCTTTTGCGTCTTTAGACATTGTTCAGAGACCATATGCCCACGCGCCCAGCTATTTCCTAATTCAGCATCAGAACCGTTGGAAGGTTTCTGGTCGAAGAACAGCGACCAAGCCTCATATTCATTATCGTAGCATTTCATAGGGATTTTTGAGCCGGAGGTACCACTGTAAAGTAGTTAGTATTGGTAATACTTATCCCGAATGAAGGGCAAGGGGAAAGGCCCTACCGTGGATCGAACGCCACAAGGTCATATTGACGGCCAGTAAGTCTGTAAAAATATTAGTGAACTAGTTGGCTAGATATCTATCAACTAAGCCGGGTGCTTCCCACTTACGCTAGCAATTCTTGGGCTATAGGGGTAACCCCTATTTCATCCCGTGCCGTACCACCAGGCCCCCCAAAATTGAAGAGGATACTCCCCTTAGAGGGTTTCACTGGCGCGATAACTTTGACGAGGTCTAGTTGCAGCGTCTCGCTGGAATTTCGAAGAGTGTAGTCAAGTGGAACCAATAGAGTGCTGCATTCTACAGGAATATCGCCAGGGACTTCGGTCCTGTTGCATGGTCCCCATTGGAGTTTAGAGGTCCCGGAATGCTGGGCAAGGGACAAAGTAATGAAGGAAAGCTGTAAGATGCTCCGAAATGAACCCATTTTGTCTATTGCCAACTTTCTAGCAGGATTAGGTGATGGTGAATGAAGATTAAACCCAAAACTTGGGTGAACGAAGCAGTATAAATATACATGATGCGCTCAATTCCCAGACGCCCGATTCAACAGCTCACATTAGCTGAAATTACAATAATCGTCGATCGGCAGGCTGAGCAATGGAATATGACTGCACGTAGTCCTTTGACGTAGACAATCCATCATAATTTGCCAAAGACGATACGCCGTAATATTGGTAGGGCTAACTAGCAGGTAGTTATAGTTGCAGTAGAATCTTACGGCACAGCAGAGTCCCACTGAAGAGCAGATACGCCGTATTGTCTATTTGCACTGCCTCCCGAGGCAACTACTTAATTCGAAAGGATGCTTTGATAATTGAATATAGAATAATAATCAAAACAGCAATACGGCGTGTTTTCGGTTATGAATAACACGCAAGTGCGCAAGAAAATAGTCCTAGATTAGCGTTCGCATGGTACCCGGCGTGCTTGCGATATGGAGAAAGGAAGATAAAAAAAGGGGGTGGGTTGGTTCAATCAAGAAAAGATTATTATCATTGTAAGGAGTTATCTTTGTATCGAGCTATCTTAGGCGACATATTGCATAACGTGTATATCAGCCACTTTATACCGCACAGCCCCATTCCTCTCAAGCCTCATCTACTCTGTACTTCGTACGAAGATCCATAAATCGCGTCCAGGTTGGAACCTACGTCATCAGAATCCTAAACTTGTAAATATAATATTACAACCACCTACAACTACGGCACTGCCTTCACGACCACCAAACCCCAGATTCTAAAGTGATAACGAAATCATCTTTTCTTTACATGGATGCTATCATAGTGTCTCAAGTTTTAAAGCCTTCAATCTTCCGTTTTGGTAGAGTGGGGTTTCGGTTGAACCAATCATAATGCGAAGATGGAATCTCACGAAGTCTTGAACGCAATGGAGGCGAAGGTCAGTATGAACATTATGGCGAAGTCATCATATGCATATGAGAAGTCTTGGCTATATTACTCCCATCTAATACCCTGTCACTCCTATGCTGAGTCTAACATATGCTCTCTATAGCCAAAGGGCTCAGCGTCTCTTGCGGCTGTCGTATCTGCCTTCGTTCCCACGTGGGTAAGTGTATTCCAAGTGTATTCTATACATGATCTTCATGCATTATGTTTTAGCTAAAGTTACAAGGTAACGGGCCTCATTTTTGTTTCGATATTTATCGTCATTCGTCGTTGGTATCCCAATATCTACGCTCCTCGCACATTTATCGGTACCATACCAGAGAAGTTAGTACCGACATATCGTGGACCTTCTAGCATGCCACTAAACATAACATAACATAACATAGAGACCGCACCCCCTCTGTGGGCAGGTCGTATTTCAATTGGGTACATACCATGCGAAAGGTTCCTGATAAGTTCGTTTTATATCACCAGTCGCTTGATGCTTACCTGTACCTCCGATTCTTACGGACAACTATCTTCCTCTGTCTTGTTGGTTGCTTTTTCACATGGCCTATTCTCATGCCTGTAAACGCGACTGGTGGTGGCTCCTCCACAGAACTTGATAAAATCGGCATTGGCAATATCCAGAAAAAAGGGCATTTTTATGCCCACGCCGTAATGGCTTGGGTCTTCCTTGGTTTCGTTATGTTCACGGTCGCTCGCGAACGCCTCTGGCTCATTGGACTTCGTCAGGCCTGGACCTTGTCAAAGCCTATCGCCACCCGCCTTTCATCCCGTACCGTTCTGTTCTTATCAGCGCCGAGAGATGCACTTGAGGAGAGCAATATCCAACGATTCTTCGGTGAAGGGGCCTTGCGCATTTGGCCAGTAACGAAGGTCGAAGAGGTAGAAAGTCTAGTATCGAGCTTGACGTCTAACATCGAGCATCTCGAGACAGCAGAAATGGCACTCATACGTAAAGTCAATAGAGAAGGGAGAAGACTTGCAAAGAAACTCCCACCGCATGATGGCAACCTACGCTACGAGGAAATCATCCCCGATTCAATTCGGAAATCCATTAGGCCAAGACATAAGCCAAATGTTACCCCGCTCAATGAGAAAGTCGATAGTATTGAGTGGCTACGCGACAAGATCAAAGAAGACGAAGCGAAGATCGAAGATGCAAGAAGACTGCATGAAATCGGCGATACTAAAGGAGCAGCAGCTGTATTCGTCGAGTTTAAGACATGTGCCGAAGCTCAGAAAGCATGCCAAAACGTCGCCTCCAGCAACCTTTTGGCCCTTAATCCTAGGTATACCGGTCTTTCACCACACGAGGTCATATGGAATAATCTTCCCATTCCGCCTGCTCGTCGCATATCTGAAGAAGGCACTGCCCTAGCAATTGTCATTGCTACAATAGTCTTCTGGTCTATCCCGAGTGGTATTATCGGGTTGATTTCCAATATCAGCTACCTTGCTGATACCTATGAATGGTTGAGTTTCTTGAAAAATCTACCAAGCCCAGTAATTGGTCTTCTATCTGGTTTGATACCACCGCTCGCTACAAGTTGGCTAAGCAAGATGGTACCAAATATATTTAGGTGTAAGTGCCTACCCAATTACTAGAGACCATCTTCAAGCAGCTTTCTAATAAAACTCAAGATATATTTAAATCGTTTGGCAGTCCTACGAACACTGCCGCTGAGCTACGCGTCCAGAAGTGGTATTACATATTTCAAGTAACACAGGTTTTCCTCGTTACCGCAGTCTTCTCTGGGGCAGCGCCGGTGGCCAAGGAGCTGATGGATAGAGTAAAAAACCCCACTTCAGTGCCCGAGTTATTGGCAAGACAGCTTCCGAAGGCATCAAATTTCTACTTGACGTATTTTATCATTCAGGGAACTACCTCTGCTGCTGATAATTTACTCAATTATTCGGATCTACTTTCATATCTCTTCTGTGGTTACCTCTTTGATAAAACACCACGCCAGAAGTTCAACCGATACACGAGCATGAAGGGAATCGCGTGGGGAAAATTGTTTCCAAAGGTCAGCATAATTACTTAGTAAATTCGTCTTGATTTGTAAACCTGTGCTAATTATACACCTACCTACCTATACAGTTTGCGAACTTCGCGATCATCGGTTAGTTCGCTGCGTTCTCTCGTTTACCTATTATTTAGTTCACTCACGTTTTGCAGCAATTTCCTACTCTTGCATCGCACCGCTAGTCCTCGGTTTCGCGGCTATCGGGTTATCACTCTACTATTTCTCATATCGCTACAACCTTCTCTTCGTGATCCAACCCAAAATAGACACCAAAGGCCAGGCTTACACACTAGCACTCGAACATCTTCTCACGGGCGTCTACATCTCTGAGCTATCTCTTTTAGGCCTTTTTGGCTTAAGAAAAGCCACCGGGCCATCTATCATTATCACAATTTTATTCATAGTCACCGTTCTTTATAACATGCTAATGAATAAGTACCTCGCGCCTCTCGAGAAATTCCTACCATCTGACCTGGCAACCCTATCTGAAACAGATGACGAGTCGACGCCACTTCTATCATCCGCGGAGGAGGGGCAGGTACAGACGAATTCCCATATCCAGCGTCTCGGTCAGCGAGCTCATGTCCCGCCAAAGGTCGCGCAGCACGTACTTGACCCAATAGCGCGTTTCTTCGAGCCCCAGGTCTTCGCTTCCCACCAGGCCATGAGAGCATGGCTTCAAGAAGGGGATTCCTACGAGAACGAAGGGGACATTCCCGTATACACAGAAGAGCAACTAGAGAAAGCGTACTTAAACCCGGCACTCACTAGCCCTACGCCCTTGATATGGATCGCTAGAGATTCGATGGGAGCCAGTCGGAACGAGATTGCGGAAAACGAGCAGCGTGGGCTGAAGGCCAGTGACCAGGGCGCTTGGCTCGATGAGAAGGGTAGGCTTAAGTGGAGCGCGGATGATTTCGGAGAGGTGCCGGTTTGGAAACAAGGTATCATTTACTAAGAAGGAGATGTTGGAATAAACGCAGGTTTTGAGTATCATATTTCGTTGCTTGGAAGGATAGACTACTAGGAGCAAGTAGTGATTCCTACCTACCCTTTCTACCTAGGTAGCTTCTGGGACACTATAGGGCGCGAACCTAATACCTGGACTGTCACAATCCTCTTCGAGGTAAGTTTCCTCTTCGGGGTAAGGCGCCTCTTTGGGGTAAGGTGGCTCTTCGGGTGGCTCTTCGGAGGTTTCCTCTTCGTCGTATTCTTGCTCTTCGTCGTATTCTTCCTCATTGTTCGCTTCTGTGTCGTCTATAAGATTATTAGCATAAATCCGCCTAGATGCTCACTCTTACATAGGTAGGTAGGTTCCTAGGTAGTCATCTTACCATCTGCGCGCCGATGATGCTTGCCAAGGCGCTGTAGCTCCGTCATTCCACTTCTAAGGATTTCCATCTTACTCGTAACGAATCTGCGTTCATCCGCCGTCTCCCAACTTTCGCCGGCAATCCTGCCCACGACGTCGTCGCTGAGGTCGAACACAATCTCCGGAGTAAACAGATAGGGCAGCTGTGAGATTAGCGAGGCTTCGATTGCGAGATTGCTGAAATCATCTACGATTTGCTTCAACGCTACCTAGTATCTTACGATTAGCCTCGAGTCGCTTTTCATGTGCGACGGGGTACTTACCTGGTAGTAGGCCTCCATCCAATCGATTGCCTCCGAACTTGCCAATGTCTCCATGTCTTCTTCGATATGCGCGACAAGTCTTTTCAAGAGCACCTCAGTGTCTGTGGTATACTTAGATGCAATCCCCGACTCCCGCAGACCGTCCTCTAGACGTTTTCTAAACCGACCGGCTCTAATCTTCTGGACGTTCTGCGTTAGGTAGTGGTTATATGTGATGGGATGCCCGTCTTCGTGAGGTCGCAGCACCTCGTCTACCTTCTTTCGAAGCTGGCGGTTGAGCCGATCTAGGGCGTCGTTGATCAGCTCTCCCCAGAGCTTTACTTTGGTGTCCTCATCGACGACGTGAGTTAGTACCGCGTTGACGGTGAAGTCGACCGCTTCGAAGATCCTTTTCGAGAAGTCCTCTAACCAACATCTCCAAGGCACGCATTGCTCATGGAACAGCTCCCCGATTATTAAGGGGTTGTATGTGCCTGGAAGCTCGCACCCACGGGTCCGCTTCATTAAATGTTTAGTCTGTTCTACATACTTGCTGCGTGAGACTTGATTAGGCTTTAAGGACGTCTTATTGGATGCGTCACTTAACACCACAGGCTCAGATTGTTCAACTATCTCCTTAGCCTTCCCATCGCTGCGCATCTTGTCAGAAAAGTCGGTTAAGGTATTCTGTACGACGGCACGGAGACGTCTTTTATACCCCTCCTCTAACCGGGCATTTCCGAAGAACTTGTCCTGGTAGATTCCATCTTTGGCTTCGGAAATGAGATTCGAAAACTGGTGGCTGGCATTAAGCAAGAACTTGCGTTGCTCTGCGAGAGTACTACGAGCCGTGCCGAGTTTTTCAAGTCTCCTGGTACAGTTGTCAAGTTCTCTCTGTATCTCCTTAAGAACATCCGGTAGTTGATCGAGGATCTGGTCCTTGAGCACCTCACTCAGCCGCACACGCAGACTTCCGGCGCCTTTCTGGGGCCGAGGCAACCCTGCCCAGACGCCCTCGTCGAAGAACGCCGACTCCGCCTTATCCCGCTCTTCGTTTGTGGCATTTCTAGACTTGAAATCGCGATTTCGGATGACATGCCATCCAAGTCTAAATACGACATCCTTATTTTTCACTAAATTGAGGTATTCGCGTTCGCTCGCAGAACCGACATCAAGCGTATCCGGCTTCGTGACGAGACCCAGTGTTCTAATGCCCCAAACATCGATCTCCCGCGCAAGCTGCGTAACCTCCTGCAAGGCGAAATTACTCTGGGCTGAAACAACAGCGAGGATGATACTCCGTGGATTTTTCATGTAGGAGAGCACAAGCGATTTTACGATCACGGCGTCTTCGGCTGACTGCTCTTTGTTCCCGGCGCGGAACAATCCCGGTAGGTCAACGATAGTCAGATGTGGCTGCGTCGGACCGGATAGCTCGATGCGAAGGACATCCTGGCAGAACGTCCTGCCTCGATCGGCGCCGACGCCCATCGCCTCCTTGGCTTTATCCACGAGAACGCCGATATTGTTCTGGTCGGGGATCTCGGAATACTGGAACTGTTCGAGGCGAGCTCGTTCTTCCTTCGAGCGGTCGATTCCAGGGGAAATGGAGACGTGACATTTCTCCTCGCCGTTCTCGCCGGTATGTCGCAGGATCAATTCTGTTGCGAACCGCGTGCACAGGTTATCCTGCGTCGGAAAGGTCATGCCTGAGATGGCCTGCAGAACCGAGCTCTTCCCGGAGGACTGGTCGCCGCAAACTACTATTTGAGGGAGGTTCACATAACGATTGATTCCTTTGGATCGTAGCTTGTCGATGACATCCATCAGCGTCTTGTGGTCCTTGGACTGGAGCGGGGTGGCTGCTGCATGATTGGCCATCTTGAAGAGTCGAGCGGTTGTGAAGGGGATGATGTTTGGAGTAGTGATTACTCGAAAGACTGTTGAGTAAACCCGAATTCTGTATAAAATATGTCTGCGCTCCGGATGTGCTTATGTATCTAGTAGCCTAGTAGGTATGTCCCAGTTTTGAGGCTATCTACCGGCAAGTCCATTTTATTCTCCATTCTCAATCATTAGGCAACTATCGACGATTAATGCAGGCTGCCGTGAGGTTGCATGACAACGCCACATCAGACGTGCACATTTCATGAGCAAGAAGCCAGCCTGCTTCTCGAGTAAGCGACATGTCACTTTCGATGTAACACATAACAAACCAACAAACAAACAGATTGATGGAAATTAAATGTTGGTTGGCTAGGCTGCTCCCGTTGGAGGCGTTCTGACAGTATCCGCGATTTACGCCTCAACGTTAAAGCCTGCTTCCGAAGGCGTGTTTGATAATGCAAACGAGGCGCCGCCATCTGCGACCTCGCTAGGCCTAATTGACCTGCCCACCAGCAGGTCACCAAGCAATTCTTTTCTTGGTTCTTGATTACCCCCTTAGCTGGAGGCCGGTCACACCCCTGTCATCGGTATTTAGACCTGAGATGGCATCCTGTAATATGTATCCATAACACGTAACGCAGCACGAGTCAACAAAAAGCAGGCAGTATTGTGTACCTCGTCGAGATTACGCCGGTCGGCGAGAGACTATATGTGCGACTTGCTGCCGCTACGACCTATATTGTATTATTTCCATTGTCGTGAGTTGTATGTCGCTTGCCTTTGATCAAGGTAACTTACGTCGACGGCGTTGACAAACACGTCAATGCGGCCGTGCACCTTGGCTACGTAGGAACTCCGTTGTTCACGTCGACTAAATTCACAGCTATTTCCAGGCATTCCGAATCATCTGAGTACGCAGTGTGTTCTAAGTCCGCCGTCTCTTTGGCGGCTTCAACGTTCAGATTGGCGCATATCAGTACATCGTCACCTAGAGAAGCCAGTCGCAGGGCAACCACTCGGCTAATTCTACCACCTATTATTCATCAAAGCTATTTCGTAGAGCGACTTTTCAATTAGAGACATCGATTCGAAGCAGGATGCATACCGGCTCCCACCACAACAATAATGCCTTTAGTTTCTATGCTAACTAGTATTTTCATAGAGCGATTTTCGGCTTGGGAAATATGGAGAACTGTGCCGCATCCAATGGAAGCAATACTGAATGAAAAGGACAACTTCGCGCTTTTATTTCTACGATTACACGTGAGATTGCTTGTCTCACTACTCCGAAATACGTCTCGAAATCTATCCCGAAACTCCAAACCAGCGTTGCGCTACCGAATCATTAGCTAGAGCTTTACCTACCTTAGGTATATACCCGGCCTTGCCCAGTTAAAGAGGAATTATGGCCTGGCATGAGACGCAACAGAAAGGTGTCTTTTCTAGGCCAATTGGAGAGAACGAGGCATACATCAAACTAGTTGGCGATTCCGGATTACCCCTCAACCGCGAGCACTGGGCCATCAACGCAACCGCCACCATCATCCCAACCGGGACCTTCGCGTCCACCGACGCCGCATCTCGATTCCCCACCGCATGGGCTCACCTGCGTTTCCAACACCCAAGCCTCGCAGCCGAAGTCAGCCCCGACGGCGCAAACCTCACATACATCGTCCCAGCCACCACCGCCGCGCTCGAAACCTGGGTATCGCAGACCTTCAGCGTAGCGTCCACCGCACACTCCTCCACCGACGTAATCCCAACCTTCAAGCCGACACCGCACGCAAAACTAGTCTACATCCCGCAATCGCACGAGCTCCTCCTGCACAGCACCCACTGGCGCACCGACGGCCTCGGCGTCCTCCTCCTCCTCGACGCCCTGCTCGCTCTCGCCAGCACCCCCAACCCTCCCACATCCTCTCTCCCCTGGGGCACCGAGCCCGCGCGTCTAACGCCCAGCATCGAAGTCGCGGCCTCCATCCCGCTCACACCAACAGCAGAACAGAAGGCTCGTGCCGCGGAGTTAGTCAGCACGTTCGCGCATGTAGCGGGGGGAGTGGGGCTCCCGTGTCTCGGGTCCGCGGGGACGGGTCCGGGCGGAACGCGCAGCGCCGCGGTGGTGTTTAGCGCGGAAGCTACGGAGGGGGTGGTGCGTGCTTGTAAGGTGCGTGGGGTTAGTGTTACGGCGGCTGTGCATGCTAGTGTTGCGGGGGCGAACTACGAACTCGCTGATCCTGACGGGTATGGGGGAAAGGGGGAGGAGGAGAAGAGGCATTACGCGAGTACGATTCGGTTTGGGCTGCGGCCGTTTCTGGCGGAGCCGTTTTCGGGAGGGGGAGGGGCTGCGGGGCTGTATACGACGGGGTGGATGAAGAGGGTTGAGGCGCGGGACGGGTGGGGGGGTTGGGTGAGGGAGTTTGGGGAGGAGTATAGGGGGGGTGTTACGAGGGGGTTTTTGGATGCGCATCGTGAGTATGCGGTGCAGTTGGGTGAGCTGTTGCGTGGGTTGGGGGGGAAAGAGGGTGCGGGTGAGGAGGGAGAGGGAGGGGTGAGGATGCCGAGTGATGTTGATATTAGCAGTATTGGGGTTGCGGAGAAATTGGTTAAGAGGTTTTATGGGAGTGAAGAAGCTGGATTTGAGGTTCGCGCGGTGGGTGTTGGAGTTGAGATTCTGTCGAGACAGGGGGTGACTTTCGTCTGGACTTTTCGGGATCAGTTGAATTTGAGCGTGGTTTATAACGAGGCCTTCCATTCGGCGGAGCAGATGAACCTATTTGTCAACACGGTTAAGAGTCAACTATTGAAGGGTTTGAGCTTGCAGGATGACTAAGGACGGGGTCTAAGGGGTTACGATTGAAGCTCAGGGGCTTCCCCTATTTTAGGGTTACACACACTAGTCAGGTATGTGCTACACTGCTATGTACCTCCTAGCTAAGACGCTATTATAGTGAATTCAACCCCTATATAACACCGACTGTCAACTCCCGGCAACACATTGGCCAACCTAATCTACATCTGAAGCCAAGGATATCATTGACTCCGTTGTTGGCGGTGGTTCCTCCTCCCTCGTATACGGCTTTTTACTAAAATCAAGCTTCGATGCACCGCTCGCCATAAGTCCGACACCAGCAGCGATGAGACCTGGGTTGATCAACAGGCCACCCCCTACTGTAGCCCCTATCCCTGCCAGGATACTCAACATGGGAACCGAATTCTTCTTCACTAGCATTTTCCTCCTCTGGCGTCTCATCTTCTTATCTAGGTCCGCCTTACTTTCCGCTAACTCTGCTTGTTCTTCTTCGATTTGCTTTCGAAGCTCTTCGTCGACTTCGTCCTCAGAATCGGATGTGTCTGAGAGCGTATCGGCTTGTGAGAACCTCTCGAGCTCACTCTCCCGCTGGGCCTCTCGAAGTATTTCCATATTGGCCTTCTCCTCTTCTATGAGCCTTTGGTAATCATCTTGGCATTGTTTCATCATTTTCATCATGAGTCGTTGATCCTCTTGAACCTGCGCAAGTACTCTGCTGTACTCCTTGGTCTTATCGTTTGCGAGCTTCTCCAAGCTTGTCTGGATAGTTGATTGCGACGACTCGATGCTTTCTATCTGTTTTCTCGTCGCATTTAACGTCTCTTGCAACTCGAGTGCCATTTTGTTGTTGCCATCCCGAAGTGTTTGGCGAAATTGAGATGTTATGTCTCGAAGATCGTCTTGGTGTTTTGCTAGAGCTTGGACAAAAACATCCTGGACCGCTCTCCCGACCTCGGTATCGTTCAGATTTATTCCGTCATCCACCAACTCCTGCTGTATCTTCAATACGATACTACCATGCAAATCGTGGAGGTTTATTAGATGGCTGATGGCACCAAGAGCAGACTCTTTGTCGCCCGTCCATCTCATGACATGGCTTCCCCCATCTACCAGCGATCCCCAGAAGTTTTCCGTGTTTTTCAACTGGTCCTCGTTACAGAAAGCCTTCTGGAGCAATATCGCGTCTTGGTCAATCGAGTCCCACATGGAAGATGTTAACACTACTCTCGGGAACGCATGTATGCCACACAGCTTTCGCAATATATCGATGTTCTTGACAGAGGACCCAGATACCCGGTTGTCGGTTATGCGGTGCAAGTAGACAACACCAGCCAGATTGAGTTTGTGACGATAAACTTGGGCTAGTACAAATGCAATATCCTTTAGAACTTCGGCATTGGAACGGTAAGTATCGTCAAACCCAGGCGTATCCATAAGGAACACGCGGCGTCCGTCGTCGTATTCCAAGGTGAAGAAGTCAACGCCCGATGTGTGGGAAGTGAGGTTGTGACCAATAATATCAACATCTTCTTCGAGAACGGTAGATATAAATGAGCTTTTCCCAGAACCCGTTATTCCCATGACAAGGATGACCATATCGGATTTCCTGTTGACGCAGATAATTAGTTAGGAAGAGGCGATCACTGGGGGTAGTCTAGTACTAGACACTTACCTGATATTCGAAAATCCGTAGTTCTCCATGGTAAAAGCTTCCTAGGTATCATACCGCACTGACTACTAGGTACGCAACAACAATCTTGAGTCCACTGAAGACTGCAAACCAAGACATCCATCAATGTTTAGACTCGCTTAGGTGCCAGTATCTATAAAGATTGATGCCCTTGGTCTACTAAGCCATCAGGGGTCCATAAATCCATGTTGCATGGATCCTCTCAGCCTCATTAATAGCGACCTACTTACTTAATAATCGAACAATAGTCTACCTATAACAAGTTGTCAGAGTAACTGTGTAGGATGGTCAATGTAACTATCTCCAACGAATAAGAACCGCCCTTGTAAGGAGTACCCAATCGCGTACAATCCGAAATCTTCAGCGCCAGAACTCAGTTTCCAAATGCAGTCTTCGACACATTCTTCTGTCACACACGGCCCCCAATACTCCCCAGCACTCAGCTGATAGCACATTTACAGCCGCTTCTTAGCGTTGAAAACTGGTGATGACTGCATATCTAGCGCAATTAGGGTTGCCATAGCGCCTTCTGATGCACGAACCCCCGGCGGTATCTGCATCTGAGAAGCAGGCTGCGAAAATCTAAAATTAAATCGAATTATACATAGTTCTCCCCAAGTCCCTATATTGGGACATGATGGAGAGGCATTCTCGGCGCAACACATGAACAAAACCGACTTAATTTCTAATCTCATCTCTCATCGCTAGGTAAATTACCTAGGTACCGACCTATATTCGTATATTTTCTAGAGCAAGATACAATCGAGCACCATGACGCAATATCCTCATTCGGCTAGTAGTAACAATGATGTATTCATTGCAGTCATGGGCGTTACCGGGGCTGGGAAGAGCACGTTTATTTCTCATTGTACAGAGAATCAGGTAGAGATAGGGCACGATCTCCAAGCTTGTAAGAAAAAATATCCTGATCCCCACGAGTAAAGTTAAATCTAATATCCTCGAGGTACTCAAGGAGTAGGAGTTTACAAATCATCGTTATTCCAGAACAGAAACGTCTACCTCGTCGACACACCAGGCTTTGACGATACGAACCGTACAGACAAGGAGGTCCTGAAGGAGATCGCCATCTGGCTGGGAAAGTCATATGAAGAGAAGATCCAGCTTAGCGGTATTATCTATCTCCATCGAATCACGGATACCAGAATGCAAGGATCTGCGAAGAAGAACTTACTTATGTTCAAAAAGCTATGCGGACCACAAGCCCTTAATCGCGTTATCTTGGCTACGACGATGTGGGAACGGCTTCCCAGCGAAGACATGGGCGTAAAGCGTGAAAACGAACTAGTGAATACAGAAGAGTTTTGGGGATGGATGACACGGCAGGGATCAAAAGTTCGACGGCACCACAACACGGAAACTTCTGCCAAGAATCTTCTTCAGATCTTCGTGTCTTCTACCAATGCCCCTATTAAGCTTAAGATCCAGGAGGAAATCGTCGACAAGCACAAACAGTTGAGCGAGACAAGCGCAGGTATCGAATTAGATAGTGCGCTAGCTCAAGAAAGAGAGAAGTACCGAAGAGAGCTAGAAGAGATGAAAGAGGAGATGAAGGAAGCCTTAGCCGCCCGTGATAACGAGACAGCTAATATTATACGGCAAACCCAACAAGAAGTCCTGGATAAAATCAAGAACCTGGACCGCGACCGACAGGAACTTAGGGTGTCTTTCGAAAAGATGTACCAAGAACGTGTTGCACAGCTTGAAGGTCAGTTGCACCAGCAACACGAGGCAAATCAGAAGATGCACAGCTCTATGCAGGAGATGATGGTATCGATTGAGCGAGAAAGGAGAAAAGTCAGGGAACCTCAAGCGAAGCAGAACGAATTTCGGACCCAAACCAACAGCTGGACACCACGATACGAGGTATGTAACTCAACGATGGATACTCATAAATCTCGATTTAACCCGTAATAGAAACCGAAACCGAAACCAAAGACACCCGCTAGATCCGCGCCATATTCCTGTCTGGCCTGTAAAAAGGGATTCTGGGATAAGGAATTGCTCTTCGAGCACCTCGAGGAACGCGAACGTGCTGGGAAATCGCACGCAAGAGACATTAACACCGGAAGGCCAGAGACGTTGCGCCGCAAGGGCCAACCCCTCCCAACCGCGGTTTTGCTTGGGTCACTTTTTACATGCCTAGAATGCCACAAAGGCTTCACGACTAGAGATAGCCTCTTTGAGCATCTTGAGAAACAGGAGCGGATGGGAAGATCGCATGCGAGGGATACGCGTACTGGAAGACCAGAAAGATTAACGCGACGGAAAGGTATTAAGAACCGCTCCTAAGAACCCAACTTGTGATTTATAGGTAGGTAGGGATAGCGAGCATTCTATCACTAATGGAATTTTTTCCTTGCCGAGGTAGTCTTTCACGTTGATATAGGTACTAGCTAGTATACCTTAATAAGAGCAAATCATATCAAGTCGTCAATAATGCACAGTTCAGCTACTAGTAGTCCGGATTTAATTTCATTGCGACTTTGCCATTTCAGCTATAGAAGAGTCTAGAGGAGACTCGTACATGCAAGGCTCCTCCAAGCCAACAAGCAACAAGCCTATACCTAGGTAGCCAAGGCGATCCCTAGGCAGCTTCAAAGCAAGAAGAAGAGCAAGACTATAGAGAATTTCCACCTATCCTTCTGCAAGATCCACTCAACAGGACCATTAAGCCAAGTATTCCCCCTTTTTCCTCATTGATCCCTATCCCTCTCTTCAGTAACCTATCGCGCGGTCCGAGTCTTAGAAGAAACTGCTAGGCGATGTATTATCGCCAGGGGAAGCATCATTACGAGGTGCTAATCGCTCTCGTACTCTAGTCCCAGGTCACGCATGAACTCCTCGATGGGCTGGAAGTCAAAGCTTATCGTGAGATTAGTACCCTCGTGGTTCGGATAGACTCTGAGAGTCGTATCGGCGGCAGCTTCGGCGGGGTCACCTGGATTTGTGTCAGGTTGGCTAGTGTTAGGGTGGCTAGTGTCATGATGGTCAGTGTCATGATGGCCAGTGTCGTGATGGCTAGCATCATGAGGGCTATCGTCGGGATGGTTGTTGTCGGGGTGGCTGGCATCGTGATGGCTAGCATCGTGACGGCTGGCGTCGGGATGGCTATCTTCGTGATTGCTAGAGTCATGATTGCTAGTGTCGTGATGGCTGATGTCTTGATGGCCAGTGCCATGGTGGTTAGTGTCGTGATGGCTCGCATCGTGGTGGCTAGCATCGTGGTGGCTAGCATCGTAATGGCTGGCATCTTGATGGCTAGTGTAGTGATGGCTGGTGTCGTGATGACTAGTGTCATGATGGCCGGCGTCAATATTCTCGGATGGTGTAGAGGGATCACCTACAACAGTCTTCTGGAGGCAGTCAAAAGTAAGCTTCTTCGGAGGACTTTTGTGCGGAGCCTCTGTGATACGGGGTTCGCCACCAGAAGATTCTCCTAAGGGAATATTCAAGGGGGTCTGGGTACGGATAGGAATCGTTCTGACAAAGCCATCGTTGAGATCACGACGGGAGGCACCGGGATCACCGTAAAGAGCGCGAGCAGAATTATCTTGTTCCGCAGACTGGTCCCAGAGATTGCCCATCTGAACAGCCGCAAGATTACCCTGGCCAGTTGTAGGATATTGGGGTAGATTCGCGTTGGCGAGGGGACCAGAGGAGTGCGCGATGAGAGTGCCAGTTCCAGGGTCAGTGTAGCTAAGACCCGTGTAGACATTCGCATTAGTACCATGATAGCTCGTAGTCATACCACTGGGATGACCCTGGTAGAGAGTATTGAGTCCGTAGTTTTGATATTCGTGATGAACATCACCGGGTAGAGCACCAGGGAGGCCTTGAGCCAGACCGTAGAGGGGATTTGCAGCACCATGACCAGGTTGCACTAGACCACCGGGATGAACTGGAAGAGCGGGTACTCCAGTAGTAGAGAGTGTTGCAGCTGGTCTAGCAGCTGGTCCAGCGGGGGCTTCGCTATATGCCGACATAGTAGATCGCTCGCAAACTTGATCCACGAGCATTTGTACTTTGCCTTGTTTCCATCTTTTGTTAAGAGCCATCTGGTCTTCCTGGGATCGCTTTGCTAAGAAGCTGAGAACTGAAAGACCCGTTCCTGGCATCTCCTGGTATAGTGCTTCAAGGATCATCGGCTCCAAGTCCGGTCTGACCTGAAGCACGGCACCAAAGATATGGGCAGGACCTGGCTTGGTTGCAAAGCCTTCTGAGCGATCTACCGCGTACTGGTAAGTACAGACTCTGTTCTTTCGAGCGCAAGTCTCGCACTTCCCGAAGACACCGCTACAACTGAGCGCCCCCTCAGCACATTCCTTGCACACAGGACTAGATCCCACTCGTGTGCACTCTAGCTCCCCCTGGACACAATTGTAACAATGGCTACCAGTACAGCACTGTTTCTCACGTTTACACTGGTCACAAGAACGAGAGGTTTTTGGTTGTGCTTTATTCTCATCGGTCTTCTTCTTGTTCGCGGGCTGACCAGTGATACGCTCCCCTGCCTTACGCTTCGGCATTGTGAAGGTAATGGTAATAAATGGGCTAGGGTTGGGTCTTCAGATAGTTATCTTGGTTGCTGAGCGTGTTTGGTGCTAATAAAGGCTGGTCAAGGATCTATGAAAGATCGAAAAAAGATGTTTTTGTGGAAAGGAAAATCTTCACAGAATTATTTCCTACCTACCTAGATAATTCTGCTAGTGTCTAATAATCCGACTTCGAAGAATTCTGCCCTGACGGAAGTAACATTTGGCCAATGCTGTGGTCGACGGCTAAGACGGGTGCCATAAGAGCATAGACGACATGAGGATGTCCGCATTTTTCTAAATATACGGAGTCATCCTCTGTCTTATACATCGTGAACACCGGACCGAGTCGGATGGGGTTTTGGGGGACAGGGGATTAGGGAGCTAAGAATTCATCTACACTCCTCCTAGGATTTGCTATCTTAGTAATGAGAACTAGGTAGGTATGTTTTAGTTGTTTAGAAAATGTAATAGATCTCTGATGTGAGCCAACGTTGTGTTTGACTCAAGGTGCCTACAATTTAAAGGGGTCAAATTTGACCCTAGGCACTCAAGTCAAGTCAACTAACTACAACATGTAACTTAACGATAATTCTTAAATTTATTAGATACATAGGTAGGTAACTACTAGTTTCTATTCTTGAGAACTATATTATTTAGAATGATTCCTAATATCCCTGATCCAAGTATAAATCAAGTCAGCCTCCTTCATGGACAAGTACCTACTAGCTCGGGTTTAAGGGTTGTACAAAAAGCGGCCCCTTTTCAGACCCCCATCTAAGAACATTCATATTTGGGAAAGGTAGGTAGTTTATGATTTATACCAATGGAATACTTTCGTCATCATGACGCGTGCGAACGAAGCTTTATCAGTAGCATTTGGCAAGTAGGAGGCATATTGATATTTAATAACCTAGAAGGCGACGACGACGACGATATGGATGAAAGGGTGGGCGATATTAGCAGTGATTGGGTAGGTAGGTAGTAATTAGCTGGTTCAAGCTTCACCGCATGTACTAGGTACTAGGTATACATTTACTTTCTATAGAACTCTTTCTCTTCTGCCTTAGCAGGAAAACTTTCGCTCAAGCATTAGGATTCTCAAGAGGAAATGCTTACATTGCACATCGCTGCGCAAATCCTTCTATGATCGGTGCCTAGGGCATTGCCATGAGGGTGACGCGTATTTTTGTGTTGGCCGTATGTTGATCTGCACATTTACTAGACTGACTATTTGAAGGACGGTGTTACGAAATTTGCTTCGTGGTTGTGCCGTCATGATTCTTTTACAGACACATCCATGGATGCCTGTAGCCATAGTTGGGGAAGCCATCGCAGTGTTATGAAGCCTAGTAGTAATGATTTTCACGCTGAATCGGTGCTGATCTCGTAGATGCTTCTGCCTGTGGCTTAAAACGCATATTCCATCACCGAACGCCTGAGAACCGTAGTTCAGCAACCCAGTTGATGGATTCCAAACATATGTAGACCTTGTGGTGGTGGCGGGTATGCACGAAAAGAGGAAATATTTCTTCATATCTCTGGGCAAGCCGGAGAAAACGATGAAAATGACGGAAGCGATTTCGCATCGCCTGGAGGCAGTGTAATACCAGGGACACGGTGGGAGCCATCATGCGCAAGCACAGAGGATGTATTCCCTGAGGGCAAAAATAAGAATAATCAAGGTACGAGTCACTATGTGACTCTTCCAGAGATTAAACTGAAAAGAACAGATACTACACTTGATCTAAGCCAAAAGGCAAAGAGAGCTGAGGAAAAAAAGAAGAGGAAAGGAAGTGAAAGAATTAAGACGCGCGCGAAGAAACGTTATGTGGTGGCAGTGGGTGGGGCACAGTGTTTTTAGCGGGGGCGGTGAGGTTAGACTGGCAGAACTTTAGGTTACCTAAGAACAGTCATTATGGGCGGGCGACACTTGCTGTAGGCACCTTGTAGGGGTCCAATACAGCTGGAAGTCGCGATAGGCGGCTGTAAAAAAAAATAATTGGTTGGTACCTACCCGCTAAACGTCGTAACCTAACAGCTAAGTAAACCTCCGCCTCACCAATATCATAATCCAAATCCGTGACCGAAACTTAATCCACGTCCTATTCGCCTCATAAATTTACAGCTCTAAGTGAGCTGAAGCTATTCCTTGGCGTTCTTTCAATCCACCTATTCCGACATGGGTTACGACGAATCCTCTCCAGACAAGCGACGAGCCTCACGGAGCGATGGAGAAGATGCTTACGAACGTGACAGGCGCAGCCGAAATACACGTCGCGATGACTCGAGAAGAAGATCCCGCGACAGATCTGGAAACAGAAAACGCCCCCGACGTTCACGGTCCCCAATCGATGCGCCTCGGCGTAGATCGACATCCCGGGACCGTGACCGCGGTAGACGAAGCGAGCATAGACAGAGACGCCCACGCGACTACGACGATAAACATAACGAAAGAGGCTCGCACCGCCGCCGGGCACGAGACGACGACCACGATGACCGAGACCGAGGTGGCAAACAAGTCGTGAAGCGAAATGGCCCACTGCCCTCCCAAGCTGATTCATTTGCTGTCACCCAGGGCGAAGAACCACCAAAGCCAAAAGAGAAACCCAACTATGGGAACACGGGCGCATTGGCCGCTGCTTCAAATTCAGTCATTCAATCGGATGGATCTAGGATAGTACTGAAGTACCACGAGCCTCCCGAAGCCCGCAAAGCATCACCGAAGGACCAATGGAAGTTATTCGTATTCAAGGGCGAAGATATCGTCGATACCGTACCCCTTAGTAGCCGTAGCTGCTGGCTAGTTGGTAGGGAAATGGCCGTGGTAGATCTACCCGCCGAACACCCTAGCATCAGCAAACAACATGCTGTTATACAATTCCGATACATTGAAAAACGCAACGAGTTTGGCGACAAGATTGGTAAAGTGAAGCCATACTTGATTGACCTAGAAAGCGCCAATGGCACTATGCTCAATGGGAAGAAGGTGCCCGAGAGCCGATACCTAGAACTTAGAGAGAAGGATATGGTTCAGTTCGGCCAAAGCACCCGCGAATACGTACTAATGCTCGCCCCGAAGGACTAAGGTTGACAGGCTGCCGAACAAAGAACACGGTCCCTCGTGTCAATTACACATGAGCTATTCTTGTTACGCTATTCTGTGCAACTACGCCGTGTGTCCGGTTAGGGTAGGGCAAATGATGGCGCAGACAATCACAAAATCGACCTCAACCGGCCTCACCTTGATGCTAGGCATTGAACCCCTAGCTCCTCATGTCAACGTCTTCTCCACTTTCAAAATCATAGCAGCAAGACCTTCTCACACCACCAGTTCGGCATTGCCTTGTATCTCTACCAAGGGAAGATCAAAGTGGCTATTATCGGCATGTCCAATGAGGCAGTGCCTAATGACGTTCCACACCCAAGTTCACGTTTAGTGAGAACTGATCAATCTACTACTTCCTATCCCGAGACCAAGAATCGGCTCTTGAGGTTGAAAATTTTTCTCTCAACAATCACGAGTTTGAATCTGAATGCGGGTGACGGTTTTAGAACGTCAACTCGCAAGGTGTATAAGTGACATTTCACAGTGATATCTCATTTCTAAAGCACCATGTTTCGGAACGCCAGAACCAACATCTCATACTTGAGCCGAAGAATCGCCTGGGTTTCGTAGGACAAGACGTGAATGTGCCTGGCAGATGGGACTGTGACGAACTGGGAAAGATCGTAATAGCTGATTGGAGCTCCCTAACCGCTGCCTATCCAATATAGATTCTATAACCCCCTTACCTGAAGGTTGGTAGAATTTCTATATTGCATACGAACGTCGAGAAACCCTCGATGTTACACAAACTCGATAGGCTGTCCCGTATCGAGATTCGTAGCGATAAAGAATTGAGGGGCTCAAATCCCGAATAGCGATTATATTACTTGATAATGCAACGTCAACATATATCCATGTGAAACTCATCGTGCTCGAGACATGTGAAACCTTCAAAAGTTAACATGTTGACATCTTACCAGTCTTGTATTGGATTCTGCAAAAAAGATGTTGGTATGTAGGAATGTTCACTAAAATAGAAGTTGTCAAAGTTGTCGAAGTTGTCTAAGTATAAAAGTTCCAAAAATTCGATGCCGGCCATGCAGCTTACCGAACTTCGGAAGTAACGGGACCTTGGTACGTACGAATAAGCTGTGCAGGCGGAAGCAAGCCAGCGGCACATATCGCGAACCTTAATCCATGTCTCCCGTACGTAAGATAGTTCTCTGGAGAATAATAGCGTTAAATAAGTTTTAAAGTACTCAAAATGCCTCGAATGACTAATAACATAATACAAACGACGATACAAACGTTTATTTTATTTTAAATCACACGTCGTTTGCTAACCCTAAAGCTTTTTTTGGTAGTACCTACCTAATAGTCAGTGCCTATACCGAAGTCTGCCCTATCTGATGTCAACTAAACTTTCGGTACGGCCGTGACAGTCCACTACATAAAGTTAGCGCAAATATTAAAGTTAAGCTTTAGTTTCGATGCCGTCCGTATTCCTGGGACGGATAAGCTATTGTAACATCGAAGGTTTTTGATATGCACAACAGGTACGGTACACTAGGCAGCCTTAAAGGCGACGAATGGCCTGGCCCACAAAGTTCCATCCATCTTCAACAAGTTAACCAACACGATTGTGACGAAGGCAATTCATCCACCCAATCAACGACATTGCTAAGCTATGTCTCGGTTCTTATTCGATTCAGTCGACCGATAACTTGATCTAGTTGACGTCAATTTACTCACTACGAAAGTTACCCGACTTAAACAGATCCTTGGAACCTTGGAACATCACGAATACCTACATCCATCTGCCAGGGACCATTACGCTATTCTTACTTACATACCTGCATGCATATCCATGTACAGAGGTGCCTTTCAAAAGATTTTACCATAGACCAATCCCTGTCAGCTGTACTGCACAGCTGTCAGTTCAGACGTCAGCTGTATTGCCAACTGCCCTCTCACCTCAGATAAACCGTCGATTTTAACTACTTATTTCTTTTGATATCTAGGCTTAAAAGCCTAAAGATTCACGTATTTATGAATAATACTTGATATTAAATACTTCTAAGAAGTTTCTATTGACTTAGATTCAGAAGTGGTTGTAAAATATCAACTGAAGGTTAAGAGGTAATCGAGGAAAGTTGGCGATATGACCTGCCAGTTGTCAAATAAGAGCTTCCAGCTGGTGCCGCAACTGACAGGGATTGGCGTATGGTAAAATCTTTTGAAAGGCACCTCTGTACTTAAGGTACAAAATAAGAAACTGCCGAATTACTACGGTGCTTCGCCCCTCTAGCCCCCCCAGATGATGACCCCTTACCTAGTACCTTCTGCCGCCCGCCCGTCTTACCGCATGAATTAGTTGCTTTTTTAGATCTTCAAGTATCTGTTCAAGGTACCTTTACAGGGGTGGTGTGGGGAACACTATGACTAAAACCGCATATCTCATATCTCTGGAGGCTCCAGGCTGAGAAACGCGGAGCCACCTGACGACACCAAAAACAGGGCCCCGTGATGGTGTAGTGAATTTCTCCCTTCAACTTTGTAAACTTTGTACACCCCTCTTCCTCATCATTCTCAATACCTAGGTACGACGAGGTACGATGTGACCTATTCGACCGACCTTTAAACTTTATGTTTCTGTTGAAACTTTACACTGTTCAATCATCCGACCTTCCGGCCTTTAAACAGGGCAACGACGTGCTAATAGCACATGGAGAGCTACTCGACTATATGGGGATTATTTCGTAGTTTATGGTCAGGTTGACCGAAGACTACTTCCTCATCTAACTTTTCCCCTATGACTCCTTCCTGATCTTTCAAATTTCCAAGTATACTGTGTACATTTCTAACTCTAAATGTCTCCCTGTACTTTATTTTGTTACCGTCGCCCTATGTCACGCGCGACGTCGATCCTCTTAAATTCGCTCCCTCCTTCTTAAGAGAAACACCTCCAACCACCAGTCTTCCGCTTACACTCACCATATAAGGCGACTCTACTGGCACGAGCCCTCTCGCTTTTTTCATAAGTAAGCATGGTAAGTTGAAACCTATCTCTTCCATTCTTTTATTTAGTCTACAAACCCGAAGATGTCCAAGTTTTGACACCATCACGCCCCAACAACGATTCGTGGGCCTCACCTTTTCTTTTCTGCATATATCATGAATGTCGCTCGTTTCATTCGACTTCTTGGACTAGATAGAACCATAAGGGACTGGACGGCTACGGTACTGTCCGTAATAATGAGTAGTCTGCTAAACTCGCCTCATTCACAGGGCTCGATCAATAAACAAATCTCGCGCTACGAGACGACGGCAGTTTACACCCACCCAGACGCTAAAGTCGACATCGTTCTTGTCCACGGCCTAAATGGCGACCCGGAAAAAACGTGGTCGGCCAAAAACGGGGTATTCTGGCCGTCCGATCTACTCCCCACCTCTCTGAGGGACGCCCGCGCAAATATTCTCGTGTATGGATATAACGCCGATGTATATTCGAAGAAACATGGGTCGAACCCAAGTGACAACTTCATATATATGCACGCGCAGACCTTGGTGACATCCCTTACACATTATCGGAAAGATGAGTTGTCGTCGCATAACCCAATCATATGGGTGTGTCACAGCTTGGGTGGAATCTTGGTTAAGCGCGCACTGTTATACTCGAACGACTTGAGAGCTTCTCAACATGAGGACTATCGATCAATCTACGTGTCTACATATGGACTTATATTCCTTGGCACCCCGCATACGGGTTCTGAAATAGCGGGATGGGGTACCATGTTACAAGGCATGTCAGATGCCGTAGTGCCTAGGACGTTCTTTCAGTCCGAGTCGGTACTACTGAAGACGCTCAAGAGGGATAATGAAACGTTGCAAAATATCAATAACCATTTCCTCGATATATATCAGCGATTCAAAATTCTCATGGCGCACGAAAACCACAAGACGGATATGAAAGGGACCAGGATGCTCATAGTCGATGCACAATCAGCCGGCCCCCAACTTCCGGGCGTGACATACTATGCTATCGAAGCAACTCACTCTGGCATGTGTAAATTTGAAAGTAGGAATGCACCGGGGTATAGAACTATAGCTACGGCTATAAGGGAATGGGTTGTCGACGCGCCGGACGTTATCGCCACCCGATGGAGAGTAGAGGATGATGAAAAATTGGCAAGGGCTAAACACGAAATTGAAGAGAGAATGAAGCCGTGGGTATGTTGACCTCTTAAACATGAACGTTCCTGACGATATCGTATCTAACTTGGAATAGCTTGATTCGCAACGCATCCAGCAGACTGGCCAAGGATCCAGTAGGTCACAAGCACTATCCTTCCTAGAAAACAGCTCAGATCGCTCTCATAACCGATCTTTGAGGAGCTCGTTTTTTGAAGACGTCCAGCTTCCTTTCGAAATAGAGGAGGTCGAGGATCATTCTCAAGAGCACGTTAGACGCTGATAAACGAGGAGCCGTAGCTGATTGTTTTTCTATCTGTAGTTCCACAGCATAATGATACTACCTTATCTTCACCCCAAGATACTTCGCGAATCGATCATCAATCTAGACCGCTCCTCACCGGCCCAGAAACTCCTAACCAGCCGTCGGAAGAGGATTATTTCCCATCTCAGCAGTCTAAATCTGATCATGACCCATCTCAGGAACCTCTTTTTGTTAAACCAACGGTATTTCGCCCCAACACGTACTTCAAAGGCCGGGACAAAGAACTGAAATTACTGCACAAAATGTTAATGGACCGTAAGAGAAGGTCCGTAGGAACATCGTCTGTTCTAATTCAGAGTATGCCTGGCGGAGGCAAAACTCATTTAGCACGACAGTATGTCTTCCAACACCGATACGACTACCAAGGCGGCATCTTCTGGATTCGGGCGAAATCTTTAGAGGAATTGGACTACGGCTACTGGGACATTGCTAAGACAGTAGGCCTCAGCGATATGGCACCGCTAAATCCAAATGGGAGTGTTGATACCCATGAAATGGTGAAGGCCGTTCAAGCGTGGCTAAGTAGCCAAACTGACTGGTTACTCATCTTAGATGGTGTTCATTTTGACCTTCCAGATCTCCAGCATTACATTCCTTTCGCGAAGAATACAAGCATTATCTACACGTCAACCGAGCGAACTCCTGGCGAGGACTACCAATTTGATAACCCTCAAGTCATCGCTCTAGACTCGTTAACTAAGCAGGAAGCTCAAGAATTACTATTTGAGGAGATGGGGAAGAAGAAACCATATACGCAAGACGACCTGAGGCGTGCAGAGGAGCTAGTGGAACTGATGGATCGTCTACCTCTCATGATTCATGTTGCGGCCCTGAACCTGAAGGCTACGAGAGAGCCACTTGCGAAGTACCTAAGGTCGTTCCGAAGTCGTCCGAAGGTAGGTAACCTTCCGGCGTACCGTGCCGTTCGTGAACAACTAGAACATAGAGGAGCCAGTGCTGCACTAAATTTGATGGCTTTACTCTCTTTCTTCGGCACACATATCCCCGTCGAGATGATAGTATTAGGTAAGCATCGAGATCAACCATGATCGTATCTTTACACACTAACGCTTGTAATAGGTGCCAAAGCTTTGGACAAGAGAACTCCTGTTAAATCGGTCGACGCCGAGACTCGGAGGTCTTCTTTGAATAATACATTCAAGATACTTATCGCTTTTGCTCTCGTTGAACGGAATGAGAACAACGAAGCCTCGTCGGCTAGTTCACGTAGTACGAGAAGTGTCGACATGGGTCAGGACAGCCTTGACATACTCAGGGTTCACGGAATTGTTCAAGCATTCTTCATCGATGTCCTTGCTGACGATAGACAAGCTCATTTCTGGCTAGAGCGAGCGATCTGTCTTTTCTGCAAAGCCTTTGACGTGAGCGACCATCGAGTTGATGAAGATCCCCTAACGGGAGTGCCTGAGGATTTCCGAAGGCTCCTCATTCATGGCGAACGGCTACTGGCTCATATTAGTCGATTTGAGAGAAGATATCCCGAACTCGCCGAATGTCGGGGATGCATAGAATTGCGTCTGGGTACTATTAACAAGCGAATCGATCAACTCACTAAACGGATTACGGAAGCATCTAGCCAAGGTTCCGGGGCAGTGATTATCTCTGTTTTCGAACGAACTAACAGTTTATCCGAGGGCGACTCAGAGACGCCCCCGAGCAACAGCAGCATAGTTGAACCGTACATGCTATATGATGAAAGTTCTCCAATAGAATCACCTGCGATATATAGCCCCCTGGATCATCACAACCCATACCATTGGCACGTTACTTTCCCACACAATACATCCCAAGATGACGTGGATTATTCAAGGACGGTTACGCCTCAAGCAGCACCCACGGAAGTTTTCGAATCAATGTCCATGCCAGATGATGATGAAATTACTCGCAGGGTTTTTGGTCCTAACCATCGAACTATTAAGAAGCATGCCTCAAGACGCTACCGCGACCGCGCTGGTTCTTGGAGAGCCGCGTCTCAGATACTCAGCGATCCCCGCGTCAGTATCAGTCGTGAGACAGCAAGGGGCATCATCAACCCAACGACGCTTCAGCAGGTGTTATCAAGACCACGCTCTTCTACTGATAGTATGTCGTCGGAGGCCACCAAAGCACAGTTGACATTGGACAAGATCAATAAGGGATCCCCTTCATTACAACCAAGAAGTGTTGACAGTAATATCGATGCTATGAGTGACAGTATCTTAACCATACGTCCGAGGCTGGTAGCCGGGAGACCATCATACGCCGATCCAAAGGCCGAAGCTACAATTGACGATTATCCAATCTCGACCACGTTCTCTAGCCCCGCTCCATCCCCAGACTCTGCCGCGTTAACAATCCTAAAGCGGAGGGAAAATGACCACTCTGTATCACTGGAAGGTCTTACCCCGATTAAAGTGTCCAGTCCCTTGTCTGCGACTCCGCTCACTACTACATCACTGCCTTCGCCACCATCACCAAGCCCGCCAGTGACACAGCAGCCGTCGTTCCCGGAAGTTAATAAGACTGAGAACATACTCAAACCACCCTCAATACCTTCAAGGTCGCTGTCGAATTCACCTCTAGGCCGAGTTTCAAAACCGCCTTCAAGACCGACATCTGTGGTCCTTTCGCGGTCTGCTCAGTCTAGCCCGGCACATCCCTCTGGCCCATTCTCACCGCCACCTATCCCCATTGAAATAAACACCAGTAGCAGCCTCCGCTCGCCTCCTTCTCCCGGTGCTCACCAATGGGACTCGCACGCTCGACTTTCGCAACAATACATAGCTGAAGACAACGAATACCCGTCTCTCGCACACTCACTCCCATCAATCCGCCCACACACCAACCTCCCTTATCCACATACAGTCCATGGTCCACCCGATGATCTTCTCGCATCGGAGCCCCCGGCTCCATGGGTAGCCTCCACGTCTCCGAACTTACACCCTCAAGGCTACTCTAGCCAGCCCATGTCTCGAGACCAGAGTCACCAGTCTGGCCACAGCTACGGCTCCAACAACTCCCTCTCCGCACACAACGCCTCTTCAATCGGTCAGCTGAGCTCCTCTCCCGGCTCACAGATCATGCAGCGACCGCGCTCTCGCCGCCCAAGCGTTGTGGAGACGGAGCCTAGTCCAAGAATCCCAGCCCTCGACCTCGAGCCCATCAATACTAGCTACTCACTATATATGGACTCAAGCCGTGGTCGCAGACGCGCCACCTCAGGCCACGCATCTCGCGCTGAAGGAGCACGGCTATTGTCGAGGTTCAGGCCTAAGAGGCGTGTCAGCGACGACATAGGCGATGGTAGAAGACATCGGTCTGCTAACGGACGACTGGGCCATTTTACTCTAACTAGAGGCTCGAGGGTAGCAGTCGAAGAGGCAAATGGTGCGGAACCGATGGCAAGATCCGGGTCCGGTGGGATACGGCTCGCGGATGGACGGGTTGTGGAGTTCGGATCTGGGGCTCCGCCCACAAGCGAAAGTGTTGTTATGCCTGGATCGGAACATGTTGGTGAGGCTAATGGGAGACCCGTTTCTTCCGTTAGTCCGCCGACAAGACATTCAAGATTTAGTCCGCAGAGACTTAGTAGGAGGGGTAGGACCGGGAGCGGGAGCGGAAGCGGAAGTGGAAGTGTACGCCGCAAGAGAGATAGCCAAGTTTCTCCCGACGTGGGGTTGGGAATCCAGCAACCGCCAAGACGGTCTTCGTGATCTTCCCAGGCTCTCTTACTCGGTATCTTGGGGCTTAGGCTCCGTACATAATCCGCCAAGTTGATACAGAGGAACATCCCTATTCATTCGCTACTCACACCCGGGACTAGTCAAATGCACATATTCACAAATTGGGACGTCGAAGTTACGGTTACGGATTCCATGCATATCAGGTTTTGGAAAAAGAAACAAAAAACGACATTTGAAATTTGGGGCTCTGCATAGCTTAAGGTGTTTGCATACTATACACAGCATTGCGATGGTTGTTGAGAGATTAGGTGTGGGAGGAGATACCACGATTGATTGATTCATTTTTGGCGACGCTTTTGGTGGTTTGGTTTTTTGGTAGTCTGTATGTATTTGGAAGTGTGGAAGTGTGTACGATACGATGCGATTCATGATTTTGGTGGTACACGGCAGGTAAATATGGATGCTGTGTTTATTACAAGATAGGAAATTTGATTATTACCATTTAACGTCTTTTTCTGCTCTTCGCTATGTGTAATGTTTGCTCAAGATATTGTTCTCGTCGATTATGGAAGTTTTGCGCATCGGCTCACGGGCTGAAAATACTACAACTCCAAGCAACCCCGCACCACAAGGCGTTTTTCTGTAGTGGTTGAACCCCCAAGATTACAGCAGTTGCTCACTAAATTTCGGCCGAGGAATCAGCCCTAAATAGCCTATTCCATCTCATCACACAGCCTCCCCCAGGGCTAACATAAACGTGAGGGGGTACGTAATTCCTAGCGCCCTACAGGTATCTATCGACTATCATCAGGATATTCGTTACACAAACAACGCTAAAAGGACCCAGACATAAGGCCTAGCTTACTCCGTAGAAAGCTCCTAACAGGTACCTAAAACAAGATCTTGAATGTCTTACAGGGAGATCCCGTATTATAGCGATAGGCTATAGCGACTCTCGGCGACCTAACCGCGTAGCGTATACACTATAGCATCCCCACTTTACCCCTATTTTAGCGGTAACTTTTAGTTGTGATTACTTGCACTCACTAGTAACCTTGGAACGTTCGATACGAGGAGCTAGGAGTTACTAGGTACTGTTGTTACGTTATACTGTATCGTAAGGCTAGATGGACAGCGAAGCTGGTATAGGCAAATGAAAATGTGAATTTCTCACAGGTACCTAGGTAGATTTAGGGGTTTCTAGATTTCTAGCAACTGTGCTACCGCCGATAAGGGCGTATTTTCCGGATTAAATGCCGTCCAGACATGATCATAGCTTCATTGACGTAGGATTTACTAAGCGCTTCCTCGACTGCTTATATTGATAATGACCAATGCAGCCTTTGAACAATTGGCGACGCTCAATTGCAAAGGTCGATAATACGTGTTGTATTCAAACTTCAGCTATCTCTTAAGATCGCGTTATGTAGGTAACAGCTTGACTACCTAGGTAGGCATGATTTAGGAGTCCGCCTTGTTCTTACAAACATCCTTGACTCTATCATCCCTTTCGCATAGCTAGTTCCTGGCGGCTATACATAAGCACCGGAAACACATTCGTCAACAATTTAATACGTCGAATACAGGGAAACCTCCGTGAAGACAAACCTGTAAGATATCCGTAGGTACCTACATAAGCTACTCCTCGTTGTTACCGCTGGATTTTTGCCCAGTCGCTAGCAGGTCGTATAAGCATACTCCGCCACTATGCGGATAAAACAGAAGCGGAAACAACCGCATTATCCCGCGATCTTCAAACGCATCTGCGTATGATCATATTATACATGCCCGCCAAGCTCTCTGTGTACGCGTAACTAACGTCAGCAAGTATTCCATCGGTATTAGACCGAGCCTATGATAGCCAATCGTCAATCGCTAAACCTCCAATCGACTATTCCAGACAGGTTTCTCGGGGACGTAGGGTGGAAAATAGTCTCGCTCAAGACATGGCTTTCTGTCTAAGGACCCTGCAGTCATCTTGACCCTAAACCCGATCTACAATAGATAGCCTTTTCGATTCAAGATACGTGCGACGCGATCCCGATATCTCTCAGGGTTGAAAACCTTCCGAATAGCCTTCTATCTTCGAATACACTAGTTTTTGTGTAACAACGTCGTTGCTACCGCGTCTACTAGTCCACATCACGATACCGATCTTTTTAGTGCCCACAATCCAAGTAAAAGTATGGTATAATTCTTGCATGCCAAGCACGCACAAAGACCGCAGCTCTTGGCTCTCATGAAACATAGCTCTTCATCTTCGAAGCAGCTAGCCTTCTTCTTGCTGACCATAGCTTACTCCAGGAACCGATTCTTACGACATAGAGGATGTACAAGGACCACAGCCTTTCTGAAAGTCCAGCCATACCTCCCCGGACAGAGGGCTCTACTCTCATCGATGATATTCGATTCAACTAACTCATATAACCAGTAGTTATGAATATAGTTAGTTTGACCGAACGGTCCGAACCCTCAATATACACCTATCAAAAGGCAGTAATATATTTTGGCCAAGTAATACGTCGAAGTAACACCGACTCAGATCATTCAAGATCTAGATAACGTAATCGCTTACTAAGCTCGCGCATGCCCAGTAATATTCAATCCGTGAGCAATAGCGTCCAGTGCTGAATCCTGTTCCAGGAACGCCGTATAATCCTGCTGTCACTGAAGTCCAGATGCTATGATATGTTAGTGATCATCTCACATGCAAATTCATGGGATACGTGAACTTGAGTCCATCCTCTAGGACAATCGCTTCAGTTTTCCTTGAAATGCGATCCCTAGATTTTCTAAACTCAGCTTTCACCAATCAATATGATATCGCATGTTGTATGAAGAGTCAAATGAGTCCTAAAACGTGTTGTTGGTGGCATTTCAGGGGGGCAGACACTTACCAGACCCCAACAATCAGGTCCAACCAACTAGACTAGAAATCAAAGGCAACGAAAACCGCCACTCAGCGGCAGCCACTCCAATAAGAAAACATCAGCCAAAAAACACCCCAAGAAAAGCACCCATCCAAGCCCCCAGACCCGCCAAAAAAACTGTACCAACGGCCCCGTCTCCCGCCCCCCTCAAGCCCCCCCTCCCGCATCCGCAGGAGAGCTAACAGGGCCTATTAGGGGACGGGAGGGCAAACGGTCAATTCGCATAAAAAGCCGAACCAACCCAGCCCCCACCCGTGAATCCCCCCTGGGACCGTTGGCGCGTATCGCGTTTTCCTTTTTATGAAAAAAAGGAAGGATACGTGGGACACCCGAAAAAAGAGGGTGGCCCATTCGATGTACCGCATGGATTACAGAGCTTCAAGGAATGATCTCGCCTTGTGCTCCACCTTGCCGCGCGGAGGATGGGAAAGGAGGGGAATTTGAGAAGGGTTATAGAGAAGTTCGCTGGAACTGTCGAAGTGAGGAATGGAGGTATTAAGAGTATAATTCATCGAATGAAGAGGGGCGAGGGGTCGACAACCTAGACATAAATGGTTTAGCAAGCAAAACACAATAAAGGGGGGCCTGAGTATTATTCGTAATTCACTACCTCCGGCGAGAGACCGCAAGCCCAAACTCCCCAGATGTTAGCATAGGGTATCGGTATCGTACATCGTCTGCACCATCTCTCCCATCAATCGTGCTGCCGTAGTTTATGTATGCCCCTCGAAAGCTATGAGTCGAAGATCACCTTCTTACGGCCTCTTCCTCTACCACTGTCAAGGACGTCCAGCTCGCGATCTATCTCCATTATATCCAGCATCTCGACCTCGACGTCTCTTTCGGTTTCCTCCTGCTGCTGCTCGACATCCGCTGCAGCACTTAAGCTTTCCGCGAATGAAAAGCCGGATCTTGGTCTCGTTGGTAATTGCATAGGCCTTTGTCCCGTCGGTACCGGTGTGGGATTGCTGCTTGTTGATTGTTCGTCAAACAACCCGTCTACCGCAGATCTCGAAGCTTTTCGTCGGGGACCGACAGATAAGTTATAGGCAACGCTTCCGGGCTGCTCCGGTCGAGGATAGACGACGATAGCGCTATTCTCCTTTGCCCGTTCACTTAATCTCTTTCGGCGGCCCATCACACCACCAATTCGGGTTCCGACGACCGTCTCGCTCTCCCTAACAATCACTAGACGAGCCTCGCCGCACACCAACAGTTCAACGGGAAGGCCCTCGTTACCAGATGAGCCTGCGCCACCATTCTCCACAAAACGAACAATAGCACCAACGCCTGTGCAACGTTCGCCCATAAGCCCAACGCTCAAATCATTTAACCGAACCATTCGAGTAGGTTGCGCGCCGCTGAAGAGATTAACACCCCCGCCGACACCCTTACGAATCTGTGCATCCCAGAATTTCAGAACACCGGGTATGACGAAGATATGCTCCGGACCACCAATCCACAGGGCAACGCTTTCATCGGCCGCTGTTGTCGTACTAGCCGGTAGCGGGGTCACCACGATGCCTCCTTTAACGGATGACAGGCGTTCGGGGCCATGGGCAGTTGCCAGAGCATCGCGCCTAGAATGAGGGGTCATAGGTACAAAATCGGAAGCACCGCCAGACGTGCGTTGAGAAGCAGGATTTCGTAAGGGGCTCGTGCCTTCAACATAGCCGGTGACGTTGAATTCCGTCAACGCGTCGCCACGAATGCCGGATGCGGGTCGACCAAACAGAGCAGGACCCTGAGGAGATACACCGTCGATGTCCCAAATACCCCATTGGCCATCCGCAAGTAGAGCGAGAATAGCACGGCCATGGGCGATCCAAGATGCCGCAAGTATCGGTTTTCGTGAGGAAGCGGGTCGGGAGAACGGTGGGTAGAATGATATGAGCCAAGAGCCCTGTGACGGGAAGGGACCTTCGGATAAGTCGTCGGGGGGCATCGAGGCAAGCGCATAATCGTATATCCTAACAGCTTCAGGTGAGGCGTTGCATAGCAGTTGGGTTGAGTGGGTAGGATTGAAGGAGATAGACGTGAGAGGCTTAGGTAGGAATTCGGTTTGGAAGGGTTCGATACGTTGGCCGGTCCTAGATGACTCTTCAAGAGGAACATCCCATAGTCGTAACGCACCCGAGGCTTCGGGGGAGTGCGCGGCTACTACGACTCTTGGTAGTGCTCTAGATTCCGAACGTGATCGTTCCGTTGGCTTGTTCCGTTCTAACGCGGCCTTCGATCTAATGAGAGTCATCGCTAGGCTATCACTGCCCTTTATCTGCCCATTAAGCAGAGTCATCGTCTCCCCCCATTTACCGTTGCCAGCTTTTCCAGCCATTAAACTCTCCTGTAACTCTGCCCTTGCCTTGCTAAGGGGAGAAGGTGGAACAAGAGGTAAAGTCATAAGAAAAACCTCGCGGGTGGCGCAGGAGGCTGCAAACACCATCCTATCTTTCAGGATATCCGTACCTCCCCATGCTGCATCCTCTGCTGTGCATGCCGTTAAAGGCAATGCCGCGAGATTGAGCACGGCAGTGCCGAACTCGAGATCAAGCGTCTGAACGATTTCGGGGTATGGTGCGTCCTCGTCAATATCCTCCTCGAACTGTGGATTATCAACGAATGTTGCTCCCTTTCCAGCTGGTGCGGCATCCTCCTCGTCGGAATCGATAATCATCACAGCATCTGTAGCAGGTTTTCCATTTTGTTTGCCCGTAGGGCCGCGTTCGGCTTCTTTAACAACCTCGGCCTTGAACTTTCGTCCTCCGCGCCAGACAATCGTTATACCATTTTCGTGCCCATAGATGAGAATGGTAGCGCCTTGGGGCGAGAGAACTGGGTAGGTCTGAACGGCGTGAATATGACGAGTGAGGTTATACCTATGAAGCAGAAGATGTTAGAGGAAAGCAATCTAGTATAGCAGATCCAAATCCAAGGTACATACGTGTATTGAATATTCTGTGCGGTCCGGCGGACACGAGGGACCGTGGATGGAGCCATCGTGAGAAGCAGGCAGAAGCTTCAAACGAAGCTGTTGCCGACGAGTGTAGAACTAGGAGAAAGCAGCTCAACGAAACCCGAATTACATCAATAGTCCCATTAAATTTCTTCTCAACACATCGTACGAAGGAATATCAATTCCACGACGTGTTTGTTACTGATGTGGATAGCTGTCGTTGGAATTGAAGTCGCGACTATGGAATTGACTAACGCGACAAGACCAAATCAACCATGTCACATTTTCCAAAATCTCGAGAGCACGTGACTTAAAGTTTGCGCACTGGCCACATAAAAATCAGAAGGAGCGCCTGAAAAAGGTACAAGGTACATCCCACTTATAAGATTACATAATTCAACTTCGACCTCACCCAGGTTTGATACAAGCATATCGAAACACCATCATCAAACTCCCAGCACCGTCACATAGCACCACCAGGCCGGTGCTTATACTAATAGTATACACAAGCGGTCAGGCGACTAATCTACTCTCCAACCACAACCCAGGAGCCACCCATCCCCACCTCCATCAATCAAGGACCCCTAAGATATTCATTCCCTCCGTTTCATCAACGACGATCCCATCGTCATTTCCCGCAGGGTCATCACGAAAGATCGACCTCAACAGCGCAGTCAACCCGCCGCATTCGGTACTTCAGAGCCGAAGAAGCCACGCGCGCGAGGAAGATCGTCGTAGGGGCAACCTAACCCACGATAGCCTAACACACAGCCCGAACCGGGCGACTGTCCAAATCTGGGGATTTCCCACGTTTCCATATCCTGTCCTGCCCTGCCCATTCGGCGTTCGGGAACCCTGGGAGGAAAAAAAGAGGGAAAAAAGACCCTTGGAAAATCATGTCGTCAAAAAGCCCCAGATCTGAAAGATGAGGTGTTACAACCCGACGGCGATATTTCCCATCAACGACGAGTATAATCCCATTGTTTCATCTATAACTCCGTCTGTCTCAAAAAACATTCGTCCAGAAGTTGTCGAGTGTATTACATGTACATTTTCTGGTTTAATTAACTACTACCTAGGTAGGCTAGATACGGCCAAGGGGCCAAAAAGGGTCATAATACAAACGTGGATTATACGTCACTTGACGGCTGGCCATAAACACTTTCCAAAAGTTACTATAGCGTCCACAAGCAAGTGCATAGTCATTTCGGACTATCTGAATAATATACAGCAAAGTCCCCTTCAATGACACTGATGCCTAATCCCCTGTCAGAACTCTTCGCGCACAAGTCAAGGCGGCATTCCTGCTCAAAATTCCGAAGGCCATGTCAAAATTTTCGGCTTGGTCTTCTATTAACTATCTCACGTCTGCACAAAGTGGTTTATAACGCAAATCATCCGCCTAGTGATTCGCCACCACCCCATTTTCATTCAATTGGGCTCGGGCCCTAGTAGATCTCGCGAGAATTCCGAAGTTGATGTCGAACTGCACATAGCCGACGCGGCCAAGTCGACCATGTGCAAAATAAAAGGAGAGGACGGCGTAGGAGGGTTTCATCGGTAAGATCTAAGCTGACGGTCACGCCCTATACTGTGACCCAATGTGTTGTTCCATACACCTCAATACATAATAACGCCTGGGATCGTCGTGTCCGATCGATCATCCAATGACGAATGGCCACCATGAAACGCCGTCAATGCCGATGTGAATAAAAAGTGTTACAAAGCGGAAGTCGTTCATCGTGATATTTGCGATGCGAGGGTTTTCAAGCATTGGTAACCTAGAAAGGGGGGTTAGACCTCGGAGATAGAAGGCGCTGATACGCTGGGATTACATACCCTCAGGATTCTCCGCGAGTAATCTTGGTTGTCGGCGATGCTGCCGTCGCTCATTCGCCGGTTCATAACGGGGTCAAGTCGGGAGTCGGACATCGAAAGACCACCGCTGCTAGAGGGGGGCTTACCACCGCTGATGAACGCATTGACAGCGGCATTTCGTCGGTGCTCCTCTTCGATCTCGGCGTTTCTCTTTCGGCGCATCCAGAAAAAGCCACCTCCAATCAGAGCTCCTACAGCGACAACACCAACAACCACACCACCAGCAATGCCCGCTACGTTAGGAGTCGACTTGTTGTTGTCGGGATCAGATGAGGCGGTAATCGTCTCGATAGTATCTATGACTTAGTTAGCACCAGACCAAGGGGTAATTCGAGAAACGGTATCTTACCAGAAGTGCTAGCTGGCGAAGAAGCGGAGCTAGTCTTAGATGAGCTGCTGGATGAACTGGAAGAGCCGATCTGCGATGCTTCGCCGACAGATACTCGCTTTCCAGTGTTGTAAACAGTGTAGGTATTAAGACCACCGCCTAAGGATAAGTTAGCCGCGCATTCAATCCAATTATAGAAAAACTAGGCCACATACAAGCATCGTCACCGAAACCAGGGCAAGGCTCGGTACATTGGTCGTCATCCACGAGATCGGCCTTGTTAGGGTATTCATCACCACACCAGCAATCGACCGAGTTAGAAGCACCAGCGACAAAGTTCTTCGAACGACACAGTCCTGCACATGCACCCTGCGAGTTGAAGTTATCCGTTGTCTGGTGCGTCATCGTTCCATACGACTTGTAACAACCATGGACGGTATCGGTACCGACTATGGGATCTTGCGCAGCCTTCTCCTTGGTAGCTGTGGATAGGGTGGCGAAGGCCAAAACGGCCGCGACGGTAAATTGGCGGAGAGACATGATGATGACGTTCAAGAGGTGTCGCAAGAACGTAGTCGAAAATTAGTTATGTTAATGTAATGGAGCCAAGAGTCCAATTCTCTCAACCCGATCAACGACAAGAGAGAATGAGAATCAAGTAATAAGCTTGGTTTCAATCTCCTCTAGGGAGTGAGCCGTAGTAGATTTTCCTTATCGTATCGTATTTGGTGGTATCTCAATTTGCATCGACCAACTCGGCTTCGGGAATCAAAAGTTGATGATCACGCGGTCCAATTCATATAGTTGAAGACCAGGCGTATCCTTTGACTATTGTTTCTTCGTCGGGTATCTTTAGTCGTAGCCCGACACGTTTTTTTCCTTCTTTCCGCCCTTTGGAGTGACGAATATGATGAGCGGGTTAAAAGGAACGTGATAAAAACAATAGGGCGCTAAATCAATAAATCTTTGTTAGAATTCGTTGTTCATAGAATCGCCGCCCGCCAAATCTCCTTTCAATAGTTTTCGGGTTGTTAAGTAGTATGTCTAGTAGTGGTCGAAGTGAAGCTAGGAAATGTTCGCGGGAGTGTGGTACACATGAGTCGATGGAAGCGTGTCGGAGAGATCGTGATGATGATGCACGATGTTTACGTTTGATGGAAGGAAATAATAGTGCAGTTGGTTTATTGCTCACCCTTTTTTTCGAAGTTGACGAGGTCAATACCACTAATGATGATGACCTATTGGAAAGGACCTAAGTAATAGAAGGTGTTTGTGTTATGGTGATGGGAGGGGGGAAAGAACAAAACCACGAAATTCAGAAGAGGAAAAACGAGAGACACGTCGAGATCAGACGAGGAGGGAAACGAGTGGACTGACTGGGCCTGAGTAACTGAAGGAGTGTGGGAATGGGGAATGTTTTTGCTTGATGGGCAAGAGATGGGCAGGTCGGGGGGGTTAGGTCGGGAAGGGAAAAAAGGGAGGGAAGGAGAGGAGAGACACGAGATGCAAAGGTGACTTTGGGTCTTAGGTTCAGTTTGTGAGAAACACAGATGCTCCCAGAACCTGGCTGTTGCACCCCAGCAGACCCCGGTCAATTGCCCAGGTACTTAGAAAAAAGGACATCCATGTTCCCCACTTACCTGTATTTGGCCTATTTTGGCGTATCTGCGCTGCTGCGGTATCTGCCCAGGTGCGTATCTGCGTATCTTCGGGTAGTACTTGCAGTATTTGCGATACTTCCGCACTGGGTGATCTGTGGGTGATTTGATAGATGATTGGGTCGATGACTGGCTGATGACTTGTTAGCGGTTACATCCAGCGTCGTGCTTAGCAGCCTTAGGTCGCAGTCGTTCCCTACCTGTCCCCTAACGAGTTCCTGGGCAATTGCTGGTAATCGGCCAGCGACGGCCAGCAGTTAAGTCGAGGTGGATATATGACTATAAAAATAAGTGGGGTTTTAATTCGATAGGCGGCGTGTTTCTCACGGTCCTTACTCAAATGAGAATGACAAGCGAGAGGATGGGAAATTGCATCGGACTAGGGGGGAAGGGGGACTGGATTTGTCTAAGTAGGCAGGACCGTGTGTATTCTCGTTACACATGCACGGTACGAAGATACTTTACAGATTCAATGTTGTAAAATTTTGAAGATCGACGTGCAGCCTTAATAGGTACCTGTCTAGGTACATACAATTCAATTTGTGCCCTAAGAAGTCGCACAATTGTTTTCGTCTAGCCATTTTCTTTTCTTTCCTTCTATAATGCAGATAATTTTTATCTCTACCCTCTATTCCCCGCCTCCTTTAATCATATCATATTTGGTAGTGGATATTTGGCGAATTGTTTTCCTTCGTCCGCCTTATTAATGGGACTTCGCCAACTTCGCCTGACCTCTAAAATTCCACTGGGACCTTGCAGTAAGTACCATACTAAGCGTAGTCGCTGAATCCGTTCAACTTTAGCATTTTGGCTGTCGCGAACCCCTGTAGCCTTCCCGAGAATTACCATGCGCCAATTAATGGCTCGAAATCGTTTAATCTAGCCCCGCTGGTCGTACTTGATTGGCTGTTTAATCAAAAGAAAGGAGATGTAGTCACGTACTACTTTGTTGCTCATTCCCTTTTATGATTATACTATGTAGGTACACAGTAATGTGTACATATTTCCTCCACAAAGTTTGCACAGCACTAATACCAACGTGCACCAGGTTTATCCACGCATAAACGATTCCTCAAATCGTAGCAGGCGGGCGCTAGGCCTGACGTGTTCCTGATGTTCCTGGATTTGGGGGGATTTTTTCCCCAGCAAGCCCAGCGCGCTTTCGGGGTTCTTAACGCCTTAGGAAGCGCTAACTGGCTAATATTATCATCAATTGCCAGTTTCGTACAGCGCGTACTTCTATGTATATTCTGCCCAGCAATCCAGTTGTTCGACATTATCCTGTTCTATGCAACTTGTGTAACAAACCAAACCAAATACGTAGCAAGTTGTGCACACTATGGTTTAGAGTTACCGTATTTAGGTTTTATGAATAGACCGAAATGGATGCCGGTACCCAGTGCTTTTAGTGCTAGATGTTTGCTGGGAATTTTTTATCGTCGGCGTCTCAAACTTTTCTCCATCATTATCCCGACACACTCCGCCGCCGCCACCGATCACCATTCGCTCTCATTCTCACTCACCTAGCTGCCTAGGTAATTTAAAGGTTTTTAGCAGGATATGTCGCTACAGCCCTATCATCTACCTTCAACTTAAATTGACTGCAACCATTTGCTACAAATGCAGATGCGAACGGCTCGTGGGTTATGACGATTTTACAGCATCAACCCTATTTCGTAGTTTCGGATCTACAGATTGACATTGCGACGTGACCTTTTTATGCACGATAAGTATCAAAAGACATAGCGGCGTGCCAAGTCGCCAAGATGCCAAGCGAGACTCGAAACAAGAAACACGGCAGCAAACCGTCACAGCCGTCGGTAGTATTTACATACTAGAAGAGAACTGGAAGAGCTTGAGGGAACTAGAGGGCGTACGAGAAGGGGACGAAGTGCTTCAAATGCTTCCACAACGAAGTTTTTGTTCCCCGGTGATGGTGTTACTCTCGGCACTTCTGGCTCTTACTATGCATACCTTACATCATCGGTCCAAGTTGGACCGACCAGGCTACTAGGACTGCCAGACTATTACCAGATGACGACCCAGATTCAAGTTGACGCAAACATACTAGCAGGACAGTGACCAGTGACCAGTGACCACCTACCAGACCGACAGTCTACTAGGTTAGGTACCTGTCCAAGCGATCCTGTCGAACAATTTAGGTTTTACATCTTCAGTCTACGAATTCGCAACCCACTTGAAGTCGTTATCTTTTTTGCAGCTTCTATTTCCTCATCTAGGATACAGCGCCGAACGCTATATTGTACGATACGGTTAGAGAAGCAACAAAAGCAAGTTTTCCATTCTCCCTGCCCTGATGGCTTGCATAATGCATGAGCGAGGCTGAGGCTTTGCATTCTGCGGCGTTATCCGTGCTTCACTATACTTTTTTCTTCTTACTGCGATATACAGTATTATCGGCCCCCTCGCGTAACTTATTGGTCCCTCACTCGTGTTCGGTACTTGGAACCCTGAAATATCGGGCATTTTCTTGGAATTAGATTTATTCTCGGGCCATATTCCACTCAAATCTCAGGTTTTCCTACAGATACATACGTCAAGCCCGCCAGCTGAATCTGCAACTCCTTTTTTATTCCAAGCATCAGATATTGTACGTTGTACACATCATCTTTCTGACGGCGATGCATGATCGATTATCCGGCAGGTCATAGGATTTGGTATATTCCTGTATAGGTAGGTCAGAACTTTTTTAGCCTATTGCTGATTCCACTTCTTGATTTTATATCTAGTTGAAACAAATCATCTATTTAGCGACACGTTTTAAAGAAACATTCTCCTTTCGGGTACATCCAATCCTGTGTTGGTTTTGCTTATTCGCAGAACTTCTACATTGAGCAACATACGCCTTAAAATAGCACGCGAACACCAGATCCAAGGTAGGTTCGAAAATCAACCCATACTATTCACACCATTCCCAAAACGAACAGTAGCTTAATTTACGAATCTCGATGGGATTGACCGAAGTCGCCGTACCCCAGGTAGCGAGATGTAAGATATGTATGTAATCTTCATAAACATCTGCACTTATCCAATATGCAGATGTAAGCTTCAGCGCTTCCTTCGAAGCTCAACAGGACTCAGGCCTCTCTTTATTTTCTCCGACCGGCTAGTCCCATCACTGGAAGTCGACTTCCGGTCATGCCATCTGGCTAGCTAGCATCGCCTGCATCGTCTACCTACCCGTCCATCCACTATTTCTTGCATGTTCCAATATCTTCTTCGTGCCATCTTCAGATGAAGTTTGGAAGTCGGATTTTGACGTGGCGCGACAACCGCCGCCAAGATCGTCCGTTCTGACGGGTCGTCCGGAATTGTTCCCTCAGCTTTGGAACCATCGGATCGAAATTACGAGGCTTGCCAAGACAGCCTAGAAGCGAGAGTTCCCGATTCCACAGTATCCATTTCTATTAAAGATGTACGGTGAGGCGTTCTAGGTGTACAGTATATTTTCAACAATCATTTATATGCAAGGCATATATCACAAGGAAATTCGATGAATCCATCCATCTTACTGAAAGTCGAGATCACTCCGAGATCTAATATTGAACAGTCAGCATCAGCATACGACGATTATTAAATTGTCAGGATTGGTCCAACCACATACCCGGCAGCACAGCCCGACTCCACTGTCTAAGTAATCAGAGCACGAAATAACGAATCGGACTAGGAACAATAGATTGTGTCGATTATGTACAGCTCACAAATTTTTAACAATAGCATCCCCTTTCGTATCACCGCTTCCATACATCGGGCGCGATTCCTTACCAGCGTCTCTATCGGCTTCAAACTCTTTGACTTCCCGGCTGTCCATATATTTGACGACGTTATCCGCCTGCCACTTCTTAAATGTCGCTCCTAGTCCCTCGTTCGAGTAGTCTTTGTCATTCGCCTGGTCTTTGTGGTACTTGACACGGATGAAGTCGCTATCGATGGTCGACGGGTCCAACGACAAGCTAACAAGAGCATTGATCACAGCCGTCTTCGGGATAATCTTAAACGTCCATGCCTAACGATTCGTCAGCTCTTCTATCACCCCGCCAACCATCACCATGATTCAAAACTAAACTTGCCTCTTCGTGTCTGAACTGGATCAGGTCCCGATCATTAGTCACGACTTGATACCCCCGACTCTCGGCACTGTGAAATAGCTTCGGCAGTGCGAACCACTGCCCTGCCATCTTGTACCGGTCGTCCGCGTACACGAACTGGTCATTGTACACGCAGTCCGGCGTGTACCGCCGCACCCGCGAGACCGTCGGCTTCATCTCGTACAAGGCGATGATGTCGTCGAGGAGCGCTTGTCGCGACGCCGATAGCGGGAAGGATTTCGATGGAATCGGTGTATAATCCCCTGTGGGATGCGTCTGCCGCACCTCGAAACGCTCGCCCGGGAGTGAAGAGTCGGGTGGGAAATGCGCTTTGGAGCTACCGTTTGGTGGAGGGATGGACGACGACATTGTCCTTATTGACGGTATCGTAATGGTCGATCTAGTGGTTTGGGTAAATACGGTAAGTTGCGTAGTTCTGAAGATGCGGAGGCTGCTTCGCATCATTCGTAAGACTTGACTATCCTATCCAGTGGATATGGTACCTATTCACGACTGTTCTGGCTGACTGTATTTTGTATGTCTCGGACGCCATGGTATCTGACGGCGAGTATGACGTAGTGGTTTCGAATGGATGATAACTAGAATTGTACGTAGAAGCGTGATTCCCACAGTCTCGTGGTATAGAGATTTCATCAAATTGTCATTTACATACCTAGGTACATGATTAATAGAGTTGGCATAGTTGAATTGATTAATTGTGTTCTACTAGATGATGATTCATTGAGACTCTGAGCTACATCATCAGTTGGTGTTGACCCCTTTCTATGTATGACTAAGCACCTTCCTTCTCGAGTACTGATCCTTAGGTATGTACACCGCGTACTAGAGTTAGGGGAGTTCGAATCATTTGATAATTCGTTTCTCTGTACTGGTATGTATTAATGAGAGATACAGAAGGCACCTAGATAATAGGTAATTGAAAAGACCATAGTATCCGCATTTCCAGTCATTGAAGCGAAAGGGTGGTTTAAACATCAAACATGATATCTATAAATCAATTCTATAAATATTTACAACAGCTTCCACCGCTAACACATTTGATTCATGCTAAATCTTGTGTTGTGTTAAATTATGAGATAGTGCCCCTTGTATCTGCTCAGACGATCTTGAATAAGTAACTATTAAAGATTCACCAGTCGTCAGGCCAGCTTGCTTTCTACAAAAATGCAATTCAGAGTTACAATAAGAGCAAAGGCTCGAGCAATAGTCAATAGGTAAGATTTATCTACTAACCTTGGAGGTTATAATATCTTTGTCTGTCTAGGTCATCATAAAATGCTAAATACACCTCCAATAGATAGGTATCTAGGGACAAAAGGAGTATTTATCACGATGATAAACTTACCTAGTACCTATTGCTACCTACCTAGCTAGATCTAATAACAATGATGTCAAATTCCTCAGATACTAAGATACCTTACCTACATCTCCAATGGCTTAACAAAGAGTCAACCAGGCATCCTCCGAAGTTTGGCAATCCGGCTGAACTGGCCACTCACATCCAACTGACCCTGATGGGCAGTCAAGAACACACTGGCCGGCAATTTCTGCATGTCGTGCAACATCCACAAACGGGTCACCGTCAAGAGCCGAAAGATCAAACCAAGAATGTCCATTCTGGAGGGCTAACTCCATCTGAAATGGCTTGCTAAGGTCAGGGTTATCAGAACACTTTAACACACTTCCGATATTATCATCGTTCGCTAGTAGAGGAGACTTCCACGTACTACCGCCACCACCAACCTTGACAGCCGGGGACGAGTCACCATTGTTCTTAGCTGCGCCGCAGTAGATCTCGAACCCGCAGTTGTTGATTACGTTAAGAGAGCTTCCTAGAGTTGAAGGAAGGACTGCCGCCAGGGCGAGAACACTGAGTTTGATCATGTTGCACATATCTACGATGTATGGGTTTCTCGCTTACCTGTAAGCGAGATAGTAAAATATGCTGGCAATGAATGATTCAGGAGACAATGATATGGTGGCTCGTCTCGGAAGTACATATGATATGGAAATGCGCGAAGAGCGATGGAGCTTGCTAATTCAATCATTCCTATCGTCATAGCATTTGGCTATTGGAATATATACACACGGCTGTATTGTATACTGTTCTCGGTGGCTTAGAATAATTCCATTGTATGACGAAACTCTCTAATTTATCAAACCTGGGTATAGAGTTATGGAAAGAAACAACCTCGTGGTGGGATAATTTCCTTTGTCCTATAAAATTTTGATGCTTTGCTTTATGCTTCTTACCTAAGTATGAAATTGAATAATTCTCTTTGTATCATGGACGTCAAAAATCCATCACTTTATTTGGGTTAGGTGAACATTAGTAAGGGTATTGGTGAGGTCAAGAAAGGGGGTATCACGTTACTAGGTGCAACCGCCCTTTTAAGTTCAAACTTCCGCCAATCATCGCTGTCTTAATAGTCAACTGGCCAAACATGAATCCTGTTTATCTTGACTAGAGATTTAGCGACCCTCAGCTGTATGTCATGATTTTATTCTATTTTTATGGTAGTGCACGGGAGACCAGGAGTTAACCACTAGCCTGGACGCGAAATTTGCGTGTTTGTGGGTCTGAATAGCTTCCTTCCCAGACACGCGCACCGTCCACATAAAACAACATCAATGCGAGTTACCCAGCAGGTAAATCTACGACTACCAATTGCATGTAGCTACCTCCTAAATAAATTCCTCATCACCCACCCACTCATCAAACCAAAAGAAAACCCTACACTCCAGTCCGACAAAGCCGCCCATTCTGCGACCCCCCATACCCATCCACAACACTCACCCTCCACGCCTCACTCCCCACCGTCGTCGGCGCCCAAAACACGCCCCACGGATCCCTCTCCCTCTTAACCTCCAACAACCTCGCATAATTCTCCCCATAAAACGCCTGCTGCCACTCCGGCTCCCCGGGGTCTCCCTCATTCATATACGCCCCGGCCCCAGGCGACACCTCTCTCAACAAATCCATGTACACCCTCATCGTATCGTCGCGGTCTGCAGACTGCACGGCAGCGGAGTCCATGAGCATCGCGTGCATGCGGTTGGAGCGCCAGGCCGGGTTCACGGCGCTGGTGTTGCCGGGCCAGCCTGCGACGGAGAGGGTGGGTGAGGTTAGCGTCGCGTGGAAGTAGAAGTCGTTGTCGAAGCCGCCGGAGGTGGCGGTGCGGATTGCGGAGATGGTTGCGTTCCAGAGGGTGTCGTTTTCCCAGTTTGCGCGCGGCAGGAGACGCGATCGGTACCGCGTGTTTCCTGGTGCGGGGCCGATTCCGACGCCGCGCGAGCCGTAGAGGCTGGAGGAGCGGATGGTGGGGTTGGGGAGGTTGATGTTGAGATCGGCGAGGGTGTCGTAGAGCGGCTGCATGAAGGCGAAGGCGGCGGCTGGGGTGAGGTTTGGGAATGATGAGCTTGTTGTGAAGCGGAAGGTTTGGTTCGCGCCTGGGTAGATGTACCCGAAGCCGAAACCGCCGGCATCGAGGACCTGGGCCGCGAAGCGGTAGTACGCACCTACCCCTTGCCAGAATGTTTCGGCGTCGGTAATTATGTTGGGGCCTGGGGTACTTGAGGGCTGCGAAAGTGTGAATGAGAGACTGGATGAGGATATGTTAACTGGTGGGTATGCTTTATATATGGCAGAAGTTACTATGCCGTATGTTGCTACACTAATCGTCAGCCCGAGAACATATTTCCTAGGGGCGTTTCAGGAGCACAATTTCATACCTCCGCCTCCGCCGCGAATCGCGTAGAAGAGATCCGTATTGGTGAACGGATCCGCAGTTACGAAGCTCCCCGAAGCCGTTACAACACCGAGAGAAAGTACTTGATCGGCCCCAAGCCCGTATGTGGAGGTAATGGTCGTGTGGCCTCCCGCGCTCATCCAGCCACCTACTCCGCCTACCGTACCACATCCTGGCGAGACTATAGTTGTATTGTAAGTATTCATGAAATTGTGTTCTTCCCATGACTCAACACCAGATCCGAGATGAGCAGCCATTCCGTTATATGGCCCAATACTATACGAGGGAATAAATTCCATTTCCTTGAGATGATGCGTCCAAACGCTGAGGGATCCCGCCCCTATCGACCTTCCGCCAAAATCATGTCCGGTATTTCTATATCGAGGCGTTAGAAAACTCAGCTATCATAACTTCATGAAATCGCATACGAAATAAAGGTTCTTTACTTAACGATCAGACGAATATTTTTATTCCGAGCGAAGTTGACCGCCGCTTGAATATGCCTCACATTCGTAGCATTCACAACATATTCCGGAAACCCTCCCCTTGTACAATTCCCCTGAGGATCTGAAGCGAGTGGACAAGTGCTGCCTTGGGACCATTGCGTCAATGCGACTAGGGGATCGTCAAGCCAGTAATGAGAAGACGATGCGTTTGTAAGCAAGAACGTGCATCCTGCTTGGTCGAAACCAGGCCCCTGGTAGCAAGCAGCGGCTGCGGGCTCAGGCTTGAGGAGAACGCCACCAATAGTGTCGTTCAGTCGAGTCCATTCTTCTGTGGAGGGCCACGCCTCATCGCCTGGGAAGACCTTGCAGTTAGAGACTTGACGGTCCCGTATGACTGCGGTCTCATCGCCAAATTTGATGGCAGCAAAATCACCGATATCCTCTTGGGTGAGGCGAATAGAATCGGAGAGGAGTTCTCGAGGTTTGAACGCCGCGAGGCTAGGAATAAATGCGCTTAAACAAACGAGGACGAGATTCGGCTTCATGGTTCAGAGGGCTTATAGATAGCTCACTTTACACAGTAGCTTTTCTCATGGTTTATATGCTCAGCTAGCCCCATAACGTCATGGATACGACGGCTTTTGTATATCGCTCAATGAACCATGGCCGTTTACAAGGGATGTATCGACTCCTGGGAATAGGGGTTAGATTCTTTTCCGCGAACGATCTCCGAATTACCGAGCCGTTGGGAAAAGGCACCATACACCATTGTGGTGATTGGGTCGATAACTGATTTTAGTCATGAGGAATAAGCCTGCGGGTCCATTCGAGGGTTGCTTTGGAAGCAATAGTCGTATAGGTCATCCTGTTCGTGACGACGATAATGGCGGCTCGAATCTTGGTATGTATCTCGGTTTTAGCACTGGAAAGTTAACTGGACGTATAGGGGGTATATGAGGTATACGTTACATCAAAAGGCCTAGATTCCTTGTGGTACAAATGTAACGATCTTGGGTACACGAGCCCGTAAGAAGTAAGAAAATTTCAGGCTAAACGGACTGTGTTGAATATCAACCACGGTTCGTTCGGAAGCTACATGCTGAGGTTAGATCATGTATATTACCACGAAAGCTTAACCTGGCCAACGTTCTTGGCGCCATGTTTTCCGGGTCGATTGACCCCTCGGCGGTGTCGAGTTGAAATAAACCGAATCTCCCATGATTCACGTTGCCAAGACCCGAACCGCTACCATCGTTACGCTGCTTAATAATTACCTACCTCTCGTCTACCCTCCGTCGTGCTCCGTTTATTTTTCTCTTCGCTCAACTACTCCATGCAGTAAGCAACGCGAACCTCGAATGATAATCGTCATATGATAGGCCCTAGGAGTGCCGCGCCTCTAACATGGAGGGGTCTCCAACTACTCCATAGCGGCAGAGATGCTGCTTGCTCTTGACGTTCATCTTATTAATAGTGCTTTTTGTATTAATTATTCGTGAATGACTTTACAAAAATCGTTAAGCTTGTATGAAATGAGCGAGGAATACTTACCTACCTAGGTAGGTACCCTAGTAGGTAGATAATCTGAAGTATTTCGGCATCCTGGTGAAAGGGATGCTACTCCCAAAACAATGGTTCGGGGCAACCCTCAACAAAGCTTCCAATATTTCTGGCCGTCTATCCGGAGTGTACCTACCCAAACAAGTTATGTATGGCTTCCATATCCTTTACTCAGGTGTTAGTCACTAACTCCTAGCGCCTCCAAGAGTGCGAAGCACCCCCTCGCTGACGTTACCCAGGGTCTAGACACCCTCACGTCATTCGTAAATATACCGTTATTCCTTCTATTAAATGTAGGTGGAATTGCCTATCGATGAAATCCCTGAAAACCCATGAGCGTGGGGTAGCATACAACCTCGTGTGTCCCTCGTGCCATGAGTTCTGGGCCTTGGCACTGCTACACCACTGCGATACCCTCAACCAAAAGTATCGCATGGGCTAAACAGGTGTAATTTATAGCACACTAGCGCTGCGAGGCGTTTTCTGCAGTAGCTGAGCTCCGTAAGCTATAGCAGATATCCGCTAAATTTTGGTAGACGTGGGTGGGTATTAGGCTTGGGCTGATATAGTGAGTGATTGAGTGATCGCTCAATCTCCAGGGCTACTTACCCCCTAAAAACAGACTTCATTTAGGACATCGTGAATCTTCATGATCTCATAAAAGCGCAGCACAGCAACACGTAAAATCCGACACAGGACAAACGCCAGAAATCCCCCCAAAATTCACTTTTCACCCGACATTCCGCAATTCTCATTCCACATCCCTTAACCTCTCATAGGTCTTTGAACCTCAAAAGTAGGTACCTACACCGCATCCTGCGGTTTACACTCCATCCTATGTTTCTTCCAATCCTTCCTCTGACATTCTGGGGAGCAGTAAAAAACCTCTTTGCACCTCGAGCACTTGAGAAGGTCTCCGCCTTGCTTATTATTCGTCGCGTTACAATTCCGACACTTATCAATGTGATTGAAGTCGGAGCCGTCCTGCGTCTTAAGCAGGTTCCAATCTACGACGTCTTCAATAAACGGCACCGAGAACATTGGACTGATAGCTATGCGCACCGCATATTTGGCTGCGGTTTCATCCCAGTCCGGCAAATTTATGAACCCGGGGGGTATTTTTCCCTTGCCGCAGCTGCACATGAACTTCTCACCTATCTTCGTGCTTAACGGAATGGTCGCTTTGGATCTCTTATATTCACATTTGGGGCCGTGATTCCACGTGCGACACCGCTCAGCGAGACCGGGGAGGATTTGCTTCCAGAGAACAAGCTCCTCGTCGTCAACGGCAAGAGAGCATATCTGCAGTTCTCGGAGTACGTACAAGAATGATTCGACTTCTCCGGATTCAATCATTTGTAGTGTAAATGGGATCACAGCAGCGTCTGCTACGATAGATCCCTCGGCACCATTGAGCCGTATAGAACGAACAAATATCATCATTTGATTACCGTTTTCTGGGTGCTGTAAGGCAAAGAGCCCCGTTTGACCACCTTGAAGCCCAGACGAGAGCATAAAGATGGAAAAGAGGGTCTCTTTGAAATTCAACCTTAGCGTAGGAGGCTTGGTAGATTCGCGCAATTCCCGCTCGCGGGTAGAGAATTGAAATGAGGTTAGCGTGGTCAGCCAAGCATTCTCCTTTTTATGGGATGACTCCATGTTGAGAATGGGCAGTGAGTCTAAATTAACATGCCCGTATGGCACTGTAGGTATAGAACGGTCCCCTAGTGTTACGGGATAGATAAACGGCGATAATGGCCCCGGAATAAGAGGATCTGCCAAGGATGCGATGACTTCAACATAACCCGATGTGCGTGCGATACGAGTCTTCGCAGTTTCTTGTAGAACCGGGATATGGAAAGAGACGGGACAGACTAGAGCTCTCTCGCCGAACACGATGTCAATCGAGAATGGCGATGATTGTTGTAGCTCTATCGGAACTCGTTCTGCTAAAAGCTTCTTGCCATGTTGTGATGCAGAGAAATCGATGCGGCCACATAGTGTTTTGATCTCGCCATTTTCAAGATTGGCCGTGATTTGTGTAGTGGCGTGTGCGCCGACCGTGGTGATCTTGTTTCCTGCCACGGAGCCTTCTCGGCCACTGACAAAGGGATATCCGGACCTTCCTGGCTCATATTTGGTAACAAATATGTTGGATGCATCGTTTATCGCTGTCATGTAAATGACCATGGTAGGCATGAGGTGCGTGAAAGTTCCGATGCTCATGAATGTATTCTGAATACTAAGTCCAACCTTAGCATCTCTCGGCTCAACTTGCAGAGCAGCGGACGGGACATAAAACGAAGCTACCAAAGAAGAATTTCCCTGCCAGCCAAGGGGGTCTTGAAGAACGGCTACTGAGAAATCGTCGGACTCGCGATCCCCTGATGTTTGGACTTGCCCAAATGTAACATGTACATTTGCGAATAGATTGTGCCAACCGGATGGGTTGCTCGATTTGAGAAAGCCCTCGAGTGTTGGTGCATTGATCTTGCTCATATCGCTGCTATATAGGTGATCGATGTGTTTTCTTGGCACTGAAACCGTTACGCACACTACCGCAGGTATGTCCTTCCAGGCATTGAAGCCGCCTAGAGTAGGCTTTGACTTTACCTCATCCCTTAGCCATTGCTCCGTGTATAGACCCTGAAGATGTAGCTGAGCACTTAGTTCATGGTGGTAAAGATTTCGTAGGGCTATTTTGTTCTGGTCGTCTTGCCCTATCAACCGTAACAATTCCTCCCAGAAAGATGGCCAGTCGGTAGAGGTATTTGCTTGGACATGCTTGATCAACGCGGCGAAGCTTCCTCTGTGAAAGTGCGAATACGGGTCCCCTTGAAACGGAGTATCGCTTATAAAGCGCGTAGGATCTTCATTCTCGAACATGCTAGTATAAAGCTTGAATATAGCCTTGGCGAGCGCATGTGCCTCAACGTTCAGAACCCCATAATCATTAGGGTGCTGCGAAAAATACCTGCCCAATTTCCAAGCCAATCGCGAATGTGCTTGCTGTTTGCTGTCTGAGATGGTCATGTGGTTTATCATGAGCTCATCTACATAGGACACGGATGTCGCATTCGTCCAAAAGTCAACTGGAGCTAGACCGAGAAGGAGAGATATGGTCGGTATGTGACCACAGAGAAGAGCGTCAAATTGTCGCTTTCGTGTCCCCTCTGTTTTTATTAATGTCTCTATCCATAAAGCGGAGCTTGCCGATGGCTTCAATAAAGGCAATGCCGCGACTAATAGGTTTAGTGTGCCGATATGGTCAGCCAGATTTGAGGTATCAATCACGTCAAATCTTGTTGGTGCCGAATTTTTCTTATTGTAGGCCTTAGTGTCAAATTCAATAGCCGCCACATCGAAGTGCTTCTGGAATATGTTTGTTGACTTGCGCTCCGATGTTGAAATAACCTGCAAAGCATGACTGAATGACAAAGCGTCGGATATGGTAAACCTGATATTGAGACGAGTTTCTGGGGTGTTCTGAAATGCCGCCACCCACGCGCTAAACTGTGTCTTCGCTGCTGTGACGATATTCATCACCATGTCATTGCCTTTTTTAGGGAGTAGCGGAGATGCTGGGGCCAAATTCGCAATTGCAGTTGCGAGATGGAATCCCAGAACAGGGTCTGTGCCATAGTGAAGAAGAGTGTTTGTAGACAATGTGGCTGAGAACATAGGATTTGGAATTGTTGCTTCATCCGACTTCGCCAAAGTGCCATGTTTCCAGAAGTGTTCTCGAACTTTAGGGATTTCCGTCGCGGATTGGCGTGACAATGGAGCTGCAGACCTGAGGCCAGTCAAGATAATATCAGGTTGTCCATCCGACTTACCAGTTGCCAATTTGGTAAGTCTACGAGCACGCTGTAGGTCTTCCTCAAAGCTAGCCGCGCTCTTGGACTGTGATGAGGCATACTTGATCCAGACCTGTCTGGTTTGTTGTAGCGAATTCGCGTCACAGAATTTTAGCACGGACCCATAATGACCTCTACTCCATTCGTCGAGACTGTTTGATAGAGACACTATCTTCTGTGCTTGATCCTTGATGAGCGTTTTCGATTTCTCACTGATACGTAAATGGAAATAAACATCCCAAAGGGCATCTGCATTGGTTCCATCAAGGAGGAGTGTAAAGAGGAGAACATTCCGTGCTAGGAGATGTAAGTATATATCTAGTTACACAATAATGGTTTGCTTACCTATAACGGCGGTTTCAACGTCGCAGCATGTGATATCGAGCTTTCTGGGTGCTATTTAAATATGAGTAAGAAGATAGGTATATAAATATACGATAAAATCCTGTGTGAGTAATTCTAGAGTTTCATGATTTTATATATCGAGGAGAGAATTGAGAACAACGGCGAAAACGCTTACGGAATCCTTGTTCGGTGTACAAGGTGAATAGAATATTGCGGACATCTCCGCATCCCAAGAGGAGAATATCAGCATCTACGCCTTGAGGAAAACCCCTGGTAAGGCTGACGGCGGGAGTGTTGCCAAGGGCATAGAAGTGAGTTATATAAGGGATAGTACATGGAACGTACATCTTGGCAGGTAGGTGGTAGATGTTATTGATGGAGGAGAGATATCGGGTAGGTCTAGGCCTAGGTGGATGCAAGAATAGGTAGGTACTTAGTCAACTTCTGGAATCGTGATCTATAGAGTCTTCATTCTGATGACAGGCTGAGGCTTGAGTATTAAAGAAAGGGGCACAATCAAATATATGTCAGCAACCTATGATGGCACAAAAACATCTAGCAAGTTCTAGTCAGGACGTATAAAGTTCACCGGTAGGCTTAAACTGTTTGTCGTTTGAAGAAAGACGAAGTTGATTGATATGAAGCTTAAATTGGAGATGGAAGGACGAGGGACACTAAAAGTGGACCTAGCTTAGCCCTAACAGAAGCTGGTGAAGGTGTACACATGCAGGGTTGTAGCTGCCTGACCTCCGCCTAGAAATCGCCCTATCAGCTTCAAATTTAACTTTCAACGTTTCAGAGCGCACTACGTACCGAGATACGTTAAGTAGATCCCTCCGTGCCTTCTATCTGTTTCACTTCACAAATACTAATACTCAAAATGCGCAGCGGATAAGATACGAACAAGAGATTGATTCATTATTATCACTATAATCTACGAAGCAGGAACCCAGTTGTGTGACTACATCCCGATGGTATTTTGATCCTATGGAGAAAGAAGTAACGAGGCACCGCCGCCGCTAAAATTAAAGACCGGAAAAGAACGGTCATCTTCCACATCGACGCTGAAACGCCGAAACGACCGTCCAGCCTCCCTTAGATTCCTTTTCGCCCAAACCCCGGAGTCGTCGCACCTAGATAAAAAAGATATTCCCACACGATATCGTACATGATTTTGAACCAGGCCCGGAGAGAGAGAGCAAGCTCACGACCGAGCCCTCAAGATCAAGTGTTCCACCCAAGCATAAATTTCATTATATTCCCGATCTGGTCTGCCCTGATTTCCTTCTAAATAAAATCAAAATATGAATAAATAAGACCGAGCCTCGAACGAGGATATGGCAAGAAAACAGTACGTCACTGGCATATATATATCTCTTTCTTCCAGAGCACAATCTTAAGTGCTGCCGAAGAATAAGTCGTCGTTGTTGGTAAACATATCGACGCCGTCGAAAGCCTCGTCGAACTTAGCGTCCGGGTTAAGCATCAACATCGAATCGTTATTCGTGAATTGCAACAGTATGTCATCATCATTCTCGTTCATCCCAACAAAGCTTGGAATATTTGTCGACTCGATACCGGTGCTGATGGTAAGGTCCGTGCCGCTAGAGTTGGGTTCGGCATCAAAGTATCGACTACCGGACGGCGGAGACGACGACCGAGAAAGCTCTGGAAGTTCGTTGAATTGGCTGGCTACGCTCTTTGCCGGAGACCCTGGCTGCGACGATAGCGCATCGGGACCAAGTTCCTGGTGAAGCGACATGTGCGACAGCTGTGAGACGTACGAGTGCACACTGGTCGTCGACGGGGAGTGCTTGCTGATCGGCGTATCGCCGGCGAGACTCGGCATCGGTGCAGAGGACGAGCTCATCCCCTGTAAAGAGCATGGGTTCATTGTTGTTCCTCCCATTGAAACATCCATGATGTCGTCCAACATACCGAAATCCTGGTCGATTGTCTCCGGCGAGTTTCCTTCTGAGGTATCCGAATAGCCGGATTGCGACGAAACCGACGACGTGGACTTGTTCTTCTTGCGGGTACGAGCCGACTTATCCTTGCGCTCGTCCATATCAGGTCGGTGCTTCCTGGGACGCCCACGCTTCACGACCTTCCTCACTACGCCATCAAACGCGCCGATACACATACCGCGCTGTTTGTGCCGAGTAAGCGCGTCGTGGCGAGCAAAACTATTGCCACATTCGCAAGGGTAAGGCTTGATACCCGTGTGTATCTTCGCGTGTCGTTTGAGGTCGTGCTGTCGAACAAAGCACTTGTGGCAGGTTGGACACTTGTATTGACGATCGTTCAGGTGCGTCTGTACGTGAGACTTGATGTTTTCCTTCCTGCCAAACTTCTTGTTGCAATCTTCGAAGGTGCAGGTCCACTTATTGTCTCGAGGGTCGGGGCCTTGAATGAACTGGTGAATATCTTCAAGTGTAATTCCCGTCACCGTCTTGGTTTTTTCGATATCGATGCTGGCAATACTAGCGGCGCTAGCAATGCTCGCCATAGACTCGTTTCGACGATGCTGATGATGAGGGGACCCACGGCGAGATGGCCTTTCGATTGAAGATGATCCATGACCAGCCTGCAAGTCAGATTCTGAGCTAGGTAGACGCATATCAGGCTTGTAGTCGAAAGAGCCGTTGAACTCGCTCATGTGCGGTGTGATAGGCGTCGAGTGTCCGGAAAGGTCCGAGCTAGCACTGAAGGATTGTGAAGAGGCGGGAAGTCCATCGAAAGCGGTGTCGATCCTGAGACCATTATTGCCGATATGGTTCATATCTAGGAAATCTGCCATTGGGTCTGATGGCGGGTTGAACGCTTCTAGTAAAGGCATTGCGTTGGATCTATTTGGCATGGGCATTGAAACTTGTTGGGCTTCGGCTGCTTGCCGCATCTCGTCGAAGGTTGTTCGCGACCGTCGGTTTGCAGGTTGTCTTGTTGGCTTAACGGTTTCTTCCATCGACTCGTCGTAACCTTCCGAGAATCGTTGCGGTTGAGGTGGTTGAACATGCTTTATGGTCCTATCATGTGGAGTATCGGTGGGGGTAAGCGGGAAGTAGTCTAGTTTCAATCAGCTCCATATCCTCCTTTCAGTTTGAAGGGTATGCTTACCTGCGGCATTCTGTCGAGGAGGTGTTAAAGGTCTCTGGATCTCAAGTCCCAATGTCTCGAATTTGCTAACTCTGTCCATGATTCCATTGCTAATTCGACGGGAGCTCCTCCTAGTGCTAGAAGTCTCTCCCTCCGAAATCCAGCCAGGACCACCCGTAGGGCTATCCTGGAAGCTCATGAAAGTGGGTGTGGACATCGCACTAGACGGGAAGTGGTCGAAGTCCTGAGACGCTGTCATGTTATTGGAGAAGTTCTCCTGGTTCTTCTTCATAATGGCATCCATCTGGCCATTATACATCCCCAAGCTTAGCTGCATTTCCTGCTGGCTTGGGAGATTGCCAAAGCCTTGTCCATCAAAGCTTTGTGCCTGTGGTGTCCCATGAGGGGACATCAGGTAGTTGTCTTCGCTTGCCAAGTTCGCGTATGCTTGCTGGGGGCCCGGGCGAGGCATGCGTTGCTGCTGCGCTTCTCGCAGCACATGCTGTGATGTGATTGATCCTGTGTTGTTAGTAGCGTTACTTACCGTTTGGAATTCCTGCCGTTGTGGTACTGTCGGTGATTGCATCTGGTGTTGGTGTTGTCGTCTTGTGTCCAAGCTCATGCCCCGGCGATGGGCCATTCGCGAACGTTGTTGTTGTTGATGGTGCAGATGCATGTTGGGCAGGTTGGACGCGATCTTCGTCGTCTCAAAGCCTGTTGGTGTCGAATTTTGTCGTCTGTGTTGTCGATTTCGGGCCTGAAGACCGCCTCGGGGCGGATGTGACAGCATTGTGGTTAGAGTCGAGTTCGGATGGGAGGCCATTGTCGATAGATCCTGGTTTGCCGAATGGGCTATCAATTGATTCCGAAACTGCAGGTATCCGTCAGTCATCCAATTCTCGGGTCATTGTTATGGAACTCGGAATCGAGAGTAAAGAGTCAAGAGTCAACGGTGAAGAAATCAACAATCGGCTTACCTCACGCAGCGCAAGCCAGTCTGGCCGGGCAATTGGTTCTTAGGTTGTCTTCAGCAGCAGCAGGCGAACTTGGCAGACGAGAACTAGAAGTTTGTAAGTGATGCCTTACTTAGGCAGATCAAATAGGTATCAGTGAGATGTTAGTTCTCTCTCTGGTCTTGTTAGATGATCTAGAGATATTCTTCTATAGAAGCTTTTGAGCTTTCGAGCTGTTGACTCCTACAACTAGTAGAAGTAAATGTGAAAGTGGATAAAAGTTCTAGGATAGATGATCTTGCTATGCAAGATAAGGCAAAAAGGTAGGGAACCTTGAAAGTTTGATGTATGTGAGAGGAGTTTGTAGTTTGTAGATAGTATATTGAATGCAGCTTCTATGCGAATTTTCAGGGAAGGGTCGCCGGGGTAGCGTAGCTCAATGTTGACGGTCGCTGCAACCCGTTGCTACAGCGACAGCGCATGTGTAAATCATTGGCCAATAATGGTAGGACCAGGAAGTTGCAATGTCTTGCGCCAACCAATCAACGTACGATGCATAACCATATTGAGCTTAGCGTTATCCTCGGCCCGCAACAGGCTTAACAGCTTATGCAGCTGTGCAAAGCTGGTGCAAGAACGATGTCGTTTCATAACCGAGTTGGGTTAGACCGAAGAAAGTGATTGCCCGATCTCAATTCGATTACATTTTTCTTTCCCGTGAGTCTTGACAGAAACGTCATTTTTACAGTCTGGTAGTCTGGGTATTTCTTGAAGATATCCGTACTTTCCTCGATCTTATGTTTAAGACACGACATTCAAACAACATGGATTTGAAAATTATGTTATTAAACTTACATAATAAAAAGACGATGAAGATCGCGATGATAGGCTATTCCAGCGAAATCAGACCTCTTTCGTTTGGGACAAACTGCATCCTTCAACAACCTTGCTTTTACCTTACGATAAGACCTCGGTAACCATCAACTTAGATGCTAGGTACGTACTTAAGAAGAATAATAAAATTGAACATCCCTTTCGGACGTTTGATGTTTGAATGAATTGAAATATAAATTGTCATAATCCATTGAGTCAGGTCGTCTCAGCCGCATTGGTTTTACCAAGCACTACTAGGTAAGGCTATCCGAAATCAGGCATCCCTTTTACTACCTTAAATTTACGAAGGGATATTGTATTGAATTATTATCAATATCTTCAAGAAAATTCATATGTAGTAAGTGACTATTATTAGAGCGATCAACTAGGTATGTAAGTAAGCGGGGAGACTCCAGCTCTTCAGGCGGAAAATTTACGAGAAGTGGGCTTTGACAAAGTCCAAAAAGTATTAAGAGCAGGGCAGGAATATCTGCTCAGAGGAGGCGCCAGAACGATTATCTAATCACTTACCTAATATGCTTAGCTAACAAAACTGTTACTTACTGGAAGCCATAATCCCGTAACTAGTAGGTATTAAAAGTTGTAACTGTGATTAAGGGATTATGATTACTACCGGGTAGAACGTAGGTAGGTAATTGAAGAACTAACAAAACATTCACCGAACAAGTTGCTATTATTATATTGATGGGAGCCAAAACTACGAGATCAAAGAATTGAACCTGACAATCCGCGGTTTCGGCTAAATTTAGGGCTATTGTGTTACCAACGGTGACGTCAGTTATGTCCTTTCCTTAGTACTCGGCGGCGGATGTGGCTTCATTAGGTACCTACCTAGGTACCTAGGTAGGTTTCATGTTACCAGAGCTCTTCTTAATTATTAGCCATAATACCAGATTTCTATCGTACTGTAGACGTTAACGCCGACCGGAATCCTATTCTTAGTGTTATAGACTATATCTATGATATCTCATCTGCAACTGGTGTTGAGTGTGTTCGTCGAAGTTGAACGGAATGCTATCTTCATCAATGCGCGAACCGGAAGTCAAGCCTCCTAGAACCTTGGAGTTTAGTCGTTCTCCTATACTCGACCTGCTGCTCCTCTGTCAACGCGTTCCATGCGCGTTCCTTCTGTTTGTTCCTCCAGACGTAGTATATTTTCGTTAGCAAGAACACGAGGATTGATACAAGATTAATTGCTAGAAGAGCCGTGTTGCCCCGGCGATAAGCCGGCTTATCATCATCGCGGTAAATATACGAAGCGTACACACTTCCGGTTTGGACGCTCATCTAGCACTATGTTAGATATAATACTCATGTACACCACCGGGATCTGACCTACGTTATATAAAGCAGCTGAGACTGTTCGTGTGCCGACATTGTTGGAATTCTTGGAACACCAGCCTACAAGGATCGCATCTGGTGAAGCGTCAGCCCAACAACTCATACCAAGGGGGAAGGAGGTAAGAGAATACATACGGCAATATGGGTAAGACAATAATGTCATGATAATCGCGTAAGTGCCCCATCTATCTTCGACTACCCCACTCCAAAACCTGAGAGCGAAGATGCATGGTAGGGTCCAAAGGGGCTGTGCGATAGCTACGAGTGATCGCTCGTTTAACCATTCGGATACTCTAGTAATCAGGAGCAAGTTCATGATATGAAACACATCCTACGAGAAATTAGCCGGTGTTGATTACGATGCTATCATCGTTTGTGCTTACTGCTGGAATAGTCAAGAGATTGGTGTCAAATGTACCAAACCCAAGGGATCGGAGGGTAAGAGTAAGGTAAGTTTTCGGTGGTGACTGTGGCACGTAGGCAAATAGACCAATCGCGTATAACGGCCATAAGTCGTAGTCTTTCAAGGCTTCCCATAGCCGCGCTGGCGTCAACGCTTGGCGATTGTGCATGTCTCCCTTAGAAGGATCATCACGGAGCACTCGATTAACGACGATCGCCTCTTCTCGTTCTGTGAACCAACCGTTCGGGCGAAACCACGTTTTGGTCTGTACAGCAGATGCGGGCATCATGAAAAATGACGCCACTCCAACACATAGAGTGATTAAGCCTTCGACTAAAAACAACCACCGCCAACCTTCCCAACCGAAGAGGCCTCTGAGACGTAATAATCCAAAAGCCATCAAGGATGTTATAATGCCTGTCACCGAGAGGGTTGTCCAGAAGTAGCTGAGACGTATTGGTAGTTCGCGCGATGTGTAGAAATATGAGAGCCATAGTACCAGATCGGGAATGAAGCCTCCCTAGACGAAAATTAGATCGAGGATACAAGAGCAAAAGTTCGGATAGGATGTTCTACCTCAAGGAACCCAAGCAAACTTCTTGTTAGTAGGAATGATCCACGACCGGTGAGAGCGCACTGAGAAATGGCGACAAATGACCACAGAACCATCTGCATGGGAATCCAACGATCTGGACCTACGGCCTTTGATACGAGCTGCGAAGGTAGCTCAGCAAGCAAGAAGGAGACTAAGAATATAGAGTGCCCATAATTATAGTCTACAGAGCCGTCAGTAAAGCCGTTGCTTGGTACTTGGTAGATATCGGAATATATGTTGTTCGAAGATGCCTTCTAGGCATATTAAAGGCATACAATCGCAAGCACGATTAAGAACCTCAAGGAGATAAAATCAAAATACGAGAAGTCATACCATTAGTGTCTAGACCAAGATCATCCAACATATTGTCTGAAACGGCCTGTCCAAGATTTCCGCGGTCTACTTGCAATCCGAAAAACATCACGCACTGAACAGGGACGACAAGTCAGCAACTACCGGGATAGATCACGTAGACGGTCTCCTACCGCCCATAAACAGACTTTCCAGTCAAGTTTCCGAACGAGTTCTTTTTCTTCTTTGGCAGACCACTCGAGTTTCGGGTTATAGACATGTCTACACTCATACTGGCAGTTTTCGTAGACCTGTCGCCAATACTCTGCAGTTTCTGTGTCTAGGAATGGGTTTTCTATATCTGGAACGGAATCCTCGATTCGGAGACTTTCACCGAGTAGAGCTGTGGGGCTCCCCGGAGGCGTCGTGTCTAAGGATCCATAATTCTTCTGCTCATCCGGGTCGGTGGAGGAGAGTGGTTGATAGGACATCTTAGTGGAAAGCCGAGGAAAAGATGGACGAGAGGACTCTACGGCACTGAAGTCTGACAATTCGATATTTAGGTTATCGTCATTGGCGAGCGAATTACTAGACGAAGTAGAAATAGCCGGATCAACCGTGTCTCTTCCCAAGCCGGTCGGGTGCACGGGAAGAGACATGGCAAGAGGGCTGCAACCCCTGGGGACACGGTATTTAACAGTCAAGAGGATTTACAATGCCAAAATGTGTAGATAAGTATGTGAGAATAGGTGGGATGGATGACGTGCTACCTAGCCGCTGCTCACGCGGGCTTTTAAATGTTTCGACTGGTGACCAACTTCCCCCAAAAGGCGAAATGCTGATCTGGAGGTTGTTGGCTACCATCCACGACGCATCGATAACGAATCTCGCATTCGAGTAGGAAACTCGGATGGAGATGTGTGTCGGATAGTAGAATTCCCATCTTCCACCCTATGAGAAAATAGGAAATGGGATTTAGGTAATGATAAATCCATGTCTATCATCACAAGATTATTCAAATTGAATTGAAGATTGCAAGGGTGGGTGTTGAGGCTGAACGAATGATATGCAGGATATGAGATTTGGTGATTCCGATTTAAATTTCATCATTTCCAGATATTTGCACCGCCATAAACTGCAGAACACTGGCCACAGTGGATACACTAGCCACAGTTGGAGGATCCGGGTACTATGTATTTAAAACATGGTTGTACCTATGTATCTTGTCTGCCTGGAAGAAGTACACATGTATTACAGATGTATTAGACTATTAACATGTGACGTCAAACAGATTCCGTCGCCGTCCGTCAAACCGGACAAGAATCGACAAGCGTTTCAATACGAGCGCCAAGACCGGGTTGAACCCCACTCCCCAAAGACGCTCATCCACTCATCTTGATCCGTGGACGCTAATCGACGCTAATCTTTTCTAAATCGTGTGAATAGTAAGAAGTTGCAAGTTACAAATAATGGATACGGCTACACAGCCTACCCTTATTCAGCGGTTCAGCAGGTTGCACAGCGATGCACAGCCGCCTTACCTAACAATTCATAGCATTTCTCAACTCTACTTACACTTCAGCTCGGTACACTTAATGAACTAATCCAACTATTCAGCATTGTTCCTCGTTCAGCTCGTTCTTCTGTTTTTGTCATAGTAAATTTACATACATCTCTAACCTTTAAACGGCCCGTCTTTGCTCGTTGTGTTTTCTTGTAACAGTCGTCCGTTTTTCCTTGTTTCTATCGTTTTAGAAATTTAACAATTTAACAATCTACGAACCCAAAAAAGAAACAATCGTTCTTCCGTCTGTCCTGTCGCATTACCTACTCTACTCTTGGCTGGCCAGAGAATCCGAAAGAAAACCAATCATCACCTAAATCCGTACACGAAACCTCGACATATCGAACGCTGTACAACGCAAATATGCAATTCGCCGCCCTCTCCCTGTCTCTTTTCGCGGCCTTCGTTGCGGCTCAGAACTCCACCTCCCTCCCGGATCTCGTCTCTCAACTACCGTCATGCGCCGCGGCCTGTCTGTCTAGTTCCGCGAAGAGCGCCGGGTGCTCGGCGGAGGACTTCACCTGCCTCTGCGGGAACAACAAGGACAAGTTCATCTCCAGCATCACCGGCTGCATTGCTCTGTCGTCCGGGTGCTCCCAGAGTGATATCGGAAGTAAGTCATACATGGATGCCGAAGAAGAATTCTACCTTTAGGTCAATATATTAACATAATATTTCCAGAGCTCAGCACCCTCGCTCCCGAGATCTGCACCGCCGTAGCGGCGAACCCGGACGCCTCTGCCGTTGCGTCGGCATCCAAGATCGTCAGCTCCGCCATCGGCACTGCTTCTGCCACCTCGACTCCCGGCGCCGCCGTCAGACCCGAGGTCGGAATGGGACTCTTCGGAGCCGCTGCCCTAGCCGCCTTCGCGCTGTAAAGCCCCCGAGCGCACACCATCACATCTCGATTTAGATTTCACGATCATTGATGACCCAGGATTAGGGCGGGTGGTTGTATTTTAGATCATCATAGACTGGTAGGATGGGTCGCTATCTACACGGTTAGGAATAACTCGGGGATCAAGGACATACTATAAGATGTCGGTTTGGGGTTTATAGGATTTACATATCGGATCTTGGATGTCCATGATCCATTAATACACGTACATACTGTGTTTCTACCATTGTATTTCGATGCCTACCTATTTGAGTGAATAATACCTAAGGCTTAGTTGGGCGTAAGGTCGATTCTCATTGGCGCTGTTGGTGTCTTGTCTATAGCTTATTGCCCAGGTGTACAACGTAGGAGGCCGTGACGGTTCGCGTCATAATTCAAAGAGGCTAGGTAATATTAGTCCAGACCAACCATATTACCGCCCAGTAATGTGAGTGGTACCCCTAGGTTAGTATCTAGGTATGTAATAGATTTGTAAGTCTTGATGTAATATTCTTATTATAGCTCCCCTTCTATTTCACTTAAAGTGTAAGCAATAGCCTGAGCTTGGGTTCGTTGAGAGTATAGCTAGTCCATTTTAGCATCTACCTACGTAAGTAGCTATCTAGTACATTTGGTTCGATAACAACGATGTAGTCTAACTCTAGGCTATTGTTCCCTCTTGAAATATATGCTATCGCCTCGATTTACATGTCCCGGTTCTTTGCCTTGAAGCCTTGCCTCGAAGTCGTCGAAGCATTTCTCAGAGTGTGTGAGGCATGGTTTGCATTCTCTCAACTCGACACCCTCCTTTTGTTCACAGAACACCCATTCATCTTTTTCTGGGAAGAGTACCGGCATGATTGGCAATGGTGTACAACGCTTTGCTGACCCTGTTGTAGATGAAGCAAGTTCCATTTTATCTATCAGTGAATAGAGATGGTCGTAATTGTGAGGGAAGCAATAAGCAAGTAGATCTCTGAAGCTAAGCACCCCGTTCTTTGTTCTTGCGTACTTGACAATATCTAGCCGGTAGTCGACATTCAGGCTTCGGAAATAAGGAGGGGCCTGTTTATCATTATCATCAACAACCGTTACCTCGACGATCAGTTCATTAGTACTTGTGGTGTCATAACAACGGCTCAATACCAACTTGAAATCCACCATAGCACCATATCGGAAGCCGAGTTCTATCAGTCGGTATGCGTACCCCATTTCATATCCACCAGGGTAATCTTCAGGTATCCCCAGCGACGCAACTTCGGGTGTTCTCCTAAGAAATAATCGTCTTATGATCCAACCCCATAGATCATATATGTTATCCGATGCACTACCTATCTTAGATACCCTAACTTCCATATTAGGCGATATTCCGGCTTCAAATAGCATTTCCAACATTCGGAACGCCCTGAAACTGTGTAGTCTGCCGGAGACACTCGAGAAAACAGTGTCCACAATGAGGTTCATTAATAATGGATCAGTCTGATGAAGATCCTGTAGGTCGCAGCGGCCGTCCTTTTCAAAATACTCAATTAGCAGATATTTTGCGACTAATATCTTAACAACTTGAGCCGGTGTTATAGATATTTTCCACGAGATGGGAAAGTGATGACGAGAACCCCTACTGGTAATAATATTGGTCCATATATTGATTCTGCCATTGTCTGGATCTGTGTGAAGTCTCCGGGTTGCGATTACATCGGCCTGCTCTATGAAGTCTAAAAATCTAGCTGTTGACCTTAGTCTTCCTGTATATAACATAGGGCCACGGTTGATTTTGGCCAAAATGAACAATTCGATTATTCCCATAAAGTCGCGTATAAACCGACACTCCAACATCGGGTTTGGTGGACCTGGAGAATAAAACAGAACACTGTCTATAGACTTTGCAAAAGCAATGAAGACTTGACATTGTCGGTCGAACATGTCGATATCATCAATATAGGTTTTGATGAGGTTTGTAGTATCTGGCTGGCAGATAAATTCCGAAACTGTTGAATGCATGAATGATACACTCATATCTCCCCTAAAGGTCTCTCCTCTCACAGCGGGTCGGGTTTCAAGGAAACCTTTGCATCGGCCATTTACCTGGCGGCTCGTGTTGACTAGATATCTTTTGAGATCTTCCTCTAGCAATGGTTCCATGGATAGCTTCGTGGCGAGATCTGGGTCTTTAGATAAGTCGCCTAGGAATTTATACTGCAGTAAGGATCGTCCGAGAAAAGTGAAGATCAAAGTCTCGAATGCCTTTCGGCGGTCGTACTCTGGGATAGACTCGAGGAGGTGCTGGTACAGGCCTTTCAATTCTGTCGGGAAGGCCTCAACTTTTCGCTCAAGGTCTTCAAAATCATCTCCGTTAAGCACACCCTGTTCTATGGTGGCTAGAACGACGCGGACCCAGAGAAAGACACCTTTAGCCTTGGTAACAACCACTTCGGCCAAGATACTAAGGGCGGTAGTATCAAGTGGAGTAGATAAGTCTTCGATTTCATCAAACCTGTCCATGATAAATTTCTTGATGTCGGCATGCGTCCACTCATGGATTCGAAGATTTGGACTTCCCTCAAATTTAACTTCGAATTCATTCCATTCTCGGCTCGAGACACATATCTTGAGATGATTGGAACTGTGTTCTGTCCATCCAATGATTTCCTGTATCAATTCGAGAGGACGTCCGTCAAACTCGTCAAGGCCATCTATGAAGAATATCATTTTATGTTCCTTGAAGGCCTGGGCACTTCTTAGTAGATTATTCAAGGCCGTTCTGTTAGCAGTTTCCTGGGGGAACGCAATTGGGATCAATCTCGGCGCCGCTTGCAGGATTTGATAGAGTAAAGACTTTACCATTCCCGCTAAATTCTTCTGTTCGTCTTCTCCCATTTTCCAGAAGAAGGCCTTGGCGCGGATGAGTTGTTTTTCTCCGGACCAAGACCTGAGTCTCTCAAGGGTGACTTCATTCTCGCATATGAACTTCATCAGAGTCGACTTCCCAGCCCCAGGTTTTCCTGCTATCCAGAAGATACTCCTCTTGCGCGAGGCCGCGTCTTCTTCTAACCATGTGGTGAATTCTCTATGTTTTTGATACTTGGCTTCTGCAGCTACTTTTGCCCAGTCCCCCATTTCCTCACCATTTTCGGAGGATGCTGGACCATGAAGCAACCACTCAAATGTCTTTCGATGCGCGGTGCTGACATTTTCGAAACGATTATGCATTTGAGGATCTCGCAAACCCTGCAAGATAGCAAAGTTCTGCAATGGGGCTTCGACGGCTTTCTGAACTCTACAGAAGAAATCTGCCATGTTTGCAGAGTCAAACCTGAAATTATGCTGAAGTTTTTGCACTTGGTCTCTCAGGTGTAATATATCTTGCTGGGTCATTGATGTCGTACCCAGAGTCTCATCTAGTTTCCGCACCAAATCTGAGCTAGAAAGATATTAAAAACTGGAATTTGATCCCGTACCTGACAATAAACTTACTGAGACATGCTGTTAATCTGTACGTTCAACTGTTGTCTGTATCTGTCAAGATCTGCTTGAAGCTGATCTCGTTCCTTCTTCTTTCTCATATTCCGCAGTGCTCCCGTCACTGCTCCCGTCATTGCCTCTAATTTTCCTCCCGGTTTCTTTAGTTTCAGATCATCTAGAAGCACCAAGAGTTTGTTAGAAAGCTGACTGCATTGCTGCGCAAGCTGGCAAAGTGCCCTCTCATCGTTGGTTAGACCAGAGGTAGGCAATTGATTCATCACCCTAAGACTCAATTCTCGCATCTCTTGCGCTATGAAACCAGCATTCTTGTTGGCATTGGTGGTTTCTTCACCAGATTCGTAAAGCTCCTTCGCTGTCGCAACCACTTTATACCCACATTCTATGAGTTGGAGTATATTGGATGCCAAACCAAGAGCGGCTACGGCCTCCATGCTGTAATTTTATCTTTCAATATAACCATCACCAAGATATTCACAAATACTGATTATGCGCAACTTTTAGATAATTTCTGTCTCGTTTTACTGATATGAACGAAAGTGAAAGGATGGGGAATGGATCCAGATGAGATGAGGGGTAAGCAGTTAGGCGACGATGCTACACCACAGGTAGATTGGGTCGAAACAGAGTCGTTTACAATTAGAGGTAGCTAACATGATTCTTTTTACTAGAAACTTATTAGAACTACATAGAAGTTTGATATCAGATTAGGATAACGCGTTTACCTCTGTTGAAGCTATACTGAGTTTATTACGCCAAAATTCGGCATATTCAAGCCTGCCGGTAGGTAAAGTACCTTAGTAGGCACTTAGTAGGTACCTACCTAGTACATAAAATACAGGGGTATCCACCAATCAGATCGAAGGTTCCCTACTTTGCTTGTGTCTGATTGGCTAGAGTTACTGGGATGCAAGCTGTATTTAAGGTTGATATGAGGTACTCCGACTATAGTATGTTCCAAGGTTTAGGTGCCTATTAGGTAGGCAGTTATTAGGTACCGTAGGTAAATACCGTAATAAACGAGAGGTTCTGTAGGTAGGTAGTCTATAATTTGTATTCTTACATAACATTAGATAGGTGATCCCCAAGATTAGGGATTTTACGGCTTTGATCTTATCGAATTCACCCGTCTATTTCAGGTCATGTATGGCACCGTTTGTTGATCGCCTCGTGCTCATAGCCTTCTATAACTTCGTAACTCATGTCGGCTGGCAATAATCTTGATGCACTAGAGAATTATCGACCGGTGAAGCACACAGAGGCGTTTAGGGGTAGAGAGGGGAACTTGTAAGCAGCCACACCGTTCCAATTGGGTACGCTGCTTGATGCAAAGTATCAATATTTTTATTGATATGGATCCCGCTTATCAAGTTATAAAACTGAGTAAAACAGACCACTTCCGGGCGCTTCAGCTGTAAGTTATTACAAGTAGATGCAGGCTCTAGGCCGAGGTCCTGTAAGGTATCGGTGCTCGCAAGCAGATCTGAGTCAGAAACGCGCATCCCCTCACTCTCAAACACGTCTTCCATTTAATGAATGAAGAGCGGTCTGAACGCTTTACCATGGGTATGTTAAGTTTGGGAACCTTAGATATTCGCTGAATGGTGTGGGAGAGGAACTCGCGACGCGGGCTGGAACTTCTACCCGTCCTCGGGTCTTGCAAAGCAGTTAACTCACAGGGGACTTTAGCGCATGGTTATAGCGAGCGAGTACCTACCTAAGGTACCTAATTTTTCAACTAATCAGATCATTAGGTACTTGCTGTTAAATAAATGCGCAATCTGGTTGGCTGAAAGACACTATAATGATGCGCTGAGACCTATGTAAATCTCCTATATTCTGTACAGCTTCCCGTCCTTCACAATCTCTTCCGTTACAACATCTAAACAACCACAATCCGAATGCCGGCACCAGAGAAAGCCAAGATATGTCCATGGCTTAGTAAGTTAAAATATCAATTATATTTTAATCAATTATCAAACTAAACTTCAGTGATTCTATGTCCTACCTACCTGTTAAGAGGCATATCCGTGTTACGGTGGGGGTAAGCATTAATAGTGAAATAAACAGTCCCAACGCTCTGGTCCCGGGTTGTCCCGAATCACACACACATCTGTACCTCCGTCGCGCTACCACGGAAGCGGGAACTCCTTCCCACCTTCACCGCATGCACAGCTAAGAACGAACCCTGTATATTTATGACAGAGATCTCGGGGATTTTATTACCGGCTGAACCGATCCAGCACGAACCCGGCTTGGCGCTATGCCATAGGCTAGTTATGATCTACGGTGCAATGTCGGTCCCGGGTCCGGTTTGCTGGCTTCCACTTCGGCTGGTACCGAATGTGGCTTCAAGCCCTATTGATATTGAATCGGGGAAGTACGATTCATTAGTGTATAGACTACCTAATGGCCGCCTTACAGGCCGCAGCAATTCTTATATCAATTATGTACTTACCTCTTATATTGATGTTGATCGGTCCGTGGGGGCTTGCATGTGTCACAACCCCCTTTCACCGTTCAAGAGCTCCGGACACTGTCTGCCGGATTCGGATATGTCCCTCAGCAGATTTCGAAGTTGATGACGTAATTGACGCTCGACGAACTACTGTGATGTGGCATATCCGGATAGTGAATAATTGAGAAGAAATCTGAATTGCCATTATGGTAACCATCTATGATATCTGAGAGTAGTTCATTACATTAGTATTCTTTCATGAATTGGCTACATGTGAAGGGACAATTGATGTTAATCTCATGCCCGTAATAAATCGTTGATAACATTAACACAAAACTAACACCGTTATTCTCAAAATTACTAGGTAGGCAAAGACACGCTATAGCATGCCTTCTCTCTCTGAAAGACATCACGCGGCGAAGAATATTTGTCGTCTCCCAAATTCCATGCCATTCTTAACCTAATGCCCCTTCAAGTATGATTTTTTTTGGCTTTTCTCTATCAAGTCGAATGATTCAAAGCCTAGGTAGAGTTATGAAACTTCTATTCAAGCTCTTCGCTGAGAATGACGGTTCCGTAGGTTGTCCAAATTTGACAAACAAGACCTAACGAACGGGGACTCCATAGTGATAATTGCCATCCCTAGCCAGAAGTCATTGATTATTGAATGGGTAAGCTACCTATTTACAAATAAAGCTCATGGTAGCTTCATGAGTAGTTGCATTTCTCTGGGGCGTACGTTAACCTATGGAGAGGCCTAGAACCCCAGGTAGAGAAATAGGGGTAGTGATGGAGGCCTCTCATAGACTGAGACTTGCAATGGACGGCCTGTGCGACCTCATCGGCGCTATTTTTCACCTCCCAAAGTGTAAGCGCCTTAAAGGGGCCAGGCCTTGTCAGCGTGTGTTGTCAACTGCAGCTAAACGCTCGCTCATCCGAAATCTTGACCCGAATGGGCAATCCTGTCCATGCTGTTGCTAAAGGACCCAACGCAGTCATAGATCTATGAAATATCGAAGTGCTTGTAAACTAGGCGCGCACTTGAGTTGTCTTTCTTCTGTGACGAAAGATCTGGTATCTCTCAAATTTGGACATGGCAACCAGAGATTAAATACTTATCTACCGGTAGTTAGATTTATTAAGATGGGAGGAAGATAGTTGACTTACTTGATGGCCACATAATCTGCACCCTGTCTCACCAATATTGAAGGGTCTTAGGCTCCGAGATCTCAGCACCGTTGCTCTACATCTCACCAAATCTGGAAGAGGTCTTGCAATGAACCTGCGGATACACAACATCATCATCGCTCACGTTCCTGATGCGCTTTCGTCCCTGGTTCCCTGTCCATCTCGAATCGCTAAACATCGGCACTGAAGTAGGTCATCATGCCACTATTATTTTGCGAGTAGATTATGGTGCGGCTAATGCCTCCATCACGCATAATCGTGCAACATACCTTAAGCGCATGTTGAAAAAATTCATCAACCGGCGGATACGCTCCACAAGGATCAACGCTTGGGGGTCGAAAGAGCAAAACAGCATCGTGGCGAGATTTAATGAGAAATGTGCTCGGATGCGTATGAGACACGTCCAAAAAGGGTGTGCGCGTGACGAATGGCATTGATATACTTTCGAGCGAGTTACGCGTCCAGTAGAAAGTCGTCGAAGCGGTGATTGCGGTCCGACTTAAAAAGAGGTACGGCACGCCTTGGCAAATGCGCGTAGCCGGGCGATTATATTGATCTAGCATCGAGCATCGTGGATATTGAGATGAGAAGGCAACGATCCGCTTCCGCAATGCTTGATTCGACCTCAAGAGCCAACCAGGATTGATTAAATCGACCCATCGCTGATTTGAATCACGTCTGGAGTTCGGAGATTTCCGATTTATATCGAAAGAAGGAAAACCCCCTTACTGCAAATCACCAGCCACGTCGTCATGGTTTTTCATATGTTCAACAAGTAGGCACTAGAGAGGAGCATGCATATTCTATGGAGTTTTGTTGTTAGAGTATTCATGTTAAGATTTGATGAAAGAAGAATACCTATCTTTGATGTAGTTTATAGACAGGAATTAGCAGAGGGATATCTCTGAAACTTCAAGATGTTACGGTAAAGATTGGCCATTTAGGGTAGTTTTCTATTAAATTACCGATTTATTCAATGACTATATCCAAATAGGTACCCACGTATTGAGAGCTAGACTGGTATCTAATACCTGAACTGTTGCAGACGCATTCTACAGATGTTTAGGTAGTGGTGTTGATGAGAAATACTCGATTATGATGGGGCATACAAAGGGACGCGCACGTTAAAATTTATTGCATTGAATGACGACTACTGCTTGTTTAATTAATTTTACTTTTCAAGTTATCCAAGTTTATATTCTAGGGACAATATGATTAATGTCAATTGATTTTGCTCGCAGACTCGCATGTGCTCCAACGGGGATATACCAATTTCAACCCCCATTCGTCTTCAAGAAACGGTGGGGCGGGGCGCATACCTATCATCATCCCATGGCCAGCCTAGGAGTGTATACTACCAACTACCAATGGCTACAAAAGTTGTAAATAGTAGTTGGCGAGATTGTTCACAGACTGAAGCTTCTGCAATGCATCGATGGAGATGTGAAGTGAATTCTCCACGACCCGAGCCTGATTCGTTTCCAGGTCGCCTTTTCGGATCTCGAGGTGTTTCGCAAGTCTGGTTGCGCTTAAGTAGATCGTAAGAGGCATAAATGTGTGTGCCTTGAAGTAGCCAAGATGTTCATGCTCCTTTGCCAGGCGAGCAATTTCTTGGGCTGCCCAGAATCCGCGCTCTTGAAATTCCCATACCACAGTTTGGTTTTGGTCATTCCTCGATAACGACTCAACAATCCGACATAGATAGATGACGGCTGCGTGAGCAACCATGTATGAGAAGATAATCATGGGGTTCTCAGCTACAGTTATCGAGGGGTAGTTGGCTTGTAGATTATTCAGCCGGCGTGTCAGCATGCCGTCTAACCAATCGTGCCTCGAGGCGAAATCGAGGGGAATATTGCTGTACAGTGTTTCTATCGTGTATATCTGCTTATGGGATAGCGCTCTACTGCAGATTGTAACCAGGATGACGCATTCCGCTAGTGGCGCATATGGTCTTATTTCTGCAGAAGACATGGTCTCTGCGAGGAAGCACTCCTGTGGTACAAGACCCCTCTGGAAATCAATATCCAGACATGGAAGACGTGTATAGACCTATTAAGATTGAGAGTCAGTGACTGCCCCCGCAGTGACCTCGAGATTGTCGCGTTGCTGCTTATGAGAGGCTAGAACTCACCACTTCCTCGCTTAACGTCATTGGTGCGCCCTCGCTGACGCTGATAAACCGGTCAAGGCAGTAGGCAATCCAAAAAGTGCGTCTCTTCTCTTCTATTGAAATCGGGTCCTCCTCGTGTTCTGCTCCTAAGGGTTTAGGGCTATCGAGGTCGTAGAGCCTTAAGAATTGCACTAAACGAAATACTCGACCGGCGCTAAGCCAACCGCGACGGTAATTCGTTCTAGAAAACTCGTAGAAAGTGATCAGAATCCACGCTTGAACATGTTCTATATGGCAGACTAAAGCGTCATTGCCACTTAAGTCTAGCTGATCAAGCATGAACCGGGTTTTGGCGTACATAGTCTCCTGAAACCCACTGAACTGGCTCGAAAAGGCGGTAGCGGACGTCCACATAGCATACTGTAGGCATTGCTGTGCCTCGCTCATATTATGACTGTCATTCATCCATCTGAAAGTTTTCGGCTTGTTAAGGATGGGAATAATTGGTTGAACACGATCAAAATATAGTTGTATCCTGTAGGTAGAGTTAGCCCCGATAACCGTAATTGTACCCGTAGGTAGGTAAGTAGAGTAACCCACAAGTCAGCTTTCGCGAGATCTGGTACATAAACATCGCCAATGGAAGGGGGACTCTGTTTCGGTGACGGATAGGATGCTGCGATGGTAGGTAAGACCGACACATCGGGGAATAGTAGCGGAGAACGAGGCAAGCCATCTGGCGGTGGTCCCCAAGCCAGAGGTATCGAGTTACCTGACGGATGTTCATGTTGCGTTATGTCCCAGTCTGGCACTGCGATGACGATGAGATACTGTCCTCGACACTAGAAGAAAGCAAAGTCCGTTCTTGAAGATGTCTCAGATGTGCCGGAGCTGAATGATTGTCTGACAGGGGAAAGTTGGGGAAGAGGTAGTAAGCCCTAAGCACATACAAGGAAACTGAGCTGAGGCATTCTCTTTTACTGGCGATTCACTCGTCAAACTGAGTTCCTGTCCATCGCCGTCCTCGTTTTGTGATGTGGAGAGACGGCGCTCGAGTGCTACTACCTTGACATTTAGCACTAGTAGCGATGTTTTCTGGAGATCACATACCGATACGACTACGTAGAGCACCTATGCTCCCTTTCTTGGGACCGCGAGGTACACGACGGTCGTTTACTTCGCATTGAATCTGAGCATTTGCGCATGCACCGCATTGTGGACGCTGCCTGTCGCACCGAAGCTTTTTCTTACGGCATTCTTTGTGGTTTCATCCAATTAGTATCGGGGTCTGAATGAGACGTTGTCATAGAATATCTGATCTAGATCCTCGGGTTTTCTTCCTTCTTTTCTGCGTCATGCGCCGATTCTTACTTGTGTTGCCAAGGGCTGAGACGTTCGAACTTACCTTCACAGGCATATCCAGGTTGCTGACGTGGCTCGGCCCGTCCATACATGGCGTTCTGTTTACCTCAAAGACTCGGCGATTCAAGCAAATTTGAATGATGTCAAAAGAATGAAAGTTTTTTGAAGCTTATCTCATAGGTAAGTTCATATCGTGCTTGTTGCTAAATAGTAGCTCCATTTGTAAAACAACCGACTTCGAGGGGGTTGATAAGCCATTAAACAACGACACGGCGAGAGATTCGTTAGGATTAAAGGATATTTTGCCAAGAGCAAGAAAGGGCTGGCTGCTTACGCCACTTCGGAGCCTGTTAGTGACTCTCTACAAACCAAGTGATTGTCTTAACGAGATTTTCCACATCGGAAAAGTTTTCATTGAAGTCAGCTAGCTCCTGGATACGCCATTACTCAAGTGGGAATTTTACATCAGGTCTATACCCAAACTGTTCACTTCAGGGCCAAATGTGGCCAATCTTCTTGAGGATCAGCATTGGTAACGGTCAACGGCATGGGCTGCATAGTCCCCTGTATTTCCCGACGCTCGTGTTTTCGTAGTATCCCGCGCGTCTGATATGTTTGGAGCCGGTATATCCCATATTTCTCAGCCCGGAATGCACTCATCGATCCGAGATCTGATGGAGGTTGCAACGGAACCATCCTGGTGATCGAAGGGTAGTAGCATTGATACCCTGCATTCTTGTTCCGACTACCGACATAAGGCTCATGAAGAAAGCCCTTTAGGCGGTCTCGCGCAGAATCGGCAAAAAGACATCCGATCTCATGCACCGCCAATTTGCTTCAAGGAATGACCTGGTAAGAGCCTTGGATATATCAATCCAGGTCCATATGTATTCTTTATAAAACCATAGGTTGAGATATTGTCATATATCAAAGAGTGAAGTTACCTGACTAGACCCAATATCTAAACTAAGACAGTCGATCAGTTCGTGAATTAGATTAAGCTCTTGATCACACCTAGCAATGGAGAGGACCCATAGCGGATCCATCCGTAGCGAGCACGGTCATCATTTTAGTTAACTCTCGAACCAATAAGATCTGACAGAACCGTTGTGTTGGGACTGTAATGCCCGGGATGCAACTAATCCTAGAAGGTCTGACGCAGATCTCAGCCAAGCAACCAAGTGAATCATTTCATTGATTGATCACACAAGAAAGTGAGTCATTGTCTTTTCTCTCTAATCATATCCTAGCTAATGTCTTATACTAGATATCCATGAGAAGTTTTCTATAGACGTAGAATTTTGTATATAATTGAATGATCGCAACTTATCAAGCAGTTCAAGTGAGGCTACCTATGTGTGGAATACCTAGGTACCTAGTATTGCTCTGTTCAAACACAGAGAAATATAAAGGCGTGGTGGGCACCGTTGGTACCAGGACGAAGATCCGAAACTCTATCATGGTAAATATGACCATGATCTACCTGTCTGTGGCATAAGAACTATACCTAAACGCGCGCGAACGCCTACCTACCTAACTTGGTAGGTAGACAGGTAGGTATCATACCGCCACGTCCAATGAACTGAGCTGGCTGGTAGGTTGCATATCATCCTGCAAGATGCGTCTCGGCGCCTTCTTCTCCATTCAACCGAAGAAATCTTTACCACATGGCTCATACACCCTCACAGCCTCGGTGAAACTGCAGCCATCTTGAATGGTAGCAAACAACTTTGGGTCGGCATGTTCCCAGGTGACGAACTTCCGATAGTTGATGTCATCACTAAACTTCGAAGTTTCAACTCAAGCTAGCCGCCTCAATAGAACGCCATGCAGCAATTTCGACGCGGAGAGCCTCGTTTCCTCATCACCCATTCGCTACAGCTGACGAATGGCCAGGTGCCCAGGGAGGTATCTTGTTGGACAGCCAATAACTCACTCAAGGGGATGATAGGTACGTCTCAATATAGTGTCGCTCACTCCGATATCTAGGCGCAACGTACCTAGATAGGTGGGAACCAGGCGACCCAATGAATCGAGAAACCACTTCGATGGGATCGGCGAGCATGTTAGAGAAGACTTAGAAGTAACATGAAACGTGACAGTAAAGCTCAGCACCTGTTATGGTGTCTCTAGTGGTAGCGGTAAAGATATTCTTTCCCAAAATAGGCATTTAATAGGTCTATTCTCTGCCAGATCGTAGGTACTGCAGTATTCTGTGCTGACTGGGCTGCCAGATTGCGTGTGTTGTTCATAACGAGGTGAGAAATGGTCAGGAACCCAAATTCCTGGTAGTTTTATATGCTATGGCCTCGAACTGATCCGTGCTGCCCCACAAAATCGCGTTTGATTCTAGCATTAGGACCTACTAAGCATGTTATCTTTACATCTATCTACTCCGAACGCGTATGGGTACATGTGGTTGCGATGGGTGAAACTAATGGATTGACGTCGTTGAATACCTATATTTCTGGACACTTAAGTATTATCCTCTATCCCTTAGTGAGCATTCGACTCTTCACGACGGATTTTAGCTGGCTAGGTAGGTATGCTTCTACCTCGGTCTTTATGCGCGTTTAACCTTTGAATAGCACAGCCTACATCTGGAAGAACGATGCAGCTTCAACTTGACTCACTTTCATGACTGGTATTTTGGTCGATGCATAAAGTACCGTAAGTCCGTCTATCTTCTTGGGCACAAAGTGGGAATGCGAGTAGGGTTCACCTTAACTCTAACTCATGAGGTCATCACATTGCTGAAGGACCACGAAATATCGTCTTTATGTGGCGTATGATGAAGACCGAAGTAGCATACCTTGAGGTGTTTATCTACTTCCTGGTACCTAGCTACCTGGGTAGCTGCCTGGGTGGGCTTCGATGGTGGAACATGCGCCGAACGACTGCTGATCGAAGCCACGATTTTGAGTCAATCACTACCGCCATTGGCCTGAATTGCCCCGACATCCGACAATATTGTTAGATCCCCAAGTCGATTCTGCTTGCAGTTCTCAATTAAAAGACGTGCTCGACAGGACGGCGAAAGCCCTCGAATCCCCGGGAAGTCATCCCGATAATTCACAATGACGCTGAATATGACAAGTTTGGGTGTCTCCCAGGCAAACAATCGCATCACTGGTAAGAGGAACCAGAAGCCAGGTACCCGATATTGAGCAGCGCAAGGATCATTAGTGGCGCGCCGAGGGCGGATGATGGCGCCTGCATGCCGCTGGATCTGCGTCGGGGCACGCTGGCAAGGAAAATAGAGCCCCCAAACTGCCTGAGCGAGGAATCGAATAATGTCACTGAGAAACAATGACTTGGACTCTTAGCATGACCTTTTCACTCGACCTCTTATAAGGCAATCGTTATCTACAAAATTATCATAACACAGAAGGGACGCCACAATATTGAACATCTACATCGCCAGTTATTCCTTTTTAGCCAATGTTCCGGTATTACGGTACAAGTACATGCACGTATCAATATTTAGAAGACACGGGCCGATAAATACTGAAAGAGGAAAGACATCAGGATACCTAAGCTTATAGGTACTTCATTGCTAGCATGTTTATGTTGCCAGGTATTAGATGTCATCGGCGACATGGGCGCCATGCGATAGTAACTCACTAGGGTCTTCCTCTTTTCATCAAATTCTAGAGGTATCTATATTCATGTTATCGGGATGGCAAGCCAGTCTAGCTCGTTGTCACACGTCGAGAATCAGGAATCCTCTAACATAAGGCCCGATGAAAACCAACAGATACTGCATATGCCGTCGTTTGCGACAACCATAGCCAGCTTCTCATCATCGTCACAAAACGAGCTTCATCGGACCCTGAACAGATCAGAGGAGAAGCAGTTTCCTAGCATAGAGAACACGGGACACCAGATCCCTAATATCGTCGCCGAAGAGCATGGCGTAACTATAGATAGACCGCAGTTAGTGACAACCTGATCTACCTACTTTTGAAGTCACATAGTGCACCTGATCTAATCGTCGAAAGACCCGGGGAACACCAAATCGACGCGAAAGCTTCCGAAGTAACACTGGCCTGTGATACCAAGCCCGAAGATCAGAAAACGTCTGACAAGGAGACCGAAAGCCAAGAAGCTCACGGCATCGAATTCAAGGAATGCGGCGACGAAAGAACCCCCCGAGAAGCATCAGGACACAAGAAAGTGGATAGTCTGTCAAGCCCGATACTGGTCAACCAGAAAGATGAGGAATATATCCAAGGCGCCAAGTTGTACCTGGTACTGATCGCACTCACGGTTGTCTATTTCCTTGTAATGTTGGATAACACCATTCTCGCGACCGTGAGTGCAGTTGCAACACCCACCGCTTGAAACAAGCCACACACTGACGAAGCCCAACAGGCAATCCCTTATATCACCGACGAGTTCCATTCCCTGTTAGATGTTGGGTGGTATGCCAGCGCTTACCAGCTCATCTCGTAAGTACTCGATCCTGCACCCGCGATGCTAATAAGCAGCCACAACTGACGGGGATAAGGTCAACACTGCAGCCATTGGGTGGAAAGATTTACTCCAAGCTAAACTCTAAGGTATGCTCTCCCAATTCCAATGAACGGGCCAAGAGGCTCCAACTTACGCCATTTTATAGTGGTCGTTTCTTGTCTACCTTATCCTGTTCGAAATCGGATCCGTAGTATGCGGCGCAGCGAAATCTTCGGCCATGCTCATCGGCGGGAGGGCGATTGCCGGAGCAGGTGGATCGGGGCTCCTGAATGGAGCTTTGATCATTCTCAACTCTTGCGTCCCGCCGTATCGCCAACCAGGTAACTTACCTTCAGCTCTAGAACAAGATTCCACTGACCGAACCCAAAGCTGTTGTTGGCATTCTCATGGGCCGTAAGTCGATTTGCTCCCGATAGATGAATCGCGGACGTTAACGAGATGCTTGTAGTTGGTCAATTAGGTATCGCATTCGGTCCAATCATCGGCGGCGCCTTTACTGAATACGTGACTTGGAGATGGTGTAGGTCATACTTCAATATAATACCATCTTGACTCCCTAACACGTTTTAGGCTTTTATATCAATCTCCCTATCGGCGCCGTTGTAGGATTGATAATTGTCCTCATCCACATCCCAGATCATATTAAGAAGCCCGACGCACGTCAAGTACTCAGACACGCAGTTATGGATTTCGATCTTCTGGGATTCATTCTCTTCGCACCGGCAGCCATAATGTTCTTTCTCGCGCTCCAATATGGTGGACATCAGTACCGGTGGGATAGTTCGCAGATTATTGGCCTTTTCTGCGGTGCGGGAGTAACCTTCATAATATGGTTATCATGGGACATCTATCGGGGAGATAATGCCATGGTACCGCGTTCGATGATCAAAACCCGCGTCGTATGGGCTAGTTGTGCGACTGGGTTTTTCATGGGTGGGACGGTCTACCTGACAGCTTACTACCTGCCTATCTACTTCCAGGCCGTGCTCGCCAAGTCACCATTTATGAGTGGTGTAGCTGTTCTACCTAACATTCTAGCGCAAATGATCTTTGGGATTATATCAGGGGGTCTAGGTAAGTTGATGTTCTCCATTGATACTTAGGTCTGCTGCAATCCCTAACTAGGATATAGTTCAAAGAATTGGGTATTTTCCCCCGTTCATCCTCATGGGCACCGCTCTTAATGCAGTTGGATGCGGTCTTTTAAGTCTTTTCTCACTTTATACCCCCACGGGCCATTGGATTGGGTTTCAGATAATAATGGGAGCTGGCCGTGGCTTGACTATGGCTGTCGTAGGTTCCTCTCCTTAACCCCTGACGTGAACTTGGTTGAGGAATCACTAACGATCTTTATCCTAGCCGTTTCTTGCAATGCAAAACAGTCTCCCAAAAGATATGATACCAAGCGCAATGTCAACCCTAGTATTCTTACAGAATTTCGGTGCGGCCGTGATGGTCGCCCTGGGGCAGACTATCCTCACCAACAGCCTCGTCACCCTAATACCACAGTATGCCCCAGGTGTCGACCCATCTCTTGTCTTAAACGCCGGTACGACGTCCGAGGCCATATATGAAGCCATAGGGCCAGATAAATTAGAGAGCGTTCTTTTAGCATACTCGATGGCTCTACAGCGCGTCTGGTATTTCACCGCTGGCATTGCTGTACCGCCGTTTTTTGTGGGTTGGTGCTTCACCTGGGAAAATATTCGCAGGAAATCTAACGAGCCGGATTCACATGAGCCTACCGAGGGTCCGAAACAGGAATAAAGATGATATGACAGGTTAAAGACGACATGGGTGCATCATAATTGGCGTTTAGGGAAACGGGTAACGAAGCAGGCACTGGTACAGGAAATCGTAATATCTCTCACACGCCATACAAGCGTCTCGTATTTCATCTATTTATATCTGAAGTTATGCATGAACCAATGAATATCATCGTCCTACCTCTTTTATAATATATCGGGTAGGTCCCAGGTAGGTAAGCAAGATCACACGCACTCCTTACAATAGTGCATCACAGCAATACATGTGAGTTGATTTGTACAAAAAAACAACAAAAATGGTGGTATAATCTAATCAAAAAGCCAAAATACTAACCAACAATGCAAGGGACCTCAACCAAATCTCAAATCACAGAGTAACCACAACCTTCGCCGCAGAGACCCCCTTCAAATTCGTATCCATCGCCTCCTGGAGAAACTCCAAGCCCTTCCCAACAACCTGCGGCTCAGGCTTCACAAGATACTTCCCACTCGCCAGCGCCTTCGGCAAGAAGTCCTGATAGATCATCTTGCCGACATCCTCAGCAATCACATCCGGGGCCCAGATGAACTTCGTCTGCACGCCCTTGAACCTCGAGCTCAGCGCGATCTTAACATTCCACCACAGAAAGCCCAGCATCACCCCCATCATCTTCAGGAAGTTCTTCGACATTGTCGCAGGGTTGATCGGAACGGTGGTCTGCGCGACGAACTTCCGCCCGTTGCCCGGGACCGCGGCTAGGATGTCGATGCACGCTTCTAGAGAGCCGATGCCGATCGCGATAGCGCCTGCGCACGTCTTGTCTTTTAACGCTGCGATGATCATGGCGACTGTGTCGGGGTCATGGTAATCGTAGACATGCGAAGCGCCCAGCTCCTTTACTAACCCGAAATTCTTCGGCGATGCCGTCGCAATGACCTCGTATCCTGCCGCCTTGGCGAGCTGAATAGCGCTGCACCCAACGCTACTTGAACCACCCCACACGATGAACACTGCATTCTGTGTCTGTTCGTGAGACTTAGGCGGCCATGTCGGGTATTCCAAGGCGTTGTACTCTTTCATGAAGAGGCCACAAGCAGCGGTAGATATGCTCATCGGGAGAACACAGGCTTTTTCGTATGATAAGTCGTCGGGGATTTTAGTTGCCAAGTGACTCCGTAGTACCGTGTAGTGTTGGAATGCACCTTCAGGAGCGCCAGCAGAGCGCTTGTCCAAACTAGCAGCAAAGCCCACCACACGATCACCAAGCTTGAATGACTGCGCTGCTTTTCCCCCTTTGCCGACCTCCACGACCTCTCCCGCAACGTCACTTCCAAGAACATGCGGGTATGTGATCCAAGTGAACATTTGGTCGCCACCGTGCTGCTTGGTATAGTCTACCGGGTTGATAGCGAGGGCGGCATTCTTGACAACGATTTCATCGGGGCCGGGAGCTGTGTATGGCGCGGGCTTGACTTCGAGAGGTATCGCGCCTGCCTTTACAAGGTACGCGGCGTAGTTTTCGGGAGCCATTGTAATAAATAAGTAGTATAGGACTGAAATTTAGGTGATTAATTCGATAACGAGGTTTGACTGACTATAAATCTTTAGGTACGTGAAAAAACAACGAAAATTCCTAGATAGATGAAGGCTTCCTAGACTTCCACAAAACGATGTGAAGTAAAGCGCAAACTAGGAGCTAGGGTAAAGTCGACAATTCGATGTCAAATATGAGTAGGTACTTTTTATATTAAGATCTTTAAGTGAGACACAAGAAAATCCTTTCCCTAAGGACTGCTATTCACCATATATATAACCGCCGATATATTGCCAAATCGCCATCGAAATCGTCGAAGATGCCTTAAATCTCTCTGACGAATATACATGTACAAGGTACATTGTGGATCGAAGTTGCTCGAAGTTAAAGATCTCCCAACACCAAGCCATATCAAGCCTAGTGAAGCCGGCATTTACAAAGGAGCGAGTTCAGGATCTCAGGGCAACAGGGATCTCGGACTTAAGACTTCCTAATCTGGACAAATTCAAGCCATCGATTGGCTCTCATCGCTTCACGACTTAAAGTTAACTCCGGCATCAATTCAACTAAAGCCGGTGCAAAGATAGACCATCCAATAGTAATTGCCCCCAGGACTCCGACTGTGCTACTCAGTTGCATGTTAAACACGCGTATTATCTAATATCATTGGCTTACAAGTGTTGTTAGTACTGGGAAGTTTGTGCTGTATTATTAAGATAACTGGCCATGATCATTGACCATCCCACGAACCTATGTTAATTGCGATTCCTCGCTCCGCGAAGTTTCCGTGCCCCAGGAGTTAGTCTCTGCCGATACCGTGGGCGGCTTGATTTCAACGGATGTAGAATTGGTCATCAGGGACGTCGGACCACGAGAAATACGTCTGCTTACCAAATAGTAAACTTCCAATCATCGTACTAGGTAATACTAGAACCTAAAGACTTTAGCTAAGATATTACTAACCCAAATCACATCATGGATTGACGGGTAACTCCAAGGGAACATTCCATGGCGCAACAGGGAGGGAAGCCTGTTAGAATAGGTACCTACTCGTCTAATAGGTAGTCATTCATCGCTGCCATCAATGACATTATACTCACACTACACACCTCAAACCAAAGCAATCACAATCTCCAATCCTCTGCCATTCGTTCATAGACCACCTAGCTTCCTAGCTTCCTAGTTTCCTAGTGCACCCAAGCAGCCTCTACCTACAACCACACACTCACATTCACACAATATACATCCTACACATACTAGGTAGGTACACATACTAGGTAGGTACACATACTAGGTAGGTACACACTCACACATCCACAGCACCCAAAAAAAAGAAGAGCGCCCAACCCATCTATAAGAACCCTAGTACCTAACCTAGAACACAACAGAACCCACCCACCTCTAAACGCCATGCTAGGTCGTAGAAGGAGCGAATATTCGACGTACAAAATATGTTAAAAGTGAAGCTATACAAGCTATACAGACGACCACCCTCATTTCCCCAGGTCGTACGCGGCGTTATCTTACTTAGGTTGATATATCCAATAACTAGCCGTCCGATATCCAACTGTGCTAGGTATTTTATCAAGAGCTGCGCGACGCTGGGCTGCTCGGGGTTCTAAAATTAACCGTGTAACCATCGCACAACTAACTTTTATCTACGTGGGATATCGCGACGCGATGCTGTGGTACCAGGAGCCCATTAATCCTCAGGCTGGCTTAGCCTGCAACGCTGAAGCAGATCATCATCTTGCCTTCTCTACCTCTCTGTACAACACCAAAAATCCAGCTTCGAGCCGGGACTCGAATCGCGACATGGGGTATATGTAGGCCTTTTCTATCATCTCATTTATGCGTCGTTTTAAGTGCGCATTCTACTGGAATGTGCCTCTAATCTTGGCGTAAAGGTTTGTGTCGAAGAAATTGTAATCGGTATCGAGTTCGCAGAATTCGTGCGCTCTTAGCAAACGCTCGGCCGTGGGGCGGTCTCTAGGGTCACTATAATCTCATTAGTAAAATATTCGTACGTAACTAAACTGTAGACGGGAATCACGTACACAGTGAAGCAGTCCAACATGAACCCCAGAGCATAGGGGCTAATGGTGTCGCGCACGTCGTCTGTGATTGGCGGCGTCTCTCCGTTCGCGATTTTGTAGATTGCACCAACAGCTTCTTCCTTGCTCCAGGGTCGCCTGCCCGCGAACATCTCTAAGACGACGCACCCCAAACTCCAGATGTCGACCTTTGCACTGTACCCTTCGCCCTGAGACCGAATTACTTCCGGCGCCATCCAAAATACCGAACCTTGCATCGAGTTGGTCTTGTCGTTGCCGTAGATATTGTCCGTCTTCTTGCTGATACCAAAATCCGAAATCTTGCACGTTCCGTCTACATCTAGTAGAATATTGTCGGCCTTCAAGTCTCGATGTAGGATACCTTCGCGGTGTAGGTATGCTAGACCCGAGAGTGTCTGTCGAGTCAGCGAGCTAACCACCGGCTCCTCAAATTTTCCATGTTTGCGCAAGCATGACCCGATACTACCACCAGAAATGTACTCCAGGAAGATGCTGATGCTTGTCTCCTTCCTCTCGCAACCGAGATATTGAACGATATTGACGTGATCTAGATTCTGCATCGTGTCAATTTCCTGATCCAAGGCCTTAAGAAGCTCCTTCATCTTATTTTTATCTCCAGCTGCGGCTTTGGGATTGACTTCAACTTCTTTGACGGCCAAGAATTCACCCGTCGTGGCATTCATACCCAAGTATACACGTCCGTATGTACCCTTGCCGATAAGCTCACCCTTGAACCACCGGAAAGTAGTTTGCCTCTTCGGAAGAACATCCTGTGGAATTTGTGGTACAATCATCGACCCACGTTCGGGGCGAATTTGAACAACATTAGCACCAAACATCTTCGTACTCTTCCGGCGCTGGATCATCGATGACGCCCCGGCTCCGCCGCTAGCTGTGGTTGTAGTAAATCGCTTGTTTGCTTCATGAGCCCCACGCGCTACTTCTCGGATGGACTTCATACGGCCAAGACCGCTGGAGCGCTGCATGTTCCGTGTCGCAACAGAAGCAATCGAAGGGGGACGCTCTAGCGCCTTAAGAGTAGACTCGTCCGATCCGAGTGTATCGCTCTCGTTGTATACCGACGATCTCGTAGTACCAGTTCCAGTAGCGGGCGTAAGTGGTTCGATATTCATAGAGGATGCAGGTGCTTTACCATTTCCAACTGGGAGCTCCTCCTGCTCGTTTATTGGCGACACGGGTAATTCGTTCTCATCTAACACAGGTTGATCTAGATCGAGCTCCGGGAAGAAAGCATCAAGGTTGCTAAGCAAAGCCTCGGGAGGTGGACGGTTGGCCCATACACCACGATCGACGAAAGACTTTCGGCGATTAAGTTTGCTATCGTCAGACTGCCATTGATCCGAACCCGGGGTTCCTGGTGTGCGGCGGTGAGAGTCTCGTCCGCTCCTGATACTTCCATCGTCGTCCTCTAGATCAGGTGTATGAGATGAACCTGGAGAATTATTAAACGTCACCGACAGACCTTTCTTAGACCTCGAAGTCTTAACCCTCAAGTTCGGCCTCTTGCTATCACTAGACTCCGAGTCGCTATCGAGTACACTTGTCTCGTTGCGGCTCGGCTGTTTACGTATCGACTTCTTGGACGGCTGTCTCCCCCTCATCGGAATAGCAAATAAACCATCGTCCGAATCGTCGCCTGACTCTTCGTTCGCTGGGTTAGCAGGCGCTGCTGGCTTGGAAAACTGCACATCTGTCTCGGTAAAGTCCACATCGGGCCCGTAGGATTTTCGGCGGGGGGGACCTGTAGGATTTCCTTGGCCGGCGGGGGCTCCTGGGGCGGGGCGTGCCGTGCTCGGGCTAAGATCACCGGGAGAGGGCGCTCGTTGTGCTATTTCACGCATTTTAGTAATCGGATCTAGCTGTGGTTTGCCCCGGTTGCCATGGAGCGGGGTGCCTCCGGGAGAGTAGTCTGGGACAACGAATGGTATGTCACCGCGGCCCCATGTTAGAGAACCGGGCGAACCAGACCTTGACCGAGAACTACTACGCCCCGAGGCTGTCACGCCAAAATCAACGCTTGCCATTGCTCCCTTACCTTTCTGTTCCACTATTTCCGCTGCGGGTGCAGGTGCAGGTACAGGCGTAGGTGCCGATGTATTCCTGGGTGATACCGACCGTTGTTGGGGTACTGCGGTTGATGGTCGACCTAGTCGGCCCCAGGCACTTCCCATATTCACCAAGGCGCCAAGGGCCGATCCTGCCGGCGGGGAGGGGGGTCCGCCGGGTCGATTCTGGTATGGACCTTGGTTCGCCGCACCTGTCGAGGTGGACGGCCGCCGGGGACTAGGAAATCCATCTAGACTACCTTGAGATGGCCGCATGTTGTGGCCTGTCTTCTTACTCAGCGAGTTCGCCTTAATTAGGGTAGCGGTCTCAACGACTGGCGGCGCAGGTGCTTTCCTCTGCGGGAAGAGGATATCCGGCTTCTTGTCCTCAAATGGTGAGAGACGCGGGTGGTCAAAGTCCACATTCCTACCGACAATTCCAGTCTGGGGAGATATTTCATGAGGAGAAGATTCTTTAAGGGCTTGCCTTCGTTTAGCAAGATAAGCTGCCTGTTGCTTTTCCACTTCGGCTCGATACTCGTTAGCCTTGGCAGCCAGTTCGGCGTCATTTGGCGGTGAACCGGCTGAAATCGTATTGGTCCTCGAAGTGGGAGGTGATGAGCTTGACCTGGTACGACCATTAAGGTGAGCGTAAGCATCCTCGTTTATGTTAGACCCAGGGGCTAGATAACCGGGCGACAGTGCCGCTGGATGGGCGAGACCGCCATTGCTGGGTTTGCCGATCTTAATGAAGAATTTTAGAGTACCGTGAGCATCGCCCTTGTTGCGCTTATGAATCCACAAGCTTTGATCTTCTAGCGCTTCCTCGTGCGTATCGCGTCCTAACTCAGTTAAAAATATCTCAAACCCTCTCGGATCAGAGAGTCCTAGATGCATGGAGATGTGAGAGCGTAAGTCGGAGGCTGTATCACATTCGGTGACGTCGCAAAGTCGATAGTTCCATCTGTCCAATGTGATGAGGATAAAAACTCTAGGCCCATTTTTATTACGTCTGAATGTCGGGGCCGAGTCTTGAACTGCTTCTGGCGGGGGAGTTCCAAATCGCGGCCTAAGCATATTAGGGCTTGTAGGGGAATTTGCATCATCGGGCGAGGGAAATGAGCCATCGTCTTTCTGCCTATTCTTTTTCTTTAAGAAGCTCAGGAAGCTCTTGTTATCCCTCGCAGATGACGGTTCTGCAGAACCAGGCCTATTGTCATTTTCAGCATGCTTTCCATCAACATTGTACCGTCGATCGCCGCGACTAGCATGGATCATATCCCCGATCCCACTCATGCCATTTCGGAGAAGCTGACCGGCTTCCGGTGGTACACCTGATCCGTATATCGCTGCGTTCGAAGAGACAGAGTCGGTACTATTTCTGGATTTGTGATGAAATCTGCTCGAGGGAGATAGGCTTCCCGACGAAGGCTGGGGTTGGGGTAGAAATGCGGTTGATAGTTTCGGACTCGACCCAGGACTGTCACTTCGCAGCGCAGCTCGGTAGTTTCCATCCCCGTGTTCACTCAAACTTGGGCTTAGCTTACGACTGCTATCAATATCAAGATTTTTGAGCATAGCGCGGTGGTTGGAGTCTGAGCTCATCGTGCTACTAAGAGTTGGCATCGTCGTAGATCGAGACTGGGAAAACCCCCTGATGCTAGAGCTGAATTTGATAGGAGTATTGGGAGACTCTGCGTCTGTGCCAGCACTCTGTGCATGAGCACTGGCAAGTGACTCTTTACTGGCGTGGGATGGCAACGTTTTCGCGCTGTCGATTGGTTTCCCAGTGACTATACTTCGAATGAGACGGCGCATCCGCTTCCCCTCTTCTCTTTCTCGGGGTTGATCCCAAGTGGTATTATTATTGACACACTCCTGCGCTAATCGTGGATAGACAAGCTGATGCATCATCCCAAAATTTCCACGACCGCCTTTCTGACTACCAAGCTCGAGGAACTGTGCTCCGTGAATGTTGAGGTTCTTGAACGTCTCTTGCCATTCTTTGGAGAAGTGGTTCGCGGCTAGCCATAACAATACATGATCTAACGGCCACTTGGCCGCTAATTCGGGAGGTATTTCGGAGTGGACATTTGTAGAGTTCGAGGTTGTCGACAACATTCGGTTGTTGAACGCATTGGCGTATAGTAGCCCACGATTGGGATCGTCTATCGTCATACTATTCATGGTGCTCATGGTATTTACGCTACTAGTCTGGCTAGAGGGCCACGAACTTTGGTTTGTGCCTGTCGACTGCGTTGCCGAATCATCCGGGAAGAAACCAGGTATACCGACACCTTCTCCGTAGGTATCACCTCCTGGTATGTACGTCGCGGATACCATCGCTTCATTCGCATCATTCCCAGATCTATACGTGCCCGACATGAGCTCGGCCGGTGGAGGGGGTGGAGGAATGGAGAGAGTTCCGTTCGAAGCCTGAGAATGGAGTTTCGGATTATACGTTGGAACAGGACCGCCCGCAGGCGGAGGTGGGATCGCAAAGCTAGGTTGCCCATTGTAAGTACGGCCCCAGTTGTTTTGCCATGGAGGCTGTGGACCTAAAGCGCTGTTTGGCGGAGGACCCGGTGGTGGAGGCAGCACGACGCCGCCGGTTGCTGAAGGGGCACCCGGGTATCTAGGTGGCGGAGGTGGTATATTTAACATAGTATTGAGTTGCCCGGGTTGACCAGCGACGGGTGGCGACATCGGCGGAGGCGGTGGCACCTGAAACGGCCGCGCCTGATTCTGTTGGGTATTGGAATACATGTCGGATAGAGGATACAGAATAGCACGGCATGGATCGCTTCAACTGAGCGTACGGCTGCGAATAAACAGCCAAGTACGTATCGGGATCGCCAAGTGTGGTTATGATCGAGGATTCGGTAGATCGTTTAGACAATGAAGGTTCAAAGGTGATAGTCAAGTGATGAGCGACAACAAGACTAAGCAATAGAAATAATAGGCGATTGTAACAATGGGGCTTCTTTCACGATACGAGAAGATCGTCTAGTGTCGGCCGAGACGGGCGGATATGGTCGAACGGTCGAGAGGTTACCGGCCTCTTCCGATCTGGTTCTTGAAATAGATAATCGATCGGAGAGTGGAACAATCGATGAATTAATTCGATTTTCGAGTCAGATTGTTTTTCGGATGAAGGGGAGGGCAGAATATCTTTTGATAGAAAAGAACTCTGCGTGAGACCCCCGGTCACGATTTGGGTAAAATAGCGACAGCGATAACAGCAGGCACCATGACTAGGTAATTAATGAATATTGATATTATAGTATCGGATTATAATTGTGATATACGATGTATCGGATTAGCTACCGTCGTCGTCTTCGTTCGTCTATCGTCTTTCGTCGTGTTCGGCGTCGTCGTCTCTTCTAGCGGGGAGAGATATTATTAAGTGGGAAGTTATGAAGTTGGTTATTTTAGCGTTAGTGTGCACCTGGGCAATGTGTAGGCAGTGCGCAAAGTGGGTAGTGTTAGCGTCTTAGTATGCTAGCGTTGGGAAGAGCGAAGAACGAAGAACGAAGATCAGTTGTTTGGTGCAAACCCTTGGAAGCCAGGGAAGCGTCAAGGGTTCCAAGGTTGTTTTGAGTTTTACGTCGGTGGTCCTACATGGATATGGGATACACGGCTGCTTCGTACATGGGGCTACGTACAAAGTCGGGGGCAGTTCCAATACTAGTCGCCTCCGCTCCGCAGGGGAAGCCCTCTACGCTAACGCTCACTCCACGTCGTACCTTCCTACCGTAGCGTGAAAGCCCGGCGGCTACGCGCTTACAAGTAGCGAGGGGTGGAGATCATTGTGACAATTCGGGTTTAGTTCCAATCATGATACAAGTATACATATCCCGATGTACAACATCTTCGTTTTCTAACTTGCAACATTCAATGTTGAAATAACAATAATACTACCTTCATACTTGCCTAGGAATCTGTAATGCGAGATACACGATTACCTATTTCGTATACCAGTTAAAAAATGAGAAGAAGATGATTGGAGATGAGGTAAGAAAAAAACACAAGAAGACCGTTACAAGGGGCGAGGTAAAATTTTAACAAGAAACTCAATTGAATTTCCATCAATCAGCCCAATCTATGAATTGTGGGTTTAATTGGTCAGATATCCAATCCGAGATCCCCTTCTTCGTGTCACTAACTCTCGTCCCTCATCTCGTTTTCTCATCGGTGAACGGAAAAGAAAGAAAACAAAATTTTATAAATTTGCAAATTTGTGAAATTAAAGCACGCAAGCCATTTGTCTCAATTAGAAGAAGAGGATTGGACGAGGTTTTCATATTATTACTTACCTACCTTTATGGAACATCATCACTATCATTTTATTCATCACTACACACCACCATCGCCCATTCTGCCAACGAGAAGACGCGTAAGAAACCATCTTGGGATTGTGTAACTCTGCAAGTTGGCAATTATCAGGAGAGCGGATAGGCTGATAGGTAGATGGACGGGACGTGCGCATCATTCTATTTGCTTGATGTGCTGGATGCATTGCATTCGTCAACCCTCTCTGCCCTCTCTCCTATTTGGTCCAGTCCTAGAGCGAAGCACCCGCATCTGCAGCAATGCGACATGGTTTTAACCCCAATACGGGTTAGATCGGCATGACAAGTATCCCGAGACTTCGGTAGAAGTAGCCATTGGGATCTTGTCTCATACCTAGGAGCCGGTACCGTTATAGCCTACATAATTCATAGAGTTGCTTAGCATAGAATATCAAAGATACTCGGCAGATCTTCCCTTAAAGTAGAATATTAAATATGAATTGGATGATTTAAATGAAGTATGGTTGCTTTTAGACCTTTTTATCAAACACCAAAGGAGCCAACTCTGAGGAACACCGAATCTGAAAGGAACACCCTAGTAACATCGCGGAAGCATCAGATTTGGGTCGTAGGATCTCATGGTAGTAGTCTTCATGAGGCTCAAGTAAAGCTGAGCCACTACATCGAAAGCTAAGACGACGTATAAAACACCTCCTGCGTCTTTAGCTTCTCGCAAATTCCATCCACGTGTCTATGATTGCTACTAGCTCTACAATTTTAGACATTTCGGGGTTCACCGTTGGGGGCCGATTTTCAATACATTGATGACTTAGGTGTCTGATGTTCCTTGCAGGAAAGCGTCGGGACCATAGAGACATGCAGTTTAATTTGTCTTGATCGAGATTATCCCCTCGTCTTACATGCCTGACATTAGAAGTCGTGCAACCCAAAAACCCCTAACACCTTTATGATCGTTCCCCAAGCTAGACGAATACCTACCTAGGTGGTATAGGTACTCGAAGCAACCGACATCGCAGATCTTAGCCGCAAAACTCGCACAAGTAATTAAATACATATAGTAGGTATACTTCCATAACCATGACGCTGATCACATGACGATGCAATCTTTAAAGCTGGACATGTAGGATTCCTGACATTGCTGCAGGTATCCAGCTTCCTCGGCCGTGCCAGCCAGGGCATTATGTGGCCGTACTATACCATTCACTCTTAGGCTCTGCTTGCCCTCACCATGCCACCACCGGAGTTTTTGGATCCATGTGCGTTCTTCGTCGTCCGTGCTGATCTCCCACTTACCGGAGCTAACAGCCACTGTGCATTGATCCTTGGGAAAATGATATTCGGGTAGGAACACAGTCGTGGGAAAGTCGTTAGATTGGGCCGCAGTTCCCTCAATTTCCATAACAAACTCGCAATTCTTAAGGTCGAAGGTATAATCTATGATTGGCCCATTCGTACTTATCGGTGCAGGACGAACATAAGCTTCCGCGGCACGATATCCAGGAGCGTTAGTCAATTCGGGGTTTTGACTTGTCGGCGTTGACGCGATTGAGGGGTTGGTCAGAACACGCTTCAAATTGCCGGGAGTGACCGAGGTTTCATCCTCGACTTCTTTCCTGGTAGCCACTGATTTCGCGAGACTAGAAGTTGACCGGTTGAGACTAGGCGATGGTGGAAGAGGGGAAACAGGCAAAGTTTGGTCATCAACGGAAAAGATGGATAGATCCTCGCCATTCCACTGGTCACCTCGCTGGTGGTCATTCTGAGTATAGCGTCAGCAAGCAGGTAAGGGCAGGGGGAAATCGCAGGAAGTCTTACCGTCGCACAATACACCCATAATGTATATCCCTCCATCAATGCGCCTTCAACAGCAAAGTGATTCGCATCCATAGCCGCGGACTGACTTGAATAGTCACCTGTCTTGTAGGCGCCTTTATCATCCATGTCATATGGAATACCAAATTCGGTGAGAATACATGGGTGATTTCCCATATAGTCCTGACCTTCCTTTCTCATAGCCGCCAACTGTTCCTTGAAGCTGTTTCGGATAGCCGTCTCGCCAATCTTAATAGCGAAAGCCGGGTGCCAGTAATGGCCACGAAGGACTCCAAAAACGTCTACGTTCCATGTCCGATTCCACTTCTTGGTCATGAGCGTGATGCCATCATAGTAGTGGGGCGCGTAAACCATCCTCGGGTCGTCATCTTCGGTGCCTTTGATGCTTGGGGGCACTTCTAGGGTTGGTGGCTGACAAAGCATAATCGCATCTTTGTGGATATCCCTTATAGCATCCCGATATTTGCGATAGAATGCCATGAAGTATGTGTTTGTAAAAGTGTGGAAGTCCAGTTTATCGCCACTAGTCGGGTGTTTCTCGAAGTAGTCCTTTCGTAAAAGCATATCCGTAGATGGATCCCACACCCCATGTTGGCCCCAGAGACACTCACCTAATCTCCAGTCGGGATCTCGTTTCCAACCATATCGAGACTCGTCATAATCCGCCGGCAACCATGCCTGCTCGCCGTGAGGATCGATCAAAACACGCCCGGTCTTGTATGGACCTAAGCCTCCCATATCCCATGTATCAACCTCGCATGCTCGTCCGGACCCCGTGAGGATAGCCTGCCAAAGAGTTGGAGATGACCCCTTTTTGAGCTGCTGTTCACTTGGGATGACGCTTAAGTCGACGTGTCCAATCATCCCTCTGCCCGGCTCATTTAAACTCTCCCATCCGAAAACGATATCATTTTCAATACCACCAGCTTCGTGTATACGCTTCGCTAGATGCTTACAAGCACGTACGAAATGTCCTTGGAGATAGTCCTGGATATTGATGCCATCTATTATACATTTCGGGGCGAAATCTCGACCGGCGAAGAAGAGCGTAAATATCGTAGCTGCTGCTAGTCGGTAATAGTTCGTCGACCATATCATTTTTGGAAAATTCTCGGTGTCGGGATACGTATTGTGTACGATGGCGGCTTCGGTGGCGGCGAAGCTCTGGGGATTCAGTCCGCAGGCGTAAATCGTCCACATAGGGGCCCCAGATCCGCCACAATATCGCGACCACTAGTTAACGATTATAGTCAGTATATTTATGCTTACTCCATTTACATATCAACCAATTGGAAGCACGTACAACATCCTGATGAGGATCCATGAATATGTAAAATCCGTAGTCTTTAGCCGCCTTCAAAACATCAATCGTGTGCTGAATCCAAACCTCGTCATACCTCCCGGGCCCGGCAGCCTCGATGGCTTCCCACGTAAAGACATAGCGAATAGTATTGTATCCAAAGCGTTTCAAACGAGAAAAGTGTATGTGCGCGTCTTCTTTTCGAAAAGGTCGGCTGTGGAATTTAACATTATCACCGTCGAAGAAATCTTGGGTGACATGCGAAGGCACATCGGGTTGACTTGGTAGTTTAGCATCACCTGCAACATTGATGCCCCTTAGCAAGACATGTCTCCCATACGCGTCCTGGAAATGACCATCCTCAATAATTAATCGTAGTGAGGAAGCCATAGAGAGTCGTCCGGAAAATGAGAGTCCCAAGCAAGCAGGTTGTCGATAGATTGACGAAATTCTTAGGGAAATGCTGTCGTGGGATTCCAGACCGATGGTACGTATCTAGGGATGCATAACCCGGAACACGGATGTTACTACGTCCCCGAACCTAATAAGCCGGCGATGACGTCTGTGCAAGGATTCACTGTTGGGGATATTCACAGTAATTATACTGTGCGGATGTGGGAGAATTCGAGGTTGTAAACACTGTATTGTACAATAACTAGTACGGGAGATGGGGAGGTATAATCGGGAGAAACGAGGAGTTTTATAATCGAGATTTCTACTTGATATAGTACTGGGAATTAGTTATATCAAATGTTTATGTTTAAGCCGTCTGGATGGCAGATACTGGACATTGAGCACGCCGATAGAATGTGGGAAGAAGGTTTAAGGCAAATGGACAGCGCCATTAGCCGTCTGACAACTCAATATTCATGAGCTCCATGAACCGATATTCTCCCGACGTATGCCGTAATTCCATCAACCACGACCGCCATATGTTTAATAAGTGGATCTAGATTTTCCCGGAGTTTCGCCAGACCCACCTTTCCGTGCTACACCGGAAATCGAAAATCGTACATCAAACCAATAACTTTCAAAAAAATAAAACCCGATGATGAAATGACACTTGGGCAAACACACTCATGCCACTTCCGTCCCAGATCTTGTCTCCCCAAGACATGAACCCTAGCATCCCTGATGCACCTCCTTTAAGATGGCGAGCATCAAGGCCTCATTAAAGGCTATTAATGATGCCATTCGCCAACAAAAATGGGACGATGCTCTAGCACAGACCGAAAATGTCATCTCCAGAGATGCGCGTAATTACCAAGCGTACGTAGCCCTGTCTGCCCAGAACACCCTTATCATTCACCGCAGGATCTGACATTCGTTCTAGTCATGTGTTCAAGGCCTTTGCCTTGGACAAGAAGAACCAACCGGAACTGGCCGAGGTCGCCTACCAAACTGCTATCGGTATTCGATCCGATGCTCAAGCATGGCAAGGCCTGATCAAAATCTACGAGAAACAAGGTCCGAAGGCCGTCCAGAAATACCAGCTAGCTGCTCTCAAGCTTGCCGAGATATTCAGGGATGCCAATGAGATGTATAAGTGTCAAGACGTTGTAGACAAATTTATTGATTTCGCTCGTGCCCGTTGTGATCGAGCTCAATACGTCCAGGCGCTTCACCTCATCCTCCCCAATAGCCCTATCTATCCCGCTCTCGAGGGCCGCGTTCCCCACCCTTCTAAAACTTACGAGACAATAGCTCAGATCCTAGAGGTGGATGAGAAAAAACGCATCAATACGCTCATTGGCGAGCGCCGCACGAGGCTGGGTGCTAAGCTTAGTGAAGTCACCCTCGAGGTCAACAGAGAAGTCCTATGCCAGAGCGAGCTATGCAATATCTACGAACAGCTCACTCTTTGGGTTCAGGATGACGATGTCCGACGCCAATATGAAGAGAAATTACTCCAATTCCGATACGACCGCCTTCTGGTGACCCCGTTGCCTGATAAAGCTGCTGAACTTCAGGTAGTTGAGAAATTGGCGAATGACATGGTCATTATCAAACACCCTTATAAGCTTGCTTGGGATATAGCAGTTGAATGGCGTGACCATAAGGAGATCAAGGACTGGGACGTCAATGTACTTAACGAGTACTGTTCCTTCTTCCCGGATAGCGATCTCTATCGTGTCTTGACTGGGTTCATGACGAGCGACTTATCCCCTTTTCCGAGGAAACCAGCAGAGGCTCCAGCGCCCGCACAAACATCGGGTGCAGATGATGAAAGCTCAGATGATGAGGATGGCGGCGCACCGACCTCGGTAATACCGTATACCGATGAAGACAGGCTCATAATGATGACAGAGGGTATCTCGACTACTAACTCCCTGTTTGCTCATAGGTTGATGGGCGAATACTATCAACACTTGGAAGAGCACGAAAGCAATGCAGAACTTATGAAGAAGGCAATGAAAACCATGGTTGCGGAAACGGAGAAGACTGGGAAGATATTTACGAATGCCAACCAGTCCTTCATGATTTACTTAGGTACTGCGTTGGTGTTTTATCAATCTCCAAGGAACCATGGCGAAGCCAAGTTCCTTTTTGACAAGGTACTTGAAGCAGACCCCACATCAACATCAGCTATGATTGGTGTGGGTCTAATTTATGAGGAAGAAGAGGAGTACGACCAGGCGATTGATTTCCTAGGAAGAGCACTCGAGGGCGATAGTGGCAACCTCCGTGTATGCGCCGAGGTTGGATGGTTATATGCACTGAAGGGGGATTATACGCGCGGCAAGGCAGAACTCGAATCTCTTCTACCATTGATGCTACGTGCCTCGGTTTCCAAGGACTTACTAGCACAGACCCAGTATCGACTAGGTTGCTGTATCTGGAATATCGATACTTCCAAATCTGCTCGAAAGGACCGGAATGGTGCGTACGCATACTTCCTAGATGCTTTGAAAAGCAACTTAAACTATGCGCCGGCATATAGTAGTCTCGGCATATATTATGCAGATTACGCGAAAGACAAAAAAAGGGCTCGGCGATGCTTTCTCAAAGCAGTGGAGCTGTCCTCGGCTGAAGTCGAGTCTGCCGAAAGGCTTGCCCGATCGTTCGCCGATGACGGAGATTGGGACAGAGTTGAACTCGTGGCACAGCGAGTTGTGGATTCGGGCAAAGTTAGGCCACCTCCTGGGTCCAAGAAGAAGGGCATTAGTTGGCCCCTCTCTGCCTTGGGAGTTGCTGAACTAAATAAGCAAGATTATGCTAAAGCTATTGTGTCGTTTCAGCAAGCTCTGCGAATAGCTCCCGAAGATTACCATTCATGGGTCGGCCTCGGGGAAAGCTATCATAATTCTGGGCGATATATCGCTGCGACAAAAGCCATTCAAAATGCTCAGAGATTTGAGGAGCGTGAGGATGGCGACAAACTTGGCGGCACCTGGTTTACTAATTACATGCTCGCCAATGTTAAACGCGAGCTTGGCGAGTTCGACGACGCCATTACTCTATATCGTGAGGTCATATCAACCCGACCAGGCGAGGAGGGTGTCGCTATAGCTTTGATGCAAACCATGGTTGAAAATGCCCTGGATTGTGTTGAAAAGGGCTTGTTTGGGAAGTCTGCCGAGCTAGCCACCGAGACCTTATCTTTCGCCCTCACCGTACCCACTCACATAGCTACCACCTTCAATTTTTGGAAGACAATTGGTGATTCATGTTCTATCTTCTCTTCCGTCCAAAGTCATATACATGATTTCCCTACCGAAAAACTTCGAACACTACTCAATATAGGTTCAGATGACAAATCGGCTTATGCGGTATTAGAAGATATTGACGGCGTGGGTAAAGATGTCGTGCTAGCTGAAGGTATCTTTTCAGATGACGAACAACTCGGGGTGGATCTTACGCGAAGTCTTCACGCAACCATTCTAGCTCACAAACGAGCAATCTACGAGTCGGCTAATGATATTCATGCCCAAGCCGTCGCATATTATAATTTAGGCTGGGCCGAAAATCGAGCCCATCTCTGCCTTCCTCCCGATCTTCGTGTTCAATCTAGTCGATACCAGAAGGCTGCCGTTCGAAGTTTCAAGCGTGCGATAGAGCTTGAAGCCGGCAATTCGGAATTCTGGAATTCACTAGGCGTTGTCACAAGCGAAATTAATCCCTCTGTAGCACAACATGCATTCGTGCGGAGTCTATTCCTCAATGAACGAGGTGCACACGCATGGACGAATCTTGGTGCTTTAGCACTTCTTCAAAATGATATTCAACTCGCGAATGAGGCCTTTACACGAGCCCAGTCCAATGATCCCGATTATGCCCACGCATGGCTAGGCCAAGGCTTCGTTGCACTATTATATGGCGATCCCAAAGAAGCTCGTGGTCTTTTCACTCATGCAATGGATATTTCAGAATCATCATCGCTTTTAACCAGGCGTCAGTATCCAACGTCGTTATTCGACCATATTCTTACAAGCCCTCCAAATTTGGGTGTCACGTCTCTTATTCAACCACTATTCGCTCTTGCCCAACTGCGACGTCTCGATCCCCAAGGCCTTTCTTATCAGCACCTTTCAACGCTATATCAAGAACGAGCTCATGACATCTTGAGGGCGATAGATACACTCGAGAAAGCTTGCGAACAACTGGAGGCGAATTACGAAGCTACTGAGTCGGCGGAATCTCTCGCCCGGTTTGCCTTAGCCAAGACAGATCTCGCACGGTCTTACCTATCAGCCGGCGAATATTTGAAAGCTTCCGAGTGTGGAGAGATGGCCTTGCAGTTAAGCAGCGACGATTCCGCAAACGAACTCACAGCGGAGCAACGCAAAAAAGCTCGATTATCAGCACACCTGACTGTTGGCCTAGCCGAATATTTCTCCGAAAATGTAGAAGCGGCTGTGTCGTACTTCGAGACCGCGCTTGACGAGTCTGATGGTAACCCGGATGCTGTCTGTGTTCTAGCTCAGATGTTATGGGCCACAGGTACTGAAGAAGCTAGGGAAAGAGCACGTACTGTCCTCTTTGACGTGATCGAGAAAGACTCAAGACACGTACAATCCGTACTTCTATTAGGAATCATCGCGTTGCTAGACGAGGATGAGGAGTCGCTAGAAGCCGTAACTTCAGAGCTCCAAACACTCCGCACCAGTGATAAGGTTACTGATGCAGAACATTCTCAAATCGGAGAGGTATTCCGCGCTGTTGCCGTTTTGTCGGAGACTAGTACAGATGCCGATGTCCTTACCCAACTCCAAAACGATGTTATGTTATACCCACACCTACCACATGGGTGGTCTAGGTTGGCCGAGGTTAGCGGGGAAGAATATCCGGCAGACATGGCCCTGAAGGTGGCATTGAAGGCTATCCCACCCCGAGGTGAACTTGGCGCCGTGGACCTTGCTGATGCATACGCTGGGACTGGAAAAGCTGCCGATGCACAGACAGCAATCTTCATCGCCCCTTGGAATAGTAGTGGTTGGGAATCCCTAGGTAGTGCGGTTGCCTCCTAAAACCGCACTATCGGTGCTCGGTATGTTATAGAGCCCTTTTTTCTCCCTTTCGTTAACTGCTGTTATGATGATATATGGATACCGTAAATATGTTTCAAGACGGGGCTGAGATCTTCATTGATGCATAATCATCCAAATCTGATGCAGCATACCTCTTATCATGGTTTATCTTCAAGTTCATTTCTTAAATGAGTAACTAATCGAACTCTTCAGGCACAGTTGATGACACCGCCATTTAACATATCGAATATTTTGGGCTGCGAGTGAGCTGGGGACAAGATGGTTGGACGAGCCCTTCATGTTGGGAACGATGATGTTATGTACGAATGAACGATGACCATGGCTACTTCACATGATGGGAAAAAAATGTAAAGTTGAGTTTCAAAATATGATTCCGAGTCATCTTACCAAACTATAGGAGAATATCTCCAATCTTGTGATTCCCCCTTGACTAAGCGCAATTTCAAGCTAGCTATTTGCCATCCAAAATTTCCCCAAGACCCATTCCCATCCCAATCTCTCGTCAACCTTCCTAAACGTCTTCCGCAATCCCCATATACTCCATCACCCTCCACACACTCCACAAAACCCTCTGCATAGAAGCAAACCCAATCGTACTATCAAAAGCCCAATCATTCGACCAAGCCAAAAACTCATTATGCGCCGCATGGAACCTCCTCTGCAAACTCACACTCTTGTCCAGCCGCGTCTGCTGCCACTTATGCCACGTGTTCCCCTGTGCGGCCTTCTTCCCCTCCCGCACCTGCGGCTCCGTGATCTGCCACGCTTTCTGGAACTCGATCACTTGGTGGCCTAGCGGCTTCCATGCGCTCCCGTGTCCGTGCACGAGCTCGATCCCGTTTACGAGTGTTCGTAACGCTACTTCGAAGCCGGTCTTGTCTCGCAGAATCGCGGCGTCGATTTCTTTCTTGAGGAAGTGTCCGATTCTTTCTTTATACTTTGGGCTCGGATGGATCCCGGAAGGGGGCTGGCAGGTACATCCTGGGTGTGGGATGCAGCCGGCTGGAGGTGGACTGCTGGGGTGGTGAACGCCACCGGGTTGGGGAACGCTGCCGGGCTGGCAATTGCCGCTAGGTTGGTAATTGCCACCAGGCTGGTAGTTTCCACCGGGCTGCGGGGCACCACCGGGCTGCGGGGCACCACCGGGGTAGGAGGCGCCGCTAGTTGGAAGGTTGCTTCCAGGCTGCGGGGTATGATGATTGCCGCCAGGTAAGAAAGTGTCACCGGGTTGGGGAGTACTGCTACCAGGGTGCGGAGTACTGACAGCCGGAGGGGCTCCGCTGGGGTTGTTGCTAGGATGGGGAGTACCGCTTGGCTGGTAATTCCCTCCAGGTGGGCGATTGCCGCCGGGCTGCGAGGCACCGCCGTGATGGGAAGTGCCTCCAGGTTGAGAAGTGGCTCCCGGATGAGGGGTATCAGTGGGTTGAGATATGTTTCCGATATGGTTATTATCTCCTGACGGGGGAGGGCCAGCGCTAGGTTTGGCCGGTCTCTCAGCCTCAACTTGGTCGGGGACTACCTGAGACAATAGATCCTTCGCATACGCTGCGGCCGTAAGTGCTGCATATGCCTGCCAGTCTTTATTTCGGTGGGTATCTGCGTAGTCGCATATACCGCGGATGACAAGGCAAGGAAAGCTATTCATCAGACCCGCTGCCTCTCTTTCAAAACACAACACGCCCTTCTCTTCGAAGAACTTGTCTCTGAGGAGGGCGTCTCTCATCTCTTGGTTTGCGGAGGCAATCAAGCCGTAGTGGACGGCCGGGCCTTCCGCGGAACCTGAGCGTTCTTCTCGTTGTACCACTTTTGCGAAGCCATCCCCACAGACTTCCCAACACGGCCTCCTAGTATTAGGAGGGTGTACGACGGATGACTTGTATAACCTGTCAGTTCTTGGATCCGGCGACCTGAAAGATTTCTCAAGATGTCGGTTGGTGGAAATGATAGCCTGGACTTTCTCCTTGATCTGAGGGCCTCTAAGCTGATGTCTGGATCTGACGGCGGTCACGGCTGTTCTTAGCGCTCGAGGGGGTCTGTTCAAGTGTCCAGTATAGCGGAATTCCTGCTCTTGGATTGTCTTTCCATAGTCGTATTGAAACACGCCACCGTGGCCGCCATGCTCATTATCATTGGAACTAACCACGACATCGCCTAGTCTGATATCGTTCACGCTGCTTGGTGCGCCGCCACCAATCCCAACCAGAACGCCGATGCGGACGTTGCGGAAAGTGAGTAGCATATCGCTAGCAACATCTGCTGCGGCTGCTATCCCGGGTTCTCCATCTGGAAGGACAGCTATGGCGACGTTGTGCTGTCCAATACGGCCGAGGATGTAAGTGTTATGATCTCCTCTAGCTTTGGAGGAAAGGTTTTCATGCATATCGTCGAGAAAGGCTGCTGCAGCTGTGGCTTCGATAGAGCTGGCGCTGATCCAGCCCACGGTGTAATCGTTAGGGTCCGACATGATGATATTATGGGGAGTTTAAGGGATAAAAATATGTAAGTTATTTCGAAGTGGGCTTTTCAGAAGGGAGATCATTGATGGAATCTTGCAAGTATCGTGGAAGCTATCCTTAAGTGAAGAGGAACAAAGAGGTTAATATAGCAAGAACACAAGATACGGGACATGGCTTGCTTCTGGGCTAACTACCAATAGCTACCTACTTACGAGGATTCTAACTTGCCCCTACCTATGAACATGGCACGTGAAGAATGATATATTGGGCACCGAGCAGATTGATGTTGCCGCATGAGCTGAACACACGAAATCATGCACCAGAATGAGACGAGAACCAATACAAGTGACACTAAATTCAGCTTCGAAATATATTGGCCTTATTTTCTCGACTTATTAACCTTGGCCATGCGATAAAACTCTGGTTCATCTAATCAAACGTTCTTCCCCGCAGCTATTCCAAAAGGTCTTTCAGCGCTAGCGGAAGAAGAGATCAGGCATACACACGATTTATCTACAATGGGGATAGATAACGTCGATGTGGCACGAATAGATCATATATGTCTCATACCTTTCGCTTCAATTTTTGGGGTTATTGAGTCGAGCTGACAGAATATATTAATAACAACCTCATTTAATGTCATTAATAGGTCAAACAGGAATAGTATGGTACCTCCTGGGCCACTGGTCAGTACAACAAGATGACCAACAACAGAACTGTATCATAATACCTAGAAACAGTCACTGAGAAGGTATTATTCGGAATATTGGGACCTATCTACCTTGCCATCGCTTCTTGTGACAACCTCAGATTGATATAAACCAAAGTGGGGATCACCCTGGCAATGATCACCAGCTTACCTACCTAGTATAGAGCAAAGTAATCTGAGATCTTGAGGCTTATAAACTGGGCATCTAGGACTGTCTTAATTCCTGTTTGTTTCGTCGTGTTGCGTGTCGGAGTGGGTTTCATGCGAAGAATCACCCCTATTAGAATTTCAGTCGCGGCAATCCCGTCAGCTCCGCTAAATTTGCCAGCTATTAATTAGGCGCATTCTTCAGAAAATTGGATTCCCTTTAGACCAGCTGAAACGGTAGTTTTTGGGCCTCCTATTGGTGGTCATTCATGTAAGAGGCTATTCTGGGACTAGAGGCCGGTAGTCAAGTCGATCCGTGTGGGGGATCTATCCGGGACGGCAAGACCTGAGTCGATTACGGCGTCCTAGGTTAGGGCTCACTTGAATCGTGGAAAATATCTTAGTTTGACACCATCGAGGGACTTGTGAATTGCCATATCTGGGGAAGGACCAATATAGACCCTTTGGAGAGCTGGCTACCTAGGAAGTGTCCCCCTATTGTCAAGCTTACAAATGTGTTACCTAAGCGTTGTGATTAGTCATCGAATATTGCCAACAAGGACATTAACGATACGATTTGTTACTGGAGTTTCTGAAATTTCAGCCTTCAAATCCATCCTTCGAAGTACGAAGTCCTATGAGTGAAGAAATATTCGTAATTGTGAATTCAAACGTTACGTTTCGATCTCGAGGAGTTGTTTTAATAAGGGAGTGAACTTTCATTTAGAGAGGTTAGCCAGCCTACTATGGAGGTACTAGGTATTATAACTTTAGCGCCTACTAACGCCATAATTCTAGCGCATTACAGCGACCTCCCGAATTGATTCAGCCAACATTACCAACTCTACCTAAGTAGGTAACCAACAGAAATGAATGTATGTGCATCTAATGCCTATAATTTTGGTAATTATCTGCCAAATTTATTGAAAATTCCAAAGAAATTTGGATTAAGCTTAGGTATGGAATCAATATGCCATATATATAAACCTTAAGGTATATCAGCCACGTCTCTTGCCCAGTGTGTAATTAGATAAGCAATCACTTGATACTGTACTATTGAGTTACAGAATTAATGGTGATCTGTTCGCCTATAAATTCACTGAGAAATAGCGGGCACCCACCAGCCTTCAGGTGCTCAGCCATAAAGAGGAATGCCACACGGTGCGACGGGTTCTAAAATATACGGCTTTAGCCCTTGAGCCCAGTTGTGTTGTAATCCACCACTATATTTGCGGGTTTTGGCGCATTTATGGACCTGGTCCCGCTGTATTTTTGAACCTGAGCCTGAGCCGGGGTGCCTGAGGCTAAGTGAACAACACATTGCCAACTACTACATCATTATCCTGAAAATGCCTCAGTCGTCTCGGCGCTCAGGTCCTATCAAACGGAAAAATCCCATCTAATAATATCCGATTGCGTTTGATCTTTTGAATATCAAATTTAGGTAATATCAACCTTAGAAATTACCTACCTAATTCCATAGTTATAGGTAACTATAATACTGGCTTAGGGAAGGATCTCCACCTATCTAGTACAAAGCAGTAAAGGTGATAACCCGTTGTAGATGCCCACACTAATCCAAAAGACTAGTTCTGAGCTGAACCTATGATCAGCAAGTCACATTTCCTTACCAAGGATACGGTAGGCTATCAAACACGTAACAACTGAGGGGCTTCAAGTGGGAGGTGCCACGATGCAGACCTAACAGAATAACGATGTTACCTGAGAAGTTGTTACTAACTCTCCTAGTTGAAGGTCATCGTACCGAAGACATATAGGCATTACTCTTTCCTTACGGTGTTTTTAAGTCACAGGATACCTAGGTACGCTCTGATTTGATAAAACTCCTTCTACCTACCTCGTAAATCTTATTTTATGATGGGTTGTTGTTTGTCGAAACGAGCTATGGAAAGTTCTCAGACGGATGAAGGGCATGAACTGGCTCCAAATTATACTGTGAATACGAACGCGAAAGCCACTAATACCGCCAAAACGACTACTACTCTATGTGTTCGGTGCGCCGAAATCGACTGGAAAGATATCATCCGTCAGGCGTGCGCGCCATCAACGCGACGAATCTGCGAACTGCCACCCGAAGACGACATTTCTGAACTATCAGAGAATGATGAGCAACAAGAAAGATATTTCCTCAAGATCGAGGTGCCGACGCTGACAAGGGACTGTCCAGTATGCATCCTACTTTCTGCCCTTGTCAGAGAAGAGGAACGTGTTGGTAACAAAGTTGAACAAATTATGTTTGGGAGAGAGGATGAAGAGGGATTCTATGGTGATGCAGATAATCTACAGCCAACGATGTATGGCACCGAGAACTACCAAGATCCAAAATTATCGAGCGCCAACCAGTCATGGCCCACCGATTGTGTTCTAGGACTCGCGATACAGGAATATTCGAGCGATTCCAATGACACTGCAAGAACTCTCAGGAAAATAGATCCGGCGAAAATCAATCTCACACTTCTTAGGAATTGGATATCGACATGTCATGACCAACACGGAACAGATTGCAACCCTGTCGAATCCGAACTCGTACCGTCTCTCCGTGTTATTGATGTACGTACAGGAACCATCGAGGAGGCCAAGCCAGGATGCAAATATGTCGCCCTTAGTTACGTCTGGGGTAGTTCGCAGCCACCCGCAAATAGCTCCCAGAGCAGTCAAGGTAGAGGCCTGCTAGAAACAGCCCCAGAGACTATCAAGGATGCAGCATGGCTTACCGAAGAGCTGGGGTATCAATATATATGGATTGATAGGTATTGCATTCCGCAGGATGATCCTCAGGCCAAACATGATCAGATCCAAAAAATGGATTTAGTATATCAACAAGCGGAATTGACTATTGTTGCCGCTGCAGGTGAAGGACCAGAGTTTGGGCTTCCAGGGGTTGGCAATAGAAGACGTGACGCACAGCTCTCAGCGAAGGTGAGTAGCGATACATACTTGGTATCAGTTGAGCAAAAGTGCGAATCATTTTTCCAGTCGAAGTGGATAACCAGGGGCTGGACCTATCAAGAATCCATTTGTTCGCGAAGGTGCATCGTGTTCACCAAAAAGGAGATGTTCTTCCAATGCAAGGGCATGACTTGTCGGGAGACAGTCCGTGAACCAAGTAATAAGGACTTCTTCATCGCTAGCCTGAATGAAGGTCCAATCAGCCTATTCGGACAGAAGCTGAGCGCGTGGGACCATATTGAATCGTACTGTCGTCGGGAATTGTCCTTCAACAGTGACGCGCTTAACGGAATTCTCGGGATACTACGACTGCACCAGCAGAGCCAAAACCCAGTATACCACTTTTGGGGAATGCCTTTCTCCGCCGACAAAAACAATTTGGTCGAACAGGCTTTCCTTGCGAGCCTTTGCTGGGAATCTACAATTGAATCGGAAGATACGATGGAGATTAAAGAACCTCGCCGTGAAGATTTCCCAAGTTGGTCTTGGACCGGATGGAAAACCCCGATCAGACGGTTTTTTAACGAATACAGCAGGCCTCCGAAATTGGCTGGCACTGTTTCAGTGCATCTCCAAGATGGGCCAATCTTAGGGTTTCAGGATGCTTTTGATCAGAATATCAAGAAGAGTGATTTTAGCAAGCTTTCAAAGTTCCTAGACGTCGAGTGTTGGACATTTGAACTCGAATCGAATATCCGAGAACCAGGCCCTAATGATGACGGATCATCGTTGGCATGGGTTTGGCCAACCGGCACATCCCAACTAGATGAGAACTCTAGGGCAGCAATTTCACTAGCTCTTGATGGGGATATCTCAGAAAAGATTATATCCGCTAATCCAGATGGGCACTTTTTGGCTCTTATTTTCGAGAAAAGGAAGAAATTCTCACAACCTACACACCATCTAGAATCAGGAGGGCGGTCAAGCGAAGGCCTTGCGAATTTTGTGATAGTCGCTATGAAGAATGGAGACCACTATGAACGAGTCGGGTTTATTAAACTCGATGATAGTGAGCTATGTCGAATGTCCACCTCGACCTTCAAGCGCATCACACGAAATGGCATTTCGATCCATTCGGATAGTGATGGTTCGATATATTCCCTTGAAGGTGACGACGACAACGACGACGACAATGACGATAATGATGATGATGGTGATGATGGTGATGATGACGACGACGATTATGATGACAATGATGATGGCGGTGATGGTGGTGGCCGTGGTTTGGGTGGCGGGTATGAGAGTTTCTATATAAAGGATTGGCTTCCAAAACAGTTTACATGGCAACGAGTTAAACTAGGCTGATATGCGGTCTGCTTACCTAGTATTTACCAAGGGAGAAGCATGTGGATGGGCAAAGCTATCCATAAGCCGCATCAAATATAGAGTCAATCCCATGACAAAAGACACCTTCGGTCGATCAAGCTTCGGGGCTATGTATGGAGTGTTTTTGAACAACACCCAAACGGAACTTTATATCACGTCAAAATGTATTTAATGCCCTTGACAAGAAATGAATCTATAGATACGGAATGGTTGACCCCTTTCGATAAATATTACTAATAACAAATGATTAGTCAGCAAAGCGAAATTTGGGTGTTCGTTGTATTGCGAAGTAGAATTTAGTTCCTACTCAAAGCTATTAAAAGTTGACAGAAGTTACTTCTTACTTAGAATACTTACCTATGAAATACCTAAGATTAGGTTTTCTATCCACCTCTCCTACAAGAATGAACAACTTGAAGGGGAGTGGGCGACAGTGAATTATGTAAGCTTTAAGTCAGCATCGAGTATAAACTTTACTCAGCAATGACTAAGCAGCCCCTTTTCCACTAAGCGCTGCGATGTGCTGGATTACTTAAGTGAATATTAGTAAGCGTTGACAGGATAATGGTAGTAAAACATGATTCGCATACTTGGAAGAGCACAACTCTTGTCTTAGCACAATTAATTACTATCTAGCAACTTTTGATAGTAGCCTAAGGAGCATCATCTTATTTACATAGCCACCAGCAAAAGGCCAAGTGTGCGGGCGACCGCGCGTGGTATCTCAAGACCAGCGAGAAGTCCACGCTAATCATGATTCGTGAACTTTTGCCATTTGACGCCTTGCCCCTATTATTCCGAAATAACATCCACGTATGAAACGCACTTGTCTTTGCCACCTAAATTGGCAAACCTCTGCAAGTATTCTCCATTGTCGCAGTTAAATCGTGCGAATAGATGAATCGTGTATGGAAACGTTCGACCAGGGTGTTTTCACCTGAGGCAAGATTGGAACTTCAAAGCCATGCGTTATTGAAGTGTTGTAACCGGTCTAAATAAAAGCTCCTAGGAGCTCCAGTATTCCTCGACTTAACGTCTCATGTTCATGCTAAGAACAGTAGGAACAGGCACCGGAGTTTCCTTCTTCGGTTTGAATGCAGCCTTGTCATTCTTAGCCTTGTTCGTAGGCGTTCGCACCTTCGAAGGTGTATCAATAGCACCAGGCGCCGATGCCGATAGCGTTATGGCAGGCGGTTGAATGGGCGTTTCCTTGGATTTAGAAGTTTTCGGTCTCTTCGCAGACTTTCCTTTGGATTGCGATCCCTGCTCAGCAGTTGCTTGATCAGCTCCTTGTCCGGGATGTTTCCTCTTCAGCTGACCACTGACACCATCCGACTTTTTGGATTTCTTTGAACCGTTTGATTGGCTCACCGAGGCTGAGGAAATACCCTGCCACGTGGGGGTGGGAACACCGATGGGGGTGAAACGAGGTTTCAGACCCTGGGGCTGTTCTCTAATAGCCTTCGGAATCGGCGCATAATCATCGGTGGCTGTAGCACTAACAGCTCCACCGGGGCCGAATTTAGCAATCCGGCGGAGATGAACGGTCGAGTCAATACCGCGGTTTACTGATATTTGTTAAACAATGCATGTACACGAGGAGTAATGTTGTAAGACTTACGAGCAGCGTACTTATCACCACCCTGTGACGGAATGAGAAGCTGAATCTGCGTGCTAGTAGCATGGGATTCTAGATCTAATCCATAGTCATCTCCTTTGTGATTTAGTAGAGCTTCTCCGGTCGTCGCCTTGGATAGGTCGATTTCCATATCCTTCAAGACAGTGATTGGCAATGAAGCTGGCGCCGTGAAATACCAGACTTGCTTTCCTTCTAGGTTGGTGTTATTGAAAAAATCAGCAACTTCCTTGGCGGGGTTGTCAGAAGAAGCCTTGCGAAGAACGAAATTGGAATTGTCAATCCATGCAGGCCGAGAGCTGAAGTTGCGTTATTGAATTAGAATATTTCGTATATATTAAGGTGAAAGGGAACTTACACTTGGGAAGCCGAGCCTGGTGCAGGAGTGTTGCCATTAACAATTACCTCGTTATTATCATCGACATCCATGGCGTCATGGGTAGATTCCTCATCAGCATCGGAGGAACTACTATCGCTATCCTCGTCGCTAGATGATTCAACCTCGGCAGGTCGCTGTGCACTCGTCGCTTTATCTCTATTTCCATCTTCACTTTCATTCTCACTTTCGTTCTCACTAGAAGTGTCGCTGTCTGAGTCGCTACTATCTTTATCACCATTCTTTTCGGGGGATTCTTGTTTCGTAACAGTGTTCTGCGTCGGAATGTCGCTTGAGTCTGAGCTCTGAGAAGAGGAGTCGGAATCAGAGTCGGAATCAGACTCAGAATCCTTAGAATTGAAGGTCGTCGATTTGGTAGGTTTGGTTGTAGGTAATTCGTTCGAGGTTGACGTAGATTTGGTAGGTTGTGACTTCGTGGGAATGGATTGTTGAGTACTCTTGCGCTTGCTTTTCTGCTTCTCCGTATACTTCTTCCTAGCAGCATCTACATCAACCTCACTATCACTGTTGCTTCCATCGCTGTCATCTGAGCTAGTGTCATCACTATCTCCGCTATCACTAGTCTCGGCGAATTTCTTGGTATTTTGTAATTTACTAGAACCGGGTGTAGAATTCGTCGCAGCCTTTTGGTCGCGGACGCGTGACACCAAAGAGTCAAGAGATGCGATGGGGGCGCGAGCGCGATGCTTCGCCATCGTGAATATCCGCACTACTACACAAGTAGTGAACGGAAGTGAAGTTGAGTATGTGAGCGCAGAATGTGAAGAGAAGCTGACGAAATGTTAGAAAAGGGGTAGTATTTTGGTGTGTAAGATCTATATCGATGTATCTGAACAACGATGGTGTTCCGATGGCGAAGACGAAATTCGGGTAAGGTGGAATTGAAAAGGTTGAGATCGAAAAAGGATTGAGAAGTGAAAATTGAATGAATTGACTTCACGCCATGATTGTTCAAAAGTTTTTTTTGGAGCTTTCCTAATGCTAACGCGCGAGTTCACGGGTACGTACCTAGTACTGATTACGGCGCGCTATCAGCCGCGGGGCTGGGGAATCGATGTGGGGCACATATAAGTTCCATAGTGAGCTTTTCGGAGTATCATATATCCGATCCGTCTACTCGAAAATCCAAGCGCACAAGCAGAATCCCTGCTCGCTCCTTTCGCAGTGACTGGCCAATCAAGAAAGAGTACTCAGCGATTCCAATCTAACTATATATGGATTAGCTCGTAGAAATTGAACATCCATTTTAGCAAAGCTTCATACTTCACACTTCATTATCTCATACTTCAACTAAATTTTTATATATCGACTAGCACATAAACCACAATGTCTACAAATAAACGACGGAAACTCAATGTGGCAGAGCCCCAACAAGGTGAGTTAGAAAGACAAAAAGACTTCATTTCAAGCATAAAAATATTCATATATTATTAGCTGTGAGCGCCTTTGCTCTTCGTAAAAAGCTTCTCAATCAGCAAACCACACCTACACCAACCGAGGAAACGAATGATGAAGGAATAAAAATAGCCTCATCTCCATCAAAACCATCGCAGAATAAAAAGATTAAGGATCAAAAGAAATCGAGAAAGAACCCGAGTACCCAAACGGCAACAGGCCATGAGAAAGGATCAAGCACTCCTTTGAGAGATCTACTACCGGTCGAATTGCCCACAGAAAACTGTGCTGTTCCTAATTCTTCAGATGCTCTCGCAAGGAACTCATCGCCTCTCACCACTGATGACGGAGATGAGGTCCCAGTTCAGCCTGTCAAATTTTTAGCTGCCCAGCTCTCCAGCTTCAAGCCAACCAAAAGCAACTACCAAATGCGAAAAGATGGGAGAGTGGTGTTGAAGCTATCGGACGGAGATGTGCGTCTAAAATCACCAAATTTTGAGACCCTAACTAATGAAAGCAGCGTCTAGTGATTCTTGGTAGCTATGGCATACGCGTAACATCTGGTGAGATTACTATTAACGGTGCCACACTGAGAAGCACGGAGAAGGCGTGTTGGGTGGAGGCACCACATTGCCATGCGCTTCCTGTTATCAGGTGCTCGGACAGGGCGACGACCGAATTACTCCCCCACCAAAATGCCGTAGCGATGAAAAGTCTCGGAAAGCTTTCGCCTTACTTTAGAAGACTTTGGAATGAGCCCGATCTATCGTCTCTAGCCAAGAAAACTTCGAGGACCGAAAATACGTATCAAATAGTAAAGTTTCCTCGAAACATCATTTCAAATTTTTTTTTTCTAATACAATTGTAGCTATATACGTCAGCAGATGGTCCGAAGAAGACGTTTATACAAGATCTTGTTTCCCCACCGGAGTGGAACAGAGAGCTCGCTAGGTTGGTTAGCATGTCTAGCTCAAAGCCTTGCTCGGTCATGATCACTGGACCGAAGTCTTCTGGAAAATCTACTCTGGGTAAAATTCTTGCGAATCGACTTATCACCGATCAAATAAGAGGTTCCAAGCCCCAAGCTCACTGTGGGGTAGCTGTACTCGACTTTGATCCTGGACAGCCCGAGTATTGTGTTGCCGGTCAAGTTGCCTTGGTGCTCCTCACCGAGCCTGTTATTAGCCCCTCGTTCTGCCGCCCATTACCCAGCTCGGAAATCCAAATCATTCGATCCCATGCCTTGGCATCTACATCTCCCGCTTCAGATCCTGATCTATACTTAGAAGCAGCTATGGACCTTATGACGCATTATCGAAATACCCTAGGGCGTTGTCCCCTCATCATAAATACCCCAGGATGGATTCAAGGAACAGGATTAGACTTATTAACTTCCCTAATTACGAATTTACGGCCTACTGAGGTAATATATATGTCCGAGTATGGCCCCGGTGAAGTGGTAGAAGCGCTTCAAGAGTCCTGCAAGGTGTCCGGTTTCTCTACGCTGCCGTCCCAAGCTTCGCAGCTTACTTCAAGGACAGCGGCGCATTTCCGTTCGATGCAAACCATGGCATACTTCCATGCTGAACCTGGAAGTACAAGTGATGTTGACCGTCATATTCAATGGAATACAAAGCCGTTGACAACTATTCCTCCTTGGCAAGTCAGCTATATTGGACCAAGTCGCGGTATTTTTGGGATCATGTGTTATGATTATCAAGCGCCTTTGGATTTATTAGCTGATGCAATTAATGGCACGATTGTCGCGATTATCGGGGTTGAAAATGCGAAGGCGTTTAGGCATACTACAGAACACGAAAATTCATCTAATGATGCAAGAATCAACATGATGGACATCGATGACAACGATGCGCAGAAGTCGATGTCATCGTTCTCAAGCCTATCAGAGAAAATAATTGCGACGACGCCAGAGGGCATTCCATTTATCGACACTACGAACGTAATTGCCCTCGATCCTAGATTTTCGCATTCTCTTGGTCTAGCCCTTGTTCGTGGCATCGACGTCGAAAATGGTACACTTCAACTCCTCACGCCGTTGTCGTTGGAAAGTATCGAAGAGGTGGCATCTAAGGGAGGCGAAATTGTCCTTATTAGTGGAAAATTCGACACACCGAGCTGGGCTTATACCGAAGACTTATACTATCAGACTTACGGAAAGGCGGATGATGGACCTGATGCGGATGAACCAATGGATGCTACTGAGGAAAATGTGGATAATACCTCCGACGCCGAAAATGGTGATATCGGAGTTACTGACACAGCCCCGGTTCCATGGATAGAGGTGTTGCATGGGAACCAAAAACGTGGCGCTGGATCAAAAGTGTGGAGGGTAAGACGGGACCTGGGTCGTGGTAATGCTACCTAATACGTACCGCTCAAGTACGATATCGAGATCTATCATCCCATTCGCTCGATTCACTAGGTTCCACCGCTTCTGCAGTTTCCAAGGACCATATGCAGGAACGGGATAAACAGCTGCAGGGACGTTGTGTTGGGATACGAAGCTAATTCATTGGCCCCATCCCTGCGGTACTTCACCGATGTGCATATGCTACTATGTACATGACATTCATTTTTTGCCAATCATATACCCTGAATATCTCACACCTTACACAACATGCACAGGGGTGGACGTAGTCCATGTACCAGCACAGTCGAATTCCCGGGTTTTCAAACTGGCTGCCCTCACTCTCTGCATAGAACCAATCATCGGGGACATTCACGATTCGGGATCGATACATGCATATATGTATCCGTAATTTGTTACTCGACTAATATTTACAATTAAAAAATAATCGCATCCTTACGACCATTAATCCACCACTCCAGGCGGCAACACCGCAATATAATCCAACGGCGCCGTCTCGCGACCATTCGCTTTAGCATCAACACGCACGACATCGCCCTTCTTAATCTGGATCCCCTTAAACGTAATGCGCGTCGCAGAGTGTCCGTCAATTCCCCTCGTCAGCGTGAATCCTAGTTTATCCTCATTATCACCAATCCATTTCCCAATACTCTTCTCGTTCAAAAATAACTCGTACGAAGCTTTCCCTTCGTATAGATCGTAGTACGCGACGGCAAGATCGTACACGCCGTTGGGGTAATTGATCGTTGCGCTTGCGCTGGCGGCAGTCGAGTTCCCGATGGTCTGCACGACGCGCAGGTTCGATGCGACCTCGAACGGGGTCACGGCTGTCACGCGGTAGTTCTTCAACGTCATGTTCTCCGCTTCGATTCGCCATGGGTGCTTGTTCACTCGGTCGTGGTCGTCGGCGATGTTCGATAGCGAGTTGTAGAATTGGTTGATGCTATCCCGCCATACGATCGAGTGGCCCGCTTGGTAGGTTAGTCGGAACATGGTCTCGTCAAAACGCTGTTTGTCGACGAGGTTGCGGAGCTTGGACCATTGAGTCGGGAAGGTGGCGGCGGTTTCGGCACCAGCGTAGTCTAAGAAATGTTAGTTTGGAGATAAGGATGGGAAAAGGGGGGAGTACATACGCGCATCATAGAAGTGCTGGATAACCGTCTTCCCGCTCTTCAGCACATGCGTATACGGAACGTGGTGGAACCACAATAGCAGGTCATCGGGAGTCGTCTCAATTTCCTCGTACATAGCAGCGACTTCATCGGGGTATTGACCAGCGTAGCCGGTGCCGTTATATACAGTGCGGTCCATTCCGATGCTGAAAGCATCAGCTCGCGTCCACTGCCCCCACGGATTATTGTCCATCGACTGCGGGTTCGGGCCATAGTGGGGGCCAGTAATATCCGTCAATGTCTGGATTCCCAAGTTACCCGTATAATTCTCATAGGCGGGCCACGACTCCATCGACATGCGCGTGATGGTCTCACGCACAGTGTCGTCCAGACCGAAAGTCAATCTTGTCCAGTCCTCCAGGATCTCTACTTCATTAACCGTGGGATCCCAGGCGATTCGTCCATACGCGTACAAATTCGACATGGAAAGATGCGTGCCAAGCCAAGTGGCGTTCTGCCCCACGTTGACAACTGCCGCATAACCAGTGAGTCCCTTCTTGTTAAAGCGCTTGCCAGATAGGATATCAGTGCCAATAACAGATTTCTCACCGTCGACACGCATATCGAAATCCAAGATCGTCTTCCATAGCGGTGGTAGGTAGACTAGATGACACTGCTGGCCGAGGTACTCTTGCGTGATCTGCAACTCGATCGCCGAAGCCGTCTCCTTCAAGTGGGCGAATAGCGGCGACACCGGCTCCCGCACCTGGAAATCAATGGGTCCGTATTTAACCTGGACAATCACATTATCATCGAACTTACCATCGAGCTCGCGGAAGAAATCCACAGCCGCGTTCGCACGGTCGTCTTTCCAATTCGCCTCGTTCAGGGTCTGGTAATCGTACACGAAGGCGCGGAACATAACAACGCCACCATGCGGCTTTGCAGCACGCGCAAATAGGTTGGCTCCGTCGGACAGTGTGCGGTTATACGTGATCGGACCCGGCTGACCCTCGGAGTTCGCCTTGACGAGGAAACCAGCGAGATCTGGGACCTGTGCGTATAACTTATCCGCGATGTTATTCCACCACGCGATGACGGACTCGTCAAGCGGGTCGAAGGTGGACAAGCCGCCGAAAGTCTGCGGTGATGCGAAGTTCAGCGATATCCCGACCTTGATGCCCCACGGCCGCATGGCGTCGGCAATGCGCGCTAGCCCGGCCATGTTCGCGTCGCTGAGCAGGATGGCGTTCGCGTTGACGTTGTTGATGACTATGCCGTTGACGCGGATCGAGGCGAGCAGACGGGCGTACTGCTCGACGCGCGTCACGTTCGAGAGGACGGTGTTGTTCTTGAAGAAGATAGATAGCCCGGCGTAGCCGCGCTCGATCGTCCCGTCCATATTATCCCACTGGTTTATCCATCGGATCGCGGCGCTAGGGTTCGTGGCGTAGGCGACTTCGGTGAAATTCGCCTGGGCTAGCATGGACAGGTACTCGAATGCGCCGTATAAAGCACCGCGCTCGTTTTGGCCTACAATCTCGACGTTGTCGCCTTTGACGCTGAGCCAGAAGCCATCTTCCTCGAGCTCTGGGGTCTCAATTGCGATACCAGACTCGTTGAAGGATGCGACTGTTCCAATGACCACGGAAGCGCATTCCTTGACCTCGTGTGATACATCAAGTTGCTTTCCGAGAATCCCATTGATGCCCTTTTGTAACTCTTGACCAGCGGTGTAAACAGGACTCGATTCGGTCGTGTTGAGAGCGATGATAGCAGAGGGAACAATAGCTTGCCTAGCAATTTGGTTGGGTAGTCGAGCGTATCGCAGCCACGCATTCAAACCATCCTCTGCAGCCGCGAGGCCGAGGGTAGCCAAAAACCAGAGTCCGCGCATTCTGTCGCGCCTAGCTCAATCGACCTCGTTCTGTGTACGCGTAGAGATGAGCTCGGTCATTGCAAAGGTATCGGGATCTTCCTGTTTATACGTAATTTTCAATCCCCCAACTTAAGTCGAACCCCGTCTGGGGAACTCGCGGATCCACATTCTCCAACAGCCTGGTCAATCGCGTTTAGGCTAAATGCGTCGGTATGAATAACCGGTTGGTGGACCTTGCCCAGGCGACGGCATGGTTTGCGGGAGGTTTTTGGTGGTTGTCGGTCTATTTGCACGCGAATTGTGGAGCCTCGACCCTCTTCTTCTCCGCAGTTGCGGAAATGATGGCCCTGATGGGATTAATCTTGGGGTAAGATAGCCGATTTCAGGGGTCGATGTCTTGGACGCGTACCTAGTAGATCTGGCTATTTATTTCAGCTGCGGAGACAGATGGGGAAATTCGGTCGAGGTATACTAATTTCTATCATTTATATCTTGGCCTGGGAAGACCTAGTCGCTACCGTTTCCTTTAGCTCTATGTCCAAGAAGTTCGAGAATCGACGCACTCTACTGCTAATTAATAAACTTACGTCAGACTCGGCTCAGCGCTTCGGGTCCGTCGCCCTTCGACTCTTAAGGGAAATTTGTGGCGTTATGGACATCCCCAAGGCCGATATTAGGCGTATGATTGGCGCGATGACAGGACGATAATGTAACGCGATAACCAAGTTTACTCCGCAGAGCCTCGGATGGGAAATTCTACTTCACGAAATACATACAGTCTCTCTTCAATCCCATTCCATATTTCTATCGCGCTGGGAGTCTACCTAACTTAACAATGAGAAAATATAGTTGATTGACCTCTTCTTGGGGTCAATTGAGATATGCCAACTTTTCTAACGTCCACCTCACTCGAATCTCCTCGATGTCTTCGACATAAAGGCCGTTGGCCTCGTTTTGCCATCCTTCCCCTGTTTATCATCTCAAGTCTAGTTGCAACAGCAACCTGCGCCTGCGCAAGGAATGATGCAGGGGTATCATGATAAAAGATGTGCACCACCAAGCCGATAATGACTCGACGAGACAGTACAAGAGCCCAATAAGATAATCCAAAAACTCGAAGTATCCTAGCAGCGCCCTGCGTCGCTTTTTTGTGGCGTTTGACAGAAAGTGGTACATTTATATCGTGACAGTTCATTCCGGTCATTCGATCCTCCAGGCATCGTGTTGTTCAAGCGAAAAAAAGACAGGAAAAACAAGTGTTCAAGTATGGAAAAGGCAAAAGCCCCAAACATGTACAGGGCAGCAATTGAAAATAGGAATTAGGGCGTGAGAAAATCGTGAGAAGAATCTAGTTCGTGGATATAGCCCTGCTATATCATTCCTCTTTCCCTAGACATATACGATTAGCGTTTACGAAGAATAGGGATATGGTAGAGTTAGAAGAAGCTTGTGGGAATGGGATGCTAATGCTGAGTCTTACTATTCGCTAGATTAGGCACAGTTCTCTCTATGGCGACGAACCTGGCCCTTGTCTTGTCGACGCCGTTGAAGGGTTATCGAACTGAGCCCCGACACCTCGGAGCATGCCTGATGCTGGCGCTGCTATTGCCGCGCCGTTGGCTGGTTGCTGTCCATGTGGAAGATTGCCAACTGAGTCAAGGATACTCGAATGATCCCTTTTACGCGACAGGCCAGCCTGGGAGGAATATGCGAGACCCAAGGTATTCACCGGCATTGTGGTGTCTTGGCAGTACCGATCAACTTGGGCGATGGCATATGATGGGTCGGGTGCGTGCTTAGAATCAGAGCCAGACCTTCAAGGACATTAGACTGATATCGGAAACATAATAACGAAGAAGTTCCACGCCGGAAGCCCGACTGGAACTGAGGTGCGCTTGCAGACACTACATACCCAACAGAACCATTAACGGCTTCGTCCGAACGAGGTGACGCCATATCTAGATGACCACAATACAAATTTAGATAGGAAGGGAGTCGAATTAAACCAGACTGGATGACGACAACGTTTAAACGGAAACAGGACAAATGGAAGAGAGGGGAAACAAGATGTGAATAATTGAAATCGGTCTATGGTTAGATTTATACGAGGAAACGAGAAGCAACAGGAGAAAACAATCGAGGAAAAACCAGGGGATTTTAAACAGACAGCATACCGAAGTATGTGTCACGAAAGTAGCTGGTGGGAGAAAGAGAAATACCTGCTGGAAAGCCATTGTGCAGCCCGCAGCAAAATACTCAGGTCTAGAAAATATTCTTCTCTGGCACCATTCGCACCGTACAAGATGATGCAGGACCATGGGAGGACGACATGTTGGGGAGTCTTCAAGACCCCTGCCGGTTCTGGAAGGATCTTGCGGTAAGAGGTACATGTATGTAGGTAGGTACCTAGGTACAAGGGTTGATTTTAGTACCTATCTACCAGCAAGACACAGCTTAACTGCCAGCTGTAATTCTAGCTGCTGCATTATTTTAAGTAAATCATCGATTTTAATTACTTATTTCTTTCGATAACCAGCCTCAAAAGCTTTACTTCTTTTATAGGTATATAGGTATTTATAATTATTTCTCGACCATTAATAATTTTAACTGATTTTTATTGAATTCTGGATGGGGATGGATTGGTGTGTGGTAAAATCTTTAAAAAGGCACTTCTGGGTCGTAGCTCAAGAGAAGTGCGCGTGCCAAAGCAGGAGATAGGACCGCGTCACTCACTGTGAGCTGATTTGTCGGTCCCCTATATTTCCCTTAAGAGGTTGCCTTGTTGCCTTGAAACTAACAATTCTGCCACAACACCACATTTCATCGCCAATTAGGTACCTTGCTCTATATTAATTTTAAAAATCGAAAACTTTCTCGGTTTGAATAGAAAAAACCAACATTATATTAAATATTTCTTCTCGTTTATCTTAAATCACAACTTCAACTCGTAACATCAATCATAACTTAACGCGGCAGCGTGGCTATAATAATAAAGGATAACCTTGAAATCAGCTGACAGTGCGCGACAGTACATGTTCGCACCGCTGCGATCTATTTTGACGCTGTTCTCGGTGTGGTAAACTTGAGACCCGCAAGTTAACTGCACGCGAATTAAGCTTATCTATAAATTCTTCAAAACTCGATTCTTATCGATTATTGTAGGCGTTCAAGTACCTAGTAGTTCTACATTATGCTAGTAATAATCTTAAATGGAGATGTACCAGCGCGGGAAAGTAACAAGACCCATTATTGCCAGACCTACCCCATGACATAATATGCTAAAATTTAGATCAAGACCTCGACTCCCGTCATATAAATTTAACCAATTAAATGCACGGGCTTCTAACATGATCCCAAAGTAGGTAGGTCCAACCTCTTAACATAAAAGAAATCTGGGTTTGCAGCTTTGCAGCTTTGCAGCTGTACAGCTCTGTAGCTGTGTAGATTTGTCGCTGTGCAGTTTTGTCGCTGTGCAGCTTGGCAGCAGAAAAGTAGTAGAAGAGAGAACATGATGTCGTATTGTTCAAGTTGACTTTAGAACCTTTGGTTTAAAGTAGTTGTTATACACCTCCACGGTACCTGTTGTACCTTCCTCACAAGTACACCCTATCCAGGTACCTAGTACCCCATACCTGCCGGTACGCAGCCATCATCGAGTTCCCCAGGCTCTCGACCGAATTAGCCGTTATGCTTCCAGTGTCCGACCCAAGCGAACTTTCTTCCTTCCGAATTTCTCCGTATCTAGCACTATTCCATTAATAAGATTGACTTAGGAATTTATATATACTTAGTACTTACTTATATAGTATGTACCTAGTAGTTTAAGTAAGAAAATATTTCAATGTATCAGGTATAACATATGACTCATGGATGGAGGGCGGAGAAGGATGTTTCACCAGCGATAAGGTACAAGATCGCGTGGGTGTTTCCTTAGGTACAGTACGTCTCCAGCATCTTATGAATGACTTGGAATCTTCAATGCCGGGACTAGTCCCATAATGTAAAGGTTGTACCTGCCTAGTAGTTCGTAGCATTGAATATGCTGCTGTCACCGGTGAGGTCGTGAGAGTGAAACCCTTCGATATAACGATTTAAAATCCGTGTTTTTTTCGTATCGTACCTTTAGTGTTAACGCTAAATGTTGTATAGCGGGGTTGCTAGAAGCGGGACGAGGCGTCTACTCCACGTCATTTATGCACTTGCAAATAAAAATTTGAATGTACTTTGTATGCTCGGTTCTACGTATCATTGGTTGATAACTTAATTATACTGAACCAATTAAGCATACATATTTAATCAGGTTCCCACGTACCGTTTCCAGACTTAGTGTATGTCCTGCAGAGCCTGTAGGCAAAAATCAGATTTCCCTTGCAGACGGACACGCAGGGGAACTTGACGATCCATTGACCGATGCCGACGGTGATCAATGGCCGGTGGTCCGTGGCCGACCGGTAGGAAGTCACCGGTAGTATTATACAACTTTAATGTAAACCATCCACAGGATGATATATTCATGTGATCGGTTATTTCAACAGGTTTTTCCTCGGAAATAACCGAATTTTTTATGGATGAAATTCGACCTGCGGAGAGAGTATGAAGATTTCATTCATGTCAATTCGGCTGCTTATCTTGATAAGCTTGCGCCTACGCCGGAAGGGATTAGGGGACGAATTCATTCTGTAGGGCTTACAGTACTTACCTACCTAATTAAATTTTTACTAACAGCCCGTAATGAGGTACTGATTGTTGATTCCAACTAGCGCTGCTAGGTACATCCATAGATTCATTTTGCCACTAAAATGATGATAGCATGGATCCCTAGGTGTTGTCAAGCTGCCAGGTTGCTTATTTAGCGGGGTGCGGGGTAAGATCTACAGGCTACTTGTTAGTAGGGTTACTTTAAGGGTTGTCGCAGAGTGACTTTGTCATTCACGCCAATCATCAAATTTATATGTCATTTTGTTCTTTTTTAAAATTTCCAGTTTCCGATTCCTCTATTTGGCAACCTCTTTTGTGTGTTTAGTAGTCAGTACTAGGTGCTCAGAAAGTCCGATATCGTTTCCCTCCGTTCTATATACCATGGGGGACGCACCCACGGGCCACCCCCCCACGGGCCACCCCATCTCCCACCAAAACACCTTATCTTTGAATATTCATATTTTAATCGAGAAAATATATACAACTAAATGAGTTAAACCAATCGAAAGATCTTTGGAAGCTGAATTAGAAGGTATATTAATTTAAGTTTAAAGCCGTTTTAATGGCGAAAAAACCGGGATTAAAGTAATATCATGTATAATTTACTTAATATTTCATTAATTTTTAAAGTTTTAACGCTTGAATTAAGGACCTTCTCTTTTAAAACCTTTACTTAAACTTTTAAGAATTTAATTTTTTCCGATTTTATCATTATAATTATATTTAATGTTTTTAAAATTTCGTAATAAAAATTTAAAGTTGATTAAATAATAATAATTTTTATTTTAAAAACGAACGGGTTATTTTAAAAATAAATTAATTTTTAATTCGAATTTTCGAAATTTAAAAAAAAGTAATATATATTTAAGTTTATATTTAAATAACGACGTTATTTATAATAATATAAATTATATTATTAAATAATTAATATTTATTATATTATAATAATAAATTATTTAATTATAATATTTTTTATACGTTATATAATAAGTTAAAGTTTTTATTAAAGTGAAAATTTAAAAAAATTTAAAAAATCGTTTATTCGTTTATTATTTTATAACTTTATAATTTTTCTTAATATTATTATATAAATTATAAAAAAATATTATTATATAACTCGTTTTCGAAATTATTTATATAAAAAACATTATTTAAAAAAATTTAATATTAATAAATTTTAATATAAATGAAAATAAAATGTTTTAATAAGAAATGAGGTGGCCCGTAGGGGGTAACCCGTGGGTACGTTTTTTATAATATTTACGTTATATTATTATTTTATAAATTAATATTTTAACGTTTCCCGGGAGTTTATTTAACGGTATATATACGGTAAATGTATAATTTAAAATATAAACGGTTTAATAAAATTTATAAAACGTTACGCGTAAAATTTTAACTTTAATTTTAATTAATTAAATAATTTAATAAAATTCGAACGTTTTAATTTCGAATTAATTTAATTTAATTAATAATTTAATTTATTAAACGTTTTAATAAAATTAAATTATAAATATATTTATTAAATCGTTTAAATTTTTAAACCGTTAAATAATTAAATAATTTAATCGTTTTATTACTTAAATAAAAAAAAAAATATTTTTAAATATTATTTTTATATTATTTATATAAAAATAATATTTAAAATTATTTAAAAATTATTTATTTTATTATATAATTATATAATTTAATTATATAATTTTTTAAAAATAATTATATTCGAATTATAAGTTTTATTAATTTTAATTAAATAAGTTATAATCGTTTTATTATTTAATTAAAAATTATATATAAATATTACGCGTAAATAAATAAAGTTTTATTTTAATATATTATTAATTTAAAAAACGAAGGTTTTTAACTTAAAATAATTTAATATACGTGATTTTATTATATTAACGGTTTAAAATTAAAACGCTCGAAAATTAAACGGTTTAATTTAAATTAAACTAAATATATACGATTTAATTAATTAAATAAAAAAATTACGATTTAATTAAATTAACGTTATTAAACTTATAAATGTAATAAAAAAAAACCATATATTTATAATTTAAAATTTAAGCCAATTAAATTTCGAACGTTCGAATAAGGAGCTATTTAATAAATTAAGCCGTATAAATACGATAAATATTTATTAAACGGAAAAGTAACGGTAAAGATAACCCCCCCCAAGGCGGTAAGGTAGTTTCTCCACCCCTAACTAAGCAAAATAGCATAAACTGTACTGTACATAACTTTATACATATTCCCCCTTCTGACAGTTTTACATATAATACGAATGGTACCCCTGGTTAGTTAGAACTAATAATTTCCGAGCTCTTAAGTTTATTTACCCTCTCCACTATGTTCGAGGCACTTCAGTGGCACACCCTTCGTTCAAACAGTCAAACAAGTCGTAATACCGAACCATGGGCTGCATCCTAATTGCAACACCCACGTGGGAGAAGCATGTAAACTTCTATACCCAATATACTCCGCGCAATTTATTGCCCTTAAACCATTGCAATCCAAAGCAGTATCGAATCAGACGAGAGATTTTATTTAAAGTCTTTGTAATACATACTGGCCCGGAACCGCCCATTTCATTCCGCCGGAGTGAAGGGTTCTGGTCATTGTAACGGTTTCCAGTTGTGCATGGGTTCCTGTACTACATAGTATGACTTCTATCAAATGTGATGGATGTATCCTAACTTCCTCACGCATTGGCCATGTGCCTTGCTTTAATTCTTACTTGTCCATCATGTCGACTCAATGTCACGTCGGGATACAACCTAATGATACCACGAGAGCTAGCCTTATTCAAGTTTCATTCTCGGTAATTTACAAGACGCCGAAGCGTGGAGGGATTGACGCCCTATTCTTCGCCTTAAAAACATGGTCCCGGCATCCGGTCCATTCACGGTGATCGGGCATGGTAAAATCTTCCTAATTTGCCATATCTAGGACAGCATTTACCTACCTAAGTAGCAATAGAACAAGACTAGGTACCAAGTAGGTCAAACTCAGCGACTACACCGCCGGGTATATTGACTTTGAGACTGCCGGTGAAATATTTGCCACCGAAAATAAACTGCATTTTGAAATTCGCGATAGATGGTCAACGGACTAGGTAAATATACCTAGGTAGTCATAAGTTTTACACATATTTATAAGTAATCTGCGCCCATCATTTACTTGCAGTAAAGTCCCTTAAACGTTAGGTAGGTAGCTGAAGCGTATTCGTTTTTTCGACCTAGGTACTCAAGTACCTTTTAGGTATATAATTGAGATTCCTCCCATCCTTGGATGATTAGATATGTTTTGTCGGATAAGGTCTGAACTGACATTTTAAGCTAGCAAGTCGTATGACAGGATTCAGCTATTCATTATGACATGTCGCTTGTTTCGTCATTCCTATTAACCGAGAAAATACTTAGGTAATTGCCTTTTACACTTTGTATATGATTGCTTCGAGCCGAGATAATATAATTCCGAAATGAGACACATAACACTCGACAGATAAGTACCTAGTACCTACGATGACCTCACTTTGTACTTCGTACCTTCCACCAGAGTCCATACAGAAGTGAATGGTCCTGCTAATTCAATTGACGAATCCAGAATTTCAGTGCCAGGAAACAAGAAAGTGAGGCAAATAAGGTGGAATGGCATCATCGTCGCAATTGTGTTGAAATATTCTTGAAAACTCACGAATAACCAATTCAAATACAAGGTGCCGCGTATCCTAAAAAATAGTAAGACAGGTAATAGTCTAGATAGCCAAAAGTCCCCAAAAAGCGAACAATTGATATCTATATAAAGCCTACAATATCATGTCGCTCTTCTCGTAGTTGATCAAACAGGGATCTTGGTATGCGATATTGAATTCGTGAAAGAACATCCTAAAACCCCCGACCGTAGTATTACTGTGGACCCAAATGAGGGCCGATGCCTAGGATACCTGAACTCTAAATATGTTGTGGCTGGTGTATAAATTTTAATTGGTGGGATTTATCTTTTGGTCCACACAGAGCCTCAAAGGGACAGCAAAGTTTTTTTTCTCCTCATCATTACCATCATCATTCCTCAGCATCACCTTTATATTCAATCCATATATCTAGTAGGCACCATCGTCGAAATCATCATCTCTATTGTCTAGGCCCTTCAGAAAATGCTCTGGTTAATCCCTGGAATTGGATTCGTGCTGCCTGAGGGGTCGTACTACCGAAACTGATGAAGGAGCAACGTGATCACTTCAACGTCATGGCACCTAGCCAGCCATACGCGAAGCCAGCCCAATATTCACTACCTAGGCATCTCGTGGATGCTGCTCCATGCAGCTATACACCTCTTCCAAGTCCGAAAAATCCGACAAATCCATCTGGCTGACGAGGAATGAATTCTCACCTTAAGCACACTAATGCTTTCTATGAAATTCTAGAACTCGGAGCCCGCAAGGTTGTGCTTGGGTGATAACCTTTTCGACAACACAACCAAGCAAGAAACGAAGTATGAAATGTTGACAATGATCTAGCATGATGACGAGAAAACAGACGTTCCCAAAGAAAAACCCAGAAGCTCCCAACAACACCATGCGTCGCTCCTTTGATACCATTTGGTCATATACCACTCATGTCATCCATCAGAGCACAGTATACCCAATATCATATCATCCAAATAAAAAGAAATGCGCAAATAAGAGCGCTTCAAAGAAGAATAAGAAACAAATGAAAGGGTCGCATAGAAAAAAAGAGCAATAAAATGAAATAAAGGGGCTTGAAGGCCAAGTTCATGGTATGAGCTCGGTATGCCATGAGAGAGAGTCTGGCTCACTCTGAGCTGACTTGCGACCTCACCCCTGTCTTGGCATGGCCAGGTCAGGTTACACCGAATCTGATCCTGCCTAAAATCTGCCGCCTTTCACCACCTTCCCAAAAGGTTAGCCTTGAGTTAAGCAACCAAGTTTCGAATTCTAGCAAAGTGTACTAAAGTGGTAAGATATATTAACGGGATGCGATAACTTACTATTTTAAGCCTTAAAAATCATACCGACAATTTCCGCGATCTCATTGTCGCCCCATCGACGCCGACGACCCCACCGATGACGGTTGAGCTCCATCAAATCGAGTTCCGACACCTCTCAGCGCGTTTTCGAGCGAAGGTCGCCGTCCATTAGTTGGTCTACTACTCGTAGAGGAAGACCTAGTTGCCGCTGGCGCCGTTGCTACCGAACCGTGATCATGGCGTTGCCCGAAGAGATTGTCAATGGAGCTGAGAAGCTCCGTATGATCTCTTGGGGCCGGCTCACTAGATTGCGATGGTAGCAACGCTAAAGTGACATTGACTGGCATGTCTACACCGCACACCGAGCTAACAACTCGAGTTTCGGTACTCTCATTGGGCTCTGCCTGTGGACGGCTTGACGCAACTCTAAAGGACGTTAGACCAACAGCGACCACATAGCAGAAACTCCGCAATAGAAACGACCGAAGCGGCGCACAGCAATGATGCGACACTTACCCGACAGAACCTTGAGTAGCTTGGTCAGACCTAGCCGGCGCCATGCCCGAATAGCTATACTAGTACCTCGAAACGATGCGAAGCTAGTTGGTATGAACGGCGGATTTGACCCCCAAAATATAATAATGAAGAGAAGGGAAGCTGTAATATGCGTATGCGAACAACCAAGAAGAGTATAGGTATATATAAGTGTAGGTGGCGCTTCTTTAAGGATGTGTGCCGTGGATTGGATTGCTAGACACCAGAAGCGCTTTTGGGGGTTTCGCGCACGGCAGACAAGCAGAGAAGCAGAGAAGCAGGGAAGAATAAGGGATTTTAGGTAGTAATTGAAGTAGGAAGGATCAGGTGTTTAAAACGTTAAAGAATAGATTACTTCGTATAGTAAATATTAAGAGAAGAATTGAGCTTCTTACTTGGAAGTAAATACAAAATGAAAAAAATCGGGTGTGTCGAAAGTTCCTCGAGGACTCGGCTCGCTGTCAATCGTCATGGTGGGCTGTGTGGGTCCCCGGGACCCTGGCCAAGCCAGCGGGTAGTAATGTAAGTGGGATGAGCGGGTTACAGAGTATATCACTGTAAGCCATGTCGTATATGGATACTGCAATGCGTATGTTTCTAGTAGTCAATGGGCTATATGCGCCCCTTACTGCCTATCTTTACCATTAAGTACCAACTTTATCTCATGGGGTTTTTAGGGAAGAAGGATTGCTGTATGCTCATATAAAAGCAGCCTTAGAAAGACTTCATAAAATATTACAATTTACAATATCGTTATTCTTGTATATAAATGTAGTTCGAGGCTGAAATATATATGTAGTTAAAAGAGTATATGCGGAAAACGATGGGATTTTCCCCGCTTTCGCCGACGTCGTAAAGACTACGAATTGGCGGGGGTTGAAATGGGACGACTGCGATTGCGTCGCAGTATCAAGCAGAATGGAGTCAGAAAAAGTGCCCTATGTGCTAATCCTACTGTATTTGACTGTGGAAGGGAGTATCCCTTGATTTGCTTGTATTGGTAACTTACACCTATTACGCCTATCATAATTGGTAGAAAATGCCTGCTGAGTAACATAGGGGATAGTTTTGGTTACAGTGCAGATAGTTGGTAAGATTAGCACATGGGCCGCTTTTTCTGACTCCATTCTGCCTATGCACACAACGCCGATGGTGAGCGAATCCCTCAACGTAAACTGTCTAGGCAATTTTATTGATGCGGCTCTTTCTAACAAAACATGCATATGACGACTCTTACCTGTCCTTTCATTGGATGATACTAATTCTACGTGCAGCATTTTCTGTAAATCAAGTTGGGGTTTATACCCGGAACTATGGTATCCTTACGCAGGTACCAATTAGCTCAAGTTTTGCATATGGATGTGAGTGTGGTTCGCTCTATGGTATGCAAGGCTTCCAAAAACTTGGAATACCAATATAACAGAGCCTCATATCTCACTGTTGTCGCTTACCTTGCATAAGAGAAAGAGGCAACTAAATTTTCAATACAATTATATAATCTCACTGCAGCAAAGTGGAAAGTTCCAGGGCTCTTATAGGTCGCTTTAAACTCACCATCGGGCTTTGGGTTATACAATGTTCGAGTCAACGGCTATAACTAAGCCAAATCTTATTTTAGAATGATTCGAAATAAGGTTAGGTGCCTATCAATACACGTGTTAATTACTAATTACCTAACTTCTTGTGTTGTGTTAATGTCTCTGTAATGGAACTGAGCCTCAATTCTCAATTTGACTATAGATGAAGCGCTCGCCGCTATACAATGGGACGTGATGTATGTATGTAACAATTGCTCTTTACAACAATCGAAGAATCGAATTGTTATGAATGCGATCTGTAGAATACGATCTATAGAAGCTTCTAAGTACAAATAGTGGAATATGAAAGACGGCTAATAGTGGGTAGAGTGGGCTAAGCGGGGTATTGCGATCGACATGGGTTGATAGGGCAATTGCGGTTCTGATGACATAGTGACTAAGCCGCTCCGGGTTCGACACGGTCCACGGTGCTAGGTAGGTAGGTAGGTATTGTTATGTACTTCGTACTAGGTAATATTTCAAAAGATGCTGACTAAATGACAACAATATCGACTTACCATTGCGATCAGCCTAGTTTCTTCAAAGACACGCAGTCATGTTAAATAGAAGTTTATTATTACAGAGCTTTCGCCTCAACCCTTCTGTCCGGGCTTGGTGTAACACAGCATGTATACGATCAATCACAACTCAATCCCGACCATCACTAGCTATTCTAGACGACTACCTAGACATAGCCAAACCCCACTTCACCCACATACCCTCATCCCAACTCTCCATTACCACCTTCCACGATACCCTCCCCGCCTTCAACCACCCCCACACCACCCCCACCAACAAACAGGCTCTCATCGATCGTCTGAAACCCTTCACCATCATCTCATGCATGCGAGAACGCACTCCATTCCCAGGCGACCTCCTTCGCGCCCTCCCTAACCTTAAGCTCCTACTCGCCACAGGAACACAGTTCGAAACCTTCGACCTGAAAACGGCTTCGCACCTCGGCATCCGAGTCGCGGCGGCGCCGGGCCGGGGCCTCACAGATGGGAGGCTCTCGGCCCGCCCGCCGCGCCCGAGGCTCGATATCAAGAAAGGAGGAAACCACCCGACGACGCAGCACGCATGGGCGCTGATCCTGGCGCTCGCGCGTAATGTCGCGGCTGATGACGCGGCGATGAAGGGGCCGGCGAAGGGGTGGCAGTCGCGGCTTGCGCTCGGGTTGACGGGCGCGACGCTAGGCGTGGTGGGGCTGGGCCGGTTAGGGGCCGCCGTGGCGCGGGTCGCGAGTCTGGCGTGGGGTATGCGGGTGTTATGCTGGAGCGAGAACCTGACGCAGGAGAAAGCGGACCGGAAGGCTGAGGAGGTCGGGGTTCCGGTTTACGGCGGGTACGCGCTCGAGCCGGAGGCTCCGACTTTTCGGGCCGTGGGGAAGGCGGAGTTGTTTCGCGCGGCGGATGTGGTGAGTTTGCATTACGTGCTTAGTGAGCGGTCGCGTGGGATTGTGGGGAGGAGGGAGTTGACGTGGATGAGGGGTGAGGCGATACTGGTTAATACGTCGAGGGGGGCGTTGGTTGATGATGTTGCGTTGTTTGAGGCGTTGGAGAGTGGGAGGATACGCGGTGCGGCGTTGGATGTTTTTGATGTTGAGCCCTTGCCGGTTGAGAGTCCTTGGAGGTCGACAAAATGGGGGACCCAGGGGAGAAGTAATTTGGTTATTACGCCTCATATGGGGTATGTGGAAGAGGGCATCATGCATACTTGGTATGAAGAGACGGCTGAGAATTTGGAGCGCTGGCTTCGAGGAGATTCCCTGCTTCATAGTCTTAATTAGACAGACTTTTCGGCATTGTGAGTTTCTAGGTCTAGGGTTATTTTCAATTCATCACGGTGTCAATTGACATTTATACCATTCAAGAGTTGGTGGGGAGTATTATCCGCCTATTAGACCGGTAGTCATTGTAGGTTAGAAGTCGTAAAACCGAGTGATTAGGCCACTAACAAAATTTCGTGGATTTAACAACCAAGTCATTGTTAGATATCAGTGAGTGAATAAGTTAAATCTCAATGATATTACTATGTCACTAGAGGCTAACTCATATAAAATTATAACCAACATATAATCACATTGATATTTGAGTACTTTTTAAGAATAGGTATCAGAATACCATTAGAATAGTGGAGTCAGTGGCGGACAGCTGGTGAGAATCGCTTGCGCTCTGACACCGGTAACCTCACAACCCTCACAACGTATTCGCATGGCCGATGTAGCGGTCAGTGATATAAAGCTGAAGGTTACGTCGTTCACCTCTTTTGCCTGTAAATGTTGAAACTGAAGACATTTTTGAGTGATTAATGTGCAATAGGATGAAGTATCTACCTAGGTAGGTACGTTAGCCGCTTTATGCATACCTAACAAGAAGTCTTTAGAAAGTCACAAGGTAACCAAACCACATCGGTATATCTTACAATCGTCATAAATATATCCCTCTTCTAACGTTTCTATATACCCATTGTGTTCGCTGTACGATGGATAATACTGATTCAGTACGACCTCCTCCTATGAGTCGCAAGAATATTTCAAAGTCTGACAGACAATATCTTCTCAACACTCGAATTCGGGTGTTATACTTGGAGATTATTTTTTATATATACCTACCTACATAAATAATTGTTGAACATTCTTTTAAGTATTTACTTATTCTCTCCAGAACCAAGCAAATAGCCCCCAACCACCAGTAGGCCGGGCGATCTCTACATCAATCCAAGTACCTAATCTTATCATTAAAAACCCCCCAATTCTCACCATGGCTGACTCCCACAATCGTCAACCTGAAGATGTACATCGACAGGTCCCTAGCCACGAGCGAGCCACTACTGCTCACCCTGGCGTGTCCGCACAAGACCAGGCCAGGCTGAATTTGGTCACCGGAAGCCTGCGTCGGATCTTAGGAAAGCCAATTCAGCGTCAGATTGTCGGCATGGCCATTGCTCTTCGAGGTCTCAATATAGACATCAGCCCGTGCACACCCATCGAAGTCAGAACCATGCGCGACGGCCTGGTTCAGCGATGCGAGCTATTCCTCGTTATACGGCCACAGGAGCAGTTATTCTACTTACGCCAACTGATGGCCTCTTTTCGAGACGAACCCAGTCATCACCACTACTTTCGCATGGCGGCCGACATCCTCCCTGACTTGGACAGCTTCGTGCGGAGTATTCGGACAGGCCAGTACAATGAGCGACGGGACGGAAACTGGTTTGCTTGGTGGCTCGAAGCACTCGATGGCATTGCGCAGCAGAATAACATCAGCAGACAACAGCAATTGCAATGGGATCATAATATGGTACGCCACTTGATCGAGTACGAGATCATGGGCAGAACCCCAGTTGTTATACCCAATGTACTTGCGCCTATCGCGAATTCGCATCGAACAGTCCGGGGCACTGCTCTTCCGTCTATCACTAGACACCCAAGAAAGAATACTGGTGGTAGCTCAGGCCGCCCGGCTTAGTAACAACATCCATACTCGTCTCCTCGTCCTCCTCTAGCAGCCAACGGCATAGCAACCGATCATACAACAACCAGGGGGGCAGCGGCTGGTAGAATTGTGGTTATTGACTTTGGGTAATCTTCACAGATAATCCTAACCTATATGTGGATTTACGGGGTTTTGGGGATTCGCTGGGATTGGACGAGTTCGTCGATGTAAACTAGGAACCGTTGGAGCTGTTTTCTTTCGGTTCAGTCACTGGGGGAGTTGACCAACTATTAGTAATAGAATACAATCCTTTAAAATGGGTTGCTTACCAACTATGAACCTTGCCTAAGTTTGCAACTAATGGTGCTTCCAGGAGAAAGCTAGCTAGGTTAGATACCTATTTGCCTCGATGAGCCTGACATGATTCCCCCTAGAAATAGATCCTTACCTACTTCCTGATACATACCTAGCGAATAATTTATGTCACAAAACATGATCAGGGGTTTCATAGCGTACCTATACTTGTGCGAATCACTTAAATAGAAGCCAAACGGATCCAGAGTCTCTTACAAATTAACTTAACAGAAAATCCTTATATACCTATCTACCTAACTGGCACCTACCTTCAGAAGTTACATTCCCTGCCACCCATCAAACAGACCTCCATACGAGTTTATTTACAAAACCAAGTCGGAACATTAGGTATATATCGATATATATCCCTCGAGAAGATAGGTAAATTGCCCTTCGAAATTAAAGTCAGCGGGTAAAGGCCTAAATCTCGCAATGCCATACCGCTCCCTACCGGAGGGGTGCCAGGGCCTGATGAGGAGGAAAGAGGCTAGCCGAGCTTCGATATTTCTTTCGAGGGAAATTGTAAATCTGTCGAAAAGAACCGAACCGACTCAATTACGCAAGCTAATCCATATATCCCAACAAATTAACAACTTCCTCGGAATGGCTGCGTTAGAAGTACATATGGGGTGGATCATGGCGCGGCATATGCTATGGAGAACTGAGATGGCATCAGCTGGTCGACGCCGGTACCTGACGGAACTGATCGCCTGGCGCTCTTTACAGGGTACTAATGACGGCATGTGGATGGCGTACTTTCTCCCCGGCATCCATATCTTCCAGTGTTTTCCTCCTGTAAACCGCGAACCGAGTCTTGCTACCAACTGGTTTATCTGGTGGATTAACGAAGGCCGAAAACATGACATACCGCCTTCCCAAGATTCGAGTATCGACGAAAGGCGCGCAATTGACAAGTGGTTCTTGGACTACCTAGCTTTCCGCGACGAGAATGGGCCAGACTCAACTGCTGAAATGCCTATCTAAAGATCTTGTTTTCAACGTAATCATCATTAAATGATTATCTAATCATAACGGAGATTCTTGATGAGTTGGATAGTTAGAGTCTGGAAGGGAAAAAGGGTTCATCATTCGGTACCTAATATTTTCATAAAATAAATAAAATATGAAATAAGATTTGACCTTACCTATGGACGTCAATATCATGAATAGAAATAGAAAGTTTAGTGAATAGAACACGTCAATGATTTAGACGACTGTGAACAGTATATGATTACCTAATCACCAGCCCCTGAAAATTGCTTACTAATTGGCACAGAATACCTGTTAAGCGCATATTAGTAAGCAAAGAAAAAACCGTATATAGGAATAATGTGCACATACTAGAGATAGATATATGCATGTTTTGAAGGCCAACAATCTTTGATTTATATTCACGATACGTTTACTTGAAGGATATTCACACAAATTCAATGTAGGTTCTATTTTATTGCAAATAAATACTGATAAATCTGGAAAGGGCGCTCCTGAAAGAAGCCCTAAATCCTCTCTCGCCCCTTATCTAAGTAGAGCTCATACATACGATATTCGGCCTCTAGGAAAGAGTTTAAATTTTTCCCTTCTTGCCAACCTTCAGCTTTCTTAAAAACTGTCGATCTTCATCTATAACTCTCTGTGTTCTGTTACAGTCAACCCGGACAGACCCATGCTGTCTTGAAGTAAACCACCAAATGAACCAGTTATTCTCGTTACTCGAAAGATAGCGATGGTCATAAGAGAGCGTATCAAAGATCTGGATTCCAGGGAGAAAGTATGCCAGGTATAGACCGTCATGTTTTCCAACTTTATTACGCCATTCGATGAGTTCGGTCAGGTATCGGCATTGCCTATCCGATGGCATGCTCTTGAAGACCTTGTAGCGTTTGAGGATCCACCATAGTTGGGACTCTATGGTATCGCGATGGAAAATATTGTCGAGGATCTGAGATAAATCTAGAAAGATTTCTATTTTGCCTTCAGTACCTTGTTTCTCGATGCGTCTGATCTCCATGCATATAAATTGGACACAGGTTCGGGCCTCGTCTTTGGTCAATAGGTCTCTACCATCCGGTTTGATGATTGAAGTTATTCTTTGGATAAGTTTACGGTGTCGATTGTTGACTCGTTGAAGAAATGCCTGACGCCTTATCGCAGCCAGATCAATGGGGTCGCGCATGACGGAACGTGCACGAGGCATTTTTTTTGAGACCCAATGTATATGGAAATTCTTCTAGATGAATAGACGAACCTACGGAAAGGTATCAGCTTCTACTAAGTCGTGACTTACCTAGAGATGTATCCTCAAACCCTATGTTCTATGATTAGTAGACGTCAAGAATATAGGGGCTAAGTTAGTTGAAATAACTACACCCAGCCAATCCTGACAGGCTAACTAAAAGTAATCGAGCAGTGGTTTAGATAGCCGTGGTTAAAAGGAGCCTGACTGTCTAGGTAGATAGTTGCTGATGATATTTAAGATGCTCATGTCTACTCAGGTAGCTTGTAGTCTTAAATAATAGAGCTCCAAAGTCTTTGATCAACTTGTTTAAATCAACAAAGGGCATTGTTCAACTTAGGGAAGGGAAAGTTCCCGGGCCTTACTTGTACAGGCGCTCATGTTGCGTAACAATCCAATGTTAATTAATCAATATTGTTACAAACAAGTGATTGTTTTTACTGCCTTTCTTCTCTTCCTATGTCCAGAATACACTAGCTTTCTTGAGCTAAAGACAACATTCTAAAGGTACGCCCCTAAAGATTAGTACGGTATGAAGAAACTCAACGTAGTCGATCATATCAGTATACCATGAGCCATAGAGCTCTATTGTCTAAATGTGACGATGGAAAGTGTGGGTCTATAGCCCCTGCTAGCCCTACTCTAGCAAGTATAAATATACTGGTCTTAGAGCTCTCCAGATCGCTTCAAACTTACAACCTTACTTCTTGGTTTTCAGCCCGTCATAGTTATGAGCCCGGCTCGCGATAGGTTTCGCACCTTATACAGTCAATCAATCCCTAGGGCAAGCTACTTCATCAACAACGTTGCGGGCCTACTTCAATCCCTTCTGCTGCGCCGGGCTGAAAGTCCCTGACGATCTCCTTCAACTGGTTGAATTGAATGAACCTTTTGAAGTAAAACAACATACGGAGGAGAGCCAGTCTCCTTGCCAGGCGCCAAACAGCTTCCTGGCGTAATACGAACCTAAGAAGTAACAGGCTTCTTAGGTCTCTCTCCTCTTTCGGAGGGGTAGAGATCCCTGGCGGCAACCTCATTGCTAGTAGGAGGTTGGACCTTAGCTTTCGAAGATCGGCAGGAAGGCCAACTGTTTTTCGATCTTAATTCGGGGACTGGGCAGTTTGTGGCGACAGAACGATACGATCTAATCGAGAAGAGATCGTTACACAAACTGAAAATATACAGGGCTTTTGGGGGGAGATCTAGTCTCCCTGCTGGGCACTGCTCAAAGCAGTCTCCTGGCGTTACACACACACACCTAAGAAGCATACCACGATAGCTTCTTAGGAGCCCTACCCTTTGATCAGATCAAAGGATACATGGAAGTAGGGATTCAGACCTGGCGACTAGATTGCCAGCGCCATTTAACCTCCCCAGGAAGCATGCGACGATAGCTTCCTGGAAGACCTGCCCAGATCAGGGGCTAGGTAAAGGATAGGTCCCTTCGAGCTTTAAGGGACTATCTGATTTTCCTAGGGTATGTACAGCCCTAGGAAGACGATGACCTCATCAGATCTTTTACGAAAAGATCCGAGAGGGGAGAATCTCCCTAGATCAGATTATGATAGATCTAGGGGGAGGAGCTACCTAGATTAGATCTCTCCTGATCTAGGTGAGAAACACCAGGGCGATCAACACGACGACGATCAACAAAGCCCTGGTGGAAGTGGCAAGGTCCCCAGGGAAACTATCGAGCAGTGTGCTCTGGGGGTGCGGGAGACCCTGATAGTTTAACAGATCCGGATTTCGGATTCAGGGCTCCACATTAGACGAGCGGGGTGTTTGGTCCACTTGACCCTATTCAGAAGGTCGTCTAATATATACACTCTTTTGAATCGGGGGTCCACTGGACTAGGTAGACCTAGGCTAGGCTGGGCTGGGCAGATCAGGTTTAGCGCTTCTTACTAGTTGGCGAGGCTGTTCCAGGATCGCGAGGCTGTAAGCTAAAGGTTAGATAGCTACCTAGTATCTAATAAGACCTCTTTCCCTTTGTAAATATGTAGCTACCTAGAGTACACAGTGGCTAGGGGGTGTGTGACACTGGAAAGTGTGGGTCTATAGCCTACTCTAGCAAGTATAAATATACTGTTCTTAGAGCTATTCTAGCTCTCCAGATCGCTTCAAACCAAATCACGTAGACTTTTTCCAAAGACGAAAGATGAATCGTACAGCTCGTTTCCAAGGTATCTAGTTCCTACATATATGTTTACATATAAATTTACAGATCATGAGTTGGATCGTTTCCCTACACCAACCATGGTAAGTTCACCAACTACGATGATCCTCATCGGTCCACCGCCGCCACATAACTCACTATATACCCAATTCCTCGTCCTTCAATTTCAAGGCGTAAGTTCATAGGCATCTTCTATCCGGCCATCATCCACCCCTACCATTCACCCCTTCGAACTTCTGCCTCTTAGCCAAGATTTCGACACACAGCTTCGACGGCCTTTTGCGACCTCTCTCCCCATCGGAGAACTCGTTGCCGACGCTCGTAGCCGGGGTAATAGAAGAGAATCCATCAGTCGTCGATCGCATGAACAACTCTGACACCGCCGTCGACGAATCCGACACGTCCCTCATATCCACATCTCCCTTATCCTCCTCCTTAACACGCACCTCCCCGCCACCCGCCCCAACACCCCTCTGAACACCCCCAAAGCCCACCCCCTCCACCCCCGCAAACCGCGCAAGCCCGCACTGCGTAACATTCGCCTCATCAAACAACGTCCCAAACCAAGCCTCCCTAACCGCAAGCCCCAGCGCCACAGAAACCTGTCTAGCAACACTATTCCCAATAATCCGCCACTGGTTCGCCGGCGACGCGACCAGGACCTCATCATCACGGAACCCCTGCGCGCGGCGGATCTCAAGAACAGTTAACGGCCGGTGCTGGTACCAATGATTCGAGCAGCCGATGCGCGCGTCCGTAGGCCCGCACTTCGTCGCGATCGTGCTGAACAGCTTATTCGGGTGTATGCGTCCCCAGCCCTTAGCGCCTTTCCTTGTGCGTTCTTGGCCGTCGGGGGGGAACATCGCGCGTTCGATCGGGGTCATGGTGCGCGGGAGGCCCGGACGGCCGTGCCAGGCTTTGGCGAAACTCATTTCCCAGGGCTGTGTTGGGATCGCGAAGAGTTGTTTGCGGATTGGGGGCGTGACGCCGGCGGAGAGACGGTGGTCTGGGAACCCCGGGCAGAAGTCGGGTTTGGCGTCTTGGATGTCGGGGAGGTCGCCGATGGCGTCGCTGGTGCTGACGTATTTGAAGGGGGTTGAGATGAGGATGCGTCGGTCGAAGGGTCGGCCGCAGGACATTTCGCCGAGTTTCTTGAGTTTTGTACCTGGTGGGTGCGAGTGTGATGGGTTAGGTACTTTCGGCATACGCAGGCCTGGCGCACTGAAGCAGAGGAAGACTCGGCTTCGCGATTGAGGGGCCCCGAAGGACCACGCGTCGAGGAACATGACTTGCACTTGGTAGCCTAGGCCAACGAGGGCGCAGCATACTTGGGAGAAGACACAGGCGTCGCGGAGTTTGGCTGAGTTCACCATTTGCGGTACGTTCTCGAGGATTCCGTAGTAGGGTCGGTATAAGTCGACGTAGGCCGCGAAAGAAGCCACGAGGGATTGGTTCTTTCTTTGGTCGTCTGTAGTTCTGTCGGGGGTGAGTAGAGAAAATCCAGGACATGGGGATCCTGCGGATATGAAGTGGACGTCCCCGGGTCGGGGGATCTTGTCGCCTTTGCCCATCAGTGCCCGAAGTAAGAGGTCATCGACCGAGCCGAGGAAGGGGGTACAGACACCCGGTTCACTGTTCGCCATATAAGTGTGAATAGCTTCTTTCCAGATGTCGTTAGCCCATCGCATTTCGATGGCGCCACCATCTTCCAGTCCGCGCCCAAAATTTCCACCACCGCAAAATAAATCTAAGCCTTGCAACTTTTTACCGTGATGTATATTCAGTGGGTCGAAGCCTTGCCGTAATTGGCGTACTAAGACCATATCGAGAGGAACATAAGTTATTCCTCCTTCTGTCTCGAGTTCCTGGTGTGTCATGAAGAACATATCACCGGTCCCGCCGTGGTCGTACGGGCTCGGTATTTCCTCCTCGGGGTAAAACGCCCTTACTAAGCAATGGCGAAAAATCTTACGAGTTGAAATTTCGACAAGTTGATCTGTGTAGACGACTTCATTCGGAGGTGACTTGGGGGAATTCTTGTCGACGTTTTTCCTCCGCGCAAGTTTTCGTACCCTAACGTAATTCTTCTTGCCTTCATTAAAGAAGTCTTCTATAATGAAAGCCTCCAGTCGAAGGGATTTGGGTTCAGTCTCAACGAGGACTGCGTCGCCGATCTCGTAGGACGTCTTCACGTGAAACCTATTTTCCGTACATTTTAAGTGTTCCTTTTTCAGCGTGGTCCATCGACAATCATCAGATAGATAAGTTTGACGAACGAAAAACTCGGCAGAGGTGGAGGGATTTCCAAACCAGTCAACACTGTGCGTTGCGAGAATTTCGTCCGCCTTAACCTTTGCTGTGTTATGATGACAGGTACAGTTGTTAGATAAGAAGATCTCGTTATTGTAGGGGTACTTCATAATGCCACATGGAGTGTCAATTGGTTGATAGAGCCAGATTACATCAAAGGAACGTTTCCCTTTTGGCGACTGGTGTATCTTCTGCACAAGTCCGAACCATAAGTGCTCCCCTTGGTAATGTTTAGACTTGTGCTGTTTCCATTCCGTATCTGTTCCTTCGTCATCTGGATGTGTCGAGATCACATCCCCTATTTCAATTGAAGCAATAAATTCTGAACGATCCCGGCCAATCCGCTTGATCGCAGGAGGACTTATCTGCTCTACGGGCAGATTGCTCCGTATGAAAGTCTTTCTTTTCTTCCGTATATCAGCAGCAATACTTGTCCGTTTGAGGACATTCCCAAACACCATATGAGAGAATAAATCGTATATGTACGGAGTTACGATAGTGGGTGGTACCTGACCATCTTTTCCACGCTTCCCTTTCTTATGACCTAATTTTTCACTATTCTCGTCCGACAAAGTTTGGTTAAGTGATAGATTAGGCTGATAATGACTCAATATCTTGGTTTCCCCCCAAAATTCATGCCACGTAACCATCGTCGGGTCTAATCCATGGGCTTCTTTCCAGATGTAGTTAACGTTTGCAAGAACTGCGCCCCTGAAGTCGTTTCCTCGGTTGGTAGAATACCAACGTCGGAAAGTAGCTGAATTGGTATGCTTTTGTTCGAGCCAAATGCCAAATCGCGATTTGAAATCGTACAAAACAGCTCGCTGGCGTTGATTCTTCAGATGGTCGCAATAATCAAGAACGTGCTTCGTCAGATCCGCAATCCAAAGAAAAGGCTCGTAATATCTTAAATACTCGGTCGCGGGGGTCTTTAATTTATAATAAACTTCCTCGCCTCGTGTCTCATTCAAGTCCGACCGTATCCAAATTTGATCGCCAACAGTATGTTCTTTGTCGCCGTAATTTCCAATGGGAAGCTGTCGAAAACAAACCTTTCTAAGATAAAACCTTTTCTCGCCGCTACGAATAATACCATCGAAATAAAATTGCTCCGTGCCTGACCGGGCTGCGACATGTTGTAAAGGCCTAAGTTCGTGAGGATAATAAGAACCGTTTGAATAGATAGAAAAATCTTCTAGATCAAACTCGATATACCCATCTTTTCCGCGTGAAGGCCGTCGCGTCTTTTTAGTGTCGAGAAGCTCGGATAGAGCATATCGTTCTCGAATTTCAGTAGCAGGCGGAACGAAGCCTTCATAAATTGATGTCGGGTTAACGAGGGTTGACTGCGGAATCTCCACGGCTATAGGCCTCTCTTTACTTGTAGCAGTATTCTGAATGTCCGGTACTGTATCTAAACCCTCAAAAGGATTTACATGCGGGTCATCGAAATTCGTCACTAGTTCCGTATTCTTGCGGGTTGGTTGATATAAAGTGGTCGTGCCAGAATTTCTCGACTTTGCATCATTATCTAAGTCTTCCTTCTCAACGCTAGATATAAGCTGGCCATATAAGAATGCAAATTCCGACTCTGGCGGCTCGTCGCTACTTATATCAGACTCGGTAGTTAACTCAGGGGTTGCATTATCAGAGATCGGAAGACGTTGCCAGCCGATAATATTTGCTTGGGCCATATTGGTATTCGATATATCGCTCCAATAGAACTAGAATCATATAAGGGGTTAGTAAACTGTTACACGAGAAATATGTCTTCTATTATTAGTAAGCTTACCTAACTCCGAGGTATCTAAGTGACAGCCGATTGCTTAGGTAAAATATCCAGAATAAGCCACTCAAGACAGCAACACGGGGTATCGATATTCCAACGATTATATGAGAAAGAGAATGAATGTAGATGTGTTGATCTATGGTAAAGAGAAGATGACTTCTATGTGGCTTTAAGATGATAAGATAATAGGATAAGATAATTCAAAATCCAATCTTCGTCATTCATGCTTGACCAGTAAACAGGATTCAAAGGAATGATCTATGTTATAATTAGAATTTCTCATAAAATTGTCAAAGACATGATAAATGAATAAGTTCAAAGTCGTTATGATCGTAAGCTTGAATCTCGTGTAAAAGGTGAACGCAATTTTCTCCCCAAAAGCGTAGAAAGCAAATTGAGAGACGTAGTAGCAAAGGCGTCAGAACGACCCGAAGAACGTAGTATGAAGAGGACCAATGGTAGCAACTCCGACGTGAGACACTTTAGCGGGGGATACTTGCTGGAATGAAGCCATTTTAGTAACCCCGCCGTTTGCGAGAATTCGGTAATGTGTGGGCACGACAGCTGGATGGGTCATGAAAGAAAATGGAGAAAATGGAGAATAATTAAGACAAGAAAAGTGCTAAGAATTTTGAGCGTGGCGCGTAGATCCACTAAATTGATGCTTAATTGTCCAATCTAAGGGCGCCAGTTTCGTGTAAGTGGGTCTGATCGTGGATTGTCCTGCCGCTTTCGTCAACCTAACAACTGAACAGTCTGACAGCGAACGGCGCCGGGACCATGGTAGCAGGGAACCTCCCGCAGCGGAGCGCCCCATCTTACATAAGCGAGATTCAGATCAGGAACCGAGATATATGACCATCAACAACCGCGCGCATACAGATGGTCCGTTTCTTTAATTCTTCGAAATGTTTTTCTTGTTCTAATCTAAGGGTATCATTGTGTCGACCTTATACATCCATCCCAGCCGATGCCGTACCCATGGTGTTTTCACCTTGTTGCTGAGACGCAAGGAACCTTCTGCTCATAATCTTCTGCTGAAGTTGTTGGGAGTGTCCGCGCCGGTCAGATTGCACATAATTGTTGACGTCTTCTGGAGTTGGCCATCTCCAACTACCCGCGATGCTTTCAGTGTCTTCTATATGCGATATAATGTCTGCCTCTTCGTCGTTGGTAAGAAGTGGGCCAGCAAATGCCTGAAAGGCACACAGAGTCTTCACTACCAATGCCTGGCCACGGATTCCTATTCGTTCCGCCTCTTCGTCGACATAAACTTTATTCCTAAGCATCCAGCCTAACAATTCATTCATTGCTTTCGTATCTCCGAGGAAGGCTAAAGTGCGCATGTATGTATGCAAGTGAGCGGGCTCTATATTATGTGCAAATATGGGTACTTCGAAATCTCTAAATATTGAGTTTCCCGTGTCGATGGGCTTTGTAAGCCGGGAGAATAGAGTCTTTAGTGATTGTGAGATTGTTTCGGGTAGAAAAATCGAGGAATCTTCTCCTTTTCCGGTGCCCCCTAGCAATGTCTTATGAGACCCAAGTCGAGAGGTCGCGGCCTTTTGAGCAGCGCGACAAAGATATAGGAACATTTCGGCGTTTACCCCTGTTCTAACCTGCACATGTTGAATGACATTCATAGATATAGATAGAGCTTGGATATCGTTATCAACCTGAGTGCCATTCATGACACAGAGACGCGGCCGAGCTAGGGCCCTAAGGATGATAGACCAAGGTGTCCCGAAAGTGGATCCCTCAGTGGTGTTTGGTACTAGTCGCAGGTTACACAGATTGATAGCGTGACGGACAAGATAAAGGTCTTCTAGGGGTACCTTCTCTTTGCCATGGCGGTGAGGTTGCAACTTGCAGAGGAGTTGGATATAACTGCAGAAAATTAAAAGGGGAATCCGCCGAAGCACGTCGCTAGGAGCCTCCTTAAAGAGGGCCAGAGCGCCAATGCCAATGGGATCAAGCCCGTTATCATGAAGATAGCGGGATGCCTCTTCGAGAGAGTTAGCATTGGTAATTAGTGTAAGAAGGCACTGGCCCTCTGGCTTTACGCCCTCGTTGATCATTCGGTCGTAGAGCTCACTAACTGAAGGAGGCGACAACCTAGCCAACTCATATTCGGTATAATTGGCGTTATGGACGGGGAAGACTTCTCGAGCATCGCCAGGCAGCACAGTCGATTCTTGCTGAACGAGAGGAGCATGCAGTTTGATGAACATCTCCCCATAAACCTGAGCAGTTGGAGATTCACCCGTTTGGGTCCTAAACTCATTAAAGACTTTCCACGCTTCTTGTGTATTGCGAGTCGCTCGTATCGACGCAGCCCAACGAACAGAGAAATTTTCGACTTCCTCTTCGCCCTTCAATATTCTAGGTAGAACGCCACGGGTTTGTATAGTAGGCGAATCTGCACCCATTCCACCCAGAGCATCCAAGGCTTTATCGTAGTCGTCATCAGGATACCCAGCCTCTTTCATAAGAACTCCGGCCCTTACGCTGCGCGAGTAATCGTCCTCGGCTGTTCTTTTTGCGTCAAGACCATCAAAATCTTGTCGGTATGGAGGCCAGGATTTTGTGTATCTTAAAGCTACCGCTCTCTCTGTTTTTGACTTTTTCAACCCGATCATAACCTCTCGGACCGCTCGATAACTAGCTTTGTTAATAATAAAAGGCTTTTCCAGGTTGTCCGACATCGCCAGCAAGAATTTCTGCGCTCTCCAATTGTATTCCATATTTACAATCGGTTGGATTACCGCTGGGCGTTTAAATAATTGCAGAGCTGTATTGAATATGCTGCACTTCTCGTGGTAACTCCTGGCATTCGCACTCGATGGCATCCCTTCAATGTATTTCGCCGTGAACCGTGCTAATGTAACAATTGACCTAGGCCATATTCGCCGAACATGTTTACCAAGACGGCGGAGGAATAATAGAAATTGGGACGTTGTCATGACCATTTTAGGATTGCGGAGAGCTAGAGTCTCGCCTGAAAATTTAAGGTCGGAACGAAAATGGCGTGTAGATGCAAATGTCATAAGAGATAACAAGGTCTCGGCCTTATAAATTCTTGCGTCGCTGCGTGACAGAATCGAGACAAGGAATATTGGTGTAGGAATTGATTTTTTGGTCGAAACCAATCGTGCAACTCGGACGTCTCCATCTTCCCCAGACAATATCCATATCCAATGATCTATGTGTTCCTTGGTCCATCCTCTAGATTTCAATATACGAAAACGATCAGCCCAATCAGAAGGACTGATGGAATTAATAAACAAGTTGACACGAGGTTCGTTTTGAATGTCTTGTCTAGCCATCCATGTCTGAAGCATCACCAGTGGGAGGCGATCAGCACGTAACTTGGCGGCGAGTTCAAATGGTTTCCCATATACTTTCTTCTGCCTATCAGTTCTAGATCGGAGACGCATAGATACCACAAGACTGGGTGATTGTCGAAGCTTGGGATGGCGCTGCCGCCTAGAACCGGTCAATCGTGAGAGTGTCTGGTCCCAATCTGTTTTAGAAGCCCATAGAGGGTTTTTCCTAGCAGCCGGCTTTGCCGAAGCTATCACGGATGGGATATGCATTCCGTGATGTGTGAGATTGGGTGAGCAAAGGTTGTGGCTCGTTAGGTCATGGGCTTTCGCTCTTAGGATTGTCACCTAAGTGTGCATAAGGGTAAATATTTTGACATTTTAATCAACCGTATGGTGAGTGGTGTCATGGTATTGGTAGAATCGACATTATGGAACAGAGTAGAGAATAGTAGATCAGCAAGGTAGATGGTGAAATTGAAATTGATGCTAAAAAGTTGAAGATGAAATTTAGAACGCACGGTGCATCCAGGAACGTCACTGTGGATAGTCTTATCTTATCGCGAACATGATATCTATCGATAATAATTTTAGAGGGGTTCGGGGGTCCGCCCTACTGATGTAACCAATTGATTATATCTTCAATCACCAATTTCTGATTTTATCGCAACTTTCATCTCTCACACAAGAACAAGCCGAAATAAGTTTGCGACCAGCAAATCGCATTCAAATGGCTCAACTAATGTCACCATGCGACCCTCAATACATAAGATAGCAGCCCCCGCGCTTAGAGGGTTGCATACCATAGCATCCGTCCCTGCTCTAAGACCGCAACGATGTTTTCACCAGACCACGCTCGTCTCACTACCACGCAAGCGCAGCTTCTTCTCCTCTAACCAATTGTTATCAAATGTTGATACCAAAGACGAACCATCCTTTTCAGAACACGATGTCAATCAGTCGGAAGCGCAACAGAAAAATAGGACTTCGGGCTCCTCTAAGCGCAAACCCGCTCGAGCTTCGGCTGCCAAGACTTTGCGGCTAGGGCTCACGACCAAACCAACCAAAGGTAGTAAAGATGTGAAGAAAGATCATATGAGAGATCATACTGGCCCCGAGACGGATTATCGTCGAACTATCAACTCCATATGCGTTGCTCAATCTTTCGATATGGACGCCGTACAGGAGATATTAAGCTTACATGCATTTGAGCTGGATCCCGATGGTACCGAATTTGACCCCTCAGGCGTTGTACACGCAAGGGGCATCAATAACGGAGATATTTTCGTCTTCCCTTCCGGAACCGTTGTAGCATGGTCAGTGCCAGCCGACGCTTTTAAGACCCTTACCACTAAGCAGCTGATCCGAGCGGCCGAGCTTCCTCATCTTAATCGTGTCGAGATGGAAGAACTCGAATTCATACCAGATGAGACACGCGACACCAGTTATATGAAGGGCGAGGTCGTCGTCTTAGGCACGCGAGCGCAAGAACTAGAGAATGACAGGCTAGACACGACCCTCGCCAAGATTGCCTTCTCCAGCGGCTTGGCCAGAAGTCCAAAGCTAGCAGTGCTGGAAAACCAGGCTATCGAGCACTTCGAATATTCTAAAAACAGCTTGGATTTTATCGAGGGTGGTTTGGAGCATAAACTTAGACGGCGCGCCGTGTTGAAGATGACAGGTCAGCTACTGAGCTTGAGATCACAGCTAAATCATTATTCGGATATCACAGATCAACTGCCGGACATGTTCTGGGACTCGGAGTCGAACCTGGAGAGCTACTACAACCAGATCAGTACTGTCTTGGATATACGGCAGCGCATTGGGATTCTGAACAAGAAGATCGACTACGGGTTTGAGAACGTGAGCGTCTTAAGAGAGATGGTTAGCGAAAAGGTTGGCCATCGGTTGGAGTGGATCATTATATTCCTCATTACTATCGAAGTCGGATTTGAACTAAGAAGGGTCTACCGGGAGGATATAGTCGAGCCAGGGTCAGACTAGATAGTAAATGTCTTGTGGAAAAGAAGCCATAAAAGCACCGCTCCATTACGTACCTTATATATTTGATACCCTATTCCACATAACATGATTTCCGTACCTCTTGACTGTATAAAATACAGCCCCTAATAACTTAGAGCCTCGTTGTAAAGTTGGCAGGTACCTGAAAAGGAAACCCCAAAAGCGATGAAGACCCTGAGAAAGTAAGTCGAGAACCTTATAACAATACGAAGACAATGGTAGAGTATATCCTGAACTGAGTCGGGGCGTAAGATCAGACGGACGGTACCTACACTTAAGAAGTATGTACTCTTCACGAGCCATGTTCGCCTCCCGGTCACAGCAGGAAGGACCGGTATAGGAAGTGCGTCTGACCTCAAGGGCCGCCACAAGCGATTATCCTGGGAGACTCAATTAAAGATTTTCAAGCAGGCTCACACCGGAGAGAAATAGCTCGTGGAGTCTGTTCGCGAGCTCTTCAGAAGCGCTCTTGACGTATCCCTCTCTTTGCATATTTACTGACTCTACTAATGTGTAGGTAGATCTATTAATTTCCAAGGTTACTAAATTGAATCTGTTGTAATAGTGTCCTGATAAAACGTATTTGCATGTGTATGTGTAAATGGAAAAAAAGAAAAAAGAAAAGAAAAAAAATAACAACAAGTCCCACGAACCCGTCTCGAACTCCCTAGCTACCGTGGTTACAACCTCTTGCGCCGCAAGCGGTTCATACACACGGCTTTCCAATTGAGCTAAGTCATTGTCTTCAACAGGTCCTTGAAGAATTGTTATGATGCGCGCCCTTCTTTAGATTTATAACCTTACTGTAGTCCATCGTACAGTGTGACTGGTCCCACATCCTCGTGGATAAGCCTGACGTGTTTCCAATACTAAGGTAAGTACCTACTTGCGCAGTGCGCACTGACTATGACGAAAGGTCAGCACAAGCAAGGCATCGCGAACTTGGGTTTCTCACTAATACAACTACAACAAGTATCATGGGCCTCGTCACAGGTACGCTAATGGTGCACAGAAGGTCATTCGATCGAGCAGGGGAATTTACACATCTCGTATATTTAGTTTACGAAATGTCAGACCTTCGGGCACTAGTAGTCGAGCGTAATGGTAAGCCGTCGGGACCAACCTATCCCATGACGAATCTAGAGTTCGGGCTTCTCATCGGACGAACGTGGCGACCATCTAATTGAGGCTTGGAATCCATGTGATATTGACGACTCCTTTAGACTAGTCAGGTACCTATTTTTCATACGCCAACGACTCAAAGGATGTCAATTGCCTGCATTTTGCTATCATGTAAAAAAGCCCACCCCACTGCTGGGATGGATCTTGCATTGATGATTCCATTCTGATCTCTAATAACAAGACAAGCGCCTTATGCTGAACCAATTCTATCTATCTAGCTAGCTACTAGTTACCCATAAAGCAGACGTTTCCCAATCGACCTCCCACCAGTCTCAAACACAGCCATGAGCTCATTCTCCCCCATTCGGAACAGCCCCGGCCAGAACGACGGCGCAGCATGAACCAACGTCGGCTGGCTCCAAAATATCCTCCCCCTATTCAACCCGGTCGCAAACACGACCTTAATCGCCGCCTTCCCCGGCCACGTCGGCTCCGTCTGCGTCTCCTCGTCCGTCATAAACACAACTGCCAGCCCCGTCTTCCCATACCTCTCGATCTGCGGCGCGCCGGCATTGCGTCCGGGGCGGGGCTGGTACACGACGCCGCGCGACCCCCAGGTGAGGCCCTGGTCATACGAAACGGCGTACTCGACGCTGTAAAAAGTCCCGCGCCTCGTCGTCTCGAACACGACGACCTGCGCCTCGCCGAAGAACTGCTGGCCCTCGGCCGTCAGGCCGGATACATCCCTCACGCTGACAATGCTCTGCATGCCGTCGCGGAGGTTGATGTGCGGGGAATGACACCGCAGACATCGCGGCTTCGACCAAGTTCTCCCGCCATCGTGCGAGTCCACGCGGAACGTCTCCTGGTTATTAGACGCGAGCTCGCGCGAGTACGTCATCTGCACCTCTCTCCCGTCCAGACCTCCTAGCCGCATATACGGCTCCCACAACCCCAACCCATTGCTCGAGTTCGCGCTATGCTCGGCAGCTTGAGAGGAGAATTTCCAAGACCGCCCGCCGTCCTCGCTGCGGCAGACCGTGATGCGGAAGTACGTCGGCCGATTACCCTGCGCCGGGTCGCGGTCGTGGTTGCGGAAGGCGGCGAGAACCACGGAGCTGTTTTTCGGGTTTGGGTGGGATGGAGTGGGGGGCACCTCGATCAAGAATGCGTTATCGATGTCGGCGGGGCCGCGGGCGATTTCGCCGTGCGGGACGAAGGTGTTTCCGCCGTCGACGCTGCGCGAGACCTGCAGCACGTGTTCGCGGCCACCAGGGCCCTGGAATCCCGTAGTGACGCAGAGGAGACTGCTATCGGCCAGCCGTGTCATGCGCGGGTAAGTGCCGGGAATGGGGTGTAGAGAAGTCTCGTTGATGTCGACCTGCCAGCGGGCGGGAGACACGACGACGGCGGCCTGTTGCGCCATGGGATCGCCGGTTAACAGGGGCCCCAGGTGACCGATGTGGCCTAGTATCTTCTGGGTGAGCCTCCCGGCCATTGAGATTCTGGCGGGAATCGATGGGGGAGAAGTCGATGTTGAGCTGGAGAACACATCTAATTAATACCTACAAGTATTATTTTGTTGTTTTTTTCTCGATGAAGCGTCGTCGGCGAATTTATGTTTCAGTGTACTTGAGTACACGCAATCTGCTCCACATATTAGTATGGAACGTAGGGAATGTTAGATATCATCCATATGTATGTAGCTACTTCTTTTAATGTGTCCCCTTTTTTCCCGGCCTTTATCGTTTATGAGGTTGAGGGATCGTCGTTGCAGGAAACTCTCAAGATCGGAAGGATCGTCTCTTTATTCAACATTTATCGCGTTGTATGTGTTTTTTTCGCAATATTTCGTAGTAATAACTTCCGTAACAATTCGAACCAGGGAGTCTAAATGTTAAACACGGATGAATGCCCCTGATCCTTGATTCTAATGGTTTGATAAATAATTAAGTCACAAGCGCCTCTCTATGAAGGTATTTCGGGGGTTATTCATCTAATTATCGGAAATCTTGTCTCAAATGCCGTTAACCGAATCGGAACCTTTCCCTGTTTCAAGTCTTCGTCATCGCCCTTGTCAAGACTTGGCTTCGTCTTTCTTCTTTCTTCCTTCAATCCAACAATCAACAATTCCAATTATTATTCCATTTATTCCAGTTTCTTATCAAAACTCAAGAAGCCAAGTGTTATCATATACGTCAGACTCACATAATCTTTAGAGGCAAGCAATAAGGTTCTATCTATTCGTTGTTGTACAAACGTTATGCACGTTATGACAAACATCTCGATCAGCATTAAGCGATTATCTAAATCTCGAAGAAGTGGACCAGGAGAACAAACCCCTCGAAATTATGTATCCGTTCAACAAGAATTACACTAAAATCCCGCTCGTGATGATGACATGTGTCAATGTTGAGTTGTCAAAAAATCAAACAAATGTACATCGGTATTAACACTTAATCTCTTGCAGCTGTGCAGCTGTGGCGCCTCCTCGGCAGTGATACTCTGCCGCCTGTAGAGGTTAGACTTCGCTCTTGGCGGCTATGACAAATCTGTGGGCACGAAACTTCCCATGTTACTGCGAGCTACAGAAGCCGCAAATTATTATGGTATCACAGATCTAATGCGGTTTACTAAAGGAAGTTGCTCATCATTTCATCTTCGAAGCCAAAGCGCTTCTAAACGCGCATATCGTGGCTTGATACTATCATGGCGACTTACCACCGGCTGATCGGCGGAAACCCAGCTGCTGTGGAACGACCTTATGATCACACCTGCGTCCCTGATCGGCCCGCCATCGATGGAACTTATCCGTGAATACAAGCTTTTGAAAGCGACCGTAATATATTTCTAGTCTTCGATCATTGCCAAATTGAGGGCTAATGAACCAACGGAACTATGACACCTAATTGGATAACTCGGAGCCTTCGAATGCTCTCGTATATCGTCGAGTGTATACACCACGGGGCGTGCAGTGACAGAGTGTGAGATGATGCCTCGAGTAAGCAACCACCTCTGAGAGGCGGGCACGAGCGCCCGTAGGCAATTCCAAGGTGAGATGACGGGTATTCAGTCTATCGGTCTTACTTCACGCTATGAGAAAATTTGCCAACTTAAAGGAAGCGTCAATGGACAGGAAGCGTATAACTCTAAATACTACGTAGGTATCATAGCTTCTCCCACAATCCATCTCGCTCTATTAATGGGCATCCAACTTCTCTATTATTCATTTAGAGATTTTCCACTAGTTGCGTTCTTGTCTCGCGAGAGATTCTGAAGAACAACATTATTTGCGTATCTTATTTGCGTATCCTTTGGATATCATATCAAGCACGCATTCATAACCCCTTTCTTAACTACCAACCAGTATTACGAGGCAAGCTTCATACCTACCCAGTGGATTCGATTCGTCAAGGTCTAAATATAAATCTTAGCATACTATCTGCCACCATGTCTCTTAGAATCAAGGCGGATTCTCTCCGCAAGAAATTCAAGAGCGTAAGGCAAAGGCTCTCTCCTAGTCTCGCCGATGCCCGACCTAATGAGACACAACCGAAGGAAACTCAAGCCTTGGAAATCCGACCCCCGACCCGGCGCAGCTCATCCCCTACACCTTTGAATAATCTTCATATCTCTAGGGTGGTGACACATGATTATCTACCCTTTGTTCGCTCAGGTACAGGTACCCCTAACAGCGATTATACCAAATTGCGCGTCCTTGGACCCGCCAGTGGTCACTCGAGCCCTCATTTCCCCAGCTTCAGATCTACAGATGCAGAGCCGTCATTGTCTAGGCCTCATACCTCCCATAACTTGGATCGGGTGATTGCCCAGGATCCGTACGCGAAGCCTAAGGACAAGGGGAGCATAGAAAGCTCAGCTACTACAAGCACTAACCCTAGAGTCGAGAGTTCCGACAACAGCACCAAGAAGAAGTCTTTTAACATAAGCCTTTCTCAGAGAGCTGAAGTGGGAGGATCCAGTTTAACGCCCGATGATATGGACAACGACCTGAGTAATGAGTCGAACAAAGAGGCCGTTGAAAACTCCAAGAAAAAGAAGGCCGACAGAATTAAGAGGTTCTACGCTAGAATGGCAGAGAGAGGATATCCAGATCTGAACGTTTTACCTAGTTTCAGCATCAAGTACAGATCAAAGGACAGCGACAGCGACAGCGACAGTAGTAGTTACAAGGATCCTGTCAATAGGGCCAAGTTCAAAGCGTGGCCAGATTATCACCTCGAACGTCAACGTCGGGTCATCGAAAAGTACAACAGGGGAGATAAACTCTGGACCAAAGAGGCGCTCATCCGTATCGAGGACCAGATCAAGGGAGATGATATCAACGTTAGAATAAATGGCTATGTTGGTGAAGGACAATCAGTTCAGAAGGAGACAAAGTATGCCATCTATCTATTCCGCTCTTTGGTCGAGATAAACTAACGTACATAAACAGCTCAGACCAGTCAAAACTCAGAGTGCAGTTCCACGGTTACCAGGAACTAGCATTCCCACCCGCCACCAAACCTGACTCTACTCCTTACAACACCATGTCCATCAAGACCATTCCGTATGACTACGAGGACAGCCTACCTTCTGGCGTCGATTGGGTATGGAATAACTGCTACAAAGGGATATGGAGAGGGTGCCCGATAATGCACCTGCTGTACTCGACCTTTATGCGGATACCCCTGCCACCCATCAACAAGGTCGTATGCTTTGACCTTGGCCCCCTCGCCGTCAGATGGGACGATCCGAGCCGCAAGGCGTCGAGGGGCATCTACCGCCACCTCGCAGCCATGACACTCATCGAAGCAATGAACAAGCGTTTCAACGGTGGTATTCACCTATATGCGCAGGACCCCAATTATAGCCCGGATTGCATCCGAATACTGTCCCAGAAGGGATTCGAGATCGTCGGCACACACGGCGCCGCCGGTCTCGCCAAGATCGACGAGCAAACCCTCCTTTTCGCGCCCAATCCGAGCTTTTGTCTGAAGGAGATTGTGGCCGATATCGCGCGTCCCGCAGTCATGGTCTGGAACCCGGTCCTGACGCCCGAGGAGTCAGATTACAAGACCAAGTCCAAGGTCCCGGATAGCCTGAACGACAACACGTTGATCTCCTTCCATCAGTACGTCTCCCCTCCCCCCCTTATCTCCATTCCATACTAACACTAACCCACCCCTTAGCCGCCTCCCAACAGACCCAGACACCCCCCGCGTCCGCGCGCTGATGCAAGACTACGAAAAGCACTTCTTCCCGGAGAACAACCTCTTCGGCAAAACCGCAATATACACGCGTCTGCCCCTCCCCACCATCCCTCCCTCCCCAACCCGCTCCCCCGCCCCCGAACTCTTCGACGCCGTCGCCGCACTCGAACGTCTCAATGCCGACCTCAACGCACAAAACATTCAGTGCAACTGGCAGCCCATGAGCGGGTTTATGCTCCCCGAACATAACGGTTCGGGTCGGTACCATCGCCGCGGAAAGAAGTCGAGGAAGGGACGGAAGAGCGAGCGTGGGAGTGAGAAGAAAGAGGAGGAGGAGCCTGTGGGAGAGGAGGAGAAGGAGGAGGAGAAGGAGAAGGGGGAGACTTCGTTTAAGGGTATGGGGTATAGGTTCTAGTCTAGTCTCTAGCTGGGTGCTTACCTGGAGTAGAGTAGACTAGACTGGGTTATTGTACTCCCAGCCCAGGGGGGGGTGGGGAAGTTCTTGTTATGCGTGCGAGTTCGTAGTGCGTGTACGTTGCTGTTTGTGTTTACGAGTTGATGTTTGTTGAGTGGTTGATTGGTGCTGATTACCTTGCAAGTTAGTGAGTTTGGAAGTGCTTATGAGTTAGTCAGTTAGTGTTGTTCAGTCGTTAACGCGCGCGGAGTGGTTTGATTGATTCATTGGTTGGTGGTGTTTTGAGAATTGGTTACTTGACTTTAGCAGTAGGTAGATTTCAGAATTAATAAAAAACCCCACCCCCTTATCCATATTCCCTAAGACCAAATATTCATGAGTGACATGGCGAATGATTAGACTGCAAAGACGACGAAATCTACCTATCGAATCGGAATTAAAATATCATATTTTGTCGTAATTGGGTATGGTTATATGCTGTACATACGTGGGTTATGTTGTACCTCGGGGATAATCTGTCACTCATGACAGATCAGATCATCAAAATCTACGCAACACCAAATCAAATCAAATCCAACCAAGCTAAATCTAGATAGGTAATCATGTCTCACGACATGAAAAAAAGCCCATAATCTTCAGAATCATCTGTAATGTATTAAACCACAGCTCAAGCCCCCAGGTAACTAAGGTGAGCACAGCAGGTGGTAGTAAGGGGCACCTAACCCCCGACGCGCGTACGGTAAAACAAGAACACAGGCAGTGCGAAGCTATATCACAACCATAACCGACGCATCGATTAACTAAGCCAACTGCCCACTACCCCAGACCACCGCCTCGTCCCCTAGTAATCTCATCTTTCGTCCCCAATATCAACAACACCCGCGTCAACTACGACTCGTATCTTCCTCCTCTTGACTAGTAGTAACTCACTTAGCAGCTTCGTATAATGTGTCCATTTATACACGCCGGCCACCCCGTCATCACCATATGCCACATCCGCCACGCACGCCATCCCAGCAAGCAAGCAAGCCGGTCGTGCTCAGCCCAGTCCAGCTTAGGTCCAACCACTAACTCACTCGGTGAACCTCGGCGAAATAAAAGAAGGGTAAAAAAAAGGAAGAAAGTAGAACTTTTCTATTCCCAAGCAGGTAAACTCGGAACGAAGAAGAGAAAAAAGAGGAGGAAGAGATTTGCGTAGTCGGAAGCCCGGAAAAAAGAAGTCAAAGTAATAGTAGTAGTAGTAGTAGCCATCTACATTTCCCATCCCATCCCATTGCCGTGTGGGGAATAATCCTCCGTGCTGTGTCCACTGCACTGAACTCCGATTCTCCGGTATCGTTGAACGCCCCCATCTAAGGTAGAACGACGAACGCGTAAAAAGAAATGTGTGCCCGGCTTTCTTATGTCGAGTAAACACCCACCCAGTGTTGATCCTATCCGTTTTGAGGAAATCCGGCATACCAGCATCGAGCTTCACAGTAACAATGGCTGATCGCTAGGATTTCTATCTTCATAATGACTGATTCGTCCATGGCTTGCTACGCTGGGTCATCGACTAGTTTTTTTTACTAGCACTTCGAAGAGCATCCTGTTCTGCATCCCATACCAGCAAGGCTGGGTCTATCGTGGTGGTAGGGATTACAGGTGCTGGTGAGATAGAGCCGTCATTTGACAGGATGTCTCTGACCCCCATGGACAGGTAGATGTCATCAAAAGCGTGAGGTCCAAATAACATGAAAGGTTTCTAGGCTTCCCTGTTAGGAATTGTTGAACCCCCGTTAGATGTCGGCATTGGTGTAGGGGTTCCGTTGATCCCAGACGGTGCCGCAGTAACCCTAGGCGAGTTAAGCTGAGGTTTCGGGCTCTGACTGGGCCCTTGACTGGTCGCGGGATAAGTTGGCATGTTAGCCCGGGCGGCTGCTAGCCTCGCTGGATCCCCTCCTAGGCCAATACCACCGAGGCCAACCGGCGCACCAACTTGTCCTTGTCCTTGACCAGACATCGAATTTCTAATACCTTCATTTGTCCTCTGCGCACTCTTGGTCGCGTCGAAACGGGCTTTGGCTTGATCCATCGCTTGCTGAACTTGGTGTGGCTGAAGAGACGTATGGAATGAGGAGGTACCAGGGGTTTGCGGGTTCTGGCTCTGCTGATTGTGCTGACCCATTTGGTTGTTCGGCATCACAGGTGAACCAGCGTTCGGGTAAAAGCGTCGTGACGGATCATTGTTCATGTTTGGTTGGCCACCATAGGATGCCTGCCTCACGGGTGTTCCGGTCGGGTTATATCCCGGATGGTGGGGGAGAGGTTGGTGGTGGGGTTGCGGCGTTTGGTGGGATACATGAGGGGATGCTGTCCTCTGTGGCATTGATGCAGCGCCATTTGTGTACTGGTTATATGGCTGATGCGACGGGGTACCCTGAAGCTGATGAGGTTGCGCTTGGAAGGGTTGAGAATGATGATAATTAGGCGGTGGTTGAGTGTTTGGTGGATAAGACGGGAAACGTGCTTGCGGTGTCGGGGTGTTCATGTTAGGATAACCCGGCATTGGCTGGTACGGAGGCCGGACTTGTGTGGGGGTATTTCCATATGAGCCGGGCTGCGAATATGGGGCAGGCGGTTTGCTGAATTGGGTGGAATAAGCCGTACCAGGATACTGGTTCGGAGGGCGATAACCCGTATTGGACGGGGGTCGCGGGGGATAGGCCACCGGGGGCATAGTCTGCGGGGGACCTCGCATCGGAGGTTGAGTAGCTCGGACTGGAGTCTGGGCACCATAAAATTGTGCATTAGGCATTGGCGCGCGGTTGGCATGGTACGGTTGACCATACTGCATTGTACTAGACGAACTTGACGCACGATGAGTGACTGGTCGGGGGTTTGGTACGGGAGCTTGCGCGGCTCTAGCGCGAGCAGCTACTTCGTCCTCCTCCATCAATCCTTGGTATTCGTCGGTTCGGACTTCGATCTTAGTTGATATGTTTAGCTCATCTAATTTGTCCGAGTTGAGACGTGCGACTGCGTAGGGTGGCAGCGATTGAACAACAAGAGCCAACTGTGCCTTGAGGGCCTGGTATGTCGCCAACTCTTCTTCTCCTGGCTGCACGGGTGTTCCATTCGTAAGCATATCGCTATGGGCCGGATCCGCCGCGTATCGACTCTGACTGGACGCGGACGGTAAGGTCAAGTTGCGATTCTTCTGATAGGAAACTAGTGTCTGAATCATGTCGGATACTTCCTGTAGGACATCATCTGCGTCCATCTCCTCTTGGGACTTCTTTGGACCACAGACCTGCTCTAGACTAGGATCTACCATAGTCTCGTCCCAATTGTCTAGAGCTTCCTTGATTAGTGTCTCATCAACCTCTTCAACGAGAACAATATCAGCCTTGTCGGCGTCTTTAGCAGCATCTAGCAGTTCGGTCTCAACTAGGCGATCGAAGCTACGCTGTCCCACCTTCTGCCACCACATAGTTTGGCTAATCATACCAGACGATATCATAGCAGCAGAATCGTCCTTGGATGGGGCAAAACTACTGAATGCGCCACGGAAAAGAGATTCCATCTCGGACATCTCGAGGTCGGATGAAGACGGCTTATTTCCAGCAAGGCTTAGAGCCCGCTCGCGTTGTTTGGTCATGATTTGCGACGGAGGTGCGGCGTTGCTGTAGTCTAACCAGCGTCCGGTGGTGATATTCTGGCTGAAATATGACCCAGCTCGATACTTAGACTTCTCGGTCAATTCAGGATGATGCCATCCAACTTGCACACCTTTGACGGTGCTCTTCGGCGCTTTCGGTGGTTGCAGCGACAGGAGGTTGCGTGGGGCTGGGAACAGCTCTCCCAGTGTCTTGGCCTTCTTATCCTTCTCGATAGGTGAAGAGAAGGAATACGGTATCGCCCTGCCGGTCTTAACACCGTTAGGTAAACCGCTCTCTCTAAGAGGTCGGATAACAACTTCGGTCTCAGTGCCATCGAGGGTTGGAGTAGATTGTTGCAAGCTCGAGTACAACGGCTTTCCTCTCATCTGCTCGCCATTCACCACCAATATCATATTTCCACTGGCGTTGGACTGTAAATCACTAATAGAGTTAAGCTCCTCCAACACGCCAGAAGCACGAGTATTGTCGGGGTATGACATCTCCCTCTTGAATATTCCGTAAGCTTGTCGCTTGAAATCGATGACCTTGGCAATGGCTTCATCATTCGCCTTGCTGTCCTTTCCGGGTTCAACGTGTCGCAATTCTGCTAAGTTGTCGGAGATGGAGGCTTTAATATCGATGATGATGCTATCTAGATCGCCATATTGCTCCTGAGCCACCTTGTCGGCAATGGAAGGTAACGGGTTCCCGTCATCAGGCTTCTTCCGTTTCGCCTGAGGCTCGTTGGAAGAATCTTCGGGGTCGGGAAGGGGACGTTTGAGAACAGAAGGCATCGGATCAATACTATGAAATGACCAATAGTAAGTAATCGAGTATATCAATTAATTGTATGGTTATGCAAGACAAGTAGAGGAACGGGGGTATGAAAGAAATGAGAAGGAGAAGGAAGTGCGCATAAGGTCGAGGAAAATAAAAAATCGATGTAATGTGATTGATGATGGAGGGGAAGGATGATGATAATAGAAAGGTTAACAGGAGGATAGGAGGATAAGGGAATAAAGTAAAGGGATTTACCTTTGAAGGACATCATAATAGTTACGTATCGTAGGTTTATCAACCTTAGCTGTGTTGGATAGGGAGGGGGAAGGGACGGTATCTGTTGGAATAGGACTTATGGGGCTAATGTTGAGGCCATTCGGTGGTTTCTCGCTGGCGTCGGTTGATTCGCGTTTGCGCTTGATCGAGGTACCGGACATGCTTTGCGCGGTATCGATGTCGACGTCGATCATATTGTTAGCGTTAGGAGAATTAGATGCGGCATTGAGATTGACGTTATTGTTGGTGAGCTGCACGGGCGTGGAAACGCCATTTGGAAGTGCTATGGCTGGCGAGGCCATTTTTTCCCTTTAGTTGAGGTAACCTTTCTTATTATTTTTATTTTTTATTATCGTTGTTGTCCTCTCTCTCTAAGCGGGCTTCGGCCTTCGGCTGGTTGTGGTTAACGGTTGACGGTGAAATAGAATGCTAATAAAATTGGCGGCTCCCGTCGCGCTGCACGGTTAGTCGGTCGCGATTGAAAAAAAGGGAATTTTTGGGACTGGAGATTTTGTCGTTCCAGTTCCTGCTGCTGCTTGCTTGTTGGTGCGACCGCGAAACTTTGACCCTCTTTCCTTCTTCAGAGCCTCCTAGTCTCTAGGTACTGTACACTCAGCGCGCTCGAACTAGGGAGGTACCTCCAATTCCAGTTCGGACATTGACATGGACTGGGACTAAACCGCAAAAAACTTCAACGTTGCAAGGGCAGGAGCGGATGGTAAGAAGTGGACGAGATTCACCCATCCAACATCTAAATGATCAACGATTCGTGTTATAGCGGTAAGGAAAATTGAAATCGAAATATTTAATCTACTCAGGTTTACTATGGCTAACCATGAGAAGATCTTAAATTGTCTGAAGACAATCTTGTTGTCGAGATGCACGCGGTATTTTCACTGTGAATAACTTTGGTTTCGAAAACTTCATTCAATACAAGAAGCCTTGTACCCAGTATTATGAGAGGGAAGACGGAGGACGGAGGACGGAAGAGTGCAATGAACTGTGAAATGAATCTGTCTGTCCTTCGACTCACCTGCAAATGATGGCTGACGCTAAGCTCGCTACTAAACTCATTGCAGCCTAGCGGTACGCGCACGATCCACAACCCGTCCTTTACACGTGACCTCAACCAAGTCATTCAATCTTGATGTCTTCTGCCAACATTGATTATGTACTTGTGTACTTATGTACCTCAGGATTTTGTACATTCTAGCCAACAAATCGCGACAAAACAACAACTGCATGCGCACGATGAGCTTGTATTAATTTTGATTATTACAGTTTAAATTTACAGTGATACCGATTCAAATAGGATGCTCCATAAATATGTACTGTTGAGATAGAAATTAAGTTTGGAATGGTTGTCATACTAGATACCTTAGTAAGGAGGCGACTACTAGGGATTATGTTACTTACCAGTCTGCAGCTAAATAGGAATGCCATCGACCCCCCAGCCACCGAACGGATAGCAGATAGGTTATCTTGGACTGAGAAGAATATCAAATAAATGAAATCGCCTTTACCAGCAATAGCGTTTTCGCCGTAGGTAGGTAGGCATTAATTATATATCTCTACGGCAGCGAGCGTCGCGTTGCCCATCTAGTCTGCTAAGTAACAAGACGGGCAGTACGGAGATTGGTATATCTCACAGTAGCACAAAATCAACATGCCGATTTCACTTTCAGGTACGACGATTAAATAATCCATAGATCAACAGAGATTCCTTGAGAAATACGAATGTTATGCCAAGCTAAACGAATACGTGCTGTTGGGTGTAATTTACAACGGAGACCTAAGTCTCATTATGCTTTGCGACTAACACGTTTCGAGGGGGAATACCCTAAAGGAAAAAAAAACACCGCGGATGAGGCTTCGATTGGAAATGCAGTTCAAACGCGTCGTCGCCCTCATATTATGATCGAACCAGTACAATACCCATATTGCGTCGCAATCTCGTCATCACAAGCCATACAAGACAGTTCACAGATCCTCTCCGAAGGTCCCGCCAACCTTCACCTATTTGGCCTTAGCCAAGCCGACGGTGCCCTTGCCGAGATCGTAGATAGAGTACCATCTTCGGAGGAAAGCGTCACCGAGGATGGCGAGAGGGCCGACAGGGGCGGGGAAGTCCATGCCCATGAAGGTTGAGATACAGCTGCCCTGAACCTCAAGGATGTAGTCGTATGGTCCGATGGCAAAGTCATATCCGCCAAGCTTGAAGCTGATATCAGGAAGCGAGTCACGGACAGAGCACTCGACAGTGTATTGGCCGTTGAAGCTCTTCTTGGCACCGATCTCCTTGTTGAGTAGCTCAGCAAGGTCGCTGGGGAGAGCGATCAGAGAAGTGCCAGTGTCAAGAATGACACCGGTGTTCTCGAGCTCGGCAGTCTCGTCACCGAAAGAGATGGAGTCGAAGTCGACCTCCCAGTAAGCCTTGCGGCGCAGAGGGATTTCGGTGATCTTGCCAGTGTAGTGGTCCTTGTCAACACCACCAAAAACGACTTCCGAGTCGTCGGCTCCATTCTCACCGCTTAGGTAGAAAGCGAAGACGGCATCATCGATCAACTTCTGGTTAACCATCTGGTAGAAAGGAGGCACGATGCCATTGACGGAAAGGCGATCAAAACCCAATCCAAGAATACCATCGAATCGACCGAAGGCGAAAGCTAGACCAGGCTCGCTGGTAGCTTCGGCGAAGTCCTGGTTCTTGACGGTAAGATCGCCGATAGTCATAGTATCCTGAGACACGAAACCGCTCAGGCTACCAGATCCATAACGAATCTCGAACTCGGTACCGTTCTTCTTATACGATGACGAGGACGAGGAGTCATATTTGGAGTGGAGGTAGCATGCAATGCTGCCGCAAGATGATGAAGGAACCCAGAGGTTGGAGCTTCCTGTGTCGAGGATGACCTTGAAGTCTTGGGCCGGCGTGCCGATGCTAATCTCAGAGAAGTCTGTGATTAAATGGTCAGCAAATAAGCTTCTCAAATTTTCGGCAGGAAGTTTCGGAATTTCGGAATTACATACACTGAGCATTCATGAAGTTGGAGATGGGAACGGGGTGGTCTGCGGTATGGATAGAAGTGTCTTGAAACACCGCCTGCGAATGAGTCTCGGGTCGGGGTCCCATATACTTCTGGCCGAGGCCTCGCATTTGCGTCTCGATCGGGATGCTTTCCTGTTATAAATCATCAATATCGAGTCGCATGGTCATTTAGAATCCAACACCAACCAGTTGCTCCGAAAGAGGAATCTTCTTAAGCTTCATCTTGTGGACTCCGGCCTGGGCGGAGCCAAGCAGCACAGCTGCGGTTAGCAGAGCTCCCTTCATGATGGGCGACTCCGAACAATGTCAAATTGATTAAATGAAACAACTCGTGATGAAAAAGTACGGAATAGAAAATGATGTCCCAATGACTCTTAATTCTCAAATCCTCGGGATGGAGGGAAAAGAGATGAATGATGGCAGATGATGGATGGAGAGAGGTAGATGTAAGTAGTAGGAGGTATTAGGAAGAAGAGATGGGTCGATGATGTTGTTGAGGGACTGGGAGATAACGGCCAAGCTCCCTTTGATCAATCAGCGCCTAGAGTTGCTTAGGGTAGGTGGGAGATGGCGCATGCAGGCTTGCGGTAGTAGTAAAGTGGACCCGTTTTGGTCTCGTGCGCGAACTACATGGACAGAGGTACAGTACATCGTCATTCCATTCAGTGTGAGTTGTTTCCTCTCTGCTGTGGCAACCTCGCCTTTCCTAAAGTGGTCTTAGCGTTTCCAGTGACGCAGGCGTATATGTTTATGTGGGTCTCTATTGTTCCGGGCAACCAGATTCTGGAGGCAACACCGCTGATGACACAAGCAGGTACACACCTATGCGGGTAAGTTTTACCCAATAGAGTTTCAAGTTGTCTGATTAATCCGATCCGGGGCATCTTGCAGGGTGCTAAGATACCTTGGTCTCAGAAGCAATATTGTACTGTACATCGTCGCATATTAATGAGCTTACTGCATTTATGCGTTGTTACAGAGAAACATAACTTGGTAATAGGGAATTATGCCATCTCAGCCATCGTGAACCTTGGACATTCACATACAGGTGTATCATTCTAATTTGACGATAATGCTCACGCGTCCCAAACACCATGTTCCGCCTCGAAGCCTCATAATTACCTAGGTACCTAGGCACCCACGCCCATCTAGAGATGGCATGCTACACATCTCTCAAGGCACCATGATACAGAGGTCTAAGAGACGTACTTCATTTTCGGCAGCTTCGGTAATAAAGTCGTACAAATAACGAACATTTGTATAATTTGGAACTTGGCTGTATATTGCATTAATTGTGACAGTACTCGGTGCATAAGTCTTAAGAGGTTCAAGAGTCAGGTTCTTGGGAGAAGTTAAGAAATAAGATTCTCTGGGTTATCAAAACCTTTTGATTGCCTTTGATAATCGGCGTTCCAATCCGAGATTGCTCAAAGGTTTCCTGTCCGATGGGTTCGGAAAATATTGGTCCGTATTAGGTTAGTCTTTAGATAGAACATACCATTCCCAAACCTCACGGCGGTGACAAGGAAAAGCGCAGGTTGGTTTTGTGTAGACCGCCTTGCATATGTAGCAGTCGCAATGAACATACTAGACCTGAATAGACTTTGATTTCCAAATAGCCATCAAGGACATTACCCCTGAGCTTAAGTATTTAGCTTGAATACTCGGGTCTCGCGATTAGTCAGAAGCTATGGTTCTAGGTTAACCTTAAGAACAAGAACAAATCCGAACTACAAGGTAGTTAGTTCATTATAACTAGGAAGAAACAGCCAATTAAAACATGGTGTTGCGATGGGCAGATACTCTTTGTAGAAGTTCTCAAGTCATCTTAACCAATGACGTTCGAATGTTTCGGGGTGTAATCGAGGAAGATATCTCCAGCGAGGCGCTAGTTAAATCAGTAGAACCTAGAAGTTAAGAATGTTACAAAGAACAAGCCGTAATAACACCATAACCTCGCCCGTGTCCAAGTAAGAGTTGTCTCAGATTTATACTTGTATGAATATACGAAGTATAGTGGTTAGGTACCTAAGAAATTCAAATGTTCTAAGGTTCTCTAGGGCTCTTCCGAAAATACCTAAGAATTATATGACTCCCATTCAAATTCGCAACGCTTCAACTGACTTCACTGATTGTAACCACCATCTCTCTCAAATTGGGGATACTCGGGTAGCCAATTATTCTTTTATCTAAATCAAATTCAAATTCAACAGAGAAACCATGTCTATTTTATACTCCCTAGCAGCATGCAAAATAGTTTTAATGTTTGCGGCGATTTGATAATGGCAAGTTTGCCCGTAGCGAACTACTGCGGGACTCATTCTGTACACTCGGAACCTTGATGGAAGGTTTGATTCGCCGACTTCGGTATGGGTCTACCAATGGAAATTCAGAATCCCAAAGCTACTCCGTTAGTTACTCCGGATCCTAGCAGTAGCATAAGCAGGAGGTGGAAAGAGCCAACAGCTCGTCATCACCCCGCCGTTAGCATCTGGACTTTTTCTTACTTAATACGAACCCCACCAATCAATTAGAGTCGAAGAAAAAATATTATTCTCGCCTTCCACTCTACTTCTCTCCTTCCTCCGCCTTTTCTCTTTTTTTAATAAAAGGCTAAAAAGCTCTGAAGTCCTCTAGTGAATTTCTCTTACTAGAAATATTTCTCTTCACGATCTTCTCTATCTTATAATTCGGATAATATCGTACTATCCTCACAATGGCCGCTAACGGTACCTACGCTCTCTCGCAAGAGCACAAGGACGTCAGTAACAGTAATACTTAATACCATTGTGAAAAACTCTGCTGACTCACGATAGTTACTCGAGAAATCCCTTCTCGACTCTGACCCGGAGGTTGCAGAGATTATGGTAAGTTTCTTATTCAAACCCCAATTGATTTACATTGATCTAGGCAATGGCTAATTGCCTCGATTATAGAAAAAAGAAATCCAGCGACAGCGAGAGTCCATCATCCTGATTGCGTCTGAAAATGTCACTTCGCGTGCCGTTTTCGATGCCCTAGGCTCTCCTATGTCCAACAAGTACTCCGAAGGTTACCCTGGTGCTCGATACTACGGTGGAAACCAGCACATCGACGAGATCGAGCTTCTCTGCCAGAGGCGTGCTCTTCAGACCTTCCACCTCGACCCGGAACAATGGGGTGTCAACGTTCAGTGCCTCAGCGGTAGCCCGGCCAACTTACAGGTTTACCAAGCCATCATGGCCCCTGGTGGTCGATTAATGGGCTTAGACCTCCCTCACGGTGGCCATCTGAGTCACGGATACCAGACTCCTTCCAGAAAGTAAGTTTACTTTCGGATAATTCGGAAAATTAAGTTACTGACTCGGTCACTTGCAGGATCTCGGCCGTCTCAACTTACTTCGAGACCATGCCTTACCGAGTAGACCTCACCACTGGCATCATTGACTACGACAGACTCGAGGAGAACGCCCAATTGTTCCGTCCTAAGGTACTTGTCGCCGGTACCTCCGCTTACTGCCGTGAGATCGACTATGCGCGTATGAGGAAGATTGCTGACTCTGTTGGCGCTTACCTTGTCGTTGACATGGCCCACATCTCTGGTCTGATCGCTGCCGAGGTCATCAAGTCCCCATTCCCCCACGCTGACATCGTCACTACCACGACCCACAAATCTCTCCGTGGCCCCCGCGGCGCCATGATCTTCTTCCGAAAAGGCGTTCGCAGCACCGATGCCAAGACCGGAAAGCAGACCTTCTACGACCTCGAGTCAGCAATTAACTTCTCTGTCTTCCCTGGCCATCAGGGCGGCCCCCACAACCACACCATCACCGCCCTCACTGTTGCTCTAAAGCAGGCCCAGACTCCCGAATTCAAGGCCTACCAACAACAGGTCGTATCCAACGCGAAGACTTTGGAGAACAAGTTCAAGGCTCTTGGCTACAAGCTCGTCTCCGACGGAACCGACTCGCACATGGTTCTTCTTGACTTAAGACCCCAGTCCGTTGATGGTGCACGTATCGAGGCTGTCCTCGAGCAGATCAACATTGCCTGCAACAAGAACGCTACCCCTGGCGACAAGTCCGCTCTTACTCCTTTCGGTATTCGTATCGGTACTCCCGCCATGACGTCGCGTGGTTTCGGAGAACAAGATTTCGAGCGCGTCGCTAGCTACATTGACGAGAGCATTAAGATTTCTAAGGAACTTCAGGCCAGCCTCCCCAAGGAAGCCAACAAGCTCAAGGACTTTAGGGCTAGACTTGCTGTTGGTGATATCGCCAGAATCAACGAGCTTAAGAAGGAAATTTCTTCTTGGTCTCAGACCTTCCCTCTTCCCGTTGAGGGCTGGAGAGTGGATGCTGGCATCTAAATTATCACATGTATGATTGAATGATGAGGATGCGGGGATTTACTGTTCAACATATAGACACGAAGGCGGAAGAGGGGCAACTCAACTTATCTCTGGTTTGCGGACATATGGCGGGCTTCATTCTGGAAAATGGGATGACAAAAGTGGACAATTGCATGCATTCATCAGGCGTTGCAAATATCATGAGCTCTGGAGTTTGGTATAGCTCTCAGGGGTCTGGGTCATCCGCGGCACTGCTTCAACGCGGTAGATTATAGGGAATTGATATCCATTACAATGATTTAGTGTAATTAAGAAATTCGAAAGCACCAATGAGGATTCTCTGTGAACAGATCTCGATGTGATGATGACACGTCATACCTACCCCAATTACCTACCTATCTACCACATCGCATAATGTGTTCGCGAGAGGATTCGGAAATATATTTATTATTGCGTACTTCGTAGAATAAAGAGAGGTTCTTTTTCTTTCTTTATTTCGCATTGCAAGTTCAATCTTAAACCAGTCTTCAACCAGTCTTAAAGATGTCTCTTCCTAGCGCCAACTTACAACCCGGCCTCGCCGAGAAACTCATCGGCGTACGTCCCGAATCCTCCCCCTTTTTTCCAATTCGTCCATAATTCTACAAAACACCGAATTCCCACATTCTGAAGCACTTCATCAAGCATTGGTAAATAACCAATTTTCCTCGCGCAGAAACACGCAGCGGAGCAGCCTCTTCAATCGTTCGCGGGCTGGTTCCGTCCGTTCGCGCAGCGGGTCCGGGGTATCGGGATCGGCGCACATAACAAGGGACCGCAGCCCCTGTGCGGATCGGTGCCGGTTTTTGAAGTAACGCCTGGGATGGCGGTGTGTTTTAGAGATCATTTGCGGGAATTTTAGGGACTAAGTAGGTAAGTAATGGACTGAGTACTAGCAAGAAGGTGCTCTCTGCTGATGATACGAGGATAGGGGTAACTTGTAAGGAGATACGAAGGAGGGGAGGGGTTTTTCGTGATGTGCTGGCTGGGGATTTGAAGGAGTGTTGTTTAGGGGTTCACTCGAGAAGTATTTTCAAGTCACAGTGGATCTCGATATCATTAATAGGTATTTTATGTTTTTTTATTAGGGAGCTTGTTCTGTTTAAGGGGCTGTCTAGGTATTTATTCTACACGCGACAGGAGATAGGTAGCCGGCCAGGGACAGTCTTCCTAGGAACTTACGATGTTAAACCAAGTTCGATTGTCGTAAAGACGAGTGAGAAGTCTGATGTACGCTTTTTCGACGGTCATAGAATCATCACTTTCACTCCTTACGAGCCCAGTACGCTCTAACTCGGGGAGCAAGAGAGGGATATGTTCCTTGAAATAGGCGACTTGTTTCTCGAATCTATCGCGATGACGCCTAGAGTAGCGGGATCGCGCAACTTCTTCGGGGCAATCGATCCAGATAGTAAGATCAGGAAGTGTCTTGCCGAAGACATGCTGGGCAGCCTTCAGATCGCTCAACTGCCGAGGGAAGCCGTCTAGCAGGATGGCTCTATGCTTACCTTCCTCACTGACTAGTTCGATCTTCTTGTGTAGAGCCGGAAGAAGGATACCTAAGGGAATCGCTTCTCCACGAGAGTAGAAGTCATCCATCACGGTCTCAACGGTCTGGTTCATAAACGGTTTGAGCTCGGTGCAGAGATCAGCCGGGATGTTACCTCCACCCAGGACGTAGTCGTGGATATACTTCTTTACGGTCTTTTGGCCATTGTTGCGAGAGTTGCTCAACGAATTGAGCAAATCTGGGACGACCAAGTGATATAGACTAAACTGATCGGCAAGCTTAGAGCCTAATGAGCCCTTTCCACTTGCCAAAAATCCAATAAAACTAACGACGGGAAGCATTGTGATGTTGTTGATATGTGAAGAGATCGGAAGGCATGGGATATTCGGCCTGGAGGAGCAGTTTCTATTAAATACTTATGAGGTATCTAAAAATACATAGCTGTTCTTTCTAGAGTATGACTGTAATACTATGATGATAGGTAATGACAAAGGCGAAGGCATAATAATATTATTTCAAGGCCATTTCTTTGTAGTAACTCATTATTGAGGAAGTACAGCCGAAGAAGATATCCGATGCCGCTATTTTTAGATGCTGTTTCGTACGATCACACAACGATCACACAATGCAACAATAAGAAGAAACAATGAAAAGGAGAAAAAAAACAGGCGCAGCCTAAGATCTGGTGGATCGGCTCTTAGCTACTGCGCCCCCACTATTAGGTATTTCTTTGCCCCCCTCTTTTCAAGGTCTCAAAGGATGTGCAATCTTCGAGAATCGAACCCTAGACCACCCATCTCAGAGTGGTCGTTAAGGCAGGTTCGACTAGGTTTCTGTGACACTAACCATTATACCAACCCTAGGGCCCATAGGGTATGTTAAAGATATTCGTGGAATAGGTGCCGCCGAGTGATAATTCGTGACTGTACAATGCTATTTAACCCTCACTTCGGTTGTTGCCTGGTGAATTGACCACCTAGGTGACTGATAGTGGCCACGGTGACGAGCAACGCGTGACGCGTGACGCGTGACCCTATATGATGCTAGGAAATTTTAACGATAGACCAACGTCTCGTCCCGCGTCTCTTATGTAAATGAGATAGGTAAGTCAACACGAAACTTCGATACACCAAGGCTTCACTCCAAACTAGAATAGACTGGAATATGTAGTGTTCATATCGACTATAAAATATATCCATGCAGTGTAGTACACATCCTTTAATCTTATCTCCTAGATCCATTTATGAGGTAGGACATGAGCGACCGCACGATCAAAGTAAGATCTAGGGGCATATCATTCGTATTTCTCGCTGCCACAGCAGGGAGAATCTGCGTGGAACCACGATAACGTTGTTCGGGTAACTACGTTGAAGATATGAGGTATGTTTCTCTCCAGAAACTGGTGTCAATCTATACCCCGCGAGGGTATTCCTTGCTACCGCTGCAAGGTCATGTAGTCCAGGCGCCGTTTTATGTATATGAATACCGAGCCCAGCATCTCCCTTTGCCCTTGGCATCAGACGATCGGGCATTATGTTAGATGGCAGTATTTGGTTGGTACTATATCTACTCTATCTTTTAGATTATTGATGCGGTGTAACTTGACAGGAAAAGATTAGAAGTCAGATTTGTGATAGAGGCGCTCGAAGGGTTATAGGAGTTAAATGGCACTTGGTGTTGGCCTGTATATTACAAGCTAACATATATTCCACATTTATTTGAACCGGACGCAAATGGAGTATAAGAATGTGACATCGCTGAGGGAGAACGAAAGAAAATCCGGCACTCACCTCACCCTGCTCCTTGAACACCACATCCAACTCAACCCCCAGACAGTGGCCCTTCCGATTTACTTCGCGCATCAAAATGCAATTCCTACTCAGCCTCGTTCTGGCTCTGGGCACGGTCAGCGCAGCGCCCTTCGAGCTCATCTCTAAGCGCGCACTTGGAGACCACGAAATGATCCTTCATGACAAGAGAGACGAAAACGCTTGCCCGGCTCACCTCAAACCAGGCCAATTCGAATTCCCGCACTACATTACACAGGTGTCTTCGAATCAACCGGACCGCGCCTTTGGACCGCAGTATAGGGGTCGCGTTACGCCGAACGACATCTCGTCTATTTTCAGCTTCGATGTTCCCCAAGACCGTGCCGATGCTAACTGTACCCTCGAGTTCCTCTTCCCTACCCAGGACGTGTTGAAGACTTCTTACTACAAGTTCGATGGGCCTGGGACATTCCGCTTCACAGGGTACTTGGCCGGCAGCTGTCCTGACTCACATACGACGTATAACAACCAGCCGCAACCTGGCAATCTCCCCGCGTTTCCGCCTATTCACATGGAACCGGGCTTCGCTTACACCATCGATGTCGGCCCTTGTACCTTTTCGGCTGGGAAATGCGTATCTGGGAGTAAGCTAAACCGTCTCCTTTGGATGGAAGAAGGTTATGATACTAACACGAGTGTAGTGCTTTCATCAACTGACACCAGCTTTGAGTTCTTCCAGGATCAGGGCAACTGCCCGATCGGAATTTACAACACTTATAGCTATGGGCTACCTTGCCCTGAGGAATACTGCGGGTAAAGCCGAAGACATTTATATCACCGGAAAATAGACTGAATCTCCTCGTGTAATTCAGGGGTTGGGTCTGGCTCATGTATATATCAGTCCGGATTGTACTCTGGCCTTAACTTGGAAATCTAGGACATTTAGTCAACATGCCGAGTTCCTGCGTGATTTTAGCTTCTAAGCGCCTTGACTTCTCTCGGTCTCTCATGCCATGCCCAATTCGTAGGGTGGACCATAAGCCCGTATCCGCTAACCCGCCAATTTAATTAATGTATTGAAATGTACACAGTATAAATAAGCAGTATATATGGAACTTATACTATGCTTTATAATTTATAAAACGTTATTAATGTTTAATAATAATATTTTTAATACTTAAGTAAATATATATTTATTATAAATAAGAATATTTTTTATTTTATAAAGTTTTTAATTTAATAAGTTAAAACGGGAAAATAACGCCGATTTTTACTATTAAATTTTACGGTTTATTAATAAGGAAAAAAATAAAATGAAAGTTATATAAGTAAATATTTATTAAATTTAAAGAAAAATATAACTTATTTTTACTTTTTATTAAGTATATATTATATATTATTTATTTTTTACTTTATTTTTTAATTTTACGTTAATATTTAAATCTTATAATTTACTTATTTAATTAATTTTTTTATTTTAATATTATATTTAAATAATTATTCGAAACTTAACGTAAATTAGCGTTAATAAAATTAATCGTTTCGTTATAAAAAAAATTATAAACTTTTAAAAAAAAAATAAGTTATTTAATTATTTATATTCGAATTCTTTTTCTTTTTTTAAATGAATATTATTAAATATTAAAGTTATAAAATTTTTTACTTTAAATATTTAATCCGTAAAAAGTAATTAAAAAAAACCGATATTTATTATATTAAATTTTTAATTTATTTTAAAGTAAATATATTTTATTTTAATAATAAGTTTTATTTAAGTGTAAAGTATAATAATATTTAAAAAAGTTTATAAATATAATAATATTTAAGTAAAAATTAAATAATTTTTATTAATTATTATTTATATCTTTATTTATTATTTAAATCTTTAATATTATTTTTTTCGTAATTAATACTTAATCTTTAAAAAAGATTATTTATTAATTTAACGTATTTAATTTAATTCTTTCCTTTTATTAAACGAAATAATAATAATAATAATAATTAATATTAACGTTAAAAAACCGTTATTTATATAATTATTTTAAAGTTTTATTAAAAGTATATTAAACGTATTAAACTAAGCTTCACATTTTACATTTAAATATAAAATCCTTATAATTTATTTAATAATTTATATTTTTAAACGTGTATTATAACGGTTTATGTTATATTTTCTTTACCGAAAAACGAAAAAAAAAAAAGCGTAAAAAAAATAATATTATTAATAAAATTAAACACGTATTTACTTAATAAAAGTTACATTAAATATAAATTTAATTATTTTAAAATATTATTATTAATATATAACATTATTTTTTAAATTTATTAAAAATATTATCTTTTATATTTTTATAGCTTTTTTATAATAATAATAATAACGATAATAAAAATCATAATAATTAACCTTATTATAAAACGGAATTAAAAAATTAAGAAATAATAACGTTATTACGCGAAAAACTTTTAACTACTTTTTTTATAAAAAATATAATATATATATAAGTAAAGTTTTTTATTTATTTTACTTTTAAAATTAATTATAAATAAAACCCTCGCGGGGACTTTACGGGCTTAATTTTAATTTTATAAACTTTTAGTTATTAATTTAAAAAAAAACTGATATTTAATAAACTTTTTTTACGCTTGGGATTTTACTTTTAAATAATAATTTAAGTTTACGTTTTTTTAATTTTAAATATTCTTTAATAAAATAAATAACTTTTAAATATATAATTATTTAATAAGTAAATTATTATAAATGAATATTATAACTTATTTTTTTAAATAATAATTATTTACCGTTATATATTAAAATTATATATATACGTTTATTTAATAAATAAACCGGACTTAATATAAATATTAAAAAACTAATTATATTAAAGGTATACGCATTATTTATTACACGAAAATTAATATTAAATATCGTTAATATTAAAATAAATATTATTAAATAATTATATATTATATTATTAAAAATATAATTAATTAAAAAAACATGTTAATATATAAAAAAGTCATATATTAAAACTAACACGAAATTATTAAACGTTTAAAACTTAATATAATTCTAACGCTTATTAAATAAATTATTATTAAATAAAAACGTAATTTCCTTTTCGAAAAAAAAAAAAGGGGGATTACGAACCTTAAAACCTTAAAAAATTATTACATTAATTTTAAAATATTATTTTAAACTTTTATATTAACCTTTATTACATTATTATTTATTTTATTTTATATTATTTAAATTACGAAGCGAAATTAAAGAACTTAAAAATAATAACGTTATTACGTAAAAAGTTTTTAACTATTCTTATTATAAAAAATACGGTATATATATAAACGAAGCTTTTTATTTATTTTATCTTTAAAATTAAAAATTAATAAAACCTTTACGAATTTAACGGGAACTTTATAAACTAAATCTTAATCCTATAAATATTTAGTTATTAATTTTCTTTTCGATTAAACGTAAAATAATTTTTATAAATAAAAATATAGTAAAAAAAGTAATAAAATAAATAAATATTTAATAAATATACGGCTTTTATAACTATGCTTAATAATATAAAGTTATAATATTTTTTTAACTAATTAAAATCGAGCTTTTATAAAAGTTTTATTATTTTAATAATATAGTTTAAATTCGAATGCGTATTTTTTAATTAATCGAAATATTTATCGATAAACCCTTACATTTTTAAAATTAAACTTAAATAATTAAATACATAAATATTATTTATATTATATAGGACCGGAAAAACGCCGGTAAAACGTATATATATTATTTTATATATATTAAATAAAAAATTAAATACCGTAATTTAAACTTTTAAATTCGATTTTAAAATTTATATTTTTTCGTAATGTTAAATTTTTAATTAATTATTTCGCATTTAAAACATTTTTAAAAATTTAATAATTAAAATAATTTAATTATTTTTATAACGTATTTTCGAATAAACTTAGTTATATTAAAATTAATAAAAAATTAAATCGAAGTTTTATAATCGAAATTAAATTAAATTAAAATTAACTCGAATTAATCGAAATAATAACTAGTTTTTAACCTTAAATATTACAATTAAATAAAAGTTTAAAAGTTAAAAAAAAAATAACATATAATTTAAATTAAACGTTTTTGATTAAATTAGATTAAAAAAATTAAAACGTCGAATTAATTAAGTTATAAATAATTAAAGTTAATTAAATATATAATAAAATTTTAATATAATTTAAAACGCGTTTAAATTAACGTTAAGCTTTTTTTTAATATAACGCGCGTATTAATTAAAATTATATAACACGAATAATATTAATTATAAATATTTTAATATTTAACCATTTATTTTTTTTAATTTTTAACGAATATATAAAATTTATACTATTTTTAAAAAAAAGAAAAAAAACTTTACATTATACGAAGTAATTTATTTAATTTAATTTAATTTAATTTATAATAATATATTTTATTATATTATTATTAATTCGTAACGTTATTCACGATATTTAAAATAAAAGTCGAAAATATTTATATAATAATTATAATTATATATATAATTTTAAATTTAATTTAATTTAATTTTAAATAATATAACTTTTATTTATATAAAATTTCCTTTATTATATATATATTAAAAAGTTTTAATTTAAATACTTAAAAATTTATTTAGTAATAATTTTTAGGATTATTTTTATTATAAAAATATTATTTATATAATAATTATTTTAAATTTATATATATTTTATATATTTTTTTAAATATATTAACCATATTAAACTTAAGTTATTTTTTTTTATAAGTTAAAAACATAAAAATAAATACTTAAATATAATTAACATAATATAACGCGTGGAATTCTTATTATTTATTTTTATAAAAATGTTTTTTTAAATAATTTTTTTTAAAACTTTATTTACTTAAATTATTAACTTAAATATTATTTTTTTAAATTCCTATTCTATATTTATTATATACATTATAGAATTAAAACTTTAACTTAACTTTTTAATTATAACGGAATATATATTTCGAGTTATAAATAAATTATTATTATATAATAATTTATTTATAATTAATTATAATTAATAAATTATAATTATTTTTTAAAAAATAAAAATAAATATTAACATTATTAAAAGTAATATTTACACGTTTAATATTAATTATTACGTTTAAAATTAACGTAATAAAACTTAAAATTAACGTTATATTTTTAAAAGCTAATGTTACGATTTTAAAAAAAAATGTTATGACTTTAAAAAAAAATATTACTATTTTTAAAATAAATATTACCACTTTTAAAGTAAATATTATTATTTTTAAAGTAAATATTATCACTTTTAAGGTTAATGTTATTATTTTTAAAGTAAATGTTATTATTTTTAAAATTAATATTATTATTTTTAAAGTAAATATTATTAATATTAATATCCGGTTTAATATTTTCGAGTTTTATTTTATCGTTTTATAAATTCTTCTTTTTAATTATTATTTTTATATATTAAAATATTAATTATACGTTTATTATAAAAACGAAAATATAATTTCACGTTTTATTAATAATAATATTAAAAACCATATAATCACGTTATAACTTTTTAAAAATTCGAATAATATAATTATTAATAAACTTAAAATAACGGTTAAAAAGATTAAAAATATGTTAAATAAAAGTTTATATATTAATTTATAATTAATATTAATTATTTTTTTAAATTATAAATTAAATATAATTTTTCGTAAATTAAATATAAGTAATAATAAAACTTATAATAATAAATTATAAAAATTTTTATATATATATAATGTTA